TAAGGAGCCCATCAGGATTGTGGGTGCCCAGATGGACAATATTGCCTAAGCATCCAAAGCATGTAAAGTCATAATTAAATGTGGATGCACCAAATGTGACTGCAAAGGGAACTGCAAATGCCATGGTGCATTCTACTGCATCGAACTATGCACCTGCAAAGGAAATTGAAGCAATTCACCAAAATAAAGTATTATTTTAGGGGTATCAATGCTGAAAATGTATTAAGTATCAATGTGATGAATATTTCGTGTTTACTTTATCTCAGAACTGAAACATAAATTGCAATTTGATATACGTTAGACAAAAAATGTCCCATCATGCTTTACACAAGAGACTAAAGATTTTTAAGTGAGCAACTATAAAGCTTTATAAATTACAAAAGACATATATATCGATTTTCTTCAAGTACATATAGTGGATATATAGGGAAATTCTTATGAGAAACATTGCTATTTTAAGATGTTGCTAGGCAAATTTAACCTTTATTTCAAGCCGTTGCTAGGGAAAATGGTCAGACATAACTGCATCAATACAATTGCTATATGTTAAGAAATAATGTTGAAGAGATCCAAAAGCAGTGAACATATAATAGATATATTGTCTGCAAATGTCAAAATGGGCATTGTAACCTGTTGTCATGTTGTTGCTATGTAACATGGTGATGTCACTTCTGTACGTAAATATGTTAAAATTGTTGTATTTAAGGATAAGAATACTTTTTTTGTAATGGTCTTATAGCATCCTAGCATATATTAAGTGGATTTATATTGTAAAATATGTTATTTTAGGCGGTTGCTATGTGGTTGCTAGGCAAATATGTGATATAACAAAAAATCAAAGCCCTAAGATTAGAGTTTATCCTAGGATCTAACTTTGTGCCAAGTTTGGTTGCTCAATTCCCATTCTCCATTGGTGAATTATAGTGAGATAAGGAGTTTGGAATTAATTTTTCTATTAAAATTGTGTTAAAAAGCAGAAATAACAGGTATCCTGTGTTATCTCAATTATTTTCCTAAAAAGGGCTTTAGAAAAAGGGCCCTGTCTCTTAAATATCTTTAAATACATAAAACTATAAGAAAAAACTCAAAAACAAACTTTAGTATGAAAACGCAAGATCATTCACCAATTGATTCCGCTACTATATTATACTCAAATTGAAGGAATTTCAGAGTAGATCACAATAATGATTATGGTCTTGTTTTTCTGATTTGTGCCTCTGAAAATTCAAAATGGCTGCCCAGTGCAGGAATTCGCCATTACTAAGATTTATCTTGAACGTATGGTAAAATGAAACTACAATGATCTCAGATATTTTTTGAAGGGAAGTGTAGATGGTAAATATTACATTGTGACTGTACAGATTCATGATTTATATATAGTGTTCGTTGGGATTTGCTACTCCGTGGAGTTGCCGTTTTCTAGTATTTGGAAAGAACATGAGAGAGCAACTTAAAACCCCAGCAGGGTAAATACAAAGGGTAATTAAAAGTTGAGCGGTGATCAGATATAGATTTAGACATCCAGAAGGAATCCCATGAAATTCACTGTAGAAGATGTGTAATGGTCTGAAATTTGCACAATCAAACATATTAGAGCATCAGTCCATCAGTTTGTCCTTTCGTCCAGAAGATAGCACAAATACAAGTGAATGGATTGTCTTCATATTTGGTGGAAAGATGTATTTTTCGTGCCTAAGAAGTCATGTCTTTTGGAATTAGAAGCATGAGATATAACCTTTATATTTATATTAATATTATTTATTTAATTTTATTTCTATTGATTAGATTTCAGGTTTATCAATTTTATACAGTCATTTGAAATGGAACCATTGTTTATTCTGAATATATAAATAATATTAAAATATCATATTTCTATTATAATGTATCTCAATTGTCAGCTCTTATGATTGTACTCTCCTCAGAATGTAAACCTAAAATTATTTTATTATTGATTATGTTCAGTGCATTTAACAACTTTTACCTGCTTCAAAGGGATCAATCATTGACTCACCCATTATAAACTAGGACTAGGACTAGGAAAATAATTATGAAGACTTGACAGAAGATTCAACAACTGAGAATTGCACTTTTCCCCCATCAACATCAAAACAAACAATTTGCTGTTATTATACCACCGAATTTCAGATTGGCTACCATTTTTCGTATAAAGGAATGTAATATTTGATAACTCAAATTCTAATTAATGGATATGATTTACATTGTATATGTTGATGCCTAGGGACAAACAAGCTCTGTCCGAAAAGGAATTTTCAAGATGTCCACTAATAAGCAAAATATATTTTGTCCGGTGGGATTTGCGACACTGTGGAGTTGCTGTTTCTAGTTGTCCCCAGTTTCGTGCGACGTGTATATACCTTTCGTTTAATATTAGCTACCTATGCATATTCCTACTTCGTTTGTATGAAAAACATATGAAAAACAGTCCCCCATTATAACTTAATTGTTTTACTGAAAAGTAAAAACGTCAACGTTTTAACTAATGCAGGATGGTAAATATTTTAATTGAAGGCCGTCGAGAGAAGCTCACAAATTATACGACATGAACGTAAAACCAACGTCAGTTATGCATGGGACAGGCGAGGAATGCTCCCGCAAAACCGAAGAGAATATGTAATATATTCAGACATTTTTCATATAAACCATAAAGCAATAAACATCATTAAGCCTGTTTCTATTACAAATTATTGCAATATACCTCATTTGGCCTGTTTTTCATACAAACGAAGCAACAATACACCTCATTTAGTCTTTTTGATACAAACGAGGTAGCAATAGACATGTTTTTCATACAGATAAAGTAGCAATACATCTAATTAACTGTTTTGCAATACAAACAAAGTAGCAATATACCCCATTTAGCCTTTGGAATACAAACGAATTAACAATTCATCTAATTTTGGCTATTTTTCAAACGAAATAGCAATAAACCCAATTAAGCCTGTTTTCATACAAAAAAAGTAGCAATACACCTCATTTAGCCCTTTTTCATACAAACGAAGTAGCAAAACAACGTATCTATCTCTTTTCATACAAACGAAGTAGCAATACACCTCACCAAGCCTCTTTTCCAGACAAACGAAGTGGCAATATACCTAATTAAGCCTGTTTTCATACAAACGAAGTAGCAAAATAACTAATTTATCTTTTTTCATACAAACGAAGAAGCAATACCCCTCATCCAGCCTTTTTTCCATACCAAAGAAGTAGTAACAAATTTTGTTGTAATTGTCCAAATTAGCACTCATACCAGATAAGAAGTTCTAAAGGCCGACCGTTTATGACACTGCTGTGAACAAATATATCAATTTTGATTAACACTTTCAGAGAAGATACACCTATTCTCTGAGAATAATACGCGATCAGTGCTTGTGGAGGACATATATATTTTCACACAAACCCATTGCATTATTATACATTTCCTTTTATATCTGTATATAGACGTGTTGCAAAAAGGTCGCGCACGCATTGTTACACATTTTCGCTTTTTAACACCACAGAATGTGACGTTTTTTGAGAAAAAATGTACACATATGGAAATCCTTTCGTCCTCCACATTTGCCTCTATATCTCAAAATATTTAAGGCGTATAACTCTAATATCGCATATGTATTAACAATGGGATAGGAGCATCATAAAACACGAATCAATTGATATTTTAGGTGAAATAAATATACGTGTTGCTGTGCTTGAAAATAGGCGAATGGCGTAAATTAGCCCTATTTTAATGAATTTTGAAAACCTTTCGTCCTCCACTTTTCCACATACAACAGAAAACACATACTTTTCCGAACAAAATCAACTATTTATTAATAAACTAGGGTTTAAGAGCAAAATAATCATGTATGATTTATTAAAAATTGATCTCGTATTTTTTGTTTAATGTACATCTGAAAAATTGAAGGTAACAAAAAATGAGCAAAAAAGGTCGCTGTCAACAGATTCTATTTTACAAACTCTATGACGTCACAATATGGGACGCTTACTAAAATTCATTCTTTGAAATAAAACTTCCATCTACCTTTATCAAGACGAAAAATAAGTATAATAGTCATATATTGTTATGAGTTATGAGCGTTTAAAGACGACAACTAATTCAAAATGAAACGTGTCAACAGGGGATATTTGCCAGATGTTTTGGTAAAAAACTCTTTTTTTAAAAAAACGCGCAAGAATCGTGAACGGAGTGTAGTTGATCTAAAAACTTCATCGAAACAGCTTCAAAATGATATATAACTTTAATTAAAATATTATCTTATAATCCAGGGAATCAAAGTTACATTCACGCGATACCATTAAAAACAAATGCGCCACCTTTTTGCGACACGTCATATCTAAATATCTATATTTTTTCATGAATACATAATATATACTGTGGACAATTCAAAGTGGCATTTCTACTGCCGCTTAAATAGTTTGAAAAGTTTATCATATATTAAAAAGTAATTAAATGTATGTTTAAGTAATCTAAAATGCCATATATTTGTTTGCTCGTTTGTTTGTTTGTTTGCTTGTTTGTTTGCATGTTTGTTTGTGGTGTCCTAATCTAGGAAAGGTCCTAATAAAAGCCTCATGAACCTTTATCATTCATGCTCAGTTTGTATAACTGCCTTAAAAATATTGCAATTAATCTCGTTTGACATGTCTTTATCACCAAAAAGTAAGAAAGCTGTCTTGGTTTTTAAGGTTGTATATCTGACTATGTATGTGTTTAGTTCTTTTTTACCACCGCTAGCGCATTCACGATATTTGTAATTCTTGTATATGTACTATAACGTATAAAAATAAAAATGAAAATGTTTTCTTTTTTTTCGAAATTCGACCCGAAAGTTTATATATGCAACTCATTAAATTTTTCAAACGTTGCTGCGCAAGTGTGCTACGGATTCTTCATATTCAGCAGTTACTGTTACTTATTCTTATAGCCTTAACATGATATTTTAATATAGTCCAATAATTTCTGCAAAAAGTTCAACACTTACTTGCAATCATGAGGGTCCATCCCCCTGCCAAAATCCCAGTTGAATGTTCATCGTATAGTTCACATTCCTTTGTGTGTTTCTTATAACCAGATGCCTTACAAGAAGAACTTTCAAGGCACGCGGCAAAACAAGTAATTCTTGACCTAGCGTGCGTTAATACCGTTCCACCTAGAAGTAAAATTCAATTCATGTTTTAATTTTTATTTTAATTGCATAAACCTATTTTTGAATGTAAAACATATTGATCTAATTTCCGTTCCTGACCACATGAAATGTCTTATGTACTAAACCCTTACAAGTGACTTCTTGTTTTCCTTCGGTGGGCCCGAAAGAATATTCTTTAACATTGTTAATAAGTGCTACGACAATTTTCCAAGTTGCAATGAATGTAAACGCCTTCAATGCGAACATTTCTTTTTTGAGTTATCTACTAGTATTACGACTTTGTTCAAAACCATCAACTACCGTATGCCTGTAAATCAATGGTGTTGTTCAATTTTAAACTCATTCATAATCATTATCATAATCATTATCATAATCATTATCATAATCATTGGTATCCACAACACCTACTGTTTCATATCAAAGGTTCGCTATAGCTAGTTCAGAATGGATTTCTCGTATTCGCATTTAAAAGTATCACTTCAATGGAAGTTTTCTGGATGCTTCGGGCACATCCTGTTTTTAAAAGCAATCGCTTCTCGAATTGCATTCACGATAGTCTTTGTCTTTTCCTGATACAGCCAGGGGTTAAATTAGTTACACAATTATTTTGTCTGGGACATAGGCCCGGAAAATCCAAATATCTCGTTTTAGGGTGAATAACCACAAAATACCCATGGGAATTATAGATTGGTTTATTGCTTGGTCTCTGACTTGTATGCAGTTGCAAAGGTGATGTGACATAAAGGGCATCACAGCTTCCCGCAAGGTACATCAGTCCAATAATGAGGATATCTTTTACAAATAATTGCAGTTAAAATGCAAGAAGAGCCGGTAAAGTTGATATCGATATGTAATGATAGTCGATTAGGGTGTGGTAATTCCTTACAATTATGGTAAAAACATGAGATATTTTTGAGAACAAATGCCCTTTTTATTCAACTGTCATTAATCCTAGTTTGTACATAAATTGATCTCTGTATAGCATTATTACATGATGGGGAGTGTGATACATCGAAAATCACTTTGAGGGATAAAATATCACGAGAGGCAAAACCGAACGTGATATTTTTTCGAGTGGTGATAACTTATATTTGCGTATCCATCACACTAAAATAAATATTTTTTAATTGCGTTTTTTACAATATTGCTGTGACGTCGTAACAAAAACATAACATCCGGGACTTCCCGTCTGGATATACATACCCTGATACATCAGATCAAGGCATCAGATTTAGATTACCCATATTGTTTTATAAATTCTGATCTACCGTAGGCCTAAATCAAATAGTCGAAGCGAAAGCTAGCGGAAATCACATGCTCGATAATCACATGCTCAACTTTATTTTGACAAAGTCTAAATATATAGACGATAGCTTTAAGATAATTTCATATCCCCGTGTCAAATCAATAGTTCACCATAGCCTATACCAAGTCAATACACTTTTGTACTAAAGGATCTGACAAAATTTAAATAACTTCCTCCTGTTAAAGCAGTACGAGTACGGGCCAGCTACTGGGCCATCCTAGAACGAAACTAAAAATCAATCACGTTATGCGCGAAGTGTAATAGCTCATCTACACGTAAAAAGTAACTTTCACGCTTACCTGTAGAAAGTAGGCTAATCTGACGTCATTTTTCTGCGCGCGCATTGAAGTTCATGCTTTGTTGAATACGCGTCCAAGGAGGATTGGCTCCCAGGATCGAAACTCGATATTTTCCAACAATGAAAACGTCGAAATGTCGTTATTTTCTGAAATTAAAACCGACTATAAATTCAAAATAAACAGTTCAAAAGATTCGAACCAATATCTCGATCGTTTCTTGTGAGTTTTGGAATTTTTCGTTTGGAAATAAGACCAAAATTCACGATTTAAATGTTGAAGTGAACAAAATGGCGGCTGTTTGAATTCGAATTTTGTATTACGACATACCCATATATGGGACAGAATATCGGTGGTGCACTCTGGGAGCCAATCCTCCTTGATACGCGTCTGTAAATTGCACCAACATGATAATCTAATGTGAAAACCTGTAAATAAACAAATCTGACTTCATTTATCTGCGCGCGCATTGAAGTTCACGTTCAAGTTTTGTTAAATACGCGTAGCTAATGAACCTTTCTATTACCTCATTGCGTTAGCTCACCAATATGTTTTTATTCCATCATAGAAAGTCCAAAACAAAACAAAACAAAAACTAGATTTTAAAGATATTTTAGTCCTTATTTGCTCTTGACACAATAATGATCAATTGACTTATTTATAATAATTTAATGTGACTCATAGTGATCTAATGAAAATTCCATACAAAAGAAATAAGATAAGTTATGATCTAAATATTAATCATTAGTGAGTATTCAGTGGTCAATACTGCAAGAAACAATTTCAAAGATTTAGGTGGTTACGCGTCAAAGACTTATAACTACAAGACCTGCTGTCATCATTTAAACGGATCGGAAAATAAAGTGATCAAATCAAGTATGTATACTTTTAATTAATTGTAATAATAATTGTGTTTTATTTTATTGTATATTTATATATTTTTTATCCCATACTTGGACGTGTTACAGGTACATATAGCAGGTTTGTAAAAACTTTTATCCCATACTTAGACGTGTTACGAGTACATAAAGCCGGTTTGTAAAAACTTATATTTTCATCAGCGGGCAGATATAGCTTTACGTCCCGCTCCGAGCGGGCAGATATAGTATATCTGCCCGCTACGTCATAATCGCTGTTCCCGTATTGGTCCTTTTTTGTAACGTTCGTATACTGTAAACGACAATGGAGAAAAACGCAGACAATCGCGATCTGTTATATGCTTTAAAGAAGGGAAGGAGCAGTATGCCCCGTTAATAATCAAAGATTTGAACAGGAAAATCCGGCTACGGACAAAAATACAAAACTGGACATGAATATTTTAAAATAATTCCACGGTTTGTTGCTAAGTTTCTGAACTTTGGCCAATTGAACAATGTGATTGGAATTGGATAAACAGATCATCCTATAGTCGGTTCAGGGTATTTGGATTATCCCTTGGCCAATATAACATATCTTCCCTCGGGACCTACGGCCCTCGGGCAAATATATTATATTGGCCTCGGGATAATCCCAATATCCTGAACCTCATATAGGATAATCTCTATATATTTTCATTAGCGGATCGCGGACAGATATTATCCTATATGAGGTTAAGTATATTGAGATTATCCCGAGGTAAATATAATATAATCTGTCTGAGGGCCGCAGGTCCCGAGGGAAAATATATTATATTGGTCAAGGGATAATCCCAATATCCTGAACCGACTATTGGATAATATGTTTATCCCATACTAATCTTGGTAATCTGGTTCACATTGTTTAATCGTGGACATATTTTAGAATATTCACGTCCAGTTTTGTTTTCTTGGTCGTGGACGGCCGATTTTCTTGTTCTGTCAAATATTCCCATATTTATTTTCTCAATTTTTGATTGATTAAGTTGATGCTCCTTCCCTTTTTAAACCATCAAACAGATCCCGATTGTCTGTGTTTTCTCCATTGCCATTTACAGTCATTACGCAAACGTTACACATTATGAACAAATATGCGAGCGGCTATTATGACGTAGCGGGCAGACATACTATATCTGCCCGCTCGGAGCGGGACGTTATCAGTTATCACACGTTTCAGCATGTGATACAGGAAATATTCCACGAAAGGTAATACTGTATCATCCACGAAAGCGAAGCTTGAGTGGTGATACATTGTTACCCGAGTGGAATATTTCATGTATCACATAAGCTGAAACGTGTGATGACGATTTTATCACAGGTCTAGGAATTTTGAGGCATTTTGATTTGGTCAGTTATGATTGTTTTCAGTACTCTGTACTCCTGGTAACTATATTAATTTTTGATTTCGCTTTGAAACAAAATGACGTCATACCGTTGTATTCGTACTTTTTTGTGAAATAGTATGACGTCATATTGTTTTCCTTAGCTTGAAGTGATATAATCAGTGTGACGTCACATCGTTGCTATTGACTCGGTAGTGATAGAACTCACCGTATCACATGAAAATTAGTCACGTGTCATGTGATACGGAATATACATCATCACAATTGACCAATCAAAATGCGTAGACACTCCTAATCCACGGCTGTTTCCAACTGAACTTTTAATCAAATCTCCAGCTTTACTCCATGCAGCAGTAAACAAAGTCGCAGATTAATTCTGCCATTCAGTTACATGGGACTTTTTTACAATTAGGTCAAGTTTAGAGTCTAAATGCTCAGAATGTGGTGATTTTAATTTACTCACTTTTTGATGATTAAAACAATAAAGGTATCCTTTATATTGTCCATCAAGAATTACATGACAGCACCATATAAACAAAAAGTTATGAATTACTTTAGAACATGTGTATTTGGAAAAATATGCGGTGATATACCAAGATATCAAATATCTGCCTATGCTATGACTGCTGCAGACATTTCTGCTAGGGCTATTTACATGATGTTCAGCAGATTGCCCTTGCATATTATTTAAGACTGAAATACAATTTTGTTTAAATTACCTTTAAAAGAACTTATGATAGGGTCAATTTAAAACTTTTGCTAACAGTATTCTTATAAGGTTTATCTTTATAAGGTGTATGTTTTTATAAAAGCATAACTGTTGATAAAATGCGTCAAGAATTGAGAGTGAAATTGACTTACCAAATTGCAGCAAGGGACTATGATTAAATACCCATAAATGCGCTAATGCTCATTTCTAATCCAAATGTTAATCTAAGATAGATACTATATTATGTAAAAGTCAATCAATGAGTCACTTCAATATCACTTTACTTTCTTCAACTTTGTCCTCTTTATGTGTGGGGTAATATCCAGAATTTCAGGTTGCTGTTCAGTTCTAGTGATCATTGATACGCTTGATTTTCTCAGCAAATGATGTTGTTAATGATGATCATTGTCTTATTAATGTCATGTAACATTTACTGCCTATATATGTAGGGTGATAATGCGCCTCATCTAATGTTATATGAATTCCTTCTTTCGTTTTGATATTTTCAGTTACCTATTTTGCATTAATTGGATTTACCTTTCTGCTTTTCTGTGAATGTTTACTTTTGAATGTGAAAAGCTTTTTTGAACAAAACCGGCAAAGTGATTCTATGGATTTTGAAAAAATTTCCAGATGCATACTTGTTTATTTAATGAAGGCCATACTAAAATCCATGTTCTGTTACAATTTACAAAGTAAGAATCTTTAAAGGAGAATGGTAACTTCAGGGAAATTAAACTTTAAGACAAAGGGGTGCTGTCATGACTTCTAAATATATTTGTGCAGATCTTGAATAGTTCTTTTCTTCGGTGTGTCATAGTTTAAAAACAAATCTCAACTTTTTTAGATAGAGGGGTGAGAAAGTATAGCCTTTAAACAGATTTATGTTCATTAAATGATACCAGATTTGATCAGTTATGTCTCAATTCCTTGAACCCCTTCTAGATGTTCACATGTTAATGTTTCTACCAGGAGCAATTAGACTGTCAACAAGTTAAACAAAGTGAATCTAGCTTGATTTATTGAATGGAAGGAATACATTGAGGGGGAAATGCTACACAACTTTAGCTAAAGAAGGATTGACCCAATTTAACCGGATATGGCTAAGAGCGCATGCTCAACATCTGGTTTAGATTAACAGTCAGAATGACCTGAACTTAAGGACAAGTATTAAAGATGCCAAAAACAAGCCATTTAAACAGCCGTGAATCATGTGATAAAAAGCTATATCTGCCCGCTGATGAAAATATCAGTTTTTACAAACCGGCTTTATGTGCCTGTAACACGTCCAAGTATTAGATAATTAGAGGTTATGTCACTATCGTGGCATATATGCCCGAGGTCTCAGTGATATATGGCCCGACCTTGGGAGGGACATTGATCTCTGAGAACCGAGGGCACATGTGCCACGATAGTGACATAAACGATTTATAACATGCCTATGATGATGTAGACTGGTCAGAGAGTACCATTTTCTTAAAGAATTGACAAATAAATGGTTTGAAAATGATTGAAATGAGTTTAGAAAAATTGCTCGCTCAGTTTTATCTTCGATTGATTGGTTATGACGTCAGCGCCTTGACCAATCAGAAAGTTAGCGGGCGCGGGCTTTTCGAAACTTATATTGGCCCGCTGTCTTGTGTACACTTTGCACTATACATCATCATAGGTATGTTATAAATAAAGATTATCCTATATGAGGTTCAGGATATTGGGATTATCCCGAGGCCAATATAATATATCTGCCCGAGGGCCGCAGGCCCCGAGGGAAAATATATTATATTGGCCTAGGGATAATCCCAATATCCTAAACCGACTATATAGGATAATATGTTTATCCCATACCAATCTTGGTCATCTGGTTCACATTGTTCATTCGTGGCCGGAAATATTTTAGAATAATCTTGTACACTTTTGTTTTCTTGTCCGTGGGCGGATTTTCCTGTTCTGTCAAATATTCCCATATTTATTTTCTCGAATTTTTGATCGATTTTATGCTCCTTCCCTTTTTTAAACCATCAAACAGATCCCGATTGTCTGTGTTTTCTCCATTTTCGTTTACTGTCATTACGCGAACGTTACAAATTATGAACAAATATGCGAGCGGCGATTATGACGTAGTGGGGGCAGATATACTATATCTGCCCGCTCGGAGCGGGACGTAAAGCCATATCTGCCCGCTGATGAAAATATAAGTTTTTTCCAACCGGCTTTATGTTACTCGAGCCTCTAGCCAATTCTTGGCTAGAAGCGATTCCATCTGGAACACCGTGAAATATTGTAAAATCTTTAGCCGTCGGTTTATAAATTTATGTTATATTTTAAAAATCGTTCTGTTAATATTTCATGAATTGAAATGGTAACGGCTTATCTTGTTGATGAGATATTGAAAGTTTTCAATTGAAATAGACGTCGTCTCGTTCTCCATTTTGAAAGCATGCCTATTTTCCGCTATAGCGATTTAGTCAAGATGGCCGCTTATTGTAAATTATTTCTTTCAGTTTTATTTTTAATTATTTTGTGAATAAATATCCTGCGAAGTAGACGCATGTATGAACTAGGACGGCGTGTAAAGATCAATGAAGGTTAGTTTATTATGTTTACATCAATAAAAACAACAAAGAGTGTCTTATTTATATTCTATGGCTCAGTGGTAAGCTTTATGTTCCTGTAACACGTATTTATCCCATACTTGGACGTGTTACGGGTACATGAAGCCGGTTTGTAAAAACTTATATTTTCATCAGCGGTCAGATATAGCTTTACGTCCCGCTCCGAGTGGGCAGATATAGTATATCTGCCCGCTACGTCATTTCCACGGGAAAATAACATGGGAAATATTGTTTTGCACGTTATCCCATTTGAAACATATTTTCCTTTTAGGAGGTGAACTGTGTCTATTAATTTTTAAAGCAATATTTTGACGCATTTACATTGAAAAAACGAGTGGAATGGAATGAAAATCAGGAAAACATTTTTGAAAAAAATATGTTGGTTTGGATTGCACTTTCAATGTCTCTATGAGTGCTTTTCCTTTAGATAATGCATTGGTCTTACATATTGTACCTTTTTAAATGATCAGAAAATAACCACAATCAAACATATGACTGTCTAAAATCTGTTGCGATACCTTCCGTGGTCCTTTCAGAATTGTACACTTTACGCAATCCCTGACACTAATTTATATAAATAACTATATAGTAATTGCCAAACATGGATTATTATTGCCTATGCACATATACACGATATATAAACAGTAGTGTCATACATCTACAAAGTAACAAATTAGTGTTTAATGTGGAAATTAATTAACATTGAAAGTTTCAATTTTTGGTTATCCACAGCTTTCGAACGATTCCAAAATGTTCCTTTAACCTCTTCAACTTTTGAAAATAAAAACATATCTTCTTCTTTTTAGCAGAGATATTAATAATAATTTTAATTTAATTAATTTGACTTCTGCGTATAGCATGTAAACTGTATTGTGTAAGATGCAAAAAAGAACCCTGAGGAAGTCTAAAGTAATGGTAATAGGTAATGAAACAGTTAAACTCAAGTATTGCTAAAATTAGGATAAAAGCATTCAGGACATGGTTAAACTAACTTAACAAATACCCATGCCTCCTTTACGTGCCTCCTTTACTTGAAAAGAAACTAGGCGATGCCACCTTTCTTGAGAATATATTGAATGATGAGACTCTCATTCAGAGATTCCCAGTGACAGCTGGGAGAGCATATTCAAAAGCATACTAAAATGCCTTCCCTTAACCTCTTGACTACCTGGAGTGACGAGATTTCTCGTCACCTCAGAAATGACCTTAAAACCCAGAGTGACGAGAAAATCCGTCACGAAATTTTTCACTAATTTTGCTCTTATTTGAACAATTTTCGTCCGATTAACACAAAAATTGTTTTAAAATATGTAGAAATGAGCTTTGTCATCTGATTTTACTATGTTGAGCATCTAAAGCTGTATAGTTACATGTATATAGTAAAATGTCAAAAGGTGGCAAAAATGAAAAATTCTCCGTTTCAACCGATTTTAGAGCCTTGGATTCAAAAGGTTAACTCTACTGACTTCTTAATGTACAACCCAAACATTTCAAGAATACTGGACAAACGGGTAAGTTTTAAGACAAGGCGGTTCCTCAGACTAAATTATCTTGAAAAGGAAAACATAGCAATGTTAACTATATTTCGTGTTATTCGAACGCAAGTGATGCAATTTATCATCGCTGATTGTTCGTACACTTCGACCGCCACTCGTAGTTGTTATTTGATATTGCATAACTGTTAATATCATGTGTCAGCTGCAGAACTAAGTCTGCAGAATTCTGCTCTCTAAGTTGTATTCTAGCTGTATTTTTAATTTTTTACATTGTTATGGCACATTGGGTTCTCAAATGTCCACCGCATGACCGTAATGAAAATGACAGTTAATATCATAATGTAAAAATTTGTTATTTAGTTGTAAAGTCGGAACTAGGCAACTCATGTGTTTCAAGTAGAATCCTGAATATCTAAATAAATATATGCAAAATCAGAGGAAATCTGAAGGTGAACGGACGGAATTACTGACAAAATTGAATGTGATCATTCCTAACTATAGTTCACATTTGACCAATAAAATGACCATCCACGCACGTACCCCTCCGTAACTATTTGTCTTTTGACGTTAAATTGAAAATATCGTATTGTCATTTCAACCATTCGTTTCAGTAAATTAGATAGTAATGTAAAGTAATATAATTCTGTATGACAAGTACTATAATTACAATTTGAGACCCAAAACAATACATTCTTTATTTGACATTTTCGGATTAAAAACAAGATTATGACATTTAAGCCGTTGCTATTATAAAAACGAGTGATTCATCTCATATGTGAAAATAGTGCCACTGACGATGTAACTACTGTGAATCCCGAAGGCAATTCACAACATTATACAGACCATCGAGAAGAAATGCATGATGTGATGAGTGCTTTCGATATTAAGATCGTTATTTAAGACACGCCAAATCATCCTTGAGTTTCAGACAAAATAATAGGGAAATAAAAGGCATAGTAATTGAACCGATGAATATGATATGGAATGTTTAATTACACCGAAATACTTTCGAACAAAAATTATAAAAACAGCTCCAAGAGGAGAGTATTTCAGTATTGTATTTCTTCAAAGTATTCTCTTTGGTCGCAATCTCCGTTTGATCATTCCACAAACCGTGACGATGGAACCTTTGATACAATATCTGCTAGTTGTTTTCATAGCAACAGGACTCCTGACATCATATCCGGTGAATGGGCTGGACCAAGATTCGATGACGCCGGAATTCTCTCTCGTAAAAGACTTGATGGCAAACTACAACCCTAATGTACGCCCTGTGAAAAATGCATCTGAACCTATAGTGGTTGCAATGAATATAGCGTTGAATCAAATAATGGACGTGGTATGTGGCCGTTTTTTCTCCATGTAACCCTTTTGTAGCGGGACTAATCATTTTTTCATAAAGTTTAAGCCACAGATTTGAGCAGCAATGTTGGTATCAATTCAAAGACAAGTAGAGGGGGTTAATTTGAGATGTGACGATCGAGACATTATTAAATATATTACACTTTCTTCATTATATATTAAAGTACAATCCAAAAATGAATCCCATAATTATACGAAAATTAACAAGAGCTGCAAAAAATATGATGCTTTTATTTCATCGCCAATGTCTTATTTATTTAATGGTTTTCAGAGCGAAAGACACCAAACTATAATGACGTCAGTGTGGCTTTGATACGTGAGTACTACAATTTCATAGTGGTTACTAATTATAAGTACATTATGTTACATTACACATGTTTGAAATACGCGCTTCATAGATCTCATTGAGCTAATCAAACTTTTCAAAAAGGCCTTAATAAAGTGTTGTTGTCCTGTTTTAGAACCCCTATTTTATTATTGAAAATGGGTTCTAACAACCTACATATATCGTATGATGATTTGCAGGTTTAAAGTCAATTGTATCCCCATGTTAAGTCAGTACATCCTCACTGAAATTATCATCTTCTCAGAAGAACTCAAGTCTGTTGAGTCCCAACATAGATACATGTGTTTTTTTTACAATCACATTTTACAATATATTTCTTGATTCTAGTTCCCTTTGGAATAATATTTCTATATACCATACTTAAAATTACTTTATATAATATACAGTTTTTTTGCAATTAGGAGCCTAATATTTTCGCTCTTGTCTTTTGCTCCAAATATAATGTCTCTTGTAGAAAATTTTACTGTATTACTGTACTTCTTTTGGCAAATAGACTGAACCAATTTTCAAATTGACTCAATATATTTACATTTAATAAAGAAGTGTTCATATGTGTCCAGTTTATCTTTACAATACTTGCAGTTTTAATTGTCTACCACAAATATTTGTGGGATATATTCTTTGCATGATCTGGATCTGATCTTAAGTCTAGGTTATTTAATTTTTTAGGCAATCCAAAATGTTTTCCAAATATATAAGGTTTTGATATTTTAAATTCTATCAAGCTTTTGCTTTTGAAACTTGAATATCTTTTGAAATAATCATATTTCTGAATTTCTTTGCATTAATGTCTTTCATCAATATTTTGTTATGGATCCACCTGCATTCACTTTGTGGATTCATTTCTTGCTCTGTGAATACCAGGTTATAAGAGCATTCGTTACAACATTATCGATTATATTCTGATATTAATGCAGGATTATTGCACGTAGGATAGTATCGCTAGACTCCATTTTCAATTGAAAGAATAATAGGGGTTCTTCAACAGGACATTGGGCTTGCTTTTTATAACTTCCTGTCGACTCTTATTATATGTCTCTGGTCATATGTATGATATCACATGATGCATTTACTGCACTTTTTCTCAAATATGTAATATATACTTTCCAATAGAACAATATTAGTAATAAACAGTGTATTCACTCTTAAAAATGAATTACTTGAGTATTTCCCAAGTATTTCCCAAGTATAAAAATTACTTAAAGTTAAATACTTAGTTTTACTTCATTTTACTTAGGTTTAACTTATATTGTCATTTTGAGTTTTTTAATTGCTTAATTATGTAAATGAGTATAACAATTACTACAGTAAGTATTTCAATTTCTCTCCTTGCATTAGTAAATTCACCATAAATGAATTACGTAAAAATTACTTTAAAATTATTCAGTAGATCAAGATTATTTGAGTCATTTTTTACTTAAAATGAGTAGTACAATTTCTCAATATAAGGAAATCCAAGTAATAATTTTTAAGAGTGTTGACTTGAAAATAGGCACCACCTGGTGAGCCATTGCAAATTATTACAAAAAAATAACAACTGAATTGTAAGGCCGAGCGCAAACCGCTGGTCCAAAAAATTAGCCCAAAACAGTAGGCCCGTGTCATCATAATGTTGTGGTGATAAAGGAACCAGTTGGAACGGACGTCCAAAGGGGATAAGCGAGGGGTGAATCATTGGAATAAAGGAACAGATAATAAATGTCAATTTGTAATAACTGATGCACGTTTAATCAAGCTGATGATATGCAATAGCTACAAAAACCTGGGTCAAACTAAGTTAAAAATATTAGTTATTGCGTATATCATATTGCTTATGTCATCATTTCATTTAGATAGTACCGATTGCTGCATTCAATATTAATCATATCCTGGTAGATACACACGTTGATCCTTCCTATGTACAATACTGGAACACCGTAATACAAATATTTGTCATGACATTTTGTGCTGGTAGTCTTGAGCTTATTTTTGAGAATTCGAGAAATGGTGATTCTAAAATGGGTATAAGAATTTATCCGTAGATTCCTACAATTATCTTCCAATTGGATCGTATTTGAGCCATGCGATTGTAACCGCTTCGGGACAGTCGCTTACCTTTGACCTGTTCCTTTCTTTCCAGCTTAAACATGTTAGTATACCTTTGCAGAGCAATAAACATGTTATTAAAGCTTCGGAACAAAGTTCATACCTTGACAAGTTGAATGCATTAACATTGTTAATTGTACGTGTAAACTTTACAGAATCTAGAAGATTCCTATCTGAACTATGCTTAGTAAATCTTAAATTAGATATTTTTCTGTCAAACGTGAAAAATGTTCCACTTTTTGAATACCCTATTGATACTTCTACAAAAGGACAACCTGGATTTGGGCACACTTTGAAATTTTATATTGTCTTTCAGACCTGGAATGATTATTTCCTGAGGTGGGATGAGTCCAAATATGGAGGAGTAAAAACAATCAATCTGTATTCGAAAGATGTTTGGGTTCAAGATATCACCCTATACACGGAGTAAGTTGATCTTAGATATCACCCAATGCCGGATATGGTTGATCCAGAATGTAAACATATTCAAACTTAGACGCAACATAAATAGCAAAAACAAAGGGCAACATGAACATGTAACATTATCCATTTACATCAGTATATCCTCCTCTTTACCACTCATTAGTCAAGTTACATTTTTAAATTGGTTAAAATGAAACAATACTGTATCTGTACATTACAGGAATGACTCGCTGTAGTCACAGGGCTACCCAAAAACAGAACCCTCTAAAAGTGTATTAATTTCCTAAATACCCATCCTATAGACCTAAATGCATCAGGGCGCCCAATCGCCTAGCCTGAACGTGCTGGCGCCTCAGCCCTCTCGGCCAACTCGACAACCCCAAAAGAAAAAGTTGTTTTGTTAGTCGATCTGACTAGGGGCAGCTGATGTTAACGCTCAAACACACCAGAGGAAGCACAACTGACATTCCCTACCCTTTCAATTAGCCACCCTTTCCATTTGGCATTTGTGCTTATATATTTCTAAGTTTGTTGCACAAAATTGATTATTTGTGATATCATGGATAATCTTAAAATGTGTTCAATGTTCGGAAAATCAGCATCGAGACAAAATCATATCTTGAGAAATTCATAAGGAAATTCCCCAAAAACTAGAAACCAAAGTCACGTTAAGTTTGATATTGTAATTGCAAATTGAAGAATAGGCAATGATAAAACACCTACTAAAAATCGGATGACCTGAATTCCTGGCCTCTGAGCAAGATTCTGCTGCAAGAACACCTCAAATACTGTACATTGGGCGAATTCCCCAGAAATCATTAGTCAGATTTAGATCTATGTGACAAGAAATTTGTACAATTGATCTACCAATCTATTCCTTAAGATACAATATCAAACACAATATCTCCCAAATGAGCCATGATATTTTACTAATTGGAAGCTATTAAGGCGTCAAAGTGCTAGAATGAGGAAATATTGTTTAAAATATCCCAAATGATAAAAATGGTAACCATTAAAATAAAAAATAATACGTTATTGTCAAAATCTTTTTGTGTTGCGTGACATGTAATTTTAAAGTCGAATATTTAATAAGTTGAAAGAGGAAGAAAGAAGAACTGTTGAACATCTGAATGGAAATATGATGAGTTAACCTATATAGGGAGGTTTCTTAGAATGCGAGTATGAGAACAACCGAAAGCACTGTGTGTGATTGCATTGAACGTTGTCCCAAAATATCACCCAGAAGGTGCAACCATACCTTAAGATGGCTCAAATGTTGCTGAGACACTTCCCCATCATCAACCTCTATATATGCTCACAAAATACAGCTTAACTAGAAGATTATAGAATGCGATTGGTTTAAACAAACGATCTGTAATCCTTCGGTTGACACTAATATCACATGTTTCTTCTCTTTCAAAAGTTGGCACATTTTTAATTGACCATAACAAGAAAAATATCAATGTTATGTAAATTATGTGGTCTCACATTGTCATTCGTAGATTTTAGATTCTGTACATGAAAACTGAAGCTGATAACATAATATTAATGTATTAGATCTCATTTTTGGAGGGTTCTGTTTTTTGGGTCACCCTGTATAAGAAACCAAGTGGTAAGTTTGACCACTGTGTCCAGAACTTTACATTTGCGATTACGTGGCCAATATTTAGAAACTAAGATAAATAAAAGACTAACATACTGTGTATCTTTGACCTCAACGAGGGTATTAACAGTGAATGCCAAAAATGATTAAAATGTCTCCTTCCGTAAACACTATCAATACTTGTAACGAGATTTGGGCAAGTGTAGTTTGATTACTATTATGTTAGTCGTTTAGTTACAATTGTCATGAAGCCGCAAATGACCAATTAAAATTGGGAAGTAAAAATCAGTTTCTGCCTGTGCTTTTTTAACTTCTTTTATATTCAAAACCACAAACATACTGCTTCAAAAAACACGCTTGCCAAATCGAAATCGGCAGTATATTCTAGTATATTTATTTAACCAAGTAACACGGTTTTTTGTTTTGTGTTCTACAGCGTTAAAGGAGAATTCTACGAGACTGATCCATTTCGAGTAATTTTAACGAGCGACGGAACTGTCCAGTGGAACATTCCAACAAGGCTTGTTAGTACATGTAAATTGGACGTCCAGCATTTTCCTTATGACTTTCAGACCTGTAAACTCAAGTTTGGATCTTGGACGTTTGGAAGCAACGAGATAGATTTACAAAACAGAACTGCCTCAGCAGACTTGGCAATTTATGAATCAAACGGAGAATGGGACCTTGTGTCAGTGGATGCGGAGCGGCATTCCATATTATACAACTGTTGTCCAGAGCCTTACATTGATGTGACTTACTACATTAAGATCAAACGAAAGCCTCTTTATTACACTTTCAACGTGATCCTGCCCTGTATATTCATAGTGATCATCTCGCCGTTTTCGTTCCTCGTATCCCCGGGAAGTGGAGAAAGGATACAACTGGGCATCACTCTATTGTTATCTCTGACGGTTTACTTATTGTTAGTTGCCGAGCAATTACCTGTTCAATCCGAGGGTGTACCATTAATAAGTAAGCATTTAAACTTTTGTAAAAACATATCACGTTCATACGATTATGATGAATAGGTTAAAAGTCAACCAAAATGTTGTGATAACATGAAAATAGACTTCATAGCAACCTTTCTAGCGGAACATGGCATACTATTAAGACAAATGATTTCAATTGCTACACTGCATTAGGTTTGTGACCGCTATGAGAACACGGCATTCCTTTCATTTCTAGGTCAATACTTCATGGTTACGATATTAACTCTGGTCCTGGCGAATGTGGCATCCATAATATCAGTTCATCTCTATCACAGAGGTTCATTGACAGACACACTTCCACGAAGGACGAAACTGGTGATGCGAAAAGTGGCACAACTTGTTTGCAAAGCAGATGGATTTGACGACGCCATTGATATGAGGAGCTCTAAAGTAGTTTCAGAAGATGCGGAACAGGAAAACAATGTGATCAAGAGACTTGATAGTGTAAGTAAATTGTGTGTTTATATTGATATCAAACAGGTGAAAATACCAGTAAGCATTCAACACCTCTTGTAAAGGCCCGTTATCTGACTGTGTCTTGGAGAAAGACCCAAGATAACAAAGATTTATAAATAAGGCCACTGGGGTTTAAACTACACTGTAGTTGAACATGTAGCATTCTAGCGTTTGTCTGTTATGTATTTTTAAACAATAGTTGTTCGACCGTGTTAACAATTAAGCTCCCTCAGAATAAGATCATTAGGGAGTGACACAAAATAAGAAAATGCGGGAAAAATGTTAAAATTCTCCCAAAGATTTACTTGGTAATCGTATAAGATAAAATGAATGCATAATTGTAAAATCTTTAGTTTTCCTCAAATAAAGTATTCATTTTGAGATTTGACATGTCAAGGAATTTTCAAAAATTGAACCTTTTAGAATATCATTTCATCTATACAGTAATACTCTTGGAATATTTTTCAATATACTTATAAATACTTTTTGTTTTAGCTTCGCGGATATCACGTGACATCTCAACGAGTTGAGGCGATCAAAATGGAGTGGAAGATGGCATCACTTGTGCTTGACAGATGTCTGATGTTTTTATCCAGTGTTTTCATAACACTTTGCTCCTTGTGCTTCTTGCTGTATAAACCGAACCAAGATTAATTGACGGATGTTGCGATGATGTGACTTTTTTCTAAATCACATAATGACTTCAATACTAACACCCCAGTCACATTTGTCGTACGGATGCCGTGCGTCCACCGCAGATCAATTAAATCAGTGAATTTCTGCGGCGAGCGTAGAAAAACTACGCTCGTCTTGCGGTCTCCGTACGGCGTATCCAGTTTTTTACTGGCCGCAGGGTAGCCGTAGAAATTATAACTCGGAGTTATAATATTTGTTCATTTCTGCGATCCCCGTAGAAATCAACAGGCCGTTACCAGACCGCAGAGAGGTCCAACGGTGACCGCACGTCGGGTTTGCCGTTGACTTGCGTCTGCTGTATGGTTTGATGGGTCAAAAACTCGCCGTGCGGCTGCCGTAGGAAATGTGACTGCAAAAGTATCCGACCGCAGAAATTCTACAGTGAGAGTAGAAATGTTACCGACCGCAGAATTGATAGACCGCACGGCGGCCGTAGGAAATGTGACTTGGGTGTTAGTCATACTAATACTAACGCTCCATTTACACCCGGGGCTAAGGGGCGCATTTTTATTTCGTAGCACCCCCAGAGTGAAGTCACAAATTAAATATTATCATTTTAAAGCTAGTGATTTTAGGTATTCGAAATGATGCATTATTAATAATTATTATTAACTCGAATTATAGATCCGCCTGTGTTTAATGTTAAAGGATTTAAGCCCTTGACTCAATGCATTGTGTTGCTGAAACATTCCACTAAGATGTTGTTTTCAAATCTTTGCTAATTACGTCACTAGAAGACCAATTTATGGGGAAATCATGTAAACTGCTCATCAATCTGTTACTGACACTGAAGGTATAAAACAACAGATGTTGGATATCGCTGACTTTCATGTATATTTCTCTTTAACATATAAAAAGAAATTCGATTGAACAGAAGACAGAGACTGGTACAAAGTAAGTTTTAGAGAAACGGTTCTAATGATGTATTTTGGGATGATCCCTCGAGATTATTGTAACATTGTTTTCTTTTGAAAAAGGAAATAAATTCAAAAGTCTGCATTTTGGTATTCAAGATCTAATATCTGAATTATATTTTTCTGAAATTAATTTAAGGATTGAATAAGGAAAACATTTTTATGATTTCTAAACGACTGCTTCGAACATTGTCCATTCTCCATTCTATCCATTCTTTTTTGCTTTACTACGCACCGAAATAGGACAAGTGATGATGGCGTAGCATATGTGTGCAAACTTAACTAAAACAGTCACATATTGCATATGTACAAACACACAATGAGATAAACAATTGTACGAGGCTTTCGTATGCCTGGTTGAGAGTTAGACTTCAAGTCCAAACATTTGTTCTGCAAGTATAATGGTATGGTCGTTTTAGCGCCTTGCGACTTTCAGGAATATACCATTCTTTGGATGCATTTGACCAGTTGGCTTGAGCTCAATTGGATCCTGGAATCAAAACATATGCTATACTTTTACGTATTTACATATACCCATGTAGTTTTGTTACAAATAAATTATTTTAAATACAATTATTAAAGCTTAAACAGTAAACAAAAAGTGCCAATAGAGACTATGAGAAAGCGTTTATTCGGCGAATTTTGAGATTTTAGATGGCCAGACTTTCGATTACATGTCAAACTATATGTGTGTCACACTACTCGTACATGTATATGTGTGATTATATAATTACATATCGCATGAATCATAAAGGTTGTTTGTGAATAGCATCATCAATTGTACAGTGGTGTCGCTAATCTCAATACTTTGTGATCTATGAATGTTTATACTATTCCCAGTTTTAGGGTGTTTATCCCTCGTGAGACATGCACATCTACCTTCGGTCCCTACGGTCCCTCAGGTAGATATGCATATCTCTTTGTGGATAAACCCCATATCCAAAACCTCCAAGTACATAAGCCTTATATAGTAGCCGAGACAACACAAGTCCCAAGTCTGTAAATTTACTCTCGTTTCTTCACTTCAACAAATGCAACATTTTGACGTTATTAATAAATCTCCAAGTTATAAATGACAGATACAATATGGTGTCTCTAATCTTATTGACAATAACTATCACTAGTTATTTTTTGCCAGTCATCAGATCGTGCATTGGAAGTGTACCTCAATGAGAAATGCATTTATTGATTGTGGCAAGTAGTGAATTGTCAAAAGAATGTTGGAGTCGCACCATTATTTTGTTGCATTTTGGTGCTTCTTTTCCCATTCAAGGTCGTTTTGGTACCACTGTGATGTCATAATATATAATTTGATGTCATAATATGGGTACCAAATTGAAGCACACATTACAAGCTTTAAGATGATACCAAATATGTCATCATTCATTTGATTCAAATTGTAACTGGAGTAACCCCAAAAGGTATGCCACTCCCCTACCCCATCCATTTTTCAGGCCATTGAAACATGCTAAAATCTCAAATAATGCAGGCATCTTCATGGGTCGTTTTTGGCCCCGTTTTATTTAAAATATCATGTTTGTTTAGCCATTTTTCTCGGAAATGTCTCAACTACCTAAAACAGTTACATTTGTGCTGAATAAGAAAACATTTGGTCATTTTGGAGTTATTACACCAAAAATAGCTAGAGACTTTTATTAATTTCGTCAAAATGTTGCATTTGTTACAAAATGACAAATTTTGGTTATAGACCAATCAAAATCAAATGTGTCCCTATTTTTAACAACTAAATTATAATCAAAACCAATGGAATTCTATGTTAGGATTTCTCCAAGGAATTTGCATGCAAAATGGTGGTGACTTAACTCTTAAAAGTGAAGAAATGAGAGTAAATATACAGACTTGAGACTTGTCTCGGCTACTATGTACCATTTTGCTTTCCGTATACAAGGTTGAATATATATCGGCGGCCCCGTATTGTTGCTTCAACATAAATAATTGCATTTATTTAAAATAACAATATTAATATGCGGTTGTGTACCTCTGTTTTCTCACATGGGAGAATTTTCAGTTTACGAACCATGTTAGCAATGCAAAGTCTGACTTCTATCTGAGCGAGGCGCATTGCAACACAGTTTCTTGGTCCCATCCCAAATGGCTGGTAGAAATATGGATTCCGCTTTGCCTTTTCCTCTTGCGAGAATCTTGAAAGTACACCAAAACTTGTATATGTATCATGGACGTAGCCAGGGGGACGTGCGATGGGTGCGATCGCACCCCTCCCCCGCCCCACAAAAAAATAAAAAAGCAATTTTGTAAAATGTGTTGAAAAAACATTAACAGTTTGAAATGCTTAGTTGCACTGCACGTGATACATTTTATAAGATATTCCCAAGAGGAATTAATTTACACTATTGCTCGAAATTAAGCAGCAATTATTTGTTTATAATCATAATATGTGACAATAATCCTGATTGGTCATTATATAATGTAGTCACGTGTCCTGATATACTCACTCAAATGTGAAGTGGGGGAGAATATATAATTTATATAAAATACTCAGTTTTCCCTCTAATTGTTTTCAGCGTACATTATATTTGTACATATATTTCATATATGGCTTGCTACTCAGAGTCACATATAAAACACAAATAATACAATTTAGTTACCTTTCAGGGATGAACTTCTCTGGTTCGGGATAAATATCTGGGTCATGATGCAACGCATATATGGGGATTGAAACTATTGCGTCCTTTGGAATAGTAACTCCATCTATTGTAACAGTTTCACCACATCGTCGATCTGTCCTTTTAGCAAAATTTAAAAACCTTATTGTACCATTATCGTATCTTTATAATGATCATATCATTTAAGTTTATTTCATGTGTATGTTGATACTTTTGATTATATGCTATACAAGGACTGAACAGAACAGCCAACTTGAAATTGTAAAACTGACGAGGGTTGTCAATTTCACTAATTCTCGGTCAGTGAGAAAAGAACCATGCATTTGTCTTTGTAAGATAAAGACTGCCTATACTGTGTTCTGATTGGATAATAAGATGATAATAAATTGTGAATAAAATATATTGCTGTTTTAACTTAAAATACATGATATTCATCAAACGAATATCAATTTATCTTGAAGTTCATAATTCTTTAATTCTTTACACGACGACTGGATATCAAAAGATTTGGCTCTAGGTTTTATCGATAAAGTAATCGTAGTGCTTGAAAAATATATAATATTGTTATTATATACATTCAAGCCAGTTAATATTATGTTATTTATATTATTCAAATGTCATTAAAGTACTCAATCACTTCAGTTTGTACGTATCATTTACCTTGGTGCGTTGGGAAACAGTCGCATCGTTTCTTCAATAACTGTCTCTAAATATGTCATCTTGTTCAGCATCTCGTATGATATCTCATCCTATTCATGGTGATTCAAAACAACATGTAATGGGATAATAGTTTTGGACATTTTAGACTCGGTTTACATCATTAGGTGTGCTTTTAGATATTTTCTTTTGATATGATTAATTCATATTTTCTGTGAAATCACGTTTCACTTCTTACACATTCGACGCTTGTACATGCTAACATGTTTCATTTGAAAGATAAATATGAATGGCAGGCCTTTTTCTGAGCGTGAGGAATACGATGGTTAAGAAATAATTGTATTTAGTCTTACCTCATCGCCTAGTAGTTCTGTGATCTCCTCAAATACTTTTTCTTGTACATCTTGGTGAAGTGCCAGCTCATATGCTACCCAGCCTATTACAGAGGCGACCGAATCATAACCAGCTAGCAGAAAAACCACCGAATTGGAGAGCACCACCTCTTTATCTAACTCTGGAAGAACAAAAATATGATATGAAACACTGCCGAACATTGGAGAAGATCTATCAATGCACAAGTATTTTTGTAAAACACATAAAAATTATTGGCAAATATGACTTAATCATTACCGAGAAAAATCTGCTCGACAAAATAAAGTATTTAATTTAAAGAATATTAAAAGTGTCGTCAATAAAGAATTCACGTGAAGCTAGGCACGAGCGGTCAGAAAATGTACTGTATATGAAAAAAGCTAAGTAAGTTACTTTTAGTTTCATTCTCTGCATCAAGGGAGTCTATCATCAATTGTAAAAAGTCGTTCTGCTTCTGAAAGTTTAAGGCAGTGGATTTGGATGGATTTAATTTTGTACTTATGTGTACTCAGGGTATAAACAACGCAACAAACAAAAAACTACACAACCAGTGAGGACTGCATTGATTTCATTCAATGTAATATGAAAAACATTTCCCCTCTTTTCCATGATATGTAATTTATTTGCATGAGCCCATGGCCGCTAGTATAAATAATCAGTAAATTTCCACCATGTCCCAAAAACGGTTTCATAGCAAGTTGATAGCAACAGTGATAACTGTACTGATTTCATCTAATGTACCACAAAGCTATGATGTGTCATTTATCTCCATGGGGTCAGGGTTGGCTGAATAATCGTTTGTTTTGCCGATGGGCCAAAATCATCGAGGAACAAAGTTTAAGACATTTCAAAATTTAGTGTACGGGCCGAGGTCCTTTTGGAAAAGGCTTGGCAGAGTTGGCATTAGCAGTTAAGGGTTCATTCTCCTGATCGTGCAAGATTACATCTCATATACCCCTTTAAATGACCATCATTTATTTGCACACAGAGGTGGGCTCATCTTTCAATGGCATGCACAACATTTTGAATCATCTTTGGGTTTTAGGCGGAGAACACAACCTGTTGGTGATCCTTTCCCGATCTGTTAAAATGTTGTTGAAGGGTAGTTAACACTTTGCTTTTGAGATATCCACAAAGGAAAAGTCACAATTTAGATCAGGGGATCTTTCAATAGCACCAGGCTGGTGCACTGACTTTTGAAATGTCTCAAACTTGTTCCAAACCCGAATTTGGCTCTCTGTGCAAAAGGAATGATTATTCAGCTAACCATGACCCCAGGAATTATTTTGGCATAACATTGAAAAGACGAGAAACATGGCCACATGATGCAGTAAATGAAATTGATGTCATTGCTGGTTGTGATTTTATGATTTATTTAAGTTTGTTGCGTTTTGATATGTACTGTAAATATCATTACACAGATATAATATACATGCCATTTCATTCATTGTTAACATTAAATCTAATTATGTCTCCATTGATTTTTATGTACAGAATGGTAACAATAATTCCGTTGCTCTGCTAAAACGTATAAATGGATAAGCATGCACAAGTTAAGATAAATTATTTAAAAATAAAGTAAAGGCATTACGTTTTGATCCGCCTTCCTATTTGTAACAGCTTGTGCCATTATATCTTCATAAAACTTGACTGTTTTAGGAGGAGTGTCCGCTAGCTTCAACTTCTGAATCAATGGAGCTAATATTGGCAGAATTATTGGCGCTGAAAATAACAGAAATATCTTTAGTTAGTATATCAATTATATTCTACTATGCAAATACAGTTAACAAGGTACTCCATTTAACATTTTAATAAGATTAAAAAATAAGTATACACTTGACAAAGATAGTGGTTATGAAACGGTCTATCCATTTGTCTGTGCGTCTGCACATCTCCAACGGTGATATTTATGAAATAATTACCAACAGACCTACCAGACATAGGTCGACACCAGCCATTCGTAAGTTGATCAAACCGCAATTTTTATGTGTTGAACTATTTCTTAACCATGATCAATATCAAGATATTTCCAGATTTAAAAAGAAAATCCATTTATATTTTCCACTAATTTTATTGTAGATTTATTTGAATTTATGTTAAACGTCCATGCCAACATTACTCTCATTCTCACAGCATGCATAACACGATGTGTGCACAATACGAGGGTCGTCCCAGAAGTAATGCACTTTATGCTCCAACTTTATAAATACTTGATATTCTACATGAAATGTTCAGTGAATATAAATGTGCATGAATAAAGACATTAAAGAGTATGGAGTAAATAGAATAAATGATTAGAATGTCTAAGTAAATATTATGGTAAACTGTTCATTGAAGGCGAAACTGCCAGCTCCAAAATTTATGAATTGTTTTTAATTTTGTTTAGTTTGTCCTTTCCATCGCCTAGCTTCTTTATAATTATTTATTTAGGTTGAATAAAACAAAACAACTGTATTATTTCGATAAGCTTCTGTGATTGTGTTTATAAGAAATCAATGACTAGAAACTCCTAAGTCTGTAATTGGAAATTAGCCCTGAAGTTGATGACTTAAATGTCACGGAAATATCGGCCAATAGTTTTACGTTATTTTTTGTTGTCCTTTAATTGGTACTACTTTAAAGAATGATTATTTTCGTAAGATTTTATTTTGGTAATGTTCGATCGGTATATGTATTTCATATACTTCAGAACTTTGATAGCTTTTGTATTCCATTTAATCTAGGATGAAGAAAATCCTAGAAATAAACAACGACACGTCAGAACTTATTTGGAACTCAATGCAACACACATAATCAATGACATAATACAATTTTGAGCGAAAAAGTAGTTCCTCATGATTTAGTCCATGGTATGAAATCTCTAGGACGTCTAATAAAGGAGTTGGTAGCACACTATAGCGCAGCGATATTTGACCGTACATTAACATACCTACATATGTCCCCTAATGATTTTTATTATAACCGTTCAATATACTTCCGGCTTTTAGGCTGAATTATGCCTGCCATTAACAGAGGTCAAAAAATCACTAAAAAATAAAATCCCAATTTTTCACAATTTGGAGTACACAATGCAACAGAAAATAATACAAAATGATTTTAAATATATATTTATTTATTTATTTATTATTTATTTGACAGTCACTTTTATAACAGTGGCACTCAAAGGTGCGTCAATATTACATATATGTAGTATACAAACGATACATTTTTTACTAAAATCCGTAGAGGAATATGAAACATAAGCTTTTAGTAAAATCATTAAAATAGGCTAAAATCACGCTGTGTTATGTTTCACATACACCTTTTGCAGAAATCTTTTTGTACAAACATCAAAATTCCAGCCATTGTCGTGCCCCCAAATGTTAAACACATCATCCCCAAGAATCCACTCTAATTTCATTTGTGGGGGGAAATTTAGGTACTGAGACACAACAGGAGCATCACATTTACTACTTAAATCATGTATAAATTCAGTTCTTTGTTTCTGGAAATGAGGACAGAGGAGGAAACGATGGATGGGATCATCTATTACATTTAAGTTACATAATTTACAAAAACCGTTACTTATTTTCCATCTTTTTCTGTCTTCCTCAAGGTTAAAGCAGCCTGTTCTGGCCAGAAACTTTAGTCGAGAGGTGTAAAAGTCTGTATGGTTCATGAGGTACTTCTCTTTATTTGTATTAAATTTCAAATTTTTATAGAGGTTCAAAGACTTTTTATCATTGATTGCTTCAATAAATTCAGATTTTCTTTGATCATTTGAGATTTTGAGAAATGAGTCGTACCAGTCTGCATTTTCGGATGAAATGCATCCGTCTAGACCATGGGCAGTTAATATCTTTGACACGGAATCAATATATGGCCATACTGAGCTTTTCTTTGCTTTAAAGTTAGAGAACATATCACTGTAAATATCACCTAAGATCTTACAACTTTTAGCTCTATTTTTCAAATGAATAAAATAATCTATTTTACGTTTATCTATAACATTCATAATTGGTCTCCAACCTAGGTCACCAAGTAGAGCGTCCCTAGCTGGTGTACTTTTTATATTAAATATTGCTCTTCCTACATTATACTGATATGAGTTCATAGCATTCATTCTTGTATTATTGTCAAATGAAATAACTCCACATGCATGGAGAACTGCTGGTATGAAAACATTATTATGTAAAACATCCCCAAATTTGAATCTTTCTAGATTTGAGTGTTTATTAAGGGTGCTACAGATATAGAATCTGGTCTTTCGAGCTTTCTCTTTAATAAGTGTATTAAAGTGGTCTGAGTCTTTTAGAGTATTATTTAAAATAACACCTAGATACTTATATGTTTTGGTTTCTTTTAATGATAGTTGTCCAAGTTTCCATTGATTATTTGTATTAATTTTTCTACCAATTGGCATAATTTGAGATTTCTTAGGGTCAAATTTGAATCCCCAATATTTGGCAAATGAGTTAGAAACTTTCAGCATTTCAGTAAGTTGATCTTCAGATTCAGATATCAGAACTACATCATCAGCATATAAGAGTGCAGGGACTTTGTAGTTTTTAAATGGTATTCCTAGATTATGTTCTTTAAGTCTTTCTGTCAAATCATTTATAATTAAGAGAAATAGTGTTGGGGATAGAGCACAACCTTGTCTTATTCCAAACTCTGAATCAAACATGTCACTTTCGAAGTTACCAAAAAGAACTTTATTCCTTATTCCCTCATAAAGTTTTCTCAAAATGCGCCATGGCTTACCCTTAATACCTTTTTCCCACAATTTCTTAAAAAGAAGGTCCCTACTTACTACATCAAAGGCTTTTGAAATATCAAGAAATGCTAGAAAAGTTTTCAATTTAATGTCTTTCCTTAATGCGCAAAGTCCCTTCAAAGTAAATATACTATCTTCAAGGCGTTTACCTTTCATGAATGCTCCCTGGAAGTCATCAAAAATTCCTTGTTTCACACAAAAGTCCATTAGTGAGTCTTCCATGAGAGCAGCATAAAGTTTATACATATTTGAGGTTACAGTTATATGATTTAGGTTTCTAAGCTACAAGTTTTAGGTTAATTTTCTTATCAATACCAAAAAATATGTAATCAGTGTATCGACGTTTTGTATTGTTTCTCAGGTATTAATAAGATAAATGCTACAAATGAATCACTTTTATATTGGAATGATAAATGTTTGAATTATGCTACTTTTTCACAAAATGGGTCTCAATACGTTTTGAGATATGGACTTTTATTCAGCGGTGAAGATTATCAATAAATGCTGGCCTATTGCTCTTCCTTGACTAATTGGGACTACAGCTAAACTTCTATTTCTCGTAGTAAGATGTGGCTCAGTTGCTTATAAAACAACCATCATGACTCGGTCGAATTCATGAAAAATTGAGAAAAATCGTTATCATTATCTTCCTAAAATTTGATTGTATCCAGCGGTAAGGTCAAAGAAGAAACAGCCATCAGAAAACTTGATGATAGCCACAAGTAACGTCGAGGAAGAATTTCAAGGCGCTCGATTACATATGACTCTAATTGATTATTAGACATGCCCTTGGAATAAATGAACATTCCAATACCTCTGTAACATTTAATTAGATATAAATTTTACCTATTTGTTTTTGTATTATGTTTTGAAAAACATGAACAATAATTTGTTGTTTGACACCTTGCGATTATATGGAAAAATTCTGGTAATAAAATGTTTTAAATGGTAAGAAAACTAATACGTTCCCAATCACAAATTACCTAAATATTCCACATAATTTTGTTGAATCGGCTTGGCTCATATTTGAAAAATTAAACAAAATCTGAAAAACACACTTGCATAATTACACTAATTAAACACCGACATCTACGGTAAAATTAAATAGTATATTTTTAAATAATAATAATTTATTTTTGTTCGTATGCTTAGAATAACGGTCTGTGTCTTATAAAATGTATAAAAGTTCGAATCAAAATACTTACGTTTTTTGACCCCTTGTGATGAAAGACATTTTTCGACCCGAAAGCCGGGAGTTTTTTCAGCAAATGGTATTTCAAAAGAATCAAGACATGTACACCTTCATAAATATTGCTTCAAATGTTGCTGCGCTATATAGTGTGCTACGGATCCTTCATATTCGGAAGTCATACCATGGACTAATTGTGGTTTAACCAACATAGCTGTGGTTTATCTAAGATGTCGGGTTGGTTAAACACGTCAATTGAGGACAAAGAAACATTTTTTTTAATTTGGCTAGAATATATTTAAATTACCTATCATTGCAAACACTCTCAGGGCAGAAAATTCAAAAAACACTTTTGCATGAGAAGGGAAATCAGAATCTGGGTTTTTCTGAACATTTGCATCGAAGCCAAATGCGACAGCGGCGACCATATCCATCGTACATTCGGAAGCCATTCTGAAATATATGTGTAGTGAATAATAAAATTTGATACAACGTTCAGGGGGTAGTCAGTTTGTAAAAATAGCGTCATTGGCAACTTTAGATTATCAGAAAAATTGAAGTAAAGGTGAATACTATAAGAAGACTTAATTTTCACAATCATACTGTCATACTGAAGAAGATAAAAAAATAAAATATGCTCATATTGAGATTGAGACATTAATGATTACCAAAAAGTTCTAGCTAGTATAACAATAAAAAGTATAAAAAGTACAAATGAGAATGACCCTCAGAGAAAATCGTAAGAAACAATAAAAATGCAATTTGATAATCGAGGTAAAGTATTTTAAAATGCACTCAAACAAAATAAGACTCATTCTTACTCCTTCATCTCGAATATTTCATCTGAGTCTGCTTTTTCCCCAAGCCTCTCCAGAAAAATATTGTTATAGACATTTAGGTTGTCCACCATCTGGAAATATGTATACAATGCGATGAGTATCGACAAAGACGTCTGTTCGAATTCATAGAACTGTATTTCTTATAAAGTGAAGTATGTTGAAATGCAATGTCAAAATAACTATAATATAGTACCCTCTTAAGTTTTCCACTCGTGAATGCCTGGCTCATTACTGCTCTTGTATGTTTCCATTCGGTGTCTTCCAAGGCCGTGATCATGTTACATATCAGTTTCCCAAACATCGGATGGATTTTCTAAAGAGTTACAAAGTATGAAAACATTTGTATAATTTGAGGACATGTATTTAATATTATCAATACGGAATAAGCTATTAAAGGTTAAACATCAAGACAGAGGCAGTGACAATAAATTTCCTATTGTAACGGGCTTCAAATGTGCTGTTCTTTGCCCATTTGTCATTTATCGCATCATTCGCATGTATTCGTATGTATTATGAGTATCATTATAGTATTTGGTAATTTTTTAGAACTTTAAGAAATTCAAAGATTTCATCGAATCCCTTTCATGTATTATTTTAGATGATATTTGGACACGCATGTTAATAACGCCAATTCACGCAATACCATTTCTTTACCGGGGTCCCCCAACATTGACACAGAATAAAGATTCGTTTTTCCTTTGTCCACACACTTCATTGCTAAAACTTTTTGGATATAGGTCCCAAGAAAAAGTCAATTTGATGGCATGAATTAGAGTAAGTTGATGCTCACCCGTCTATTTGTAAAATACTGGAAATCCTTAACCAACACCTTCTTTATCATCTCGGGATCAGCGATGAATAGATTTGGTAACGTACCATCATACGTACTTGAAAAAACATAACGTTATAGCTGAATTAATCTGTTCATCGAATGAATTTCTATCTATATTCAAATGATTTGATTATAAATTAGGGTTATGTAATGAAATATGTTAGATATAGGTTTGAATAACCCGGGTATACCAAAACTTTCCCATTTTCTTAAAGGCCCCTAAAAAGTTTAAACCACTTTGGCTTATGTTGTGGTCGTACTCAAATGTTATTCAAATGAAACTTTTCAAAAAGTGTTTTTTGAAGGACTTTTGTTCGGAATCGTGAATTTATTCAAAACTAAATTTTAGAGCAGACATATTTCTTTTACCATAGCCTTCAAAAAGGAATACATGTAGATCGTTGCATTTGTTATCAACCAATTATCCTTAGTTTGACACGGATGGAAAGGTTTGCATTACTTGACTGTGAGACTACAAACTGTACGAGTGTACGTACAATATTTGATTCAGAATTCAATTAGGGAAAAATTGTAAATAAGTTCTGTATTTCTATTTTTTAGCATTAAACTTACCCATAAACTTTGTTTTTCTTATACTTTTGGTAGTAATATGGATCAATTTTTATCAAACCAGCCTACAAATCGAAAAGAAGGAATTAAAATCAATCAACGGATGTTCTTAAAATGTTTGTTAATATTTAATTTCAAAGAGTACTTTTAGTTTAGATTACAGTCGTTCTGCAAAATTGCACTTCAACAATGACTTTTGATAAAGTCAAACGCCCCGACTTGTATCAAAGGCGGTGTTGTCACATCTATTCGACGGAGTAGAGAAAATAATGAATGTGAATTAGCTAGAAATTACTTTTGTTTCTAAAATGGTGAGAAATTAAGATATTTGGAAGCTAAAAAATAAATCACTTTTAAGTCATATTTTTAGAAAGAAATATTTGAATGATTAATGAGTACATGGCTCCATTTTGGATCCAACGTAATACCCTGATCAACTAATGTAAAATTAACTTTCCAATCTATAGTAGATAGGGATATCAAATTTAAATAGAAGAAGGTTTCACTATTTGCACTTATCAATAGAGTCAGTTAAGTTTGTTAAAATTCCTTGGAGAGAAATGCTACCTTATCTGAGAAGTAGATCCAAAATGTCCCCACGATGGGAAATGTAGCTGGTCCTTTGATCCCTTGGGAAGACCAAAGACTGAAATCCCATTTCCATTTTCTAAAAAGCACAAATTATACCATTTACATATTAACACAGCAGTAAAAGAAGGAAGTTGTAAACATATATTAAAGCATTTGACAATGAAACTATTTCACAACAACAACTGACTGCAACCGAAAAGTACAATATAATTTCAAATGGTTTGATGATATTGAGATTTTCTTGAGAACGTGCAACAGGTGTTCAACGAAAATAGAATGAAATACAAGTTTCATTAAATTACTGTCCTGTTTACCATCACTGGCATAATTATATTTTATGTTTCTATTAAGATTAAATTTATAAACAATACGATAAAAACCTCTGTGTGCGATTATACTCTTGGTCTACACTGAACGAAATAAAATTCCATTTGAAAAATAATTTGCAGGTGGCGTAAAATACCACAAATTATTCACAGTAATTTTAGATAAGCATGTTCAGTAAACACTTATATATAGTACAGTAATGCCTTGGTCACATTTGCTCCGATCCATCGTCCGGCGCGCGCCCGATTGAGTGTTTTGTAGTTTCGATAGAGTCGCCATGAAGAATATAGAGCCATAACAAAATTGACTGCCTCTCAAATATTAGTTAATATGCCTGGTACTACTTACATGTAAATAGCAATTAAAACACCAGCAACAATAAGCAGTATGTTGGGAACCTCTATTAGTCCAAGGATATTCATCTCAACTGGTATCTGTCAATGAACATTTTTATAGTTAAAACCTATTATAGCTATGTTTACATGTTGCATACCATATCTATACAAGGTCATTCTGTACTAATAAATCCAGTTAGTACTGACTGTAAAATAGTCACTAAATTTCAAAGAATGATTACTCGACATTATAATATTAATGAAGCCATTAGAATATTGATATGATCCCGTCCCCTAAGATGAGCTCCGAATAATATAAACACAACAGTTAACAATATCATAGAGAAATATTAAAATACTGAAGCTATAACGAAACAAATGTTTAAATATGCAGTGTTTATCTACTGTAAGCATGTTTGAAAATTAAACTGACTATATGAATAAGCCTGATAAACGTTTAAGCACCCCCTTGTATCTATCAGAGATCATACCTAACTTGAGTCACATTTTATCGACTGAGCCCTACTAAAACGGTACGGCAGCCGTAGCTTCACAAAATCGATATAGATTGTCTATGTCGATTTTGTGAAACCACAAGCAAAGTAGAGAATATGAAACTGAGGCATACCGTGTGACTGTTCCTGCAACTGTTTAATCCTTTGGTGCTCCCAACTGTCTACAGTCTACATAAAGAAACGGTCGCGTTGTTCTAAGTCTTTTACAGCTTGTCGTTTGTTTATATTGTGTAATCCTTCATCTCGTCATGGCCAAATACGGACTGATGATTCACATAAGATGATTATAAGCATACCTAATATAGGCCGTGTATGTGATTCAGAGTGTATTGATACGTTGTCACTGATATGATATATAGATCGGTATGTATTATGACCAAATATAGTAATATAGTACTTCAAACTTTTTTGCATATTCAAGGTAATAGGTTCATTTTGTTCTGATTGATGATAAGTCATAATGTCGATAAACTTGGGTGTAAAGTTTAATTGGAAGTTATCGTATACTGTAGTATGTATTTAGTACGATGCTTTACTTTTCTGAGGGAAATGTAGATTTGAACGTGAAGCTCTCACAATGTACTTTTATACCACAATGTACACTTATCCCATAATGCACTTCTGTCCCACAATGCAACATTTTCAAGCAATGCAGCAATAGTTCATTTAAATCATCGTGCTCTATGGAGTTTACTATGGCTTGTTGCTGAGATGGAGATGAAAAAATAATCAATAACTATACATCTAAGCCAATTGAGTTTTTAAATGTCATTATTTTTACGGCCATCTTGGAATTTTTTTTTGTCACATACTTAAATATCAGTCACATATATCATCCATGTCACATATTTTTCATTTGGCAATAACTTCTCCAAAAACCTGGTTCATATATTCATATACTTTTGCTGGAGATACAGGACTCAATTTTTGCAATTTAATTGTCAATGTCTTTATAAATCTTCAGTGGTTTCTGAATAAAGCGATAAACATAATAAATACATACAATAGGTCAAAGGTTACTCACTTTATTGTCTAACTGAAATTTTATCTAAATATGAGGCAGGATACATCATTTTTCATCCGTGAAATTGATAATGTTTCTGGTATGTAGATCTATCACTAAGAGAGACTTTTCATGTGACGTATTGCATAAATCTATGAATTGAACAACTGAAAATTTAGTATTTAGGCCCAAAAATTCAATAAAGAGTTAAGACAGTTGATAAGTTAATGAATAACTAAAGAGACGTGTATTGCTCAATTCGTCGTTTGTCTTACTTTTTTTGCCATACGAATTAGTAATAGTAATTTATTATTTATTAGTTTTTTCATTCATTTCTCTATTATTCAGTGTCCAAGTTTGGTATGCCCCATCAATAAAGATGACGCTGATCGTACCGATATGATAACTTTCGCCACTTCCATTTTAACCTCCCGCCATTTTTGAGCAGCCTCGTTCTGAGTTGCTTCCATTGCAAATGTCATAGCGTCGACAATACCGGGAAACCCTCCTTTCCCAGATGAACTATAGGTAGAGATGATGTGCCTGTAAAACATATGTCACTATTATTATAACTTATTGTATGATAAACGATTGGTCATGATTAATGATAATTTGCCCTACTTAGTCGCTTTACGTAATGGTGTTAGTTCAATAAAAGAGAGCTTTCTATATACATTACTAGAGAGGTTAAGTCACACGTATTAATAAACAAAACTTGATCATGAATGTGAACGTAAACTTCAATGCGCGCGCAGAAAAATAACGTCAGATTTATTTTCTGTTTACAGATTTTTACCTGTAGATTATCATATTGTTGCACATTGGAGCAAGTTACAAACGCGTATTCAACAAAGCATGCATGAACATGAACTTCAACGCGCGCGCTGAAAAATGACGTCATATTAATCTACTTTCTTCAGGTAAGCGTGAAAGGTACAGGTTTTTACGTCTAGATGAGCTATTTCACGTCGCTCAATTACGTGGTTGACTTTACATTCTTATGGGTAAATGACAACTTCTAATGTGATCGTTTTTTTTAATTTTGCGATCATGTAATATAAATAGGCAGGGCTAGTTTAATACCCGGGGCTTACTACAGTATATATATACTAAACGAAATGAAATTACAACCAGAGCCTACTAGCTAGCTATTGCCTTATCACTACATTTGATTTGCGAACGAGGCATTTTCTTTGTATTACGTCCGCCCTATAAAAAGTGATACTAAAGTAACTGAAAGTAATATGAAATAAAGCAAAAATAAAAACAAATAAGTATACATCTGACTGGATTTGAAGGCCTACCAGAGACGAGTACAATTTTGATTTTACGTGTACGTTTTCGAAACGACTTTCATCGAAAGCTGTCTATAGTAGCGGCTAGATTATTTCTATGTCACGGGTTCACTAAAGATATTATGAGAAACAAATATTACAAAAAACAACGACCGACATTGTCTTATGAGACACCATATAATATCGTATAAATAGATTTTTGATATAAAAAATATTTACCTGTATAATGGCCTACCAGGTAGCCCTAGGGGATCAATAAAGGATGATTCTAGAAGCATCATTTTATCGTTCGCCATACGCATTGCTATGGGACTACAAAAATATTTGATATTAGATCAAAGGTGGCAAACGATCCCTATGTACTAAATGGAGACATCGACACATTTATCCTTAATGCAATATGAAGAACTTAATATTTTTCTGACAATGGGACTCTATCTGGTTTTCATGACACCACCAAGAGGAGTTGAATCTTTGTTGTAACTACCGTTTCTAACAAACTCTTCAACCCCAAAGGTCAGCGGTTGAGTCATGTTTTCATGCTAATACTTTCAAAATAGGACGTGAATTTGTTGTATGGATCTTACTCTGTTTTATCCAGGTTAGCAAGTTCTTCATTAAACGCCTCTGTTGCTCTCGTAAAATTGTTGACAGCCTCGTTAAGTTTGTCTAAAATGGATGTATTGTAATAATTGTCTTAACTTTAGAATAGATATCAATTAGAGAATACATATTGATTGTATGTAGTATATAATATGTCGCTAAGGCGTAATGTATTATCCTTTGGGTCCAGTCGTTGGATAACTCTGATGTACGTGTATTATTGTACTGCTTTTAATGCATACATCAACGTGTCGGGGTTTTCATATATATTCAACTTTTTATTGATGCAAGTAAAATAAATATGAATAATCTTTACCTAGGAAAATATCATTTTCGTTTAAGGTATCTTCAAAGCTCTTGGTTTGTTCTAATTTTGTTTTGATGTCCTTCGCATAATCGTTAACATCTATTGGAAGGATTAATTCATCAGCAAGTTTCATAACAATCTCTGCTACATTGCGAACTGCAGTCTGAAAAGTTCAATGTTTTGTTCTTGGCGGATTATTTTTTATTTCTTAAAAGCATTTCAACATACCCTAGCAATTTATCCAGAACAAACGCTTCTAATATCTACATTTAAGTTTTCTTAAGTTTAATATCTTATTATAGGAGAAAAATACCACTTTAAAGTAGGGTGGTGAATATATTTGTTTGTGTCTCGCGCACTGATGTACACTCCCCTCCATAAGTTTGGCAACCTTTTTTCCCCATTCAACTACGTGTTAAAGCCTCCTTACCTTTGAATTTTTATTTACTTAACCGGCGATGAAATAACTTATAATATTGATGGAAACGTAACTTGACCTTATTTCCAATACCTCCAAATTTTCTCAATTTTTTTCCTCAATTACAATAGGTCAAAAATTGATGATAAATTTGATGAATTTTTGAAAATCGTCATTCCCATGTAATCCAATTGGAAATGGAGGGTTCGGGGCAAATTAGAAATCAGGATATCTTTTCAGTAAAAGATTCAGGAAAAATTATTTTTATATAGAAAATTGAATTGTCTAACTTTTTAAAACACTAAGTGTTTAGTTTATTTGATGAATATAAAAGTTACAGTGCTCCAAAGTCATTTTTTAAAATGATTTTTCGCCTCCTGTGTTATTTCAATGGGAGAGTTTTTTTGAAAAACAACTTTGACTTTAAAGCCCTATAACTTTGTTGAACCTGAAGAAACATATCAATTTTTTGTTAAATAAAGTTAGCAAATTCAATTACCTGCCTAACTCGTATTTTTTGCAAGGACTCGGATGGATGGATATTCTGTCATATGACTTGCGGCAAACCTACCATTTCCCATTGGTTAACATGGGAATGTCGATTTTCAAAAATTCATCAAATTTATCATCAATTTTCGACCTATTGTAATTGAAAAAAAAAATTTAGAAAATTTGGAGGTATTGGAATTAAAGTCAAATTACGTTTCCATCAATAGTATAAGTATTTTCATCGCAGGTTAAGTAAATAAAAATTCAAAGGTAAAGAGGCTTTAACACGTAGTTCAATGAGGAAAAAAGGTTGCCAAACTTATGGAGGGGAGTGTATGTACTTCCTAATGTGTTTCACGAGAGAAATATGTGGTAATAATAATTTGTAACAGGATATACTTTTCAGAAGTACTTCAACAAGTGATAAAAGTTGTGATCAAAGTGATCAAAGATTAGCTAATCGGTCGTTACACTACCTTTAGTTAATAATTGTTCAACAAATGCAACGTATGTAAAATATCGACACTTGCATAATACCTACAGTTTGATAATTAAAGCTGGGATCGATGATGTTCTTGACCAGGTTAAATACTTCATAGAGAGTATGATATAATGCATATCCCTCACCACTGAAGCTACCTGCATTAATACATGGCACACCAAGCCGTTGGAAGAACGGAGCATAGTCACTGCCTGCCCCGAAGCCACCAATACTAAAACGGAACCACAATCAGATGCAATTCGCTTTTGAAGCATTGACAATTGATATGTTATATAATATGATAGATTATATTTCATTTTTGAACATATTATGTTGTTTGTCTTTATGTCCCTCTATTACCGTTGTTCCCATGCTGTACAATTTTAATATACCTTATTTTGGTATTTATGTAAAGAGTTGTTTTTTATATCGTTATCATATCATTTGGTGATAACAGTGCATTTACATTTGAAATCATGACAACCATATTTTTAAGGTCAATTTTGATGCTTTTGTCCACACTACCTTGGTTCTTCTGTCTTGGGGTCTTTATTCTGGCTGGTCACCCAGAAGTCATACAATGAGGCATATGTAGAATTAGGAGATTCAGTCTGAAAAATTGACTATCCATACAAATACATATTCATAACATGTTCATAATAAACAAACTTCCCATTACATGAATAAATGATACAACACAGATGTAGTAATTTAAAGCTTCCATTCACAATTTGATGCATCTTAAATTGATGGTCATAAACCAATATTTTTCAAAAATGGAGTTTAGGAAAATAATCGATCATAATAACCTTCTTTGAAGCATGTAGGACGACTTTTTTATGTAATGGAGAAGACGCCATATTGAATCTTTCTCTACCAGTTGCTAAGATATCAACATTAATGTAGGCAACTGTTCGCTCAGCAAGGGTTTTGCTAAACTCCTAAAAGTCAAAATATTTAGAAATAAATAGGTTTCAATACGATATGAGGCATATTATATCAAATAGTCATTCATAGATATTGATCAGAAATATGGGGTCTCAAAAGTGACTATTTACAACTACAATATACCATTGTGATACTTGAAATCCCATACATATTGCTTCACTTGAGATAGAGTTTTTGGATAATATTTCTCTTTTGCCACTTTTATTTTGATATTTTTATCGTCTGACACCCCTCCCAATTACCCGTTCATGCTCGGTATATTGAATATAGTCTTGCCTCCATGAATTCTGTTGAACCAAGCAAACCATACTCTTCGCCCGACCAGCTGGCAAAAATGATACTTCTTCTTGGGCGCCAACCTTAAAAAGAATGATCAACATTGTTTCTATGTAGTCGCGTGGTTTAATGGTTTTGAAATCTTGAATCCTGATCGATGACGACATAGGCTGGCGTAATATGCATTTTTCATTTAGATCTTTGGTGGTGTTTTGGTCTGTCTCCTTGACCGGATGCACATTTTATTCCGTTGGTGTGTAGGACATGGACCAATAGATCGTAAAAGGAGCATGTAGGTTATCGCAAACAATTTCAAACGATTCTAACTTGAATTATGAATATTTTTTGATCATGAACATGAGTGTATCTTTTAGATCCATTCATTATCTTCAAGAAAAGTATATATAATGATAATTTAGTTAATCAGACCTAAGTGATATTGAAGGGGCAATGGACCAATCAACATTCTTTTTCAAAAATGTTGACCTAATTTTCACCAAAAATGCAACCTATTATTATATTGTTGAATGCATAATTAGAATGTGCTTTGGGATATGTTCGATTTCCTAAAAGGAAAATTTGATTGCTCCAGGGACTTTAAAGATATTCAATTTGGATGACCAAAATGAACTGAAACCAATGGATAGCATGAGATTTTTCAATGGAGAAATAACATGGGGAACACTTATCTTAATGCAATTAAGTTTTTCTTTCAAGTACTATTTGATACATCAAAATAAAGAATGGTAATGCATTAAACATTGTAAAAAATGATTGCATTTTTGGTGAAAATGGGGTCAACATCTTCAAAATGGGGTCAAAAAGTGTGTTGATGGGTTAATTGCTAGTTAAATATCTCCGAGTTTGTTTGAATTTATTATTACTGTGCATAATTTTCTTTGAGATAATGAATTGATCTAAAAGATAAACTTGTCTTCATTGTCCGAAATTAGTCATAATCCAAGATATAACCTTCTGAAATTGTTTGCGATAACCTTCGTGCTCCTTTGGGACTGACAGTTATATAATAATATTATATCATATTATAAATATATGATATCAAATATTAAGTGAATCACTGAATCGAGTGTAGTACAGAATAAAATTGTACCCGATAAATGTGTATTTGATGACCATGAGAAATAATAAAATGATATTTTTTCTAAGAGTAGACACATTTAATTTGCTTTTTATACATAATGCTTAAGTACAAGTGGTATCCAATATACCAAGCAAACACAGTATTCCCCAAGGAATTGGATGGTTACCTTGATTCAGCAGTGCTCCAAACACCCTGGCAAACTCATGAAGTAGAGCTGTTCCCTGTGTGTTATCAATCGCTCCGAAATTCCAAGCATCCCTGTGGTTACCGATTATAATGTAACGATCTGGAAATGAAGATAAGCCGATGATCAATTATCACAGAATCGGGGTTTTCTCTGCATTTTTTTAGTCTAGTATTCCTGGTATAGAAGTAACATCTTCGGATTGAGTATTTGTTTACATTCTATGATCCTCACCTGGTTCTACACTCCCTTTTATGATACCAATAGTATTGTAAATTGTCCTTCTTTCATTCTTATTGTTAACTGTTAATTTTACAGTCCTAAAATATGGAATAAATAAACATAAGACTTGGTAGTTCAAATATGGCAACAAAGCTGAAAGTGAAATTTGAATTCAGTTGAGATGTCTTGGCGAAAAAAGAACCACGAAGCTTGAATTCTAGAGTTGTGATTCATGATGACGTTATTCTTTCGAATCACGACCAAGCATGGCTTGACCTTTCCATTTTGGAAATGACAAAAGTAAAACTATTCCATGCCAGGACAGATGCTTACCTATTGTTGATCATATTTGGTCCAAGTCTATACGTTGTGTTTATGTTGCCTGTCCATCCTTCGGGGGCCCTAAGCGAGGCTAAAGACATACTATCAAACAACTTCTTGGCATCTCCATATCCTATAGGCTGGGCGGGGATTTCACGCAATGGCAATTCATCAATACGCTTTCTTGGTATAAAATCTAGAATGTACAATGAGTGTTGGAACAATACCTACAATCAATTTACATCGAGGTACTAGGAATTCGGTACCTGAACCCTTGATTCTATCTGGCGATTTAAAATATGCATCAGTTATTCTGCTGGCCTATTCTTATACCAATTCCAATTTATACCTATTCTTATATAAAGGCTTTGATTCATATATAATTATCTACTGGAGAATTCCTGATTTCGAACTGTAGGAGAGAAGATAAGTTATACGTACCAAGGGATGGATAAGCAGGTGTCAACATATCCCCGTACCCGGCTATTCCTGACCCGCCTCGCAGCACACCATACGGTGGTAGCCACTGACCCTGGGGAAAAACTTTCTTGTCCCCCTTGACGTAGTCCTTTGGGTCTTGAAATACAATCAGACCCTTTGCTCCCTGGTTGTAAGCATTCGTGATCTAATGGAAATCGCAATGGTATGAAAAGTAAGTTCAATTAAAATTTATTAATTTAGTACAATGACGTATGCCTTTTTAGTTAAAAGTCGAAATGACGGCGAATATGTGGGATAAATTCGTTACTTTGAGTATTTCAAAGACTTGAGCTCAGGAAGATCATATTATATGATTTAAAACAACACTACCTTTGGGCCCCTGTGAATACCCCCATACATAGCGAGTACTATCTTATCTTTCACGGTAATGTTGAAATCATTCTTCAATTTTTCGAAATCTTCTATGGTCGCTTGGTTGGCATACACTAACTCTCCCTGGAAGTGTGAAAAGCATGTTGATTAAATAACATGATATTCCAAAGAGGATATTTTAACAGATAAAAGTTGGCTCAAATATGTTTAACAGGTGTATCTTTTGATTGGAATAGATTAGATCTACCTGCACCACACCACTTGGGGTATAAGCCAAGAAAGGGGCCACTATCCCAGTTCTGTTAACCATCACTGGGTCAGCAGGTGGCTCCACTGGCTCCGATACTGAAACAAGATCCGTTCCTTCAAACACCTCGACCTACAAATAAAGAATACTATTAGTGTCATGACATTACATCTTAGAAAATCAATGCATTGCACACACATGAGAAATGGGCGTATCTGCGCCCATATTACAAGGCAGTGACACCATAACATGGAGTGACAGTTAATAGGAAGTGATTTCCAACATGTGGGAATGATGTTTTTGTCACTGTACCTCTAGCACGAATGTCCAATAAATTATCAGAAAATTAATCATACGTGTATTAATACCTAAAATAAGTAAGGAACGTTTCCTTTTGCAAATTGGAGGTTCTAAGATTATTGTTAAAGAGATGGAAGCTCATTAAATAAATAAATCATTTCAAAATCAAATAAGTTTTCGAAAACGTTTGAGGATCTGTTTAGGATTACCCTACGCAGTGTACGTAACCTCACATTACCCAGTCGCTTGTACGTTTACAGCTTAATTCAATTGTTAATATTTTTGCAATTACCTAAAAGGATCATCTTCAAAAAGATTGATAACATGTCGGAGATACAGTATCTGCATTTATTGCGTTTAAGAATGTGCAATGAAACGCCCCATTTGTATGCGCAACGACGCTTAAAACCTTTGTAGTTGTTACCTTATTAGGATTGGTGTGTATGTCACCTGGGTAGGACAAAAGTACATCATATGGGACAAGGCTGGTTTCATCGAGTCCAAACTCTAACCATTTAGTTCTTAGATAATCTGCCTGTTGGAAATCTTCAGGCGTACCCGCAGTATGAGGAATGGATGAAAAAAATCTGAAAAAAGAAATTATACATTATACATTATTCAAACATGACCGTGCGCTATTCGAATTTCTCAACCAATCAGAATGCAGCATAGCCAATATAGAACGTTCTCTAATTCTCCATAGATGCACGACCATGCTCTATTCAATCTGCAATTTGCATTGTTTTGAGTGACGTCACATCTCAGCTGCACATCTGAGGGGTCATTCATCAAGCTATCGCAAGCACGTCGCAAGCCTGCGATGTCGCAAGGGCCCTTTTTAGCGATTACGTCCTATTCATCAATCTCGTGCGACTGCGATCGGTAGAATTTTCTGCGACGTCGCAATGAAATACCCCTAAAATGGCCCAAATTTAAGCGACCGGTGGTACCCAGTCGCAGTGATTTTAGTTCACAAAAAATGTCTTAAATTAGTTGAATTTCTTTATGAAATTATATAGAAATTCTAGGACGTATAGTTCGATATTCGATCCATGTTATATTAAAATTGCAGAGCATATGCATTATGTTTAACATGTTTGTGATGCTACCAAAAACAGCTAGTTTTCGGCTTGTATTTTCAAGTACTTCACCGTGCGACCGGTCGCAGTGATTGTGCGTTACACGTGGTTTTTGGGTTTTGACCCACGTGGCTGTGCCCACTCAGTATCCATATTGTCAATCTTGCATGACACGTTAATCGTCTGTTGGAAGCGTTTATTCGTTCGAAATGGCGCAACTGATGGTTGATTTCAACCGTAATGCTCTGCGTAGAGAACGCGTACTTAGAGATCGTACTGTACAGATCCTCTTCAAATAAACGATAATGTCCCAGATAGCACAACTCTGATGGGCCAACGTTGGCCCAACAATTACGTATCTGTTGGTCCAACGTGGTTGGGCCACCATCGCTATGTCCATTGGCCCAACGTTGGCCCACCGAAGGAAAATATGGTTGGCCCAACATTGGTCCATTGTTGGCCCGACATGATTTCAAGCTACGTTGGCCCATAGTTGGCCCACTGGTGGTAAGAAGACTGGTTGGCCAATCGTTGGCCCACCGTTGACACAAATTTACTTTTTTTATACAGCCATTGTTGGCTCCCTGGTATTAGCGGCAGCCCACAACAGGCCGCAATCCAGCTACAATTTGCCAACTGCAACTATGCCACCCAATGGCCACCAGTAGTGACATTGGCCAGACGTCTTTGTGATATCTGGGCACTCAGTACTGCTACTGTAAATGTGTTCACAAATAATATCCGTTCTACATCAATAAAATATGGTGGCTTGTTTTTCCATACTAAATATATTTGGTAGCCTTATAAGTGGTTTCAACTGTATTACAAGGCGAAAATCCATATTTCTGAGGTAAACAACATTATCAGATAATTTTGAAAGAAAATATTTCATAAAATTTACCTTAATTTTTTTTAATGACTGCTGGTATGTTTTTCTTCTATTTTTAGGCAAAGCATTTGCACTTATATCTGGATAGGTGGCTTCCTGGTATTGACGGCAGCCAACGACGGGCCAACGTTGGCCCAACTGCAATTTGCCAACTGCAATTTTGCACTGATTTATCGATAGGTGGCTCCCTGGTATTAGCGGCAGCCAACGACAGGCCAATGTTGGCCCAACTACAATTTGCCAACTGCAATTTTGATCCTGCGGTATTAGCGGCAGCCAACGACGGGCCAACGTTGGCCCAACTACAATTTGCCAACTGCAATTTTGATCCTGCGGTATTAGCGGCAGCCAACGACGGGCCAACGTTGGCCCAACTTTAATTTGCCAACTGCAATTTTGATCCTAGATATTAGCGGCAGCCTACGACGGGCCAACGTTGGCCCAACTACAATTTGCCAACTGCAATTTTGCACTGATTTATCGATAGGTGGCTCCCTGGTATTAGCGGCAGCCAACGACGGGCCAACGTTGGCCCAACTACAATTTGCCAACTGCAATTTTGATCCTTCGGTATTAGCGGCAACCAACGACGGGCCAACGTTGGCCCAAATACAATTTGCCAACTGCAATTTTGATCCTGATATTAGAGATTTTACATTTTGGCATGCCATCTCCTGATACCTTGGTGAACTAAGTCATGTGATCATTTATATCCAATCAGAATGCATTTCTGCCACATAGTGATAGCATAGTGATCCAAAGCTAAACCAAGGTGTAGGAAGGGTTTATATTATCATATAGAAGGGGTGCACTTTTCTAATTGGCCATGGTTGACATGCATGTTTGCAAACTTAGTACTTGCACCAAGAGCTCTGACTGGCATCCTAACAAAATAAATTCATACTACACTGATGCCTGGGTCACATTTGCTCCGTTTGTTCAATATTATATTTAATTTTAATCGGAGCAATCTGCATTACTTGTACACAGTGTATACCAATAGCCCATTTTCAGCATAGCAATTTCTAAGAAGGGTTTCCAAAATGCTCCATCATGGAATACCTTGACCCTCTCTTCTATGATAGACACAGACATGTTTCTAGATGCGATGTGTACCAGAATGAAAGCTCTGGCTTCTTCCTAACTTGGCGGGAGGGTGCAAAGTACTTTCTTGATTATTAAAAATAAATGCCATTGTCACAGGAACTCTGCATTTTATGTAAATCCATTGAATATTTATCTGCGTGCTCGAAGTTAAGTAAGTTAAGAAGATCAGATTCTTTATAACACTTGATCCAAATCTATTTGATATTCAAAATCTAAGTAAACCTCTCTTTTTGAAGAACCAACTATCTATCATATTACTCAGATTGGATTAATCAATATTCTCATACTCTCTCTAGATTGTATGAATGAATGACCCTAAACATCATGTGAAAGACTTCTCAGAAAATGTGCCCAATAAAAAGAGAATGGATTGCTTTCTAAAGCAGTTTTCTCATTTTTCTATTTTTAGGAATGAATTCAAATTTTCAAAAGCTTCTATAATTTCAAATAATATATTTGGCACACTTTCTCAAAAATGCAATAGATTCTGTCTGGTGACCTTTCTAAAAGTCCAACTTTTAACTGTTTTTGAGTCACATTTTCTGAGTCACACTCCTCTGTGTATACTTTCTCCAGTATGTATGAATCGAAACTAGATTAATTTCCCATGTGCCTAAACCAATATTTTATTGTTTTATTTACTTTCTGTGTATGTGTGTATGGACTACTATTTATATTTTTCCAGTGTATATATGAAACAATAAATTTTAACTGTCGTGTATTGACAAATATCATGTACTTTCTCCAGTGTGTATGAGCAAATATTATGTACTTTCACTTTAGTTATTTAACCAATACTCTGTATGTTCATACACACTGGAGAAAGTACATAGTATTTGTTCATACAAAATGTGTGTTCATAAACAATGGAGTACATGATATTTGTTCATACATACTGGAGAAAGTATATACACAGGCGTGTTGGTTCATATACATGTCCATACTGGAGAAAGAGCGTAATGTCTCTTCATACACATTATAGATATTGTAGTACATTAAATTCGTTCATACTCACTGGTTTAGGTACATTTTATTCGTTCTGACACATTGATTAATTAACAAAATATTGAAATCACGGAAGAGAATGAACAACGTTTTGGTTCATGCACAATGGAGAAAGTACAAATCATTTGCTTATGCATGTTGAAAAAGTCAAAAGATTTTCTTCAGTGACCTTTCCTGAGCACCTACTCTTAGCTATTTTCAGTCACATTTTCAGAGGGCTGAAAAGGTTATTTCATCATGTTTATGGTCATTCTGACCATTTTCCTTGTGTTCCCAGTCATGTAAATGATATGTGGAACTAGTTAAACTGACTGGAGGTCCAAACAGAACTCTGTTATCTTGAATCCAGCATGGTTTTGACATTTTTTGTTTTGTCATTTCCTGTTAACTTCCATAGCACCTTAATTTGTATATCCAAGTAAGATTTTTAGAATTGTGCCTGTTTGTGTTTAGTCAATAAACTAACCATAAATGTCTGCAATAATAGAAAAATCAATAGTGATTTTTTGGGCATTTTTGTAAAGCCTTTGGTTTGTAATGGGAAGATTGTCTTTATCACTAAAACTGTTCTACATGGGGTCTTTTGCACAGTTGATAAATTATATACTATACTAATACATTACTATAGATTTGCAATGTCTAGGTTTTATTCAAGTAACTGACTCCACTGAGTGTGTATTCAAATGTTGTGCTTATAAAATGTATCGACTCCTATACTACCTTTTGAATGAAAATAAACTCTTCCAAAAGTGATAGGACCTTAGTGCACCCATGCCATGGTAAGGACCTTAGGTTGGCATGCCAAAATGTAAAATCTCTATTAGCGGCAGCCAACGACGGGCCAACGTTGGCCCAACTACAATTTGCCGACTGCGATCATGCCAACCAATGGCCACCAATAGCGACGTTGACCCGACGTCTCTGTGCTATCTGGGGTGGACCTTATTTTGCGATGTCACATGCCTAGGGTTAACTATTATAAAAGTTTACGAAATGATACAAGAGGTTCTCGAAAGGATAACTAACACGTGTACAAGCACGTCCACGTGGTAATTACTGCGACTGGTCGCATGGACATCGCAGACTGCGATTTGTTAATGAATATGTCGCAGTCGCAGTCACTGCGACCTCGTAGGCTTACGGTGGTCGCAGTGTCTGCGACGTCGCAGTGATTGCGATAGCTTGATGAATGACCCCTCTGGGGCTCTGTCCGGGGATAGCTGTTCTTTTTTACTCCCTCCGTAACTACTGTAACTATTTAACTATGGCTGACTTCAAGTTTGCAGTCGCATACACCGTATAAAATCTAAAACGGGGAGTAAAATAGAACAGCCCAAACAAATTCTAAAAAATTTCCGGCCGACTTCAGAATCTTGACAGCATGCGTATTCTTCCTTCATGCCCGTTCCACAGACACGGCTTTTACTAATTTTTATGTTTGAATCGGAATAAATAATGATAGGCCATTCAATATGGTGAAATTCAGCACTCGTTGGACAGAATGTTAGTACAAATGCACTCACCTTCGGTTCGTGCTTTGTACAACATTCTGTCCAACTCGTGCTGAATTTCACCATATTGAATGGCCTATCATTATTTATTCCTTAAATATGTTATTCAGGGTTTGCTTTTAACCCCAGAATTTGACATGTCCGATTTGATATTTGCATACTATGAATTCCGTATTCATTGTCAAACAGTTGCTTTATGATGTAAAAAATGTGTTTGTGAGACATTAATGCGTTCTTTCTCTCTTTTTATTTATTTATTCATTTGGGTACTGTGCTTTTAGAAGCCGCGGCTTCAAATATACTATACCTCATATTTATGTTTATTAAAAAAACATTTCGATTTAAATAAAGACATAATATGCATCTACCTTAACTTTTGTTCATTTCGGGCTTTACTTACTTCAAATGTTCTTCAAATTTTTCGGCACTAATTTCATCGTGTACCCACTGGGCAAAACGAGGATCTGCATCTTTAATTAATCGCCTATAGGTTGCGCTGGTGTCTCCTGTGTTGGCAGTTTGTTTCGGAATGAATACACCAATCAGAATCCCCAATCCGAAAATTAATACCCCGGTTAAAATAGCTAGAATTACAACTAGCCGTGATGAAAGTTTCTTGCTGTAAATAAGTAAGAGTTAAATAAAATGGTTGACATTACACAACATGTAATTAAGTGGGATTTAAACCAGCTCACCCTCTGTGATAAAGTTAAGTTAACAATTGCCTAAGAAAGTAAACGTAGCTCAATAACGTTTATGAAGAAATATGGTTTTATGCAACTTGTCGATGATTAATGTTTTCTTTTTTTTAATACAAATCAAAAGTAAATACAAAATAAGTGAATAATAATTCCTACCTCATGATGCCCGTGTGCTTCAGCTGGATTGAAATGGCTCCTTCAATATCAAATATTAGATAAATTCAACATTGTTCTGGACATAGGCGTGTAGAAAAATCTAGGTGAACAAAATTATAAGAGACCCTTCACATCAAAGTCCCGTTAGAAAAATACCACTGTGCTTGTAATTTTCAAGACAAAATAGAGTGGAATGAGTTAAAATCAGCAAGGATTAAAGCAAAACTGGTATTGGTTCAACAAAATTACACCCTGAATTGTATTGAACTGGCTTAAAGTCGTCCTGTTTTTCAAATTTTAAGGATGAAAAGCGAGGAATCATCATAGTTCTTCTCTAGGGAAATGCTTTATAGATAACAACTTATAAAAGTTCAAGTATATCTATTAGGTGTAATTCAACTTTTGGCAGAAAGTATATTTACGTTAGGTAAGGTAAAAATCGAACACAGCGACATGTCTTGTATTCTTGTTATTTTCTTGATTGTGGAAAGAAAATTCAAAAAATTTAAAACATAATTTTTCCATACCTAAGGTCAGATTTTCATGAAATGATTATTGCCGTTACTTTTAAATAGATGGAATGTGTGTCTTGATATTTTTTGGATATTTTTATATGTGCAAAAAAGTTCAAGGCATAACTCCATCTAACATAAAGTGGATACAAAAAGGACAGAAAACGACAATTCATGTTTTTAGATTTTTATATAGAGAATGACTTCTCTCTGGATCGCAATCATGGCAATTACAAAAATAACCGTAGACATCTTTAAAAGAGTCTATAACACAAGATGTTCTTTGTTGTAAGGCATTGCAATTTGAAGTTTTAGGGCCTACGGAGTACAATAGATATCGTGTTATTTCAATTTGGTCGTTTTTGGAATTTCAGCCTTTGTTTCATTTTATTACATTACTAATTATCATCTGTCACTTCTATCGTCATAGAGTATTCACGTAGCCATTAAGACTTTTTTGTGCGCCATGATTAAATAAATATTACATTCTTCGAAAATGTTTGCTATTAATTATTCTTCAATTCAGTAACTAAATGTAAGTTCATAAGGTCATTATGAATGAACACTCCTCTATTATAAAATGAAATACCAAATAAAATCTTTTGATTTGGAGTTTTTTTTAGAAAAATCATAATATCAGTATTAAATTGTGGGAATTGCATGTTTCAGATTTTGACATATCTTTATGTGAACTCTAAAGTCTATCTCAATAAATTAGAAATGAGGATTTCTCCCTAAAGTAATAGCTCGTTTTAAAAAGATGCATATGTTCCTTAAAGATGTGTTAGGATTTGCCCTTAAACTTAGCTCAATATAATGTTAACTCTTGATTTGGATTTCATTAAACAAATGTAATATTAAAATCATGATCTTGCCTTCAGATTTCAGGATATCTATTCAGTAAAAGATTCACCAAAAACTATTTTAACATAGAAAATGAAATTGTCTAACTTTTTCAAATTCAATTGTATTTTGCGAAAACAAAATGGAGGTATCGGACATGATGTCAATTTATTTTTTCCAGCACTAAAAACAGTTTTTTCTTTATACTGTTCATATTATACGAATACCTTTTACACCACATAATCGATGTAACTTCATATTGTGATGACAGCCTGTATCCTTACTGCTACATTGTTCATCACATTTGATAATAATTCCGGTGGAATGTTTTGGATTTCTCTTTGGTTGTTGCCCTTAAGTTGTTCTAGGTCTTTTTGCTTGGAATAAGCATTAAAACACTCCTTCAATAGCCACAGAGAAAGATGTTTGAGGATGACGATGGCAGAACAAACACAGGTAATCAGGTCAATTATCGGCAAATGATTCAGGAGTTACCTTCCAGAGTTAGGCAGGCTAGCCTGGAGACCAAATGATATCCAAATGAAAACACATTGGTCTCAAATTGATTCACACAACAAAGGCTACACTAGAATCGCAACCAATGCAGTTTCTTAAACCTCTGACCTCTCTTTATAAGGGGGCTATAAGACATTGTGAGGGCCTCCCTATTCACCACATTTGACAGCCCATACTTTTTTCTCTGAGGCTATTTGAAGGACCATTTTTATGCTAAATCCAAGCTAAGAAACCAAGAACAACTTAAGACCAGCATCCAAACAGAAATCAAAACATTCCACCAGAAATATCAAATGTGATGAACAATGTAGTAGTAAGGATGCAGACTGTCATCGAAATACGAGGTTACATTGAATATGTGGTGTAAAAGGTAACGGGTTAAAGTATCAAAAGGGCAAAACTGAATTAAAAACTGTGTATAGGGTAAAAAAACTTTCATCTTTTATCTACAAGACCATGCAAAAAATGTCTGAAAATATTGATTGGTTTGTCTATGCTGTTGATATACTTTTGGGTACATTTTTTTGAGACACCCTATATACTTCTTGTTGCAGAACATTTCAATACTTCGACAGATTATATTATATGCTTAAATTTTCATAAAATATGTTGTCCAAATTGCACTATATATGCCAATCTTTCTGAGAGGATGTAGAAGAAAATTCTTGTCTTGATTGCAGAAGGCTTCCGATTTTGCATATTAACATGCTTGGGGATATTAATAGCAGGCCTTTTTATAGTCAGGCCACTCCAAAGGTTTTGCCGTTCCATCTTTAATGAATGAATCCAGGACATCAAGGGTGTAGTCCAATTGTTCCCACGTCACTTTTTCAGTGATGATCCATCTCAACAGTGATTTAGTCCTCGGGGCGGCGGGGTAAGTGAACGCTGTAGAATGGATCCCTTTATGTTTCAGTGCTCTTCCAAGTCCTACAACTGTATCGAAGTCACCTGCGCATAGTCCAAATATGTGAGTTGGTTCTTTCATGTAGTATCCCGAGTATCCGAGTTCCATCAGGTTAGATTTCAAGTAGGTTGATTTCTCATTTAGTGATCGACGCCTGTCCTGTGCCTGTTTCACGATGTCTAAGATTTTCAAGAGTCTAACAGCTTCATAATCTTGTACCGCATTACTAAAGGTGTTCTTCGTGGTAATAACACGGAATATCTTCTTGAAACTCTTTGGAGCGCATATCAAACCACCATTGGTTGCAAATCCCTTAGACAGTGATGCCGTGCGAAATGCTACCTTGTGTTCGAGGCCAAGTTTACAGACTATACCATTACCGGAGTCCCCATATGTTCCCAGGGCGTGTGATTCATCGACAACCAGCGACGATCCGTATTTCTCTGTAACTTCGCATAGGTCATGCAGCGGTGCAATCGTTCCCAGTGAGCTGTACACACTGTCAACAACTACAAAGCCAGGCCCATGTTCTTTCATAAGGTTCTCCAAAGCATTGACATTGTTATGCTTAAACATTAACATCTTCCCGTTAATTGCTGATATGCCGTATCGAAATGTTGTATGCACTAACGAGTCGAGATAAACCGGGACATCGGTATTGTTTTTCAGGAGGGTTTCCATAAGCATCCCATTGGCACTCATACCACTTGTAGTTAGAATCGCTAGATCGGAGTTCATCCATTCTGCTGCTTCACGTTGAAATTTTAGAACAGGGCTGAGTTCGTCTTTAGCAAATATTCCAGATTTACCAACCCACGACGGTGAGCTTCTCTCTCCCATAGCAATAATGTACTCTCCTTGTGCTCGACATACCGAAGGATCATGCCCTAAAGCCAGGGTATCATTGCACTCGTAATCTATGTCGCCCTTTGTCGGGTCGGCCCAATTGAAACCAACGCTAATATTCATTGCGGATGCACTCTGCAGAGTTTTTGAAGGCAGCGTAAGTTGTTCTGTAATATGTACATCCTCTACACCTTTCATTGCATTCTCGTACCAACGGGTCTTTGCTAACTGTTTTGTAATAGGTTCCCCATCCTTTGCATCACTTATGTCAGTTTGGTTAGCATATCCACGACGTGCTAACACTATTGGCTCTATTGGAGAGGATACGCTTTTGCGCAAATACTTCGCTAAATAAGATGTTGTTCCTCGTTGAGTAAATGTAGCCATAATTAAGGCTCTAGCTAGAGGTACTGATGGCTAAATATCCGTGAATTTTTTTACGTCGGTAATAAGTAACGTTTATTGTGACCTCGGATCACCTTTATTTCTTAGTTCATGCACTACGTGACAATAAGTGTGCCAAAATATTTAATGTGACCAGGTGTAACCAGAGCAAATTGTTCATAACATTTGAAAAGTTAGCGTTTAAAACTATTCACGTTCATTGCCAAAGTAGGGTTTGCATCAAGGGTAGTTTAAAATTATTTATACTCATGCCAAGTTGCGAAACTCCAAACTAACCATGTACCCCTGTTCTCTCCAGGCACTTAATTTCGTATTCGTGTTTTTGCTGAAGAACATAGCTATCCATTGAGATGGTGTTGAATAAAGTAGTTAAAAACGACTCAAGAGGTCGTTAAAGCCCCCATATGATGTTGTACCACTTTGGCTTACCCAATGTTATCAAAGTGTGATCTTTGAAACTCTATTTTTAATTTCAAAAGGTGATTTTAAAGGGATTTTTTGTTAGAAAATCGTGAATTTTACAACTAATTTTTAGAAGTCACGCAGATCTTAATATGCGATAATTCACAACAATGATATGTATAGCGTTTATCATAACACATGTTTTTACCCGGAAGATTAAGAAAATTTGTTCATAAATAAGCGAGAAATGAACTTACCTATGCATGAAAAAGGGTTCAGAGTAAGGTGCATTTCAATTTTTTAGTTTTCTATAGAAACCAATGGTACTGTACATTAATATTTAAAACATATTTATATTTTTCCTTTTAATCTGTCAACATTGGTAAGTTTAGCATGTTAAGAAAATATTATCAGGGAAAACATTTTAATTTTCAAAAGGTTTTTGCCACCTGAGTGATGTCAGGATGAGGTACGAATTACTCATTATTTCACAATTAAAGTGAACGTTTACTGTACCTGGGGTCGAGCATATTTAAAAAGGAATGGATTTCCCACGCATAACATATTAAGTTACATATTTCGTGGTTGGAATTTAAACGAAGCCATTTGATAAAAAGGAGTTATTGTTTAGCATTAAAAAAGTGAGTAATTTTCGATTATCTAGATGAAATATAACTTTGTTTCAATCCATCCGAAACTATGGGTTCTGAACATACAATAATATTCGGGGTAAATTCGAAAAAATCAAATCATAAGAAAAACGCGAATTTATGTATGTACAGTATATAAACTATACAACCATTCTTCGCCGGCTCTGGCATTTATTCTTCAAAATTCGACTATACACCATTAATGTGAAAAGTCGAACTATATGATGTGATACTCGGACCATATTATGCGAAACTTTTTGTATATTTTATTTTACAGATATCATTATTATTTACTATAACATATTATTCGTATTTTTCGAAACTTGCAAAATCTCATGTACGTAGCAATTTATGGAGAGTTTTGGAAGTACCAACATTTTGAACAAGCTACTACAATCACCTGATCACATGTTGAATAGGTCACATTGCTTATTATCTAAGCACTAACTACATAATAGAATTATCAACCAACAATAAGATGCATCCGATATTGTTTGTAAATCAAAAATTTGTTTTGAAAATTATTGGCACGGTAAATTAAATTCTGACGTATGAGATAAACTGAACACGCACGAAACATTTTAAAGTTAGGTTCGAACAATATCTGTAGACTCAATTTCAAATGGGTATGCGGGGAAGTCCAACAAAATCAGCAATCAAATATTAACAAGATTAATCGGGACGTCCGCCCGGCAAACTGATCACAATATAGCACCTAACGGTGCGACAAAAATAGAAACGGATAGATCGTATCATTCGAACGTCCAAAACTGAAAATCGACGAATATCAAATTATAGTCCTCAAAAAATCTTTCATCGATCGATCGATTTTCATACCACTATAAGGAATACAATTGCAAATCGATAAAAAACTAGAAGAATTGTAATGTTTTCAAAAAGGACGATTCCCTATATTTTATGAATAATGTATGTTGTGCGAAATCAATCATTTATATATTGCGTAAGAGAGTAATGTTACATACTGTCACCATTACATATTCATACGTCATAATTATAAAGTAAATCAGTATTAATTATTTTGTTTTATGTTAATCTTCATAAAATATGCTATGTGTACACTTATAGTGGTATGCACATGTACGAGGTCGTTAAAGATTCTCGCAATCTTTATCCAATCAGCGTTTGCGAGTGTGTCGGCTCACGTATAAAAGGCGAATCCAACTCAAATCCATGCAGGGGTGTATGAGGTACTCGAATAGGAAAGAGCTCGTGAAATCTGAATTTATATGCACATGGTCAATGTTTACACATGTTTATGGGTGTGGTTCCGAATTTGAAGTCATTGCTGGAAAATATGATTGTAATACGTGAAATTATATCTATAAATATAGCACTAAAAATAACAGTACACATGAAGTACATGTATGATTGTGTTTAGAAATGTTTGAAACCCTTACGGAAAATTCTGTCTGCATTTTGTCACCATTGCTCTTTCTTCCCGCATTCTAGTGCTGTTTGAATGAATATATTAATTAATGTATTTCTAACTAAAACATATCACTTTTTTTATAAACCACAAACATTTAGATCATAAAAAAATTATTCAATACTTGAGTGAGCACGATATGCAAGGGTTACTAAGTTGACACAGTAAATGACCACTGATATTGTGTTAGTCCATGCACACAGCGTACACCCCTCACTTTCATAGTGAAGTGACTAATTGGTTTATGTTTACGTTTTAATGTGTTTTGGGTTCCTTGTTACAACAAGGGGGGCCAGTAAAGTAGACCAACATGTTTGCATGGCAAATTTTGATCGAATATGTGACACACTTTAAATAAGTTCGCGATAATGCTCTCATTTCAAGTTTTGAAATATCAGTAGATTTCAAAGAACTTATAGAACTATCTGGTATATGTAATATAATTCATGAATCCGTCTATGCAAGACTCGCTAACCTAATTGTATTTTCCGAAAAAAAAAATATCTTATTAAAAGTGAAAGTTATTGAACAATATTTAGATAAATAAAATGTCCAAATTCATAAAAACAGCTTTGATAACCTTAAAAGTGAAGGACTATCCTGAAATAAAGTCTTAACTATTAGACAATTTGAATGATAAGGGCATTTTACTTTTTCGAATCTTACTCGCAACTATATATTTAGTCTCCATCCCCTCTACGTCCTTGGATTTTAAAGCAGTATTACAATATACTAAAATAAAAACGTATTGGAGAAGCATTATCTACATATATTTTAATAAGAAAAATAGTCATATAATTTACAAAGCTCATAACGTACAGTCATGGAATATTCATGTGCACAGTGCAGAATGAAATTCAACCAAGTCCAGTAGTGTTCATAGACATTACATATAAATATTTTTTATGCATCATAAAAGTCTTTGTGGGACGACTGTATCGTTGCTTTCTTACATTCATAAATATTAAGTAGGTTGAAATGATGATCACGTGGTTGTCTGCTGTCAAAGACCCAGGCACTGGTCAACGTGGGGCAGTTGTATTCTATCAGTCTATGCTAGCACATAGCTGGTCTCAGATATTTTAACTTGTGATCAGCAATATTATTTTCATTATAAGTAACTATTATCATTTTATTATTATCAGTATATATTATTATATGGACTGTATTATACTTATTATTGGAATTGTGGACTATTATACACATTTATTGTTGGAGAGGAACTCAAGGAGGAGTTAGAGGGTTATCGAAGTACGACGACCGGTACTGGCGTTTAGTCCTACAGTCCTGGAATTGGATAAATAATCGTCCAGCTTTTACTCGGTGAGTAGGCTACAGAATGTATATTAATTTTACAATATAACTTGGACAGAACAAGCATGACATCGCCCGAAACAAAAGTAATTATATTCGGTCATTCTTACATTCATTGGCTTGAACAATACCAACGAAAACACCGACCAAATTTAAAGCTAAATAGAGGTGAATTTAAATTATTTTTCCAAGGAATTAGAGGCGGGCAGTTTGCGTGGACACCTCAATCTAAAAGCAAATTCCAAAAGAAAGAATTGCACTCATATTTATCTGCATCTGTCAAATCTTTCAAACCTGATATCGTCTATTTGCAAATTGGAACGAATGATTTGGACAGAAGAAAATGTGATGTTACGCTATTAGCCAAAAAGATGGAAACGTTAGCATCCTTTTTGTTAACGGGATACGATAGTATCACATCAGTGTGTATAGGGCACGCGTTTAAGCGCCTAAAACCAAAAGTTGGATATGGGGAATATGAAAGAAGACGATTACTCTTCAATAATAAACTATCTGAAATTGGAGCAAGTAACAGACGCATTAATGTATTCCCTAATCGAGGTTTCTACAACAATGTAGATAGCCTCTATGACTTAAAAGGAGTACACCTCTCTGATACGGGAAACCTAAAATTCGCCAAAAATCTGAAGCGTTCGCTGATTTTTGCGAGGGATAAGTCGAAAGTGAGTAATTACCATGCTTGTTTTGTCCAATTTATCCAATATGACAATTAATTTATTAAGACGTCAGCCGAAATATAATATTTGTTTGTATTAGTAAATTGCTTATCTATGTTTTCTCCTCATTAAATTGATTCATTAGTCGTGTTGTCAGTACCAACAAGGACCGTTGGGTAATAATGATTTTAAAACATTATCAACTCTCGGCCGTATAAATGTTTACCCTTATAGTGCACATGGTAGTAGTCCTGACTATCGCACTGGTAAAACATATTTAATTTCAATTAATCGTGTTGTCTGGACCAACAGGTGTTTACCGATAATGTACAAATGATAGTAGTCCCGCCTATCGCACCGGTAATACATAATTTAATTAATTTTGTTGTCGGGACCAACAAACCTTTACCAATAATGTGCAAATTATAGTAGTCCCACCTATCGCACCGGTAAGGTATAATTCTATTAATTTTAAGCTTGTTGTGGGGACCAACAAAATGTGTACCATAAGCTGCAATGGTAGTAGTACTGACTATCGCTTTGGTATGATTGCTTTAATTCTATTGAATCAATTGCGGTGGAGAATTCAGTTCAATTGTACTTAGTAGTTTTAATCTTTATCAATTCTTAATATTATTAATTCTTGCTTTATAGCAATTTAAAATGTAATTTTGTAATATATTACACTTTTCTTTTGCTATTGTCTTGGTTGCGCCCAGTGAATTGCGATCTGTTATTTATAATCGGATAGCTACTTTGCCTGAAACTTTTATTTTCAGGGAACTGCGTGAATATGCCCACAACAAGAGGCCCAGGCAAGAGAAAGACGAAATCGCCGACACAAGCTACGGCGTCAACTTCGTCAACTCAATCTACCCAGTCAAGCCAACCGCCTAAAAAACGATCCAAACAACAAACAAACAATAAAAACAAGGACGATGGGTCTTTGATAGAAGCAGTTACGGAAGCTGTAATGAGCAAGTTAACTCCAAAACTTGACGAACTATTCCAAAAATCTGCTTCCAGTGCAAAAAATGACGAGTCGAGCAGTGACGACAGCAGTGATGAAGATGAAATTTTCGAGTCGGGCAGCGGACGCTCTGAGATTGCATCAGCAATCTCACAATTAGTTACCCAAGGTGAGTCTTCTTCGGCAGCCAAAGATTTGTTAAATTCATCAAAATACATCCCATTGACCACCGGTATCCCTCTTGAAAGTGGGGTTGACAAAAAACTGATAAAGAAAATCATCGGGGATGACTATTTCGATTTGGCACACCTTTTAGAAAAAGTTCCGGGTGAAACCGAAATAACTGTAACAATAAAAAAGAAATCGTCATCGGTAACAGCAAACCCATCAAAGCCAAAATTGGAAATAAGAAGTTTTGAAAACTGGTCAACAGCATTCCATGTGTTCATTGCGATTTATTGCAAGGCTCACCCTGAGCTAATCAGTCAATTGATGAAATATATTGAGGATGTCCGAGACATAAACTCGGAACATGGTTTTTGGGTGGCAAAGTCATATGATGAGAATTTTAGGCTTCACAAAAAATCGGCGGGTTTGAATTGGGGCATCCGAAATAGAGATTTGATAGATAGCGCTAAATCTAAAATACGCATTACCAAAAACAACAAAAACAATTTTCGTGAACAAGGAAATTTCACAAAACAAAGTATCAAACCTGTTCAAGACGGGCATTGCTTCACATTTGCAAACAGAGGCAAGTGTACAAGGAAAGGATGCAGCTACATCCACCGGTGCAAAAAATGCAATTCTGACCACAAACCCGGATCAACCTGTCAGTAAAACTGTTTTGAAAACCGAACTGCTGAATACATGCGTAGAAACATACGACTCCAGAGTGGTAACTCCTATTGACGTTAATGCATTAAAAGTTCTTTTGCAAGGGTATGATCCATCAAAAGCAGCGTATCTAATTAATGGTTTTAGTTTTGGTTTTAATATTAATTACAAAGGCAAGGTATCATCAATCAAACAAACTGAACGCAATCATTTTTCGGCAACGCAGGCTGAAGAAGAAATAGATGCTTACATACAAAAAGAAATAAATCACGGTCGTATCATAGGACCTTTCGTCGATCCTCCAAAAAAGTTTGCAAATGTCTTTAAGATCAGTCCTCTTGGGCGAATACCAAAGAAAGAACCAAATAAATTCAGAATAATCCATGACCTCAGTTATCCTAAAGGCGATTCAGTTAATGAAGGCATATCAAAAGAAGACTCTTCAGTAACATATCAATCGGTAGATACTATTATTGATTTAATTCAAGATAATGGTAGAGGGGCACTTATTTCTAAAACAGATATAGAAAATAGTTTTAAAATTATACCAATTCATGAGAACGATCAACATCTACTGGGAATATTATGGAAAGGGCATTATTATTTTGATAAGACACTTCCAATGGGGTGTTCATCGTCTTGCAAGATTTTTGAATCGTTTAGCTGTGGAATTGAATACATAGCAAGGTCACTGGCTTTCCAAATAAACCATATCGGACATTATCTAGATGACTTCGTAATTGTAGGGCCCCCAGATTCACCTAATTGTAAGCGCGACCTGGATAAATTCTTGCTTTTGTCAAAAAAATTGAATTTGCCCATAAAAGAAAGCAAAACTTGCGGCCCATCAACAATTATGACAGTATTTGGTATCGAATTAGACACACAACTATGGGAAGCTCGATTACCAGCTGATAAAATGATACCTCTTCAGGCGTCTATAGAGAAATATAGAAAATGTAAATATATAGTACAGGATTGATCAATGCGATCTTTGTGGCCAGATATGGACTACCCAACTTGCTAATTGATATTATTATGTAATATTAAATAAATCAATTACATGTACACCAACACAAATTGTATTTGTTTTGTCCAATTAGCAACTGAGCAGATCAAGGGAAGAGACACAAAATTTTTTTATGCATCATAAAAGTCTTTGTGGGACGACTGTATCGTTGCTTTCTTACATTCATAAATATTAAGTAGGTTGAAATGATGATCACGTGGTTGTCTGCTGTCAAAGACCCAGGCACTGGTCAACGTGGGGCAGTTGTATTCTATCAGTCTATGCTAGCACATAGCTGGTCTCAGATATTTTAACTTGTGATCAGCAATATTATTTTCATTATAAGTAACTATTATCATTTTATTATTATCAGTATATATTATTATATGGACTGTATTATACTTATTATTGGAATTGTGGACTATTATACACATTTATTGTTGCCACCCATTCCCCTCCACCTCCCTTCAGATATGGACTACCCAACTTGCTAATTGATATTATTATGTAATATTAAATAAATCAATTACATGTACACCAACACAAATTGTATTTGTTTTGTCCAATTAGCAACTGAGCAGATCAAGGGAAGAGACACAAATGTAATATAAACACAAATAAACACAGTCGCCAAGAAACTTTAAGATAATGGACGCACAATAAACGCTCATTCTTCAATGAAATAGTTTCACATGTCCCATTAATGTTGTCGCTGCAGATTGTATAGTAAAAGCAGTAACGGCCAACTGTTGTTCAACTTCTATCCATCTTTCGGTGGATTCATCTCCAGCTAGGGAATCAATATCATATAGTGCGTCAGTGAGTCCGGGAAATCCAGCCCCCGTGTAAGAATCTCGAACACTAGGTGCATATACAACATGCCTGAAAGTAGTGTATGTATAGTAGCAGTCGCATTATTTTAATTCACAAAATAAAATAAATTCAAACTTTGTATATATTTTTAATTTTATAATCAAAAACTATTATCTATAAAAAGAGATCCTATTCAGACTCACTCAGTTCTACAAAGACAGTCATGGCTCACCGTCGGTTTTGCAATACAGTACTTAGGCCTATTTATGATGAAATTTTACATGTTTTTTTTATAACATTGATGATGATTGTTTAAAAATCGCCTATCGTAACCAGCCTTTTTTAAAATTGAGCAAAGCATCCAATGATGAGAGAAACATATATCGTAAATTGTGACATTTTTGGCATGTGTTTCAGTGGGGAAATTGATGTTGCCAAAATTGCAAGGGGGAGTGTATAGAATATACTTTGTATAGGAAGTGTTGCGAAAATGCTCACCTATATAATGGTCTTCTTGGTAACCCAAGAGGATCAATGAAAGCTCTTTCTAACATCATCATCTTATCATTCGCCATACGGACTGCTATTGGGCTGAAAGTAAAGTGAAGTCAAGTGATCGTAAGAGATCGTCTGTACGTCTGAGTCTGCCCATACAGTAATGCCCATCTACCCTTCCACCAGTTACCTATCCAACATTTTCGAACTAAGATATGGTGAGGTCTTTGATATCCCCAATTTATCTCGTAATGCCTTGGTCACATTTGCTTTGAATCATCGGCCGGCGCTCGGCCGATTGAGTATTCTGTTCAAAACTGAATACAATTGTGAACGGGATACTCAATCGGCCGGGCGCAGATCGATGAATCGGAGCAAATGTGACCCAGGCATTAGTCGGTGCACTTCAGCTTCCTTATGCTCATCTAATCGCTATGCGAAATAGTGTTCATTATCTTATTACTCTATGCTTCAAAATCAAATTCATTCAACATCAAATTCAACTCCAACATCCCTCCTGTTCAACAGACAACGCTTGGACATGGTACATTATAATGGTTAAGTTCCTAAATTGAAAATGTATGAGCTTAAACTGAACCTATATACTCACTCTTTAAGATTCACTTGGGCCAAACTTCCATGAAAATCATTTGTTGCCTTTGTAAAGTTATTAACAGCGGATTCAAAGTAGTCTGAAAACATATTGAAACCAACATACTTTTAGTTTCAAGCAGAATGAAAATCAGGGAATTGTCTGATTTACTCGAAAGGTTCTGAAAACCATTTAAAGCGACATTTACTGACCTTCTTGGGATAAATCAAATTTGTCTAAAGTCGTTATAAAGACCGAAATTATTCAGAGCAAACCAGGAACTTATAATAAATATTGCATTGTCAATGTTACCTTAATTGTGCCTGATTGTATTTGGTACCTCTTTACATAGTTTGGGAATGTTACAAATGGACTACCAAATATTATTTTGTTATAAGCACATGTTTCATGTTACCAAGTATATTTTTACTTTTAATCTACGGGTGATTCAAATGTTTTGATATGTTTTTATATTAGTTAACAAGTCTTTCACCTCTACGGTGATTGCATTTACCAAATTTTAATCCCTTTGCGACGACCCTATCATTATGAACAGCCTTGATAGTTGCAAACATCGTAGCAATCTGCGTAGCGTAATTGCGGACATCTACAGGCAGTAGCAAAGTATCTGAGAGAATTCGCAATGTCTCGCCAGCGATCCTTCCCATTGATTGATGCCATTTAAATTCTGGATCCGTGTAGTTCTTAACCAATGAAAACATCTCGTATCCAGTGTGATACAATGGATAACTCGCAATCTTCCATTTATTCTGAAATGCAGATACTTGTATTGATATAGTAAAGAAAATTCTTGTTGTTTCATTGAAAATACCTGTCAATTAAAGAGTATATTGAGAAAAATGATAATTGAAGAGCATTAACCACACAACTTTGTCTAACACCCCACCCCCACCTCCCACACCACTGCATTTCACCAGTCGCCATATATAAACTATATTTTTGCAATGAACCTTTTAGTATCATAGAATTGTTTAGGCATTGGTTTTAATATTGGTTCGCTTTGTATAGATGGCGCTAGTTTCTTTGTCTTCTTGGTACAGGTAGTTAATCCATCGTTCTCCCTTTGAAGTACCTGTTTTTACCGTTTCGAAGGTATTTATTAAAACCAAAGCTGATGAGCGTATTTTATATTCAATCTAGCATTATACAAAATGGTACAATCTCTTCATAAATATCAATGTGGAACTTTTGTTCATGGCAATTTATAAGAACACTTACAGTGTCGTACGTATACGTAAAGTCTATAGCTGGAATTCCAATACGCTGAAGAAATGGTGCATAGTCACTTCCAGCCCCTAGATTGCCTATTCTAAAAGTATAAAATGAATTCAAATTGAGCTCTTCAGGCCCGTAAGACACTTTTCTCCAAGGGGGGTGCGGTTTTTAGCTTACTAAAGAGAATATAAAATTTTCATTTTTTTGCCGCGTAAATCGAATCGCGTAAGACAGAGGGGGGGGGGGGGTCAGTTACTCCCTATATTGGTTTGGAATTAACAAATGCATGCAACTTCCAATTGTTTTGTGGGGGGTGTGAGGAGTGGTCCACTCCCCCTAGAAAATTTTACAGTTTTGAGATGCTATTTGGTGCTTTCTGGGCACTTTCAAAGTGTAAGTTTCTAAGTAGTACGCCACCACCAAGGGAATAAGAATTGAGTGAATAAAAAACCAAGCATTCAGGGGGGGTCTGGGGGTTCTCCCCCAGGAAAATTTTGAAATTTGGTTGTATTTGGAGCGAATTTGCAACCATCTGGTACGCCTGTGCGTTATGAGTCAATAAGAAAAATGTGAATTTTTTTCAAATTCTTTTGGGGGTGTCAAAGAGGATGAGAGGGTGAAGTGGGATGGGGTGCCAGTAGGTGAGCAAGGGGTTCTCCCCCAGAAACATGAGGTGCCAGAGGGGGAGCAAGTGTTTGTCCCCAATATCAAAATTTACAATATCAAGGTGCTATTCGATGAAGTTTGGGCACTTTAAAAGTTCTGTGCCTAAAAGTGCCTATTTCCATAGAAAATTTTACAATTTTAAGATGCTATTTGGTGCTTTCTGGGCATTTTCAAAGGGTATGAATCAATAAAAAAAAATTTGAAAATCTCCATTTTGGGGGGGGGATGTTAAGGAAGGGGGGCTGCCAGAGGGGGAGGTTGAGTGGGGATGCCAGAGGGCCAGTAAGTGTTAGTCTTCCAGAATCACTAACTTTATCAAGGAGCTATTTGATGATGTCTGGGCAATTTAAAAGTGTCTGAGACAATACATAAAAAAAATCAGAACTTTTCCATTGTTTGGGGTGTGAAGGGTGGCCCACTCCCCCTAGAAAATTTTACAATTTTATGACGCTATTTGGTGCTTTCTGGGCACTTTCAAAGTGTATGAGTCAATTAAAGAATTTGAGAAAATCACAATTTCTTTTTTTTTTGGGGGGGGGGGGTCAAGCGGGGCGGGGGGGCGCCAGAGGGGGGGGGAGGTTATGCAAGTGCAAGATGCAAGAGGGGGAGTAAATCCCCCAGAAACAATAACTATATCAAGGAGCTATTTGATGATATCTGGGCACTTTAAAAGTGTCTGAGACAAAACTCTAAAATAAATTTAGAACTTTTCCATTGTTTTGTGGGGGGTGTGAGGGGTGGCCAATACCCCTAGAAAAAATTTACAATTTTAAGATGCTATTTGGTGCTTTCTGGGTACTTTCAAAGTGTATGAGTCAATGAAAAAAAAATTACAAAAAAAATATTTTTCAAAAAAAAATTTTTTTTCAAATTTATTTTGGGGGTTGACAAAGGGGGGTGCGGTCGCACCCATCGCACCCCCCCATCTGACGGCCCTGCTGTGTGTATGTCTGAGCAGTGTGAGTATACAATACAATGCAATACAATACAATACAACACAATACAATACAATGCAATGCAATGCAGCACAATGCAATACACTACAATGCAATTACGATACAATTTAAAAACACACTTAAGATGTTACCTTATGAATTAATGTGAAATCACTTTTAAGAACGAAATTCAACTGACATACATGTAAGCATGGTCAATTGGTATGGAGCTTTTTTGTTCTTTTAATATTGGCCTTGCACACGAATCTTTGTAATATTATTTCTGTATATAACTCTTATCTTTAGGCTTACGCAGGTAAACTGTCGGAATCTGAGGAATTAGCTGGGTTCCTGGTTCTCCAAGACTCATAAACGTTACTGAACAGGTTTGGCTCTGGGTCCGGAACCTAATGATAAAGATAATTAATACGTAAAATGTTATACTGTACATGGATCAAAACTTAAACATGACCCTGTATGATGTAGCTTTTGCATTAAGAAAGACGAATGCCCTCATGATATGATAATATACATGAGTGGATCTGCCCTCCTTAGGGTTGAATTATAAATGGGTCTCATTATCAAAACATACGTCACTCTTGGGAGAAATAGCTAGCATTAGCCTTATTCGGAAAAACTGACTTCATTTCTTTTAATACAATTTTTAAAACTGGATTTTCTTAATGTGATTTTTAGCATATCATTATGAAAATATAGTTATAAATAAGTTTATAATTGTAATTAAGAATTATATATCGCATTTGGCATGGTTCACTAAAAAGTTGACTTACCCTTTTCGTGGCTATATGAGTTACATTATACAATAGAGGTGTAGCCGAGACTTTCAATTTGTAATGCCACGTTGCGGCAATATCTACGTTGAGATACCCGACAGACCTAGTGGCAATATTCTTGATATATTCCTGTAAGATAACAGAACATAAAATCAGTGGAAGCAAAGTTAAAATTAAACAAAACAAGATATCTTCGTTAAAATGGTTGAGGTGGCTGATAATAGATGACAGTCATGTGATAGTTTGTGTTGCCCTAATATTATGAAATGGATAAACAATGAGTCTTGGGGACTAGGAAAACAATGGCCAAGGGTTGTAGCCCAGAGGCCATTATTTTTCTTAAGACCCAAGACGAATTGTCTATTTAATATAAACCACACAATTGGCACTGACTCTTATCAAAAGGAAGTGGTCCATGATCCAATTTTAGGAAAAAATGATTTCTTTTGTATTGACTATGAGGTAAGTGTATTGAGAAGTGAGTAGGTATAATTAGTTCAGCTTCAGTGCACTGCATTTAACAGGGCACGTATAGTTTTAAGTTGTTTTTTTGTGTTTACTAATCAACTTTTGAAAGAATGAATAAGTTATAATTAGTAAGCTTTAGTGCACTGCATGAGACGGGCAATCATATTTTGTGCCACGCTGGTTTTGGAAGGTAATGCCAAGTGTGCATTCTTAAAAAAACATTAGAAAAATAATGCACTCCTCTTTGTTATAGCTGGGAATTCTTAAAAACAAAACACAGTTCGTACTATTGTGTTGTTACCTAAGTGTGGTTTAAAAGGCAATGAAATCGCAATAATCGATCGTAATCGATAATACAAAAATAGACATTGGATCACCTTGGTGCAAGAACACAGGTATACTTTTTGTTCTCAATTAATGCTCTGCTGGTCTTTGGTTTACACTTTATTGCTACTGTACTGTGAGGGGTTTATGCACTTGATCAATCCAGTACAATCTGATGAAGTATGGATTTGGTTAAAAACATACCTCAACCCATTCAGTCGATCCAATAAGACCATATTCTTCGGATCCCCAACTACAGAACACTATGGTCCTTCTAGGACGCCAATTTCTCTCTTTCAAAAGTTTTCCAAAGACACGTGAAAGTTCCAGCAGAACTGCCGTGCCACTTGTAGGGTCGATGGCTCCAAATACCCATGCGTCACGGTGATTTCCAATCAAAACATAACGATCTACAAGAAAATATGGAGATTGTTGATACACAGGCCTATGTAATGTCTGTCTGTCAAACTTTATGTAAAAAATAATAATTTGATTTTATTGATTCACAACATTCAATGCATGACTCAAACGATCACAACATACCTGGTTCATCCCCCTTGGTGTAACCAATAGTGTTATAAGTTATTTTCACTTGGCGTTCATTCTGCACTGTTAACTCGACTTTCCTTTATATAACTTATGGAGGGGAGTGTATTAATCAAACATACCTGGTTCAACATCCCCCTTGATGTAACCAATGGTGTTATAAGTTCTTTTCACTTGGCGTTCATTCTGCACGGTTAACTCGACTTTCCTTTATATAACTTATGGAGGGGAGTGTATTAATCAAACATACCTGGTTCAACATCCCCCTTGATGTAACCAATGGTGTTATAAGTTCTTTTCACTTGGCGTTCATTCTGCACGGTTAACTCGACTTTCCTTTATATAACTTATGGAGGGGAGTGTATTAATCAAACATACCTGGTTCAACGTCTCCCTTGATGTAACCAATGGTGTTATAAGTTCTTTTCACTTGGCGTTCATTCTGCACTGTTAACTTGACTTTCCTGCCATCTTTCATAGCACCACCTAATAAAACAAAATATGAATTCTGTAGTTACTATCAAACGGAGATACAAAATATAAATCTCTATCTAATACCTTAAATTGGCAGCAAGAGTCAAAGATATAGCAAAATATTGGAAGCAGTTGTTTCGAAAAGCATGCCGATGTGTCTATAACATTATTAATCATATTTCAGAGAGAAATCGTGGTGATTCAAGATTTGATATGATAATATATATAAATATAATTTAAGATGCAGAAATATGTTCTTCGTTTTAGGGTGGGGGGGTGTCCATTCTTGATTCATTTTCTGAACAGATAACCTGGAAATAAAAAGATTATCCAAAATTTCATAAGGACATGCATTTCAATATTTTTCTTTAATCAATTATTACAATTAGTTTATACACAAGCGCAAAGTCAACAATCGAGTCTTTATAATCTTCTATTTAAAAAATTCAGCCCCACTGATGCCTACATGTATGCTTACATAATATGCATATCCTCAGGCCCGTAGCCAGGGGGGGGGTTCGCAGGGTTCGGACGAACCCCCCCCCCCCTGACCAAAATTTCTTTCAAAATCATGCAGTTTTTCACCATTTTGAGCACTTCTCGAGTGATTTTAGCCATATTTGGGTCAAAATTGTCAAATGTGAACCCCCCCCTGGAAATTTTTGAAAAATGAACCCCCCCTTGGCAAATCCTGGCTACGGGCCTGTATCCTAGTATACCAATGAATTGATACTGAATATTATTTCACATAACCTGGCGTAGAATCAGTTGATTAATCATTTTTACGCCACACGGTATTTTCCGCCTCCGCCCATGCCATTAAAGGGTTATGATGATCCAACTTTTTACAGACCAGCGTTTACTTATACGGCTTGCCATCTTATAACACCGAAGTGTGTAGGTTTTATCTGTTTAGCTCTTATCTGTCATAGAACCGAGCAAACATTTTTCAAGAAAGAACAAAATAATTCATTCAACCACTTCCAACGTTTTTGATCAATACTATAAGTTATTGAATGATTTGAAGTGCAATACAGGATATATTCTGTTCGAGAAATTTTGTATTGGAACGAGACGAAGTCGAGTGCCAATACAGAATATCGAGACAGAATATAGTCCTGTATTGCACTTCAAATCATTCAATAACGTTTTTATCGTGTGATCCTCTGTATTGCTACCGAGATTGTCCCCTCCGTATCAATATTTTCTGTATTGCGACGGAGATGATGAACGGGGACAACCTCCGTAGCAATACAGATTGGTACAGCACAAGAACTGACCAATCAGAGGGCTTCATTTTACAGATCATACGATAAAAGTATTTCCTTTATGATGTATGGGCTGAGGTTAACATATGTAAAGTTTTGAAAATATCAGGAATACGCTAATGATAACAATTAAGGACGAGAGCACGAGGGGAAAATAGTAAGACGACCAAAATTAGCTCAACTTAATATCTCAATTCCCCTTTCAAAAATCAACATTTGATACTCTATGTCCATGGAAGTTATTTGTTAAAGGGCCAGTTTATCCAAAGTTTTCCATATCAGTATTCCTCAATATATTTATACTTGTACAGCCCACAAATAATGCACTGAAGGTAAAGCGGTATAAAATATTTGAGACTACAGTAACTTTTTTTCACCTAATTTTATTTTGAACAAACAAAAGAACAAACAAACAAACAAACAAACAACGTGCCATCCTGAAATGATTTCTCTAAAATCAGCTAGGGATCTTATGATAAAATAATGAAGAGGTTCTGTTTTGGAGCAATTCGTAGATCCCCTTCACCTGGAACCTGATTAGTTTGATTAATGAAATAAATCTTCAGTAGAATATTATTCCGTGTTGACTCTATGTTGTTTATGTTGCAGGAATAACATCTTTAGCTGGAGGACCGCTTTAAAGCATGTATCATGTAATAAGATATCCTTCCCTGTTAAACATATCCTGTACTGGAAGTGTTTTCCCTTTAGAATTGTCTCTCAGCTGACACACTAACCTTTTAAGAGACTTCCTCGTATTTTAGAAACTGTATTTTTCTTTTTGAAGCACTATACAAAGATATAGAATAATAAATTTATTTTCATCTTTCTTGTTTTTTCATATTTTAGTATAATTCCATGTAGGCAAAGTGACACATTTTCATGTGTAGGATTGTATGACTTTTTAAGCATATTTAATCATTTCCTTCCTTCTGACTTGAAGTGTTGCCTAGGAGATAAATATCACAAGATGGGTTTCAAATTACAAAATAATACAAAACAAGAAAAGATAGTAAGTAAGAATTAATAGGGCATCTAGTTTGGCCTGTTTATAGAAAAAATATGCGGAAACTAGGCGGTTTACGAAATTTTGGAGTAAAATATTAGAGTTTATATCGGATTAAGAAAGAACATTTTGGATAGGCTGCACTGCTAGACCTGCTCCAGTATCACTGATAGGGATTTGTATTGTTTTAACAGTAAAAGTAAAACATCAGTAAACATGGCAACTTCTAAGCTCCAGTTGATCATCGTTATTTGGCTGTTTTCGTATTTAAAAGTGCAGAAATGCGAGCCTGAAGATTTACAGATTACCGTTAGGATTGACAATGTGGACGATTTGAAAAAGGTACGTGGAAATATGACGGGATTAACAGTAAGAAACAGAAATGTTTTTCGAGAAAATATACAAACTTTACCAACTGGAGCGTTCAATGGTTATCCGTACTTACAGCGTCTCACATTGGACTTTGAAGATCTACGGGGAATTGAAACAGGTTCTTTTCAACACCTTGAACATGTACGAGAACTTGTTCTGACAGTTGAGAAGAATTTCAATTCACTTCGAACTGGAATAAGAACATTTCAAAATGGAATACTCTCTGGATTAACCTCATTGAAAAATCTGGACGCGTCATGGATCAAATTAAAATGCATCGAAGGAAATGTTTTCAATGTGGTCAAGGATTCACTTCAAACATTAGACTTGAGTTACAATAATTTAGGAAATATAAACGCCACTTGTAATTTGGTCGAAACGTTTTCCAGCCTTGGGTTTCTGCAGTACCTTGGCCTGGTCGGAAATAACATTAGTGTACTTAAGCTTGGGATGTTTGCAGGATTGACAGAGCTGAGACACTTAGACATTTCCGATAATCCAATTTCCCTGATTCAACCTCGAGTGTTTACAGATTTAAGTTCCCTATCCACGGTTGAATTTAGACAAATTAATGCGCCCACAATAGATGATAAACGTTTGCATCATCTCTCCTCTGAGACATTTGAAGGACTTGGTTTAGTTAAATCATTAAAATTAAAGAACCGGGGCATCAGAACGTTGGATAATGGAACATTCAATGGACTACTAAGTCTAAAATTTTTAGACCTTTCCCAGAATGACATAACGGTTTTAGAAGATGGAGTGTTTCAAAACCTTACTCAACTAAATGTCCTCATACTTGAATACAATATGATTCAACATATATCAGAAAATGCCCTTCTCCCCGTTCCGAATATAAATGTTCTGAAACTAAAGGAAAATCAGATAGAGGGACTGCCACCCATATTTGTTCACACAAGAAAACTCAGGATCCTTGACCTGAGAAACAATAACATTGTTAGTATTCCACGTTTTGTTTCGATTTCACAGATTTTACTCCTTGGACTTGGTGGGAACAAGTTAGACTGTGGTTGTGATATTAATTGGATTGTACAATCGGTGAATCGTGGTAACATCTCCCTCATTTCTTCTGGGCAAACACTTTGTAGCACCCCCATTGAAAGGGCTGGTCACCAGATCACTGAATTTCCAGATCAAAACAAAGAATGCTTCAAGGAAAACTCAAACAATTCCCATAATGCACCTTGTTCAACAGACGACATCGATTGCGTTTCGACAAAAAGCATCATCTTCATGACAACCGAACAAACATTCACGGCAAATTCGACAAACCTGACGACAGATATTGGTCAAACTAAAGATCAAGTTCCAAATATAGCTAATGTTACAAAGGAAATAAATGTACGATATAACCTGGATATACAATATGACCTATTAATTCCTCTTATTGTGGTAGGCTGTATATCTGTCCTAATGATAGTGGGGGCTATAGTAGTTATTGCTAGGAGGAAAATGAATCATAACAGCAAAGCAATGAGCAGAGCAAAACATGTTGATAATATAAGGTATTATTCTAGCTCTGAGCCTCCAAGTGCAAGAACTGATATTACGGAAATGGTATACAATGACACATTAGTTGATGGTGCGTATATAATACCTATTGCTTCATCTCCAGAAATGTTAATTAGAGCACAATATGGAGAAGATGGGTACATGACGCCTATTTCTACATTTAAAAAATCACTGGTGAACACACGACTTGAAGAACCCGATGGATACATGTACATGGGAAAACCCGTTGCTCCACCGGGGGTATCAGGGGTGAAGGCTAAACGTGAACAACATAAAATAAAGGCCGAAAATAAGCCTCGTGTTCCCGCAAGACAACCGGAGAGGAACACTTTACATGCTAAAAGTCTACCATATGAGATAAATGAGATCCACAAACGCCAGCAAAAGGAAGATTTAGAAAATGATTATGATGTAATATATTCTGAAATTGCAGATCAAGACATGGATGAAAACAAATATTTGACTATTTTGGCATAGCAGTCATCATTTCGTATTTTGGGATTCATGTTGATATTTGTATTTCTTATCTTTGGACCTAGGTATTTTTTACTGAGGAAGGGAGCTGTGACATTTTACAAGTATGCAAAGATCAAGATTGTTCAGAAATAAGTTATCGATTTTAATTGTGCCGCTGACAAAACGTGATGCGTCACCGACTACAAAATACATGTTTATGCATTTCAAATTTTCAGGTCTCGAGTATCTCGAGACTCCATCATATGAATATGTGCATTTTTACATACATTAGCTTTCTGAATTGGTCGAGATGTACTCGCGAATGCAACTTTCGACTGTCGGCTACCGGATTAACCAACTATTCTATGACCAACTCATTTAAATATGAATAGAAGAGTGGCAGACACTTTTCATATTTTCAAAATCAATTGCCCATAAAATAGTAGATTAATCAGGTAGCCGACAGCCGAAAGTTGCATTCGTTCGCGAATACAAGCATAGATATGACAAAGATTTCATAATACCTAATCTGTATGTTATATTCATGCCTCCCTTCCACTCTTCTGGCACCTCTTGTGTGGTTTCATTGAAACTCTCAAAGAAATGAATGGCATCGTCGTAGCCAATAGGATGTGCAGGTATTGTAGGAAGCCCTTCTGCGTCTTTAATTTCCTTTCTGTAGGCAAATTCTAAAATGGCACAACAGAAGACAGTATAATGTAACTGCAGTGCGTATCATCGGCACTGAGTAAAAATAAATGTAGACAAAGTATTTTATGCATATAATATTTAATTAAATAAATGTGAAATTGACTTATTTACTAGAAATTCATTTAGATACATTATTTCTTACAGTCAAACACAGAATGTCACGCAACTTGTGATTTACCGTTGAGATTATTTAGCCCAATAAACTGTTCAATATTCTTTCAATCTACCAAGTTTCATTACCAATGGTTTAAATTTTATGGCCGTTCTATTACAAAATGCTCCAAATACCGACACAGACCACACTCACCAGACATGAAATACCCCAGATTTTTATCTATGGGGCTTACACATGGGAAGAAAGTCACCCCTCTCTCTTATATTCTGTAGCCTTTATTAGTATAGGTAATATTTGAGAGAGGAGGTGACTAACTCCCCGTGGGCCAATGCATACACTTACAAACCTTGAAACATTGAAACAAGAGATAAGAAGGAAGATGTGAGCCATTACACAAGATGTTTTTGCTTGTGTAGTGAACTTGATAAAATAAAATCCAGTCTCACCATTTGCTGGATATGCAGGTGTTAAGGGGTCTCCATAACCCTCCATTGTAGACCCTCTCTGCACAGCAGAACCAGGTTTCCACCAGGATTTTGGGAAGACTGGCTCACCAGGCATTGTAAAGTCCTTGGGGTCAGAGTATATAATACACCCGATAGCACCAAACATCGCTGCATGTTTAACCTGGAATGAATTGATGGGTTCCAATGATATCACTAAACAATGAGCTTCAGCAAATAAAAGAAGTGTGACATTGTTTCCATTTTGTGGATGGTGTTCGGCGGGTGGTGGTGTTTGGCGTCTGTAACAAATGGCTGCATGTTAATGCCTTGTTTGAATCAAGCTTTTGCAAGAAACAGACGAGAATCTTCTGGTATTCCCAACTTGAAATCCCGATTATATTATAGTATAAAGAACCAAAAGTTACGCTTTTGTTGTTACTTACCCATGTAGTTTGTATTGATATGAAAAAAATTGGCCCAATTCATTGCTTTCGATACGTTTTTTGTTCATTACTTACTTAAAAAATATTGTGATATATATTTTTGTAGTGACATTGGCCATAATCGCAACAATACCTTGTTTATAATGCTGAGAATAATAAGACAAAATAAATAAATATGTTGTTTCCTTTACCTTATCTCCTCGAAATAGTCTCCCATATCGCACAATGGCAATCTTTCCAGTCACATTAACTCCTAAGTCGTCTGTTAGCTTTTTAAAGTCGTCTATGGATCCATAATTAGCATACACGAGCTCCCCCTTTTGATGTAAGTAAAATGGAGTGTTATAAAGGGACTTCCGTAACCAAGTTGTTTCAAAATGTGTGGAACTTGAAGTATCAAAATTCAGCACAAACCAGCCAAAGAAAACAAACCTCGCTCGTTACCTAAAACCTTTTTACATACAAAGAAAAATGTATAACATCACCTTTCCTCATTAATTATTACATTACGAGTTGTTGTTATTGAAAAGACATTTGAACCATAATGTAAGAAAACTTACTTCTACAGTTCCATTTTTTGCATAGGCCAGGAATGGAGGTACAATATCGGATCTTTCTTGTTGTTTATCCAAAACTTTTTCTGTAACACTTGCCGTGTAAATTTCATCGCCATCTTTCGAAAATATCTGTACCTATTTTGCAAAAATAAGATAAATGTACAGAATAACATGACATATCTAATATACATGAGTGACAGTGTAAATAAAAATAAGCATGTAAACAGACAATTTAAAGACATTTTTGAAGTGAATAACATTGGATTCCACCAAATATTTCTCGAAAGAAAGATAGACTGAGTTGGGCTATTTGAATAAAGCTTCTAGCCCGTGCGGTCGGAGGAGCTCGTCCGGAGGTGTTCGATCGACCCCGCCCTATCCCCCTAGTTTTTACCATTTTGAGCACTTTTAAGATATTTTTGGCAAAAAATTGACCCCCCCACCCATTGGATTTTATCACTGAAAAACTAGTACTGTAATTAAACCTACCACCCGAAAGGAGCTGACTACCGGCCTGAAAGGTCTGTCCTTTCCTTGATAATGTTTGGAGTGCGCAAAGTGTACATGTAGTTAAGATATGATTGAAAGGACACATGTTAAAAAATAAAATATTTTAAATTAAATATTTTATCTTCATTTTAAAATGAATAGTTTCTCTAACTTCCTTGTTTATAATATGACTTCTTGCCAAATATTACAATGATTCCCTAAACATAGTAAACAAGATAAGGATTTACCCATTTATTAACAACATTTTATTATCCGAGATGTCTCCTTTTATGAACGCGGATAGAATTGCACGACAAATTATGACGTAGTACCCAAACGAAAAATAACTAAGGTATAAACAAAAGGGATTTAAAAATACCCTATAATGTGTTGCGAAATCCGTCTATTGTGCCATTATGTTCCCTTTCACATTATCTGAATGGAAATAGTCAACAAAATATTACCAAGTTTGGATTTATGGTAACGTTTCCTGGGTAGTCCAACAAAATATCATACGGGACGGTATCCACCTCTTCAATACCATTTTTTAGCCACTCTTTCTTCAGATAATTGGCCAATTCAAAATCTTCCGGCGTTCCTGCTAAATGTGGCTTCAGAGTAAGGTATCTTGAAATAAAAAAAAATTGATTACAAAATTCAGAATGATCATGCAAACACTTTCATTAAAGATGCCATTTTTCTTGACAATTTAAATTTTATTTACAGTATTTTATTGCACTGGTTTGTTTATTTTTTATTTTTCAAAATTGTATTATTTGAGGCTAGGGAAATAAGACATTGTTAGCCATTTCACAGGATTTAAATTCAGCGTTTAGCACTTGTTCTTACATAACGTTTTATGCAAATTCAAACAATACTAATTATTGACAATAATTCATATTGTGTCTTTGATTTGGGAAGGGGAGGGGAGCCATTTCATACTGTTTTAATTTTTTTTCTATGGGTTAAATCATTTGCAAAGATGTCGAGGTATGTGGATCATCGTTCTCGATTGTGTTTATGATGTTCCGTTTTACAACGTGTGCGCATGCATTTCCTTATCCCTTTATAAAGTTTTTTCCCTATTGTGTTTTGATGTTTTACCTCAGGTTGTTCTCGATGTTCACATTGCTGATCTCATCAATAAGAAATTGCGTAATACCCGGATCAGCTTCTTTAATAAGTCGTTCATAGTCCGGATTTGTAATTCTTTCGGCTGCTGGAACAGTGCGGGAAAAGTAACCAATCAGGACGCCTATGGCTATTCCAACAACTGCTGCTACAACTGTTGCTATTATCAACGGTCTCTTTGATGACTTATTACTGCAACATAGAAAATTAATCAATGATGTCCCATTGTTATTGCTCATAAAATATTCCACATACCATGGATATATCTCGAGAATAACTTATGGGTGTAGTATTGCCAAAATATTGAAATAATCAACAGAACGACCAACGCTCCAGAATTAAACATAATCGATTCCTCGGCTAGCGAGGGGAATCCCATTAAGTCACACAAGCACCCACAAGCAGGCAGCCAATCGGGTTTATGATAAACAAATTCAACGACCAATCAGATAACAGGAGGACTTTCCCGGTATATTCAAACTTCAGATTGAATTAATTTCTGCGAAAATAATTAGATCAGCCAGCACAATCGCAAAATTTACACTGAAAGAGGGAGATTTGGGACTTCTTCTTTGGTAAGTAGATGGGTGAATATGTGGTAAAACTCAATATGCAAAAAAGTCCAGATGGGTCTTGATTGTGCTATCCTATGGCAAAGAGCCTCTTAAAGTGGCACAAAGGGAAAATTGTAGTCATTGAAAATGATGATGTTACCCGAATGGCCATTTCAGATTTCTTGTAAAATAATCGAATTATCAAAACCCAACGAAAATAGGTATAGCAAAAATCTGTTTGTAGGAAGTAGTAAAATCTAAATTGTGTAACTAGCAATATTCTTGAGTATATTTTAAGGTCCCTATCCCTCTCTCTTACTGTCAGATCATTATTTTAGTATAATTTACAAATTGATATGATCTTCGTATTTTGCTCTTGTCTTTGAATGATTTATAATCCTTCGCTAATTTGCTCTTGTAAATTGTTCAAATAAAAATGTTGAAGACTTACCTGCTTAGTCCAGTGCTACTATCTAATGAGTACATATCAGACATCTGGAATGGAGACAATATGCAACATGCAAAATTGATAATATATTGGAGTTTGGTTAAATCAAATAAAAGAAGAAGACTGAACTTATCACTTAAAGGGCCCTTGTTTCAGAATCTAAAATACACTAGAACTGTTTTTCACCATCAATAGACTGTGATACGAACACTTTAATTTTATTTTCTGAAAATACTTAAAACGCTTAAAATAATAAGGATAAGTACGAAGTAGGATGAAGTTATTTGAGACTTATTAATTTAGACTACATAAAACTGATATCAAAATTAAAATGACAGTTCTATCCGTTATTAAACATTATTGGCAGGTGTAAGTAAACAAATATTTATAAATAAAATGTTAAATAAATTATTGTTAATATATTGATGACCTTACATATGACGAATAAGTAAGACAAATGCCATGTTTAAAATGCAAAATACAACAAAATATGAGTGGAATCCGAGAAAATAAACTTAGCTGTGAGCACGTATAGTTGGTGCTCCAAAGTGTAAAGAACTACAAGAAAATTAAGATTTTAAATATATTTTAGAAATAACAAAATATTTGGGAGAGAAGATAAAGGACATTTCAATAGGACTATTTACTCTTTTTGAGGTGCAATTCGAAGAAGATGTCACATAAATAAACCTGACGAGTTTATTTAATAAATATTTGACTTTACGGGGTCCTCTCTAAATGTCAAATAACGAAATTGATTTCGTTAAGACGGAGATAAAGTTGACCTTTGAAAAAAGAGTGAAAAGCAAATCCTTAACATCGAGCCAGGGAAGAGGTTCAATCAGTAATCACATTCATATCATTCTGATTTAATCCGAGTCTTTCTTTAACATTAGACACCATCTCCAACCTTGATATCTTCTATTTTAATTTTGTAATCAACACACGTGAACGTGTTTAGAACATGTTTGGTAAATGGCCATTGATCGTTTAAGTGGTTTGAATTACAATTAAATTAATTAATATTGATATTGTTTAGTAACATCTTATACCAGTATCGAGTGTGAATATCGTCACCTTCTTTTACGATGTACAAATTAAACAATCGTGCATGTTTCAAACGCATGCCTTCATACTACACTGTTGCTCGTTTATCTGGAACATTGGGTATTTTACAAAAATAAAACAAAACTTTAAGAATAATCAGAATCTAACTGTTTGAAGGTATGCAGAAATGATTGTTCTAAAATGTCTATTTTATTCAGGAAGTTATTCAAGTAAAGTAATAAGTCTCAAGAAGACAATCTTTTACAAGAATTTTTGCCAAAATTTCAGTGGATTTTGACGGATTAATTCTTGAGAAATGAAAAGGGTAGTTATTAAACAAGCAAGCGTTTGGTTCATTTTGCCTGCCCAAATGTAAAAACAATGACAATCTCCATACATAACATTTGAGAATATGTTAAAATCGAAGACGTTACAGTAAATACGAAAATATTCCATACATTTGAGTAGCGGTGTATCTAATGATCTGTGTAAATTTTGAAGTTGCTGACCCCTCGTTCATTTTATTGAGTAACATATAAGTTGACATGGTAACCCATGCGTCAATGTTAATATGAATTCCCGGTATGAATTTAAACCAAAACTGTCAACATTTTGATATGCTCCTTATTTTACCTTGATTTTAAAGGTGCATGCGCGTCCCTGATGCCCGATTCTAGCAACCCCTGTCTAAAAATATTTCAAAATCAGTGATTTGAAACAAAATGAAAGCCTCGTGACAGTCACAACACGACAACAGGCTAAATAATTGGTCAACCCTCCAGTTTGTTTTGCAATTCTAATCAAAAATGATTAACAAATACCATCTTTACATATGAAAATTACATGAACAATATTTTTTTAAAAAACTGTCATAAAATACACATTAAGTAAAGGGTAATCTTTCAATTTCATAAAAAGATGCAACATCTGTAGAAAACATGAAAATTGATAACCTTACTTACCTTGCAGAAGTGGGTGCAAGATTTCCTTTTATCGTAGAGATATCCCAAACATGTGTAACTACAACTACACTTAAATTCAAGTAGGCTATTCACTCACCGAATGAGGCATACATTGTCTCGGAGTTAATGATTAACATAGTGCCCTCATAAATCATGAAAATGTTTGCAGATTTCATAAGTAACTCTAAACCCAATGCAATTTATATACATGTGAAGAAAATTAACATACTGGGATTAAATTCTGGCAGTAAAATCATCATTGTAATTTCCATTTCATTGAATTGATATTATACAGTAATCGAATGGTCAAATGGGGGCATGGTGTCTCAGTGTATTAGGTTGGAAATTGTTCTTTGTCAAGCTCGATCAAATAGGCTTAGAAATATGATATTTTCTAAAATGTATAATTTGTAAATAAACTGAGTGTAATCTATACTTCATCCTAGGTGTAATTCAATTGAAAAATGACCTGTTTCCTAGTAGTATGCTAGCCCCTATTATGAATAAATTTTCTATTGAAACGGATAGTTTTCTATTGATTGGAAGCAGAAGAAAAAATACGCTTAGAGTTATTGACTTTGTCACATGTTTGATTATCCTACTTAACTCACTTGACCCCTGCTCTTATATAGTGGCAGTTTGACCTAACAAATTAAAGGAACATACAGGCCCACATACAGGGTGACAGAAAAATACTATTCTTTCATCTGGACCTTTCATTTAGGAACAAAGTGCTCAATTGTGGTGAAATTTTTCATGTGTACCCCACAGTAACAATCAGAAAAGGAATTTGAATGGCAAAGGCAGAAATCACAAATAGAGACAATAGCAGCACTCTTTTGAACTAGAGCTAATTCTGCGAGGGGGCACGTTCACAGGTTCAAGGAATATTATCTTTCAAGAAAATAATAGTGACTTCTTGTCCTCACCATTTCTTTCCTTAACCTTACAATCTTTAAGCAAGAATATGTTTAAAAATGGCTTAAGATTCGGTGTTTTCGAGGAATGTTCCCTCGTGAGTTGTAAATGTATATACTTGCGTTTCAATATATTTGATGATCGTCTTTTTCATATTATACTAGAGTTGTACGGTCGTGGAAATGAATATTGGAGGGATGAGTTAAAAAGAAAAGTGTTGGCCCCAATTTTAAAATTGTGGGCCCAAAATTAAAATATTATATTCAGTAGTAATGCCAGTTTGCTAGATATAAATTGCGCAATTTATGTGGAGAAGGGAAGATTTTGGGCCCAAATTTTCTTTAAAATCACCAACAACAGTTTTTACAGTCTTTTCATATAATACTTCTAAATTGGCATCATTTTTGGCTACTGTTTTTGGCTACTGATATAATCTCTATCATCAGTTTTCATTCCAAAAACGAAATATCAATTATTTTGCCCAATATTTCAGTTTCATTATTTAGAAACATTGAATACATGTTTTAATTGGCAGTTTAAAATGGTGCTCATTAACTAAGTCCAATATAGTATCAATACTAGACTTAGCAGGTCATCTGATTCTCAATTTGATTTGAATTGATTCTCAATTGGGACCCATAGTGACTTTGCTCCACCGTTCTTGGTTGAGTTTAAGTCATGGCTCTAATTCTCAGGCTGTAATTGGTACAAAAATTAAGCTACCCACGAATGCTGTTTTTATTTCGGGACCTTGCCATAACTAACGAAAACAATGGTGTTTTCTGGATTATTTCCGATTTTTCCTTTTGTTGCTACCTCATTTCTCAAAGTATCCATGCCAATTTCTTGACTCTGTTGAAAGCTCATGGTCCAATCAACCGTACCTCCTTATCTTATGATGACCGCACAAAATGACTGTGCCAAATGCTACGGATATTGCAGCTATGTATGTTGTGTTTTCAAGTGTTATTTTATATATGTCCGACAAATCGAATTATGGTTTTGATACTATCTAGATGTATTTAATAGTATCTATATGTCTTGTTCATTCATTTGACCAATAAAAATCATAACTGCCTGGAAAGTAATATGAATAAAGTATGTAAATAAATGAATGAAAACGTCAAATTAAGAAGCAAAAGTCTTTTCTGGGTCACTGCGAATGGCATGATTTCCTCGAGTCTCTTCAGTTGCATGGCAACCATACTGGGACCGATTCGCGTCGTTCCACTACTGCCCTTGGTGGGGGCCCGCTACCATACTATATGACTCCCGGAGTTTACTAAAGCACGTTAGTGGAGGAACCAACCACAGTCTCACAATCTGTCTCCGGCAAGAGCGGCCAGAGAACCAACCCATGCCAAGGGCCGGTAAACGGTTGGACCTTCGGACCGGGTGTCCGTAGTGACAATGATCAACAACTCCGTACCTGGGGCTCGAACGCGGGACCTCCGTATCCCACGACGTTCAACCGCAAAGTAGCCTCAGTCTACACCACTAGGCTACCCTGCTTAGGTGTCAAAACTGCTAAAAAATAATGTAGTTGTTACAATTATTTGCTTGGATAAACATCGATATTATATTTCTTAATTGATTAATCTGATTTAGTTGGAATCGAAGTTCGACCAACGATCAAGGCAATGGAATCAACAACTCTTGCAAATGTGAACAGGAGTCGTAAAGACAGAAAGTACAAAAATCGTGATCAATGTAAAGTATAATATTCAAGACACATCTTTGAATATCGGCCGGTAGGAGAAACATTCCAAAATGAAGAAGAATCATTTAGAACATTTGATTTGTTGCCAATATATCAATTGCGTCTTAAATGAATGAAATAAAAGGTAACGCGGGCCACTAAAGACGATGAGTGAAAACAATTATAATTGACGCATCTAGATCGCTCAATATAACGGTAAGTGAATGGGTCTGTGTAGATACGTCGAGGAAAATAAGCTATTTGGACGCTTGAAATAATCTGATTACGCTTATTAATAATTACTAATAATTAATTTGACTTCACTTCTTAAAAGAGAGTTTCGTCTAACTAGTTTAACTAGACTCTGCACGCAGGGTAGTGCACCCCTCTCTAGCTCTTTCTAGGAAAGTGAATTTCTGTAGGCCTTTGCATAGCAGAGCAGTGTTGTGGAATATTTTTTACATCGTACATTTGTTACTGATGGCTTACTCCCGGGGCTTCCTTGGATTTGTACAGGAACTGTAGTTGGATCTTGTCGTGCTGCGACAAAAGCCAAGTGTTAATTAATCAAAATAAACAAAAGTAGTGCCGATTTCACGATTGCGACTGCAATACTTTTTCAATTGCAACGACCCCTCCTGTCGTTGGATCTCTCGATACGTGTAGACCTTCACCAGTGCAGTCACATTCAGTTCAGCTGTCTCTCGTCGTGATGTCTCTCGTAAAGACGCCAAACATACGTCAACGTTTTTTGCTCACTCTACTCGCGTCTCGGTTGGGCTAAAATAATAGTATTTTCATTTTAGAAATAAAGGTATTTGCAGCAATGGCGTATTTATTTCAGTTTCATTGAAAGATGTCACTGCATTCATTAATGAGGCGTTTATCTATGTGTTGGCCAGTGGTCTGTTGATAGCCCAGCCAGTTGATTTGGAGATATAGCAGTGCGGTGATTTAATACGACATATAAGTATAGGGTGGGACATAGGTTCTGGGCCGATATAAAGATGACACGGGCTAACGGCCTACGTCTATCATTTTTTCTTCCTAGTGATACTGTTTTTCTCATTTTTTGTTGCATCAATATGTTGCATTTTGACACTGACACAGTAAAATATATCGATTATGTGTGACAAAGCTGAAAGCAATAGATCGCATGAGTTTTCTCTATGGGAGAAGAACATGGAAAATATTAATTGTTTTCCACTTTATCTAAAAGTAATGGATTATTCCTTTTAAGTGGTTAACTGTGTCCCAAAAACGCAACTTATTTAAGCAACAAAAATTTAAAAAGCAGGGGTGGAAGGGATTGAAATGACAACTGGATGTGGATGGTTTGTTTTTACTCGAGTCTCTAGCCACCTTGGCTATGAGAAGTAATTCTGGAACACCGTACTATTGTAAAATCTTTAGCCGCCGTTCAATAAATTTAAGTAATATTCTAAAAACCGCCCTGTTAATATTTCATGAATTGAAGTCTTGTTGATGAGATATTGAACGTTTTCATTTAAAATAGACGTCGCCCCGTTCTCCATTTTAAAGGCATGCCATATTTCTAGAGGTCGCAACGGTACTGAAAACCAGTGGCGGTAACCGTCACGCTAATAACCGTACCGTTACCAAAATACCGGTAAAAATATGTAAGATAAAATGCCAATGCGCTGCCACCCCCACTTTGTTCCTAACTCTCTCCGTAGCTTCTCAAGTCTATATGCATACATGGTGCAAGACCGATTTGAACCTATACTGATGAACTTCACGAAATAGTATGTAACTATCTTACGAATCAAGATGACATGTATTTTAAATTAAATGCTTGACGTCATTGACATCTCCCAGGATGACGACCAAGACGAGCCAAGTGAACAATTGAACAGCTATTTGTCATCAGCATCCAGGTTTATTGACTGTCTTGAGAATATGGTACATGTACGTTTGTTTGCACCTTCCCTGTTTCAAAGTCCAAATTATTTTATCATCTCTATGTACTTTTCCTGAAGATACTTAATGAATTGGCTTAACCTGTCAGTTTAAATCCTCAGAAAAAAACTAGGAAAAAACAACTTGTGTTGGGATACTTTCCGTGCTTCTTTTTAGTACCAGGGATTGCACATGAAAATTGATGTTACAACAACTTATTAAACTAGTTTTATTAATTCTCTACTGAGACTAACATAGAAAATTATTACGGTCTCGGGTTTCTAGTGAACTGCGATTGCCCAAATGAGAAAACAGCCCGGTTGGGTGTATTTAGAAAGGTTTTGAATCGATGTTTAAATGTGTTTGATTAATGGCATGCAATACTAAAATGTATCGTTGCACAGTAACATTTGAAATTCCCGGGGAATAAAGTGTCTGTTTAGTACTGGACAAAAATGTAAGACCGCTATAGCGAAAATGATTGAATGTTCTTGTTTAGTAACAAACTTTTAAAATAATCGAATTTGTCCGAGTTGTACTGTTTGTGCTGATTTCTAAGCTCTTCTTGAGTTTGTATGTCTTAAATATTATTTGAACCATGCATTACTAGGATATTGATCGATGTATGATACTAGATAGTGTACTTTACTGATATGAGTGGACCTTGAACCATGACCTAAACTGTTGTCATTGTAAACATTGGGTGAGTCATCATGAATTTCTTGCTTCTCAGTCTCAGGTCTATTTATAAATATGATGCCTAAATGAATTGTTTTGATTGTAATTCATTTCTATATGATTTATTCTATATTATATGTAAATTCAGCTAATAACCTTAGCACTTAGATTTACTGTGTTTTATTAGAGCTTATTAGTGTAGTCTACCCCATGTACATACTGTATATCATGCACATGTGTAAACTATACTATACTATTATAGTTCTTGTTGATAAAATCTTGCAACGAGCCCCCCTCCCTCCATTGTCCATTCATCTCACATACATCTATCAGGGGTGTAGCCAGCAAATGTCAAGTGGTTGTGAATGTTGGGTTTGCATCAGTGCGAGCGAAACAAGCCCCAATGAGGGGGTTGCTGTGGTTCGCCCCCAGAAATTTAAAAAAATTTACATTATGTATCATGGTGCATTCATAAGCTAGGCATGCCTCGAATTGCTTGAAGACAGAGAGGGGATGGGAGCGTGTACAATGTGATGCAAAAGTTTGTCTATATGTTCAGTACATCAGTTATTGTTGATGTTGACCTTGTACTTTTAAATCATTTATTATCATTTATCATGATGTTCTGCTGCACCTGCTTTCATTTGATTATTCACTATAATTCACAATGTCACCATACATGTTGATCAAAATATAGCTACAAACTAACTTCTGTATGTACTGTAGGTGTTCAAATGTTCAGAAAATGCCAAATTAGGTAGCGCAGTCCTGTGTTGAGGTTGATTGTCCATATATGGTTATCTTCCTGAATGACGGGAGAACCCTAGATCTATAGCCTCTTCTATAGACCAATGCAAGAAAATCAATTGTATACTTTTAATCTAGTTTAACAAATATAGTAGTCTAACAGCAATCAATATCAATTGAATATTAACATATATATAGAGTGTTAAGAAATCTATAAACCTGTGTATGATATAAAGACCATTTATGGTAATTGGAATAAAGCAGCTCCTTCAAAGTTCTGCACATTTTTTTGCACTGAGACTAACATCAACACCCCCCCCCCCACAAAGATATTGACCTGGCTGTATTACCTTCTGAGAGATGAATCATTATTTTGAAAGGGTCAACCCAATAATTAGATCACTTCAAATAATGGTCAACATCTTGCTTGAATCATTAAATTTCAACTTGATTCCATCATTTCAAAACTTGTCGATTCATACAATTATCATATTTGGCTCCTAAATTCAACAATTCTGATTGGTTTCTACAATTATATTAATCACAACTAATTCTCTTCATTTTTATCTCATTCTAGGAACCTTGTGCCTTATAAGGAAAAAGTGAATCACAATGCCCATATATGGATCAGCCCTTACCATATATGGGAGATGGAATCAACTGAGACCAAGAATTCTAAGAACTGTCTTATCAAGAAATACAGGTATATAATCTGGCACTGAGATGACAAGAATCATAGTAACAAACCATTTTAATGTTTTAATGCGCAACAGCTCCAGAATACAGAAAAATAAAGGAATCTACTGAAAGGAAGAACATTGTAGAACATAGTGGTAAGATTGCTTATTTTATTCCCTTTTATTCATTGATGTAAAAATATTGCATTTTCTTAAATATACAATAATTATTTTCATGCCTGGTTGAATTTAATTCAAAACATTTTTTTAAATAAAGTTGTTAGCAAAAGCCCATGATAATACTAAATTATGAAGCTATTATCATTGCATTATGGAAATTGATGCAACAGTGTGAAATTAAATTTATAATTTTTAATAGTTTGACTTTGCTTTTTAAAAGAGAGTTTCATCTACATTCACATAATGTACAAGACTCTGAACCTCAAGGGAAAATAAAAATGATTTCAGTGATCATGGAACTTTAAAATAAATTGTCCATATAAGGGCATTGGTTAGCCAATACAATCACTTTAAGTCTGTGTGCACATGATCTTATATTCTACATGCTTATTTATAGGGTATAGAGTTATTCAGAATAAATATAAATTTTGATCTAAGTTTGTTCTGCCACACAAAATTATCAGCTTTCAGTCAAAAATGTCAAAGAGCAACATTTGAAAGGCAAAAACAAAACTTAAAAATCAAGTAAAAATCAAGACTAGCTAAGTTGCAGTTATGCAAAAAATAAAATAAATCTGTGATAAATATGATAAACAATCAACAATGTTAAAGTTCAAAAAGGATTGGGCAGTTAAACATTGAAATCAAAAGAGAAACTTACAAGAGTTTAAAGAAACATACAGCATAAAATTGTGCACAATATTATTGTCAAAAACAACAAATTATTTTTCAGCCAATGATGAAAATATGCTACTATGCTTATTAGTCATCACTAGTTGTGTTAATTAATTTAATTTAATTACTTAATTAATATGATTATTTATTTATCTCTGAGAAAAAAAACTCCAATTAGATTTTTTGCATTTCAGAAATATAAATTTAACATCCAATCAAACAAGCAAACGAAAAAACAAGCAAGATGACTAGCAGTTACGATGATGAAATTGCACCTGTGGTGATTGACAATGGATCTGGGATGTGTAAGGCAGGGTTTGGAGGAGATGATGCCCCCAGAGCTGTCTTCCCAGCTGTTGTTGGGAGGCCAAAGTACCAGGTAATTTCTCCATGTATTAATTCATATTTTCTTTACATTTTAGTGAGATGTAGATAGGGACATATTTTTAATTAATTAATTTTATTATTACTATTTAATTAATCAATTTTAGATTGTTGTGAAATAATACCTAATATGTGTATTGATTTATTTTCTTGAATTGCCATTTTCTTAAATCACCATTATAAATAATTCTAATAACTTTCAATCAATGTATGACATATAATCATTGCTGCATGTGCTCTATTTATTGGATTTCACTTTTTGAATTCCATTCTCATACAATTTTGTATTTGAATACATGTGGTAAATACAATGCATTTATTTCAGTCATGGATGACAGGGATGGGATCTAAAGACAGTTACATTGGTGATGAGGCCCAGGCAAAACGGGGCGTCCTTGCCATAAAATACCCAATAGAGCATGGTATTGTAACGAATTGGGACGACATGGAGAAAATTTGGCATCACACATTTTATAATGAACTTCGAGTGGCCCCTGAAGAACACCCTGTTTTACTAACAGAAGCCCCACACAATCCAAAAGCAAACAGAGAAAAGATGACACAGGTTAGAAGAACTGTTAAATTTAAGTTTTTTTGCTTGTCTTTTATGTTACTCACTCAGCACAATTCTATGTATTTAATTAATTTAACTGGCATTTGTTGATCAATAAATAATCAATTCAAGTTTAGACTCGATACCTATCTACATTTCCCTCACCTATTTTGGCTATGCCTCTGAGGCTTAAACTAATCATGACCATTCATAACACCAGTCTTTAACCATACAGGTATCTCAAATCAAATTTCTCCATATATTTTTAGATTATGTTTGAAACATTCAACACACCAGCATTTTATGTGGCCATCCAAGCAGTGATGTCTCTGTATGCCTCAGGACGTACAACTGGTATCGTCTTTGATGCGGGAGATGGAGTATCACATGTTGTACCTATATATGAAGGTAAATATTTTTAAGCTTTTAATCTAGCGATAGTAAATGACTCATATCATCTGTTTTTCAAGATTATTTTTTTGGGGAGGGGTTACCACGAGTTGACCAGGATTTTACTGCTTCTTTAAGATGACCTATAGATATGTCTAAATGAATGAAAACTATATTTTACATTGTTGTAATAAAATTATCCCATAATGTACTTTCAGGCTATGCACTTCCACATGCTATAGATCGTATTGACCTGGCAGGGAGAGATTTGACAGATTATCTCATGAAAATAATGCACGAACGAGGATACAGTTTTGCAACTGGAGGTACATATATTTAATAATCCATATTTGGGTATAAAGTAAAACCTACCAAATATGAGTGAAACTGGGACCAGCAAAAAGTTTTCAGATTAGCAGGTGTTCACATTTCAAGTTTTATTAAAATAGACCTATGTGAGTCAGTGGAACCAGATTTATGCCAAAATATGTTCACATTGAGGGGTGTTCTGATTAGATAGGTGTTTGCATCTACAGGTTTCACTGTTCAGCACTTCAAAAAATCTAACCTATACATGTAATTGAAAAATGTCGAGGTATAAAGCCAATCAAGCACATTCTCTGTTCAAATGATGGTAAATTATATTTCTAACATTGAGCATCTCATTTATTTTAAGTTGAAAAATGTAAAAAACTAGTTTCACACATCCTGAAAATGTAAAAACGAACAACTGAAATTGTGAAATCAATTTAATTTTATTGAATATTTTTAGCCGAAAGAGAAATTGTGCGTGACATTAAGGAAAAACTTTGTTACGTTGCGATGGACTTTGAGCAAGAAATGGCAAGTGCAGCTAAATCTTCAGCTATAGAGAAAGCATACGAGTTACCAGATGGACAAGTGATCACTCTCGGGAATGAGAGGTTCAGGTGCCCAGAAGCCTTGTTCCAGCCATCTTTCTTAGGTAAGGACACCATATTATTATTTTTATTTATTTCCTTATATTGTATGATATTATAATTAACATGAAGTGGAAGACCCCCTATTGGGATATTATCCACAAAGTAGGAATTTGATCAAATCGCCTATTCCTACCCCCTCTCCGAGGCCCGGACAGTACTTGACTATTTGCGTATAACCCCCGGGAACATTGTTCGTCTATAAAGGGGGTTGGGGTCTATTTGTGATTGGAGACCCCTGAATTGTTTTGAGCCTTTATACATTAAGATTTGGATGGACCCCCTTCCCCTAAATGTGAAAAACAGTATGCCTGGGAAAGTGGAAAGATTTTAGATACCTCAAAAAGTGTTCGATTTAGGACTTAAAGTGCCCTATTTACGGCTCTTGTTACATTTGAATGTGCATCTACCCATTGAGGTAAGCATTGGGAAAAGGTTAATAAATAATTCATCTCGTGGTTGGTCCAAGCACAGTACTATTACAATTGTTACATATGCGGGTGTTTATCCTGCTATGTTTATTGACATCAATTCTATGAAAAATAAAAAAACAAACATTTGATTGACATATTTCGATGGTATGGTTACAGGAATGGAGTCAATTGGTATCCATGAGTCAGTGTACACGTCCATCATGAAATGCGACGTAGACATCCGACGTGACCTCTATGCAAATATTGTGTTGTCTGGTGGCTCCACCATGTATCCAGGTTAGTATGTTCTCTATTCATGCAAATGGAGTAATTAGCGCACAGCGGGGTGGCCTTCATTGAATACATCACCTGTCGAGTTCTTTTTTAAATCCTTGAGAAATCTGACTTTCTCAGCATTTTTCAAAATTGTTATTTTCTTTCGACTTTTATATTAAAAATCCAGATTTTCCAAAAAAACTTGATTTTCGCCTCAATTTTTTTTAAACAACCCTGGAATTTTCCGATTTCTCGAAAAAAATATGCCAATTTTATATTTTACTTGACAGATATGAAGTACTTTTATTTGCTTATTTGTGAAAAAATCAAGGCTCAAAAGCAGACACAGTTGAATGAATACTTCACTTCTTTGAATGCATTTATTAATGACCACAAATCTGTCTTGTTATCAAACTGGCTGTCAAATCCTTTATACCTTGGTCACATTTGCTACGATTTTCACTACTGCGCCCGGCAGATTGATTATTTTGTTCAAAATTGAATATAAATTTGAACAAAACACTCGATCATCCGTGCGCCGGCCGATGGATCGGAGCAAATGTGACCCAGGCATTAGTGTGCGTTTGAGTCCATTCATCGTGGCTATATCTCTCTAGACGTGTGGCTTTCTTAAAACATCTGGACAACATTAAAAAACTTCTTTCATAAATCTTCAGGTATTGCTGATCGAATGCACAAAGAAATAGGAAGTCTTGCTCCCAGCACTATGAAAGTCAAAACAATCGCACCTCCCGAGCGCAAATATTCCGTTTGGATCGGAGGCTCCATATTATCCTTTCTTTCAACTTTCCAACAGATGTGGATCAGTAAGCAGGAATATGATGAGTCTGGCCCAAGTATTGTACACAGAAAATGCTTTTAAATTGAAAGATCTTGACAATTCTGTGATGATTAACCTTACAAAAACAGTATACAAAAGTACTGGTACCTAGTACATGTTGCTGAAAACAAGAACATTAAATTGAGGGGACTTTTCAATTGAGTCTGGCCCGAGTATTGTACACAGAAAATGCTTCTAAATTGAAAGAGCTTGACAGTTCTGCAATGATCATCTTGACAAAAACACAATATAGTACCATTGTACTGGTACCTAATACTATATGCAGCTGCCAGCTCTCGCAAAACGAGAACATTAAAGGGACTTTTCAATTTTGCAAAGTTATTCTTGGCACATAAACCATATGTATATGCATTATTAATATCTGAATATCATTGAAAGCTCATGATTGGAGCAAAATTAATTTAATGTACTGTACATTTTTATGGTTATGTACAAAAGTGCTTATTTACTTAAAGGCACTTGTTAATGGCTCAAAGGTCATTACTGTTAGTTTGAAAATTATGAAGGTCATATGGTAGACAGTACTATAAAATGGTATTCACTGTCAGACAGATCTGAAGGAGTAGGTAGGAGTGCAAACACTGCCCCATAAAATGTGCCCAAAAAGATTTTCTTGGGGCCTCGAAGACTGGACTGCTTTTCATTTTGAGCCCAAAAACTGGTCTCATTTACAATAAGGCCCTTTAACTTTGATGATGTATAATATGCATCCAAACTTTATTATTGTAGCATGAGAGATAAGAATCTAAGAATATATTTATTCAAGTGACTTTAACATGTGCATATGCTGCATATATATATATTTGCCTTTAGCCCAAGTCTTTCACTATATTGTTATGTAGTTCTCATTTTTTGTAAATAAAACATTAGTAAGAGTGTATAAAGTACTATATTGTAAAACATGTGTAAGTGAACACCTTTGGTACTTAGTTAGCAATAGTGTTCCACTTTGGAGGTGTTCCACTTTGGAGGTGTTCAACTTTGGAGGTGTTCCACTTTGGAGGTTGATTTACATTAAGTAAATCAGGACATATAAGAGTTCCATATATGGAGTTGTTCCACTTAAAGAGGTGTTCCCCCTTAAAGGTTTCACTGCTCTTAGATACAGTTGAGAGTATGATGTTGACAAGCACTATTTAGCATATGAATACCCAAGTCTTTCATAATATTTGATAGTCCCGATTATTATCTGATTATTATGTTATTATATAGCAATAAATATGTATATAGCTATATAATGATACATAACATATAATGATATATAACATGATGATATATAACATAACATATACATTTACAGTCATGTACTTGTATATGATTGATATTTATACATTCCATTGTACATATTTCAGATTATCAAAATAATGCTTAAATGTACATTTGTGTACATGTATGTTTACCTATGTCTTTCAGTGAACTTTATATCTATTGTTGATAGAATATTAAAATGTATATATAGTCATAAATATTGAATTATATTTATTCACATGCATATTTAAATAAATTAATTAATTTGAACAATATTCTATTTTGTGTACTTATATAGTTGGGCAAATGCAAATAAGGTACAGAATGTAAAGATATAAATACCAATTCAAATCCCATGACAACATGAACCATTTCAAATGCACTTCTCTGTTCTCATAATTGTTGCTACATTTTAATGCTGTTGTGTTGATTTCAATGCTGTTGCGTTGATTTCAATGCTGTTGTGTTGACTTCACGGCTGTTGATTTTATTCCTCATAATTACTAACTCTTCTCACTCTCAGATTAAAAAGTCACTGCTGTTCTAACACTTGGAGTTGTTTCTAGATTATGTTACCTGAATAAAGGGGGGGGGGGGGTTCAACATGGGTAGCAGCCTCATACTCCATGCCCTTACCTTAATTTTGCAAATTTAATCATTCTTCAGACAGTTTTTTGAAGGCCTGTAGTACTTCAATTTCCCAATGTTACATTTCATATAGTTATACCCCTCCATTCTGATACTCATAGCATCTTTCTGTTTCACCTGAAAAGAGAGGAAATGAGATGTCATGGTATATCATGATGATACCCCTCATATTGTTCTGATATTTAACCCCTCATACACCACCCTTTGCAGCGCCCCATTTTAGAAATCTGTTCACTGTTGCACCAACAGGAGATAAAGAGCGAAGGATTTCAAAGAAAATATACACCAGGGATGGTCCTGGAGATCAAGAAGGGGGGGGGAATAATTTTGGGCCCCAATTTTGAAATTTTTTATAAGGCCAAAACGTTCAAAATAATGCCAGTTTTCATAAAAAATGTTGTTTGAATTCATAAGACCTGTCTTATGATCGTATTATTTAAATGCAGTGTTACGTAAAATAAATGCACCATATGTATTTACAGGTATGGCAGAGCGAATGCACGGGGAAATCCTGAATCTTGTATCTAAACATGGACATGCATGGAATCTTTGTGTTAGAGTAAGAGCCCCACCAGAACGTAGATTGAGTGTGTGGATAGGGGCATCAATCCTGTCCAGTTTAGACGAGTTCCGATCTATGTGTATCAGTAAAGAGGAGTACTTTGAATATGGACCAGAAATAGTTCATTATGAAAAGAAAGTTTTATTTGAGCATATGTCAGAAAATGCTCCAACTTGATTCTGAAGCTTTGTTATCATGGGCAATACTAATTAATGCAGGTTTGCAACTTCCTTGGGGTGTTGCAGCCCTCTACCTCTAAATAAGGGGCTTGGGAACAGGGTTTTGCAGCCTGATAAATTAAATAAAAGATTTGCCAAACCGAGAACACATGGTTTGCAACTTTGTAAATTAATATTAAATTATTCCTGGTATTTCATGAGGAAATATTAGAGTGCCTTTTGTCTTGTACACAGACTCAAAAAATGGCTCCATACTTTTTACCCCTTTGAACGCCCCCCCCCCCCCCTCCTCCCCGGCCAAAATTTCTTTCAAAATCATCATGGAGTTTTCCACCATTCTGAGCACTTTTTAAGTGATTTTGGCCATTTTTGGACCAAAATTGTCAAAAGTGAACCCCCCTTGGCAAATCCTGGCTTTGGGCCTGATGTTTATGACAAGTAAATTGGAGATGATGCAATGATAAAATTATGAGATCAAAGATACAGTAAATGATATATCCAGATATTGTATAATACAAGAACAAACATTTTTTATAATATAGGCGTTTATTCACTGTATTACAAAGCTGTGGGTTGTATATGGTATTGAATTTGATTCATACATCATATACTATGACATTCACATCTTCAAAAAGTTTGTTAGTTATACATTTCTGACCTTATATAAAAATGTTTAGTAAATATATAATGGCAAGTCGCTTTACAGCAGTCTCAAATATTTAGTAAAAACTAGATTGGAATACAACAATATTATTTGGCTAAAAAACACACACAAACAGATAATGGAATATTAGTAATTTACGATAAGTAAACTGTTGTGGTCTGAAATGTCCTGAATAAACTGTCTGATATTCTGGGATTATTATGCAAAATAAAGTATCCACTTCTTGCCTGTAAACTCTATTTCTAGTTTATTCCACTCTTCATGAATTAGAATTTCATCTTACACTACCACTGAGCTATTTAATTACTGTTTTATGAGTCTTTACATGAGATCCTTAGAATAATACTATATTATGTAACCTACAGTATGTACGAGTAGTCATTTTGATTCAGATGTTTCATGGAAAAACATCACAACGCTTGTACATGTCTTATGCCAAGTTTTACAAAATGGCTGACATATTTAAATGGACCAGTTACCTCATTCAAAATGTACATGTAGATTGGGCCAACAGGTCCCTATATATTTTTATATTTTTAAGCCATGGTCTATCTGGTACAACTCACTGAAATGTGTATCCTGGTCTACAGTGTATGTGTTCATCAGATGCATTCATATTAAACCTTAAACACATCTCTTGTCCACAATGGTTTAAAATATACAAATCACTTTATTCAATTTTTGAATGGCTTAATATTTAATCTAAGACACAGTGACACGGTCCCTTAAGACATATTCATATCCTAAAATTGAATAAAGTCAGGGTCTTGGATATATATCCAATTTCATATGTTTCAGGGGTTTGGACGCACATCTAATAATTGTTAGTAGGGTAAATAATCAAATATAAAATATATACACATATACACATGTAATTGATAACAAGACTTATACTACATGTAGTTCAGTTATCTCCCAGGATTGGAGCATGTGGGCGCTGTGCACCAACTTGGGATTTTGAACACAGGAGACACCCACTACATAAATTAAAAACATAAAATTGGCAACTTTAAGATGGCGCACCCACTTGAAAAAAAGCATAGAACACTGTAATGTAATTAACCCATAAGAAAAGGTTCACAAAGTTCATGTTTTAAAATCACAATATGTTAATAGATTGATAGAGTGGAATTGACAAGAAATAAAGTGAAACTGACATGTAGTCAATATGTTAAATTATACTGAAATGTAAGAAACTTTAGGAGTTCAGATTTTTGAGTAAAAATAAGATGATTCAGGCTAAACCTCCTTGATTTTTTTCTTGGGTTAAGAAATATTATGCAATTTGAGTATTTGGTTAAATAAATGTATAAATTATCATGTCGATACTTTTCTCAAAAGTCAGATAAAATTGTAAGTTTTGGTTGGAAAATGTAATCAAAAAATGAAAAAAACAATATCACAATTTGAAAATTCACTAACAGGGTGGGTCAAAAAGCCAACTTTTACATTTCATTCGATTTGTTAATAACGATAACAACAACAACATAGTTCCCTCTGTTTTGGAGAGATGTTTTCACACAAATGTTTGAAATAAACCCCATGCATGTTTTAACCATATTTTTCCATGATGAAGCACCATCTTCCTCAACACAGAATAATATAATTCTGTGTATATATAGTAAAATTTTGGGTAACTTTGTTGGAGAATTTTTTTAATGATATGATTTATTTCTTATTTATATCTGGCAAGTACTCCTTATTCAGGAACAAAGAGTTATCTTCATACATTTGAGTTAAATCCAAACCTCTGTGTCAAACTGCCAATAAGTGCCTCAGAAAACAAAGAGAATTATTCATGTACATGTAATAAGCAATATTAACAAAATTTTCTAATGAAACAAAAAGTTGGATATTTTTTGGCTTACCCTGTAATGTGTTAAACATTTACATAGTGGTTCGATATATTATATATTATAAATACATGTAAATTAATGTATAATGAATGGCTAATGTATGCATATATTAAATGTATTTTGATATAATAACATGTACTCTATAGAGTCAAATTGTAAATTGTGAAAGTAAAATACTAAAAAAAAGAGACAAGTCACAAAATGCGATTCGCATAAATGTAAATTAATAAGTTACATAGTGGCTACACATAACATATAAATGCATAAATATCATGCATATCGTTATAAAGACTAGATCTAAAAAGAAATATATTACATTTAAAATATATATCATTTAGTTATTGTTTCTTTTTATATTCAGCTATAATATAATCTATTTCTGTCACAAACTTCCTTGGAATTGTGGCAAACTTTTAATGTGGCAATTTTTCAGATCTGCAAAATTCACCAGAATAGGTGGTGGCAAATCAAGGACAATATCTCACCATCTGCCACTTGTTACAGACAACGAACACCAAAGGTCAAATGGCGAACACCATCCATAAAAAGCTGGGAGACTGTAACAACATGTCAACACTAGTTGTGATAACATATCAACTTCAGTATTATGCTAATAACAATGCTATTATTAAGACCACATTTTATATCCAATTCAATATTCTAATTTATGGCACAACACAAAAGGTTCCAAAGTCCCATTGGAATTCTATAACTTTAATGCATGTAATGAAGTGAATTCAAATGTTTTGTACTTCATACATCCTGAAATTTCTGATTTGTTAAAACTTGGCATGATATTTTCTGCGACGGGTAATTAAACCGTTTCACCAACTTCCTGTTCTTCGTTTGTGTTGGGAATTGGGGGTAATTTCCGAAATTTTCCTTGCACTGATTTCATGGGAATCCCAAGGGTCTGTAATGACATCACAACTCCTTGAAGTTTTTTCGTTTTTACTTTCGACTCTTTTTCATTTTCTTTTTCATCGTCAGCCTTACTTGTGGTCAGTGTAAAGGCATTCAGAGTATTTATAACATTTTGAAGTTTCTTTGTTTTTGATTTTAATTTCACACACTTGGCGTTTCCTTGTTTTATTTTGGAAGGTGTTTTGGTTGGATTGGCACTAAATTCTGATGGAAAATTCTCCCTATTTTCCATGGATTTTGGGATAATTGCTAATGGTCGATTGGTGGATAAATTCTGCTGGATTGCACCATACATTGAATTTTGATTGGTTGAGAGTTCATGGATATTGTTTTTCATACCCGTATATGTCTTTGTTTCCATATTGATTTTCTTGGAAGATTTTCTCGCATCTCCAGGTGAAATCTTTGACCTGAAATTAACACCAAAGTTTAATAAAATGAACAAAGCACCATCTTTGATTCATACTCAAAGCTCCATTTTACTCAAATAACTTCATTATTTGCAAATGAACTGAGTCACATAAGCATTCAAAACAACAATTAATGACCAAAGTTATTATGAATTTTCTTAATATGTACAGTTGTGTTTAAGAACCTATTCTTACTTGTTTGTCTCATCAGTAGATTAATAGCCATCTTAGCTTAAACACCCATATACAATATACAATTGTTGACCTCTCCAGAGGTCAACCGGCAAAATTGTATACCGAGACTGTAAACCAAGAAGCTGCTGTTAACAGAGACCGAAGGTCGAGGTCAACAGTAGTTTCAAGGTTTACAGTCGAGGTATATGATTTTGACGGTTGACCTAATGGAGAGGTCTACAATTGTTTTGTTAGTCCGAAGAAACTAATAATAGACATATAGATGACAATTATCAATTGGCATGGCTTCATTTCACAATCTTTTCTCCGAACCAAGCCAGCAATGCGTACTCATTAGTAAATTGTTGTTAATTTTAAGTTTCTATTTGTATTTTTGCTATACTTGTTGTCTAGTTAAGTCAAAATATCATTTTCATCAACGTTTACAGAATGTCCAACTACCATGTTTTTTCTGTAAACATTATGACGTCATGAAACTTGCTATTCAAAAGTAGCGGTTAACAGTACCTCGTAGTGGTCAACAGTACATATTGTTGACCACTAATCAACCAATCAGAATCGAGTATTTCTGTTGAGGCACTAACAATAAAACCTGTCTAATTCAAACACCAATGGAATGGAACTCATGGCTAAAAGTTCTCAGATTTGGATGTGTCCACATTCGCAACTTTTTTCAAAAGTTTTGATATCATAGTAAAACAGTAAAACAAAATAGGTACAAAATATTTCGAAGCAAATGTGTGACATATACACATATTTCGAAACAAATGCGTGACATATACGGAATTTGCTTGAGAAGTCCGAACGGAATGTGTTCGCTTTTTTTCGACGTTCGTCTTTTTACAAAATGTTTCGAAATAATGAGTGACAGAAATTGATGTGTGATTTCATTTTTTTCCAGCAAATGAGTGACAATCACGCCTAATGTGTGAGAGTTGACAGGGCAGAAACCACCAAACACTGAAAACCATCCACAAAAAAAGTTGGAGACTATACAGTAGCAATATGTCATCACTTTTAATGGTGACATAAAAAGTACATACCTTTTATGTTGGAATTTCATCTTAGAACTCACAAATCCAATCAACAGTACTACTAACAGCATTAGAATGAGGCCTCCTAATATAGCAGCTATCAGCCATGCCTTCCACCAATTTTCTGGAAAAAACACAATATGTGAGTAAAAATAACTTTCATTTCATCACATACATAAAAAACACATTATGTGAGTAGAAATAACTTTCATTTCATGACATACATAAAAAACACATTATGTGAGTAGAAATAACTTTCATTTCATGACATACATAAAAAACACAATATGTGAGTAGAAATAACTTTCATTTCATCACATATTTTACTTAAATGATAAAAGTTGAGTGTTTACTCATTGGTTTGAAAAAGCATTGAGTGTTATCCCGTACCAAGACTATAGTCCTGTAACCAGCGCATTCTTTTGCCTGTATGATTACAACTTGGGAGAATTATCTACGTCCCTTACACTTAAGATACCTACTTCAATAGATTCCTGGGTATTTTAGCATTCTTTTCGTGTAGTTGAATCCACAATTGTTTGGGTATATCGGCAGAATGGGAACATTTTTCTTTTTCATCGAGAGATATTCCGTCACTTTCCAAGATGGCGGTTGGATTTAAAAGGGGATTCCCTGTTTGACTGACCCGGAAGTGGCCCAGATAACCAATAAATGGAAGAATTTGACGGTTGAAATAAGTTAAATATTACACGCAAATATTGCGATCAAAAACGAAAATTTCTTTGTTCTGCCGATAAACCCAGACAATCGTGGATTCAACTACACAAAAAGAATGCTAAAATACCAAGGAATCTAATGAAATAGGTATCTTAAGTGTAAGAAGCGTAGAAAATTCTCCCATGTTGTAATCGTACAGGCAAAAGAATAAGACGTTTGCAGGACTATAGTCTTGGAACGGGATAAATTGAGTGCAGTGAAGCAACATATTAAATTTGAATCTTATAATATTGTCTTTGATTATTGTATGTTCTTTAATTCAACGCATATTTACTCCTTAAAGGCTAAACTTGGGTCTGAAGAATTGTGGTTTAATTCAAGTTACAATTACTGTCACTGTCAGACTATTTTTTGTATAGTTATAGAATATTGTGGTTTCATTTAAAAACAATACATTTACTGTAGTGATGAACCTATTGGCTTCAGGCACATTTCATCATACTATTCAAAATCCAGCTTAATTGTTAATGATTGACTCAAAATGGTGTCGCATATTGGCAAGTATTCAGAAATGTAGGTCAAATCAGTGGCCTGGAAAGCAGAAGTCTATGCAGGGTTTGTTGATTGTTGATAGTGATCTTTTTTACATTCCAGGTGAGAGTTAACTTAACCTCTTGGCTACCCAGAGTGACGAGATTTATCGTCACCTCATAAATGACTTTGAAACCCAGAGTGACGAGATAATCCGTCACAAAATTTTTCACTAAAATTGCTCTTATTTGAACAATTTTTATACAATTTACACAAAACTTGTTTTAAAATGTCTAGAAATGATCTCTGCCGTCTAATTTTACTAAGTTGAACATCGTCTGTTGAATATGTATGTAGTAAAATGTCAAAAGCTGGCAAAAATGAAAAATTATCTGGTTTCAACCTATTTTAGAACCTGGGATTCAAGAGGTTAAATCAGAATAGTTTCAAACAGAAATAAATACTTTTAAAATGCCATCAATTTTCATGAGTGTTTTTTCCATTTACAAAAAACATAATATTTAATTAAGTGTCATTATTTTTTGTCCCTATATCTTGACACCAGCATCTTGTATAAACTACCCCTATTGGTCTGATCAATTATCAAGTGCAATTTTGAAAGTACATACTTGTACAAACATCTAGCATTGCCTCAAATAAACCTAGAATAGGGGAAAATGTGTGCGATAACAATCAATAATCAAGATTGATTTGCAAGTGAAACGCTTATTAAAACGTAATGCAGAAAGTCTGTATGAAAGAGTGCTACAGAATAAATTCTGCAGTCACAGGATTAAATACAGGCTGTCAAATCTACAGGCACCCTTTAGCCTTCTTATCAGTGTTATGTTAAGGAGGAGCTGTACATTTACATATACAGTGACAATTTAATAATTTGCATTAAAGAGAAAGAGTTCAGAATAAATACTGCAGTCTAGCTCAAACATTTGTGAACAGTTAACCCAGGCCAGGCAGATCATACTATATCAGTTTTATGTTATGGAAGAGATGTACACTACATATACATCTAGTGACGTCTTTGTATAAAAGAGATAGGGTGTTGTCTAATCAACAACAAAAAACAAACAAAAAGGATAATTTTGTTGTCTAATCAACAACACATTGATTGCACCAATATGACCTCTGTCACAACAATATTCAGATCATACATGTATTCTAAAGAGCTATACAATTAATCACACAATGACACAGCATTATAATATCTGAAGAGGAGTTGCCAAGTCACTATAATAAACAGCGAGAAACACAATATACATGTAAAACATAGGAAAAGGATAATTTTGTTGTCTAATCAACATCACATCAATTGCACCAAGATGACCTCTGTCACTACAATGCCAACCAGCACCAGCATGATGACCTTGGCAATAATACTGATGACAATGATGTCCGACATGATCTGTGTGACTGAGGGATTGAATGTCCTCTTATTACCAGCCCCGGCCCCCAGCCATCTCTCGTACTTCCTTGAGGTCGGCAATGAACTAATCGATAGAGGTCACAAGGTATGTCTCTAATTTGTCACAAGATTTTCCAATTCCAATGTTTACACTCTTGAGACTGATTAGTAAGTGATACAGCTTAACCTCTATGATGATAAAGTATTATCATAGGCAGTCAATAGTTTCTGAAAGGCTAAGAAGATCAAAACAGGTTGCATAACAATTAAGGTGTCGTGGTTCTTAACAGGAAATGACAAAACAGGAAGTGACAAAACAATACTGGATTTCAAACATTTTTGTAGCCTTAGATAACAGAGTTCTGAATTGACCTCCAGTCAGTTTAACTAGTTGCACATATTATTTACATGACCAGGATCACAATGTACAGGTCAGAATGACCCGAAACATGAAGAAATAACTTTTTCAGCCCTCTGAAAATGTGACTGAAAAATAGCTTAAAGTAGGAGCTTAAGAAAGGTTACTGAACAGAATCTTTTGAATTTTTCAAAAAATGTGCCCAATAAATTGCTCTAAATTATACAATCTTTGAAATTTAAAAAAAATGTCTGAAACAAAAATGGCGGCCATAGAAAGGAAATAGATCACTTTTCAATTCAGTTTTTCATTTTTTTCTTTTACTACGAATCATATCAAATTTTCTGTTAGGCTGTTGACAACTGTGTAAAGACAATCTGATCTCCACGCAGCATAACTGAATTTACTTGAGACTTGTTTATCCAAAAATTACCAAAACGAATAACTAGCTAAAACAGTATAAAGATATTTGATATTATATATCTAAACTATTAGTATTTCTTTTAGGTTGGTGTTATCATACCTGTACGTTTTAAAGAGAAGGTACCAGCCCAGTTCAACCTAAATGGTTCAAATGTCATATTTGACACCTTAGATGACAAAGGAAATGAGGAAAAGATGCAGGCTCAGGTCAGAAAGATGATGGAACAAGAAAATGTGGATATGATGACCTTTATGATGAACCAAGCCAAAGTTGCATCAGAAATAACAGAGAGAATACTTGGAAACCAGGATATATATAAGGCTGTAGAAAACAATAAGTATGATATAGCGATAGTCGATGGAATGCCATTCACCAAAGGATTATATGTGATTCCATATCGACATGGAATACCATTTACGACTTTGACAACAGGGTTTTTTCCACCTGACATTGGGGTACCTTATCTCCCATCATTTATGCCTTCAATGCTTTCAACAAACACTCCTGAAATGACATTCTTCCAAAGGGTGCAAGAGGTTGCCTTTGCCATTGGAGTGTCAACAATGAAATGGCCGAAAACAGATGAAACGTTTGTAAGGAATTTTGCTCCTGGTAAAGACATTATCGACCTAAACAAACTGTGTAAGAAAGCAGAGATGTGGTTCGTTAATTCTGATGTCCTCCTTGACTACATCCATCCAACTACCCCAAACATGATCGAATGTGGTGGTCTTACGACAAAACCATCAAAACCATTACCGACTGATCTCAATGATTTTGTATCAAATTCCAAAAATGGTATAATTGTTGTTTCATTTGGTTCAATGGTTTCAGATTTTCCTCATAAAATCATAGTCAACCTTGTTGAAGCGTTCAAAAAAGTGGATCTTGATATTATATGGAGGTATTCAGGCAAGATTAAAGAAATTCCAAAAAATGTTAAAACAGTAGCATGGTTACCTCAAAATGATCTTCTAGGACACGCGAAAACCAGACTTTTTATAACACACTGCGGGAACAATGGTCAAACAGAGGCATTGTACCATGGCGTCCCAATGATAGGTCTGCCTATATTTGGGGACCAACCATATAATGCCAAGAGAATGGCTTACAAAGGTTATGGGATTGCCATGGATATCAAAACATTTAAAGTAAATGAACTGGTCGAAAATATCAATATTATACTTAAAGATGAAAAATTTATCAATCAGATTAAAAAAGCATCAAAGATTTTTCGATCTAGACCACGAAACCCGAGGCAAAGAGTAGTTGATACCCTTGAACATGTAGAAGAATTTGGAGGGGACTACCTTCGACCACATTCGTTGGATATGCCACTGTATAAACTTTACCTCATTGATGTCATAGTAACCGTCTTTGTTGCATTAGTAGTCCTATTCTACATTTTCTTTAAAATATTGTTTTACGTTCTTGGATTTATCAATAAGTCAAAGAAGTTAAAATCGCAAAAAATAGAATGAGAGGGAATTCTAGATGTGTATTACATAGGGTGATAGTCATCACATGACACAACGAGTGAAACAAGTGTAAATATAAAAATTTATTGTTTTTCTGACATTACGGGGAAATTATTTCAGTTACTTGCGCTACATTAAAAATAAACAGTCATTTGATCACTATCCCCCCGAGTCTGAACTTGTTTAAAGGCCCACTATACTTAATTTAGAAGAAAAAATAAATAAAATAATCATTGAAACATGTTACTCGATCACATACTTACTCAAATATGACACAAAGTTTGATTTTCTTTAATATTGAACCAAAAACAAAATAGTTCACACAGAAAAAAGCATTTGAAGTTCAGAGATCATTAGTGGTGCATGCTCATGCTAAACAAAGTGCATGTCTTAAATTACTCTTGATTTAAAAGATGGCGACACTTCTGTAAAAAATGAATGTATCATGTAATAAAATCAACTGCGCCATCTTTCAATGACATTGATTAAAACTTGATGTACAGTATAAAGCTTGACAGATCGAAAATATTTTTTGATAATTTATTGTAAGCTTTTATGTGGTCCATTTGAGCTGCTGTTGGTGCCAAATGAAAGAAAAGGTTCTTATCAATACATTGAACATACTACATTTATGATATTCAAATATAAATCTTTAATTTGCCAAAAAACGTTGAAAATACGCAAAGTGGGTCTTTAATGCATCTGTATTCAACGACCGTTATTGTAATTCATGACATGTTCTGTCATTCATGCCTAATTGGAAGAGATACGAAGAATAATATGTTCCGAACAAAAATGGCATCTATGGTTCCATACATTACACAAGAGGTGCAGGCACAAATCTTTTATAAAAATCAGGAATTGAAAGTCATTTAGAACTAACATCTAGACGAAGGTAATCTAATCTTGAACCACTCTAGTTTAGGGATCTTTGAGTGAGGTAGCTGCTGCATTTTTATTAAATGCCTGACCCTAGATGGTATGATATACTATAAATAACATAAAAATGTTTATTCCATAGTTAGCATGATATTCAAAGGATAACATGTGAAAATAAAAACGGTATTTTTGAAATCAGTGGTAAAATATGATATTTTTGACAAATTTTCACTTAACCATAACATACGGTTTTTTAGCCATGACATACGACGTCGTATGCGATGGTTTATGGATTTTTGCTACTTCAGACTCAAAACGAGGCTAAGTGTCAATATCGCCGGATCGTTTGGAAATTCGAATTAAATAACTTAATTTCCGACGATTCTGATGATGACTTTAACTATGGAATAAAAAGAACATCCTATGATTTACTCGTGATATGATTTTAATCCACTCATGGATATTGATATCTGCACTCTCTCGCTACGCTCGCTCGTGCAGATATCATATCCATTCGTGGATAAAAATCATATCACTCATAAATCATAGGATATCCTCTATATATGCATATGTATATGCAAATCCTTAACCATCATTAGTCATCTGACCTGTGTTTGCCAGAATAGGTTGTGAAATTGGTCCACTGGCAACTAGATAATAAAACATATGTAGTGAACACTATCATCCATGTAAATATTTTTTATTTGAGGTATGAGGTTAGAGATGTTTTAATGTTACAGTTTGAAAAGTTTACACCATACAGCAGTATAAGCTATTTTTCTTGCATTTCCACTATAATTGTGTGAAAAAATATATGTATATATGTACATGTGCAGAGGCTTGTTTTATTTTTTAATTTGATATTCTTTGCTATTTTCCATTTCAATTACTGTAGATTGGGTTAATTTGGAGAATTAGCATTTTTGCATGGCGGCTATTTAATTTGGCAGACACTGGGGCTTGGACAATCCTTTTCAGATTTTGTAAAATCAGACTGGAAGTGATTTAAAATACACTGACCAAAGTTCCCTGGAAAAAGCCCGGGGATCCTTTTTAATTTTGGTGAAGATGTAAATTGGCGGTTTTTTCTATTTCACCAAATTCACCAAATTAAACCAAGCACCAAACTAACCAATCTACAGTAATAGAAAACACAATGAACTCCTCCATGCAGTTGGCTGATATATAAATGTGCACATTTAAAAAATATATATTTTAAAATAATTCATTACAAATATTACTTTTCATGACTCGGAAAACTAGGCTATTTAGAACTACAGTGTATATGTTTTGAAAAATATGAGTTTTGACCAAAAAATTCGAATCATCAAATGCAACACTGTAAAACATATTATTTTCTCTCTAGTTTTAAGAAAAATTCTTAACCAAAGTGATTGAAACTTTATATGGGGCCTTTAAGGTTAGGAAATCATCTTACCCTGATTTGATGCATCAAAGAAGCTGGTTTCTCCTTGTTGGCTGCTTAATGGATCAATGGTCATATTGGAAAGGTGATTAGTCTCGTTCAACATGGCACCTGTTAAAATATATAAACCAAATGTCAAATGAATCTTGCTCAATTTCACTCAACTCCATTGGTCACCAAAAGGGTAAAGGTATGACATGTCTACATGAGGGGAAAATGGGAAACTGGAATGGGGTACTGTACTTCTACTTAATTTGGTGCTACTTACATGAACAGTGTTTTGGCAGATTTGTTGTTTTGAACATTTGGCGGCTACTTAATTTGGCGGACGTGCAATATAATGCAGTGGCCTGTAGTGATGGTATTATATTATGTGGTACTTAAATTACCAGGAAATTTGGTGGCCAAATTAAGTAGACATACAGCTATTCTGACAATTACTTGTTGAAAGTATGTTATTTCCACCATCTATCAGACCTGCCAACCTCCCATTTTTTTACGGGAATCTCTCATAAAATTTTGTTTTTCCATAAAAAATAACAAAATTCCCGTACCGTTTTCTCCCGTAAACACTCCCATACTGTTACTTTCACTTTTGCCGCCAGGAAAATGTATAAATCTTTTGTAATGTAAAAATTGAACAAACAAACCCTCATAATACTTGTTCTGGGGCAACTTTCATGTAAATAAGCATTATAATCATCTGCCTTATTACTCAATAGTTTTTGTCATATTGTTTTATTTCCGATTGCATTTAACTAAACCTGATTCTCAATGTTACAGATTCACATATAAATCTGCGACATTATTCAAAACGGGATGGAAATGATAAGAACTACTTTTTAGAGTCTATAGTTTACATGATTTGGTCTGGTATGATCGGTGGTAGGATGCCCAATATTTTGATATTGTAAGAATCAAAATATTAAAGCATCGAAACTCAGGAAAATACTGTTTTTCAGAGATCTACCACTGAACTACTGTTTTTTCATAATCTACCGCAAAAACTCACATTTTTTCAAAGTTTACCACAAAAAACATTTTTTCAAAAATCTCCCGCAAAACTCCCATTTTTTCAAAAGTCTACCACAAAAAACTGCTGTTTTTCCAAAAAATCTCCCACAAAACTCCCGTTTTTTCAAAAATCTCAAGTAAAAGCTACCATTTTTTCAAAAATCCATGGCAAAAACTACCATTTTTCATAAAATTTACCGCAAAAACTTCTGCTTTTTTTGGAATTTAAAAAAAAAAAATTCCGCAAAAACTCCTGTTTTATTTCAAATCTACCGTAAAAACTCCAGTTTTTTCAAAATCTGCCGCAAAAACTCCTGTTTTGTCTACATGAGGGGAAAATGGGAAACTGGAATGGTGTACTGTACTTCTACTTAATTTTGTGCTACTTACATGAACAGTGTTTTGGCAGATTTGTTGTTTTGAACATTTGGCGGCTACTTAATTTGGCGGACGTGCAATATAATGCAGTGGCCTGTAGTGATGGTATTATATTATGTGGTACTTAAATTACCAGGAAATTTGGTGGCCAAATTAAGTAGACATACAGCTATTCTGACAATTACTTGTTGAAAGTATGTTATTTCCACCATCTAACAGACCTGCCAACCTCCCATTTTTTACGGGAATCTCTCATAAAATTTTGTTTTTCCATAAAAAATAACAAAATTCCCGTACCGTTTTCTCCCATAAACACTCCCATACTGTATTTCTACTAAAGTCTCCCATAAACTTTTTTCGTAAAATCTCCCATATTTTTGCTTAAATCTACTGTATTTTTCAAAGGAATCTGACAAGTCTGTGACCTTTATCGAGTTGCACTTCTTTCTTTTACTTTCACTTTTGCCGCCAGGAAAATGTATAAATCTTTTGTAATGTAAAAATTGAACAAACAAACCCTCATAATACTTGTTCTGGGGCAACTTTCATGTAAATAAGCATTATAATCATCTGCCTTATTACTCAATAGTTTTTGTCATATTGTTTTATTTCCGATTGCATTTAACTAAACCTGATTCTCAATGTTACAGATTCACATATAAATCTGCGACATTATTCAAATGGGATGGAAATGATAAGAACTACTTTTTAGAGTTTATAGTTTACATGATTTGGTTTGGTATGATCGGTGGTAGGATGCCCAATATTTTGATATTGTAAGAATCAAAATATTAAAGCATCGAAACTCAGAAAATACTGTTTTTCAGAGATCTACCACTGAACTACTGTTTTTTCATAATCTACCGCAAAAACTCACATTTTTTCAAAGTTTACCACAAAAAACATTTTTTCAAAAATCTCCCGCAAAACTCCCATTTTTTCAAAAGTCTACCACAAAAAACTGCTGTTTTTCCAAAAAATCTCCCACAAAACTCCAGTTTTTTTAAAAATCTCAAGTAAAAGCTACCATTTTTTCAAAAATCCATGGCAAAAACTACCATTTTCATAAAATTTACCGCAAAAACTTCTGCTTTTTTTGGAATTTAAAAAAAAATAATTCCGCAAAAACTCCTGTTTTATTTCAAATCTACCGTAAAAACTCCTGTTTTTTCAAAATCTGCCGCAAAAACTCCTGTTTTGTTTCAAAATCTTCCATAAAAACATTTAGCATTTTTTCAAAAATCTCCTGCAAAAACTACCGCATTTTTAAAAAAACTCCTGCAAAAACAACCGCATTTTGGAAAAAAAACTCCCATAAAAGAACCGCAATTTTTTTTAAATGTCCCGCAAATTTTTCATTTTAGGTTGGCAAGTCTGATCTATGTTTTTGAAAAATGCTGAGATCATCATCCAATCATGGACAAAAAACATTAAATAAATACAACAAAATATACAACAATTAGTTGAAACAAAACATAAATATGCAAAATGTCACCACCTGCTATATGTTACAAATGCAGACCGCCGAACACCAACTGCTGAACACAATCCACAAAAAAGTTGGAAACTATAACAATATTTCACCACTTCTAGTCAATCTGGTGGTGACATTATAAAATTATTCTTTTATTGAAACCTTCACACTAAATGTCCCATAAAGAATGTCTGAGAAGTAATTCATTTAACCACTTACGTAAATTGTGATTGCAGTTTAGGATATGGTATGCAGGAATGTTTGGAGGGGGTGGCGGAGGTCCAAGATCAAAGCTCATTGGAGGCCCCCTAAGACAGCCCCCTGGCAAGCACCTCATCCTGTAAAATAAGACATGTAATGAAGAATTGTAATGTCATCTAAATCAGATCATTGTGGATCAGCAGTTTACAGTTTGTCTCTAACTGTAGCGTACAGGTGTGGCTACTTTCCTTGTGAATATAGGAGCGCTGATGTGCCCCTTTGTCGATCAAGACTTGTTAATCTTTGCCGAGTGAATATTTTTCCAATATGGTGACTTTTCACCAGGGAAAATCTGCACGAGGTTCCATTTTGATTCGTTTTTTTGGGCATGCACATTAAATCCAGCAATTTGATTAGTTTAAATTATTTAGACGCATGCGCGATCAATAACTAAATATATTTTTAGATAGATGTCACTTACGTTCATTATTTCACAGTAGTCCCTACCGCCATTTTTGAAAAACATTCACTCGGCGAACAATAACAAGTCTTGATCGGCGAAGAAGTACTTCAGCGCTCCAATGCTTGCACAGATGGATGCCACTGATGTAGGACACAGTAAAGACCAAAAGTAAGCCGTTGATAGCATTAATTCATTTTCAAAGGTCACGATTATTCAGCTGCCAAATGTCACGTGGGAAAGCTATATATATCAAAATACAAATAGCTTTCGCATGAAGTAAGCTGTTGGTGTTAAAAATTTGTCCAGAAACCTTTTTTGTGTCATGTCATTCATATTTTAATTGTGGGAAAATGCTCAGGTTGCCCCAAAATTGCTCTCTATTTTCAAAATTTATCGGGTGCACCCCCGCCCCACCCCCCTTATCGCATCCTACAAACCCCGCTATGTTTGTACTGAGGTACTATTTTTTTCAAGGCCTGTCTGCGTCGCTAACATGCTAAATATAAGAGTTAGCTGACGTTTGGGAGTCTGACTTACCTTCTAAAGGTTAGAACCCGAATCTTAATGAAACTATATCACCTTTGTTGCGTCGATGATGATGCATAAACATAGCATTTGATAGAAATTAGCGTAAATGCTTTTCCGACTTTTTCATTTTTCATCAATGTTGACTTCCGGGAAGGCGTTGTAGTTATCACGAAATAACGCATTGACCCTTGAACTTTACTTTGTTGACGTGTCAACCAAGCATGTCTGGTGTGAAAATTAAAAGAATATTAAGCAATGTTCTACATCCGCCAAGCTAAGTGAAGTAGTCAATATTAAAAATTACCAATTTCAAGTGAAGTACGCAACGAACGAAACTGCGTGATCTACACTCCCACTATTGGTCTGAATGAAATGCTACGTAGAAATATGAGCCGTCTGCTGTATTAGTCGATTAATAGAGAAAGACCTGTTGGTGATGCTTTATAATTTAGACCAAAACATTGAAGAACAAACGAACCTGTAAATCGTGAAAACAACGAACAAATATTCGGTTTTCACATATGTTCGGTAATTTTTCGTATTGAAACTTCCGGAACTTACAAGGAAATCATTCATTTTCTCGATCCATGATTTACCTCTTGGATGTTGTGGCAAATGCTCCATGGTTGACGGAACAAAGGTGATATGGTTTCATTAAGATTCGGGTTCTAACCTTTAGAAGGTAAGTCAGACTCCCAAACGTCAGCTAACTCTTATATTTAGCATGTTAGCGACGCAGACAGGCCTTGAAAAAAATAGTAGGTCATTTAAGTATGCAATTCGTTGTATTTTCTCCAACTTTGTAGAAACATTGACTGACAAATGGTTTAAGCGTACGACCACAATCTAAAGTGGTCATAGAATTCTACAACCCCCCCCCCCCCATAGTGGACACTGGGCATTCATTCTCGCACATTTTTCGAGACATATTAGCGCCCCCTCTAGCCCAAAATCCTGGATCCGCGTGTTGGGACTATGGGATCGATAATTCTGAACAGCGCGTTAGTGCGTAAGGAGTGTGTAAGGAGAGACATAGCGGTTGCTTTTTCTCACTAATGTCAATTGCCAACTTTCCAACTTGAACTTTCATTCCAGGCAAAAATATTGTATTCAAAATTTTAATACCTAGGCGAATACTAGTCTAATAATAACAATGTCAAAGTTTACTTAAAATTATCTTTATCACACGCAAATAGGTTTGAAACGAGTATGTGTTAATAAACAGGGGAAAACATACCTATTTTAAAACTTTTTTCGTTTTTTGTAAACATTTTGACCGAACAACTCTTCTTTGACGTCGACAGGATATGAAGGCGCAATTGTTAAAGATATAGTTCTAGAATATTTTTAACTCATTTGAAATGTTTGGACTTATATAACATACTTATCAACAAGGAACAAAATAAGTGTAGAATGAATCTTCATGTATATAATACAGTGAATAAATCCTTGATACACAATCACAATAAAAAGTATAAAAGGTAGTCCCTCACTAAAGTGTGTATCACTCCGATCATCAGTTTCGCCATCTATCATTAATATGCATGACTACTGCTGAATTGGCGGACCGAATTGGCCTTCCGGACAATAGATGGCGAATAAATGCTATTCCCAAGATAAATTTTGATGAATATACCGATGTTGAAACTTTAAATCTTTTATTGACTCTTTAGATGTCATGACCTGACATATTAGATATTAGACACTGCAAATAAATAGGCAATGTAAGCTTACTACACTGCACTTTTAAGTGTGAGTTTCATCGTAGGTCATGTTAGTCTCAGGTTTCATGAATTAATTCAATTTCAACTTGATTTATTTATTTCATAATGTAATTGTTTCATTATCAGAAAATTTTCACTATAACCATGCAAAATTCTTGACTTTTTCCCTGGAAAAACGCCTTGTCCAGTTTCTTACTCCCCGTCCGGGGGTACCATAGACTGAGTTTAGTTTTTTCAAAAACACGAGTTTTCAATTTATTTCGATTATTTTTTGTATACTAACGCATGGAAACTAACTTTAAAAAGTGAGCAATGTCATTAGGGTTGTGATAATAATGTCCCTTAATACCTATTTATCTTTCTTATAAATTTTTTTCTAGTAAACTAATATCAGAACTGACACATATTTAGTTTTATTGCCTTAAGGGAGTTTTAAAATCTTCTGCGCCGTTCCGATACTTACTAGGATCGCCTAAGCCGTAGCTGAAAAGACTCGAACAAGCACATGAGCAGCAGGCTCATAATCCTGATTAACATAAAAGTTTAGGTGGGGCTTTATAAAAAAATGCCACAAAAACATTAAGGTGAATGCCTAAATGTTGCCCCCACCAAAAAAGTGAGAAAGGTGATTCATAATTTCTTCCAACTACATAACCTGTTTGATACATAAAAAGATGAAAAAACGTGTATACTATAAAACATCATATTCTTTTATTGCGTTAACTTCAAGAGATATTATCATGTGAAAAACAATCTCAACATGGCTGGTCAGTAGCTAAATATAATATATAAATATTTTATCTAAGTTATATACAGATATATGTTTCTTGTAAGTTGATATTGCAAACCATTTCTTGATGCGTTGACCAAAAAAACTTTCCCAGAAGTTGTATACTGATGTTTATAAACAAACTTGTAAGTTAAACTAAAAGATGTGTCTCCGTTATAGAAACTGAACGTATCAAACGCTTCTAGGGAATTGCGAAACCCCTGAAACAATTCTATCTCCTAAATATAAAAAGTTGACAACTATGAGATCTTTTACCCCTGATTAAATATAAGCATTCATTTTAAGACAATAGCATCATATCTCATTGATAAGCTCTTACCAAGTGAAAAACCTTTGTATTGCAAAATCCTTGATAAATAAAAATATAGCACTAGTCCACTAAATAAGAACTATGACTAAGTTAAATCAAACTAATTTCTACTACTACACTAAAAAAAACTGCGTAGTTGAACGTTCAAACATCTCTTCATGTCTATATCACTTTTTTATAGCAAAAACATTGACTTTTGCACGTTGGTGATGATGCCCCTTTTTTAATAGATCTCACATCCACTGGCGGATTAGGGGGGGGGGCCCAGGGGCCCGGGCCCCCCCCCCTTGGGTGGGCCCAGAAAAAAAAAATTGGGCCCAAAAAAATTTTTGGGCCAAACAAGGCCTTCAGGCCCCAAAAAGTGGGCCTTTTTGGTCATTACTGGGCCTTTTAAGGCCTTATTTGTTAATTTCAGGCCAAATTTTGAAGAAAGTGGGCCTCAAAATTTCAAAATTTGGGCCCACTTTTGGATTTTAGGGGCCCAAAATTTTTTTCCGCGCAAGCGCGGACGTTTTTTCTCTGACCTGAAATTTGGGCCCCCCCCCTTGTTGGTTCCTGGATCCGCCCCTGACATCTTAGAAGCGTATCAGTTCAAAAAAATACTAGAAGACCTAACATATTTTACCATGCACTGGGCCTATTCATTTGGCAATGCAGTTGTAAATTTTCTCTTGAAAAAATAAATCTTCCAAAGTTGTTGAGTTTTCTTGCAGAAATCGCCTACTCCCCCCCCTCTATCCATTTTGTACGACCACCCGGTGTGATACCGGGGTTTAAAAACAGTCAAGAGTGATAGTTAAATTTCAAAGAATAAGGGAGAAGCAGTCCGATTTTGCTTACGCTACAAATTTAAGATACAACAAACCATTTAGTTTTTATATAAGTTATTATTTATTTATGGTCGCCTGAACAAGTTGAATCATGAAATCTTTGCAAGAAGAACTTTCATATTATGCTAATTTTGAACTTTTGCTGGTTGAGTAGGCTCCGAGGAGTAGGCACACTCAGTAACATATAAACAAGGCATCAATGTAAAATGTCACAACCTACCATTTGTTACAGAGGCAGATCGCCGAATGCTAAACGCCGTAGAATTTCTGCGGTCTTATACGAGAATAGTACTTTTGCAGTCACATTTCCCACGGCAGCCGCACGGCGAGTTTTGAATTTCTGTTGATAACGTTAGTACATGTTGTTTGTCATATTGTAGTGCTAGGATATTATATAATATCAAAAAAGTGTAAGTGAAATATAAGTTGCTATGGTATCAGTGACCTTACATCAAACACGAATTGTATTGTGTTTACACTTCAACAGCAAAGATATGACCGAAAACTGACATAAAAACTGTTCCCAAAGGTACATTACCCATCAAATCCTAAAACAGATGCTAGTCAAAGGTAACCCCGAAGTGCGATCACCGTTTGAATGACCTTTCTGCGGTGTGGCAACGGCCTGTTGATTTCTACGGGAACCGCAGAAATGAACAAATATTATAACTCTGGTTTATAATTTCTACGGCTACGGCCTGTAAAAAATGGATACGCCGTACGGAGATCGCAAGGCGAGCGTGGTTTTCCTACGCTCGCCGCAGAAATTCACTGATTTAATTGATCTGCGGTACAACTTACAGATTAAAATCATGTTTCGATCCCGGGGTTTCGATATAAGTATAAAATTACTTATTCTTATGCAAGGTTTGACCCATCGTGGTAAGCCAAACCCTCTCCATCTCTATCTGCGGTCCGGTGCAACAGATAGAGATGCTATGAGTATCAGAATGGGTTTGACCTACTAAATACACTTATGGATATGGTATGGATGAATTCACCCCCTCTTAAAACTTAGAAACTTTTGGCCTTGATCCATCCCCTGGAATTATTTTGAATTCATAAACTGCCCCCTCCCCTCAAAATGTTTACTCCCGCAGATTACTCCAATGGAATGACCCAATGCCAAAATGTTCTCCATTGACATATCTACAAGGTGTCCCGAAAGTATGCCCCCCCCCCCTAGGCAGACATATACCAATGTATCCATAGTATGTGTCATCATTTTAAAGCTTATCCAAAGTTACATTGATTTGCCAAGTATCATGGTTCAACTCACAGTTGGTAAAAAGTTACAGGCATTTCAAAACTTAGTGTTTAGTCAAAAAAATAGTTCATTTCAGTATCTTGGCAACAGCCCTGACCTGAATGTGACCGAAGGTTTTATGATGATTACAAAATGTCACATTCCTATTTGAAGCACGTTTAAGGTCATATGGAAAGCATTGCTGCTGTTTAACATGGTCTAGGGAGACACACCAACTATTAAGGGTCTAACGGTGCACCGAAACCGCGGTGCTCCGCGGTTCTTGGGCCTCGGTCGGTACGTTCGGTTCGAAAACTCCGATGTACGGTTTTTTAACGGTTCGTTAATTCAGAAAAAGTGCCGTTCGCTAAAGTAGAGGAACATGAATCTCGAAACGAGAGGTGAAGATTTCGGCATTCTAAACGCTCAAAAGTCGTACAAGGCCCACTGTTGGGGGTTATTTTGGATTTCCAATGAGAGATAGTGTTCCTCTCCCGGAAAGAACGATATGCCGGCTTTGCAAAATCTTTATGGTGTATGAGAAAGGTACGTGTGAAAAAATGTGAAAATCTGCTGTCTGCAGAAACAGAATAGATCAGAGTTACACATGCTCCCGGGCCGCTTATTTATTATGAAATCGCGCCATCTATTTATCATCGCATAAATAAAATAGATCACAAAGTTAATGATTAATTTGTAATTAAAACTGACTTAGATCAGAGGTAAACATGTTCCCGGGCTGCTCATTTAAATAATGAAATCGCGCCATCTTTTGAGTTATTTGATTTTTTACATTAAAGTGCGATAAGAACCGAAAACCGAGCCGAAACCGAAACCGAGGAGATAAAACCCGTAAACCGAACCGAACCGAGGAATTATGAAACCGTGAGAGCCCTACCAACTATTACTCTGGTGTAAAACTGACTTTAATTTTGGCCAAACACTAAATTTTGAAATGCCTGTAACTTTCTCCCATTTATGAATTGAACCATGATACTTGGCAAATCAATGTAACTTTGGATGAGCTTTTAAATGATATATGACACATACTATGGAGACATTGGTATATGTCTGCCTAGGGGAGCCCCCATACTTTCGGGACACCCTGTATATGAAAAAATTATTTTCATTACTCTTGGAACACAATTTTAATGGCTAATTTATAACCAATGTACAAATATTTTTTGTAAAAATACTAGCACACATTATTGTACTCGTGGATGTGTATTTCGATTAAATCACATTAGACCAACATTATGAACATCAAGTTCCATGGTAATAGCATGCCACTGTCGTGTAAATAAAGGCCAAGTATATATAAGACGATGGAAAGGAGACAAGTAAACTACTTACTTATAAACGCTGTTCTATCCGTAGAAACTTATAGCCTCACGAATAGAGAGCGCAAATAGGGTTATGGCGTATTACACGAAACCTATACGTACATGTATACTGAGTATAAGGATCTTATAAGTGGGTCAATTACGTATAAAGAAAATTCTAAATGTGATGGATAACAACTACATAAGTATCATATCTTATATTCTATTCAATGCGAGAATTTCCTTAATAACACGCGAAACGCTTGATATATCAGAGAGGTTCGTGAAAAGTGATTTACAATGCTGAACGTTTGAAAATATGCATTTTTCCCTCTAAGTAATTTGTCATGTTTATCCATGTTCTCTCTGGTAGTGGTTATTGGTACAGGTCGACTATTATATAATACGAGCCCTTTAACTCATATTTGTTAGTTTTATATCAGTGGTTCTATATCGATTTTTACATTTCATGATTAAGCGTATTCAAATGGATATGTACATCTGTACTTTTAAACAGGTATACAAACCAATTTAAGCGTATACTTATATACACGTCAGGCTATATATAACTATTTTTCACAATTTACAGTCTACTGTTAATAAAGTGGTGGGGGACATAGGACAAAAATGAAGGATCACGATCACACGACATACATGTACCGTGTAGCTTGACATTGGTTAAAATTACATCCACATTTCATTGTATGGGACAGTAACAAATGGTCACCAAACGTTAAAGAGCTTACAATTTCTGCTAACACATGTACAATCTGATAATTAGATGAGCTGGACTATGAATTGAAAGATGTAAAGCAACAAACAACTTTATCGAATTTATCGACTTTATCGAATGTTGTGGACAATTCAGTCATGCTGGGAATCCCAAGTAAAAGATTTTATCGCCACGAGAAAAATATGCAGCTTGATGTACAAGTGATTTAAATGCACATCTTTAGATGTAAAACATCTCTATGCTCTATAATATGGGATATTTACAAAATGACCACCAAACATGGAAGAACTAACACTTTCCGCACAGCACTTGTACAATCTGATAAAGCTAGACTATGAGGCAACAGATGTACAGCAACAAAAATACTTCATCGAACATATTGTTGATATTATCGCCACTAAAGTGGGAGAATTATATCCCGTCTATCGAACTCATCCTAAAATACCCCACGGGAGTTTCTATCAAAGAACGAAAATAGAACAAGCCCGTGAATTCGACTTTTTACATCCATTTGTGTTTTCGGAAAATAAAGGGATAAGAATACAAAACAAATCTACATTTCCCACAAGTTCGCCAGATGCGACAGAAGTCTACATCACTTCATATCTGAAAAATATACTGTCACAGCCAAAAGAGAACCATAATCTACTGCAATATGCAGATTATACTATAAATAAAAGGCTAAATCCAATTCCTGACATACTCGAGACACTTCACAAAGCTGTCTCCGATGCGTTAATAGAACTTGACAGTGATTCTGAATGCCATATTGTGTACAGAGGAGAGTGTGACCTCAAGCGAAGCAAGATAGAATTCCTTGAGGTGGGTGAAACGGATCCACACATATTGTCATTGAATGAGGTAGCGTTAGACGCCAATGACTTTGGGCCATGTATAACTCTGGCCATTGGTGGACCCCTTTGTATCTCCCACGTGGACATGACATTCTGCATAGAAGACCTAAAGATGAACAGCGAGAGAGAATGGCGTGAAAGATACTTTGTTTTGCTGAGATATGGATTTCTTCAGAACAATTGGTTACGTACATATTATAAACCTGGATACAAAGAATTAGATGAGCACCATACTAAGATTTTGGTGCTGATGAAAAAGTGCTTTGTTGAATGTAAAAAGTATCAATATGATTCGACATATACTTCACATGTATTAAGAACCCTGGTGCTCAGTCATCACCAAGTATGTGAAGATGAAACATCTCTAGGAAGATGTTTCTACAAAGTAGCCATACATGTACTGAGAATGGCAATCCAGGATCCGGAGGACAACGAAAAACTGTACATAAGTTCTGAATGGTTGGGAAGTTTGAAAAATGTTACTTATCCTGTAGGTGTTTCGATAATTAACGAAGGAAGCAATTTGTTCCCAACTGACCTACTATTTACACTTTCACTATACATTCTAGTACAGTTTATGAGATATCCGCACACTGTCGATTCACTTTGTACCACAAAACTTATATCTGTGTTCATACAGGTGATATGTAAATACAGTTCGGCTGCATTGAAAATTCAAGTTGGAGGTATTTTACAGACTGAAGTTGAATCATATGAGAGCGAGATTTTAATTGAACGTGTACATAATTTCCTTTTTGAACTGAGATATATGAGATATAAAGGTGGCGCAATCAACAGTATCTTATCCCATCCTCCACTACCGTATATACCATACTGCCCCGACCCTGAACAACCTATCCGTATTAGTCTCACGGGTAAAATAGAGAAAATATGTAAGGAAGAGGAGAGAGGTGAATGGGAAATGTGGAGACATACGATTGAACAGAATATTGGTCTAACGAGATTTATGGAACTTAGAAAGCACCAGAAAAATATCCGGAAATGGGAACAAATCAGACGTCAGGAAATCAGTCATCTGGCAAAGGAAAATAACGCGTCAAGAGGAAATAAAACACCAGGAGAATCTTATACAAGAGGAGATCAAACGTCAAGAATATCTCACACGCCGGGAGGATATTAGAAGATGGGTACTTAGACATCGACAGGAGGAACTCAAACGTCAAGAGGATCTAAAAATACGGGAGGAACTCAAACGTCGATCGGAGCTTAAACGTCAAGAGGAACTAAAAAATCAAAAGGAACTCAAACGTCAAGAGGAACTCAAATGTCAAGAGGAACTCAAACGTCAATCGGATCTAAAAATACGGAAGTAACTCAAACGTCGATCGGAGCTAAAACGTCAAGAGGAACTCAAACGTCAAGGGGAACTCAAAAATCAAAAGGAACTCAAACGTCAAAAGGAACTCAAACGTCAAGAGAACTCAAACGTCAATTGGAGCTAAAACGTAAAGAGGAACTCAAACGTCAAGAGGAGCTCGCCCGTCAGATGGAGATCAAACGTCAAGATGATATTAGGAATCATCGGGCATCTTATAGCAGTGTTGTTGAATGTGTTCCTAAATCTTCCCTTCAGATGCGTAAAGAAAATACCAGGACTAGTCAAGGGGAAGTTAAACGTCAGGAGAATATTGGAACAGGTAATCAAACAACAGGTAGACATATGGGAGGAAGAAAAGGAGCTCGTGCGTCAGGCCTTTGCGCTCAGTGGTCCAGAGATTATAAGTGATCATCAGGCATCGAACAACAGTGTTGCTCAAAGTATTCCTAAACCTCTTCCTAAGATGCAGAAAGAATCTATCGAAAATATATGTTAAGATAAACCAGTCATATGGACCGGGTAGACTCCCAACTTCTAAGACGCAGCAGTCTAACACTAGAGATCCTACTGTGGCTACGTCGTCACCCATGTTTGAGTTCTCAGTTGCCACCTCAGACCAGATCAAGCGTCATATCAGCTTTTAAACCTAATCCGATGGGCGACGTACTATAGACGTGTAGCTGGTGTTTTTCCTTTCAATTATCCCTCTTATAGCAGCGTTGTTCAAAGTACCCCGATACCCTTAGCAAAAGCGCATGGATTTTATCCATGCAAAGCACATGCAAAGTCCATGCAATCAGAAAAAATCCATGCGAGTCCATGCAATTCGCTTGGAAAGAGAAGGCTGAACAGAAAACCCATGCACTTATCAATGCAATGCCCATGCAAAGTCGAGGCGAATGAAACTTTAAAAATTCCCTAAAATATATTTCCATGCAATCACCATGCAATTCACATGCAGCATGCAACTACCATGCAAAGTCCATGCAACTGTTTTATTATAGAAAACTAAAATCCATGCAAGTACCATGCAATTTTGCATGTATGCGCATGGACTACTGAAATACATGCAAGAACCATGCAATTTGAACTGAATCCTAATTCCAAAACGAGGCTTGTGCAGCCTCTCTTTCAATCAAAGCTGGCTTAGCCATTTTGGTTTTGGTAAGTCTTCACAAAATCCTATAACATCGGCCCAGATGCAGTTTTACTTTATTTGATGTTGATGTCAACTTTACCATTAGGTATTGGTTGTGCATTTGTTCCAGTTTCATCATCATTGTTCATTTAGTTATCCATTTTCTTAAGCTTCAAATTTCTTTTCAATATATCCATTGAATCTTTCTACCTTTTATGCTTTAAATTGCCTGTTTGTTTTGATCTTTTCACCTAGAATTCATTCTAATCTGAATCATGATGGCATTATATCCTGGGCTGTAATTCAATATTGGTCAGTTTATTTGTATAGGTTTTACATAGGACATATACATTCATTAACTCCTTGGAGACTGGAAACTTTTTGGAAAAATGAAGAAAATAAAAATGTTATTCGTAAAATAATCTAGAAGCAAGAGAAGGAAGCAAGGCCCAATAAATTATATAGACCCATATTTTATGGGGTTTTTTCTTGAAAAAATTGAATATGCAAAAGAGTGTCATTGTGACATCATAATTCAAGATGGGCGATTTGAACTTTTTACAAGACAGAATTATTTTAGCATTTTTTGTTTAAAACTTCAATTTAAAAATCTGAGCAGAACTACTTGTATAGATCTTTAATGCTGATCATTCTGTGATATTTGTACTATAGCATAACTCCTACAAATACTTTTTAAAGCGCTTAGACAGAAAATTCCAGGAAAATCCCCATGGCGATTTAACATAGGATTTTTGTTTTTAGTAATTTTTTGCAATTCATTATGCTTTGGACCCCCTGTATCTTCATTAATATTATTCTCTGATCACAGTGCTTCAAAATTCAGAATATATTTGCATTCTCTCCCCCTGCGATAAGCAGTTAGCATTTCGCCAATTAAGGATTAGGTGAACTATGTGAACTAACTGTAAATTAAGTTTAAAATCTGACCAATCAGAATGTGCTCTTGGTGTAAATTGGATGTATACTAAAGTGTAAACTGAGTGTAAACTTAGGTGTAAATTAGCTCATTTGCATGTGAAATTGGTCACCTATTTACTGGGTGTAAAGTAAGTGTAAACTGAGTGTAAACTTAAGTGAAAACTAAGTGCGAACTGGATGTAAAGTAGATGTAAACTTAAGTGTAAAGTGGGTGTATACTAAGGTGTAAACTGAGTGTAAATTAAAGTGTAAATTAGCTCATTTGCATATGAAATTGGTCACCTATTTACTGGGTGTAAAGTAAGTATAAACTGAGTGTAAATTGTAGGTGTGAAGCCTTTGTAAATTTTGCAAACATTTTAAAAGATTTTCCATTAATTTAAATTTCAATTCATTTTATTTTTATTTTTTTGAGAATCACATCCTCCTAACAATTCATTCTAGATACATTTTTGCAAGGCAGAGATGGTCTGAGTATCAGAATGGTGGGTCCCCTTGTTAGATTATTGATCCGCCAGTAACATGCAGGTTCTCGTTGGCTACACATGCACACCAAAATGGGTTTGTGTAAAAAAGCGGGAGACCACTGACCAGGTGTGATCAGGTACCAAACGTTCTTGGCAGGGTGACCAACTTTTAAAGTTGCACATTTTCCCCTTGTATACATTATTATTATATTATTATTCATAGGCGTAGCCAGGGGGGATGTGATGTGATGGGTGCAATGTTCCCTGCTAGGAACGTTAGGTACCCGATTACCTGGTCATTTGGTTTTTATAGGGCCTACATGTAGGCCTCCTATACTTCTACCAATGCGAACATCAGTTCTCTCCTGGCGAACTACATTCCTTGGGACTCGAGTCACTTATATACGAATTGTATATTACGGGCAGAACAGCAGATGCATGGATGTAGCATGAACCATACAAGTCCATGCAAAATTGCATGGGGGATTGCATGGTTTTCGTTAAAACCCATGCAGATGCATTCAATTTTGCATGTGGATTAACGTGCTTTGCATGGATTTGAATGGATGCCGCATGGACTTTGCATGGATTTGAATGGATTTTGCATGGACTTTGCATGGATTTGAATGGATGTTGCATGGATCATGCGAGTCCATGCAATATTGCATGTGGATTGCATGGTTTTCATATAAATCCATGCAGATGCATGCAATTTTGCATGGACATTGCATGGAACTTATTAACAATATTTCTCGCAGCCTGCATGGACTTTGCATGTGGATTAACGTGCTTTGAATGGATTTGAATGGATGTCGCATGGACTTTGCATGGATTAGAATGGATGTTGCATGGACTTTGCATGGATTTGAATGGATGTTGCATGTTTTTTTTAAATGAGTTAAAATTCTGCTGCATGTGTTTTGCATGGGTATTGCATGGAAAAATCGCATGGACTCTGCATGGACTTTGCATGCATGCGGTTTTGCTAAGGGTACGTCCACCTCAGATTCAAAATAAAGATAAAGAAAAAAAACTCCTGAAAATAGATCTGCCATCTAAACCCCAAAATAAGAAACAGTCTGAAACTAGTGAACCAGAAGTTGTTGTCGAGAAGTGGTCTGTTGTTGAACCCAGTGTTCAGAACTCAGTAAAACAAGTTTCTTACAACAGTATTGTAAAACGTGCATCTGAACCTCAACTTCAGATACGGAATGAGACGATTCAAAACGACCAACTGGAGCCCAACGCTAAAACTTTATTACAACCTCCAGCTAAAGAATCCTTACTATAAAAGCCATCTGGAGCAAATATTAACATAGCTACACCGGCGCCATCTATTGCATCCACTGTTACCGCAGTAAATCGGCCAACTTACAGTAGTGTCGTGAGAGGTACACATATATAAAATATACTTATTAAACATGTTCTTCAGGTTGGCTAATCAAATCACAAAATATATTTTTCTTCTTTCCACAACCTTTATTTTACTATAACCAGGACGTTTCGGATCCTGTCTGGATCCTTTTTCAACTGTATAAAAACTGAACTGAAGCGCTACAAAACAATTAAATAAAAACAATATTACGTCATATTAATTCCCCAAAAAACGTCATGGTTATAGTATAATAAAGAAAATAATCCAGAACGAACATCTGATCCAAATTAGAAAACGAGATAGATAATTTTGCATCAATTCGAAGTTCAAAGACAAGTAAATAAATAATAATAAAGGAAACCAGTCATGAGACGTTCACACAATTTTCAAAAATGAAAGAACTACTGTAAAAGTACATGTAGCCTAACAAATCATTTTATCTTGTGTTTTGATATCAACTATTAAGTAGGTCAAAAGTATCAATTGTCTGTTAGAACGATTAGATACTGTATATTCTAAATGGATATAGAGAAACTGAACAACAATCAATCATATCAAAAATGGGTTATTCTATTTAAACAAGATGGGCCTCCACTCACTTTTCTGGCAACCATTCTCCTGCATAAAATAAATAAATATACATTGTATGGAATGAAATGACCCGTTCTATGGCTCAAGATGGCTTGACATTAGTTCATCCAATTACATCTCTGTTTCTCATTATTCTCACAACACAACGAAAGCTAATAAACGTTTTATATCACAGTACTTCTTAAAAAATAGTTCCAATTTTCCAATGTTATTCGTTGATGAAATTCTATTTTCTCAAAAAGTCCTATTTCTTTAGTAATTTTGTGAAGTAGGGCAATGCGTATGATCCAAGATATAAAAATGGCCCACTCTCCTCTACTTCGCTAACAGATGGCACCACTTTACCAGATGGGTCATGTAAACTTTGTACAATTTTGCCTTGGCCATCTAACTCCAGTATAAGTCCATATTCGGGCAAAATCGCAGAGAAAAACCTTGTCATAAGTGACTTTAGTATAAACTGAAAAGTAAATAGACAACCTTACTTAGTTAAAAATAAATACGTGGTTTTTAAACGTGAGTTATCTTACGCAAAGTGGCTTATTTCATATGGGTTAACATCACAAATGAAAATTGTACGACTAACTTTAGTAATATCATTCATCAAGTATAGATGGACAGTTATGAACTGTATTAAATATCGCATTTTTACTTTACATTAAACACAAGTGTCTAACTTAAATAAACGCCGATATGTGTACTTCACATATGAAAAAAGTTAAATCAAGTAGCATCAACGAATACAGTTTAACACGAGGGGAAAGAGTACCCGTGTATATACGACCTACCGCCGAGCAAGACACGCACATACCGCCGAGCAAATGTTTGATAATGTCATCTCGTAGGAAAATGGACAATAAAGGTAATATAATGTCACTAACAATTCCTTTGGATGGTTAGAGTTGTTACTAAGATGTTCTAGCAGGCGCAATTGGCCTAGAATTATTGTTCAAATATATTTTTATGTCCAAATTAAGAGATAAGGTAAACGTATAATGGTTTTCGATTTGTTTTTCTCATCCATACTCGCTTTAATTGATAATGAGCCATACATAAGACATACTTGGGTCGGTAAATGGATGTGCATATGCATAATATATTAAGTGTCAAAATATTAGGTCAAAATAGCACTTTTGAACAGCAAAATCTTCATTTAAACTTTGTCCTAAAAGATCCGAGGTTATCGGACATCGGACCCGATGTGATCGACGAGTAATATTATAAAGATCCGAAAATATCTTGAGTAAAGGATCTCAGAATCAGAACATTACTTGAGTACAATCTGTTGAGATCCGATTATATCGTCGAGTTTATGACGTGCTGATGAAAAAATAATAAACATACAATCTGCATCATTCATGTGAATCATTTTGTTGTGAACAATAAATGAAACTGAAAAAAATATGGCTATCACCAGTTACCACTGCACATCGAAACATTGTATTTCAGGTCCTCGGTACAAATGCTTCCACTGTAGTTATAAATCACACGAGATGGATGACTTTGTGGTCCACTTCAGTCAGCACCATCCATTACTGAGTATTAAAGTTAATGTGCCTGAGTTAAATGGCAAAAAATGGATTTACAATGTTTTTGACTATGGTATTGTATTATCAAAGAAAGATCACGGTAATTTTCGTTTCGAGGATATGAAGCTTGTGAAGCTTGGGATTCTTCAAGTTGTGTTCTTTGAGTAGAATGGCGCTTGCAATGCAGAATTAAATGTTTTTGGGTTGCACTCTTACCATAGACACATAGGAAATTATGGTGATTCAAGTGTAAGCATGAATTCAATGTTTTAAAGAACTTTGCCGGAAACAGACGTTGACGTATAGTGCTGCGAGAATTATATCATATTATATTATATCCCGGTGCCAGGAGTATATGATAAATAAAAAGGAATATTTGTGATATCGTCATGATATTATATGCTCATTCGAAAGCTTACTCACTACCTCATCGGGTTCTACTCACGGTATAGTCGGAATAGCTCGGTGGTAGCTTCGGGTCCTATATAATCGTACTCGTGACATAATCGGGTCTTTCATTTTCAACTTTCACCGGTGATTTCAATGATATGCAACGTATGGCAGTGAAATAAATATGATACATTTACACCTATTGTATCTTTGAATCGAATGAAGTAAAGACAGCCATGGTTGTTACTTATTCAAGATGTAAATCATCATTCAAATATTTAAAAGTTGAATTTAGCGATTGGATAGTAAACATTGCGCTAAGTACTCATTATTTTGCCAATATGAGTGCCTGGAACAATAACTTTATCAGTTACACACAATTCTGTGTTTTATCTGTTTCTCATATTGAGAAATTCAAGATATAAACAAAAGTTTATAACTCACCCCCTACATTTTCAGACATCTTCGGGTCTTTGCTCGGCGGTAGGTTGTATATACACGGGTACTCTTTCCCCTCGTGTTTAACAAAGTTCAGTAACTATATGGCCGTGATAGTATTGTAGCATAGGAGAAAGAAAATTTCAAGTCTAACCTTTGCAATCAGATTTCTGAACCACGGGTTTTCTGCTAAGAAATCAACAGGATTAAACATTCCTTGATGTCTAACTGCTGCCATGGCGACCCAGTAGCCTCCTTTTGAGCTGCGTCTAATGTTGTCAGGGACACCTGGCAGATTATCAGCAAAAATCTCCAGTTTTCCACTTTCTATTCCACTTAGATGGTACCTACAGTTAGCAAAGAAAGGACGTCCCCTTTTTCAATAGATTAGATGCGAGTAGAAATGATCTTGATTTCCGTCATCAAATATTCAAAATTCAGTCAAAGTGATGTCATATTTGAAATCTAAATGTACAAATACATCTAAAAATATGGTTTCCAAAATTGCTTATCAACTTTGAAAATTTAATCTTTTTTGAAAATGTGACTTCTAGTTCGGGTTGATTCCCCATAGACCCCATATTACAAAATCACAAAAAGTGAAATATCTTTTCTTGTATTGGACATATAGCATTTTCTTTTACTGGACATACTTTAATTTGTATAACTATTCGATACATAATGGCTATATGAAAATTGAACCACTAAAACAGATGCAATTTGAGTTAAAGGGAACTTTCTACTAGGCATTTTCACGAATAAGTGACACTTTTCGGTATTTTTTTGTAACAGCATCCTTATTTATTCAATTTAAGGTATAAAAGAAAACAATGCTTTCTAGAAGTTGGTACCATAATGGTCTGATATGCACATCATGAAAAAATACAATATGTTGTTGCTTATTTTAAAAATCAACAAGTAATGACCCAAAATATGCTGTTTTTTGGTGTAACAAGCATTTCACTTAAATTGTGACCATGTTTACATGATCACAGAAGGGCTAATATCATAGATAGATCGACAATTCTAATACCAAGTGGTAGCTAAATCATTTATCTTTAATATGTTCTTTAAATTGTTTCAAACACTGTCATATAGCCCAAGTTGTAACCGTTTTTATATCATGACTACTCTGTAACACTTTTCCATTTTTTGGAGAGGTATTTTATGATTTTTAGCACAGAAAATCTGTAGCTGAGTATTTTCCTTCATATATCATGATTTTGAATAGCTAACATATTCATATATAACTTGTAAAAAGCTTTTCACTTGGAATTAATTAATTAACAAATAGCAAATAAAAGTTCTGAATCATTTTTTAGGAGTTACAAACCATGAGGTGTCCGTAATGGCAAAGTTTCTACATTTTACACAGTACTTATATTTTAACTATTCTTATTTTTTAATGAAATGAACACAACTTATCAATCAAATAATAATTTAACAATGATTGACCTTTTACTTTCTGATCCAGAAGCAGATATGGTGTCTGAAATGTAGTGAGGTGTCCGTAATGCTACATGATTTATCAATTCAAATTGTGAAATTTGCTTACTTTATCACAAAAATCACTGTTGAATATTTCCCAAGTGTCTCTCTACATATATTTATTAAATTTAAACTGGTATTGCCACTGATAATATTTGAAATTTTTTTACCATAAGCTACGGGGGTCCATTTTACAAACATCAGTACTGATTAAAAATGAGGCAGAAATTTATTTAAATTGATTTTAAATTCCAAGTCTTTACTAGTCATATGGAGTCAAGACTAGATTTAGTTTTTTGAAAAAAATGGAAACAAATAAAAAGAATAAATAGTTTTTAAAAAACATTACCGACACCTCAAGCCTATTGATTTTACGTTTAAAGCAAAAATAACTTATTTTCAAAGCAGTAAATAACCTTTATAAGTAAAAAATGGAGAAAACAAAGTATGCAGAGGAGGAAAAAGATATTAGGTTAAAAATACAAACCAGCAAAAGAAAATAAGAGGAAACATGTACCTGAAAGAAAATTTTTAAAATGTTGCACTTAAAAGGCAATATATCTAATAGCGATATAGAGAATCCAGTCCAAAGATTTCAACGCATTGTTAACACATTCTGAATTGACTCATGAAGTACCAAAAAAGCATTGCATCAAAAAACATGATATTTGAATTCATATAAACACAATGTAGAGTGGAGATGATGAGTTTTAATCTTTTGTGACAACTAGACCAAAGAACAGCAAGTACCCAAAAACAAAGCAGCAAGAGTGCTTCAATTTCATTTTGGATGAAAAGCATAATTCATTTTCAATTTTATATATTTATTTTAAATTGTTTGTGTCATTTGATATCCTACTCCTTAAAGTTTGTCGTGTAGTCAATTTTTTACTTTGCCTTGTTCTTTCCTTAAGCGTGTTCATTGATTTGAATTGCCTGGTTTGGCGGGTATGTGTCTTGAAGCAAGACTAATTTGTTGGACAAAACTAAAATAGTAATATGGTTCAAATAGAACGATATTACCATATAACATTCTTGTCAAAACATGCCAAATTGCAACACAAACAAGGGTATAGTAATCAGTGGTGAACAGAGATATCCATAATGTTTGAGATAAAATGACTATAATTAATTAAATAATTAAATTAAATAGGACATCCAAGTGATTTCACTTCTTAAATTGTTCAGCCCAGATACAGATTGTTTTCCTCTTGTTATCTTGCTCAATGTAAAGTATGCTGTTAAATCATACATTTCTTTGTAAAATTCAATGTATGTCTACATGTTTATTGTATACCTAGGCAAAGGGGCTAAATAAAGTTCATTCACCATACATATTCAATTATTTTGATAAACAATTGTTACGAAAAGGTTTTGTATATATATATATCTTCAAACAAAACTTACTTTTGCGACCTAAAACTGAAAAGAATTTAAAACTAGCAAATTTGAGGTGTCCGTAATGCTATCTCTTTCATCATTTAAACATAAATTGACAGATTTTGAAACAAACACAGATAATTCAGTGGATAGCAATTGAAAGACCATGGAATAATCCACAAAATTGGATACTTTTGTTGGGGCTGCAATGTGAATTTATCTAATGAAGTGACTTTATTTTGTAAAATCTAATTCATTAAGTGAGGAGGTAGATATGTTCAAAACAAATATTACTTTTTCTTCATATTTTGCAACCAGTTGTTGTACAAACTGTGTTATCAATGATATAAGACTTAAAAAAATATGTCAGAAACAAAAAAAATCCTGTTTTGAATCTTGGTTTGTGAGCATATTGAGAGTGAATTGTCCGTAATGCCAATTTCAGTACTTATAAAGGTGACAGTATTTTGTAAATTTGCAGATGCGGATACTTAGGAATTTTTACATCATCAAAAGCCTGACATATGAAAGTGTAAAAGTCTTCATAAACAATAAGGAAAACTTGAAAAACAAATTTTGACATTTTGAAATGGAAAAGTGTCACTGACCCGAGCGAGCCACCTGGTGGTGAAACTGGTAACTACCTACTCGCATTTGCGTTATTACAATAAACCATGTGTACAGTGAAGACACTAGTAGTACCACTCGGCCTTGAGATATTTCATTTTCATTTCATTACTTTATGAAGCACCATTGCGTTTGTTATAGTATACTTACTTTAAAATACGACATTTTACTGTCTCCACTATTAATAAATATTTTCCATCTTTAGTCAGGGTGACACCATTGGCAAAGTATAGGCCTCCTAGAAGTTGAGTCATGTGGCTCGTTACTGGATCAAATGCATAGATTCTGAAGAAAAACAATTTTAGAGTATGAAAATATGATAATAATGCTACATACATGTAGACAGCCTACTTTTAGCATGTTGTAAAATAGATTGGTGAATCTATATTTCCAAACATTTCATAAAACGATGGTGGTGCTTTTCATTGATATAAGACAGAGTGGTGATGTTTGTTTCAGAGTGATGGACTATGTCACCGCTCAATGTTGTGTCATACACTGAAAATGTAATGTCTCAGTCACATTTGATCTACGGCAACAGTACACAGCCGAGGCTTCCCAAAATCGAGAGAAATAAACAGCATTAAATATAGGAATGATTTAGATTTTCCATATCAATTTTGTCAAGGTACGGTCGCTGTAGAGCAAATGTGATTGAGGCTAAAGTCCTAACCAATTTCTTACCCTCCTTCTGGCTGTCCTTCAAGCATGATATACGGAAATTCTCGTCGGTAAAACTTTGAGCTGGATGAAGACAGATATATAGTGCCGTCGGAATGTATATCAAGATCATTCATTAATCTTATAAAGTGGCTACTGATCGGTGTGGAAGTGCTGTTATATAGAACAGTAAAGTCCCCTGAAAAATACACTTAGACCTGAATATCCAGCACCTCTTTGTACATGTACATTAAATACATCTCAATGTGAACAATTTATATTTTCTCTGACCAAATTTTTATTTGTTATCTTCAATTGATTTAAATGTAAAGAAATCTTGAAGTGTAAACGTCTGGAGTAGAATAAGCAAGAAATAAAGAATGTGCATATTACAAGTACAGTAAAACATGCCTAAGTTGAACACATTTGGTACCTCTAAAGTGTTACACTTGGGAGGTGTTCCACTTTTAGAGGTTGATTTAACATTAAGTCAGTTGGTATTGGGACTCTGAAGTGTTCCCCCGACATAGGTGCTTCATTTCTAGATTTATTCCACTTAACAGCTTTTGCTGTATGACTAGAGATATTGTTTGGCATGCATAATTACTAGTCTAGCTACAAGCCCTTGTGACACCCCCCCCCCCTCGCCACTACAACACGTGTTAGAAGGTGTTTAGTCAAGTAGACGGGAGTCACAGAGGCTTGTAACTAGACTACATAATTACATGGATATTGCAAATTGTACTGACTTCTAAAGTAGCAACAAAATTCCAGGGATAGCAAATACCTGTAGCAACATTGACTTTGAATAGTCCAAAATAAGCATCCGCCACTATGAGATAGCCATCTTTATCCATTTTCATACCAAGGGGTCTGCCACAATGAGGTTCATTTTCTGGACCCCCTACAAACATATTAATAAAGAATAATTAAGTGACCTCTCTCGCGGAAAATCAATGTGTTGTCTATTGGATGAAACATTATTTTACTCCTGAGGGGATATTATTCATGCAGTAGAATATTTACTCATGTGACAGAATATTTACTCATGTGACAGAATATTTACTTACATCTATGTGATTATAATAACTTCTTTGGGAAAGTTTTACTCTAGTCTTACCACACGGAGGATTTCCTAGTCGCGCCAATGTTCTCTGTTTGCCTTTAAAAATCTCCACAACTCTGCCATCTGCAGTACCTGTGTAGATATACTCTGAAAGCATAAACATCATTCCTAGATGTAAAGTAAGCCTCTCCAAAATATGGCTAAATGAAGCAATTTGAAATTGAAGAATAATTTATAACTTAGATATATGTACGTCATGTAGATAGAATAGACTGCGTTCCTGATACCTTTATTTACAAAGATTGATTCTGGTCCTAGAATTTCATTCTCAAATAGTCGCGTTGCATCTTGTAATCTTGTGTTTGGTGCAAGTGGACCTTCCAGCTTTGGTGGGGGTGACGGCAGACTAAAATACACAAAATATTTTCAAAACATGTACATTATAATGCTCCAGCTATATTGTATGATCTTGGTGTAGTTTTACTTTACATAGGTTTGACATTCATTCACCTGTATGATCTTGGTGTGAAATTACTTTACCTGTATAATTGAGGTCAATGTCGATAATTCATTTATTACTAAATACGATTATAATATCATCTATTGGATTTCTTATTTTTATTGTGTATAGACCAGAATAGGTGTATTCTGTTGCTCTCACACTATTGTGAATGTATATATTATAATAATATTGACATATTAATTATCTATTTCATATTTATGATTTTGGTGTGCTCTTACCTGTATGGTCTTGGTGTGATTGGGGATGGTAAAACGAGTGCTGCGATGACCAAACCCACACTCATCAATATTGTAGATGTAACAAGAAAGAGGCATAATCGTGGACAGAAACTGGAATATAAGATAAATGCCAGGTCATGTTACTCTATAGAATGCATATTCTACAAGATGGCCATTTTACTAGATGTATATACATTGTACAGACCAGTAGCCCCCTGGCCAAAAATACTTTCAACGAAAAAGACCACCCACCGACCAGTTACTCTCCAAAGTTGGGTACACATGGTCGATGGTCGGCTGTCAGTCTTTTACATGGAGAAAGATGCAAAATAAGAAGAGGAAAATTGAATTAAAAACTAGGAGTTCAATTTAAAGGCACTGAATTCATAGAATTAATTAATATTTTTAGCCATTTTAAACACGATGACAAACGCACATGAGAAACTACATGTACCATTGTTGTGGTCTGTAGTGTCATATTTTAAGTAATGTCTCAGTTGTTAAAAGTCATTTCATTCTTTGGATCATAATGAGAAAATAACATAAAATTATGTTCAGTGTAAAAATCAACCTCCGATCATAGGGCTTCAAAATCCAGAATATATTCTTTCTTTTTAGAAGAAGGAGGTACGGATTCTGGACACCTGCTTAGGAGGATGTGTAAAAATAAGAAAATGCTTAAAACATCTTTAAACACGCCTAACCATCGACAACGTACAGTGACAAAATATACGGGTGTACACTTTAGCTGTCTGAAGCAAAAATTGTCATTTAGGTTCTAAAAGTTTTTATCTAAGGAATATGATGAAGTATTTCATGTTTAATTTCATGTGCATGCTCTTGGCAAGACTTTTTAATTACGTTAACAGATTCTCACACAAAGCACAATTTTTTCTAGGTAATTCCACCCATGTCCCTGAGAACATTTTCCAACAGGTCAATTATGTGGGTGGAATTGCCTAGAAATAATCCGAACACTACTCGAGAATCTATTAACGTAATTAGAAAGTTAAAAGTCTTGCCAAGAATATTCCTTAGACAAATCTTTTAAAACCCACATCACAATTTTTGCTTCAAACATGAAAACGTACAGCTAAATTATTTTCAGTGTATGTGAATGATCTAGTGTCCGACATTAACAGTCTACAATGTGGAATACAAATGGAGGACGAGAACATTGGCATCCTTCTTTATGCTGATGACATAGCGCTTATTGCAAGCTCAGCTGATAACTTACAACAGATGTTAAACACTCTACATGAATGGTGCCGCAAATGGAGACTTCTAATTAACCCTCGAAAATCTAAAATAGTGCATTATCGCCCAAAATCACATCCTAGGTCAGACTTTGCTTTTAAATGTGGGGACTTTGATCTGGATTATACAGACACTTATAAATATCTGGGGATCTGGCTCCAAGAGCATGTGGACTCAACACACTCTGCCAGAGAAATTGCAAAATCGGCAAATAGAGCCCTGAGTGTAATTATCAGCAAATACAAGCAAACTGGGGGTATGGAGTTCGCAGTTTACAACAAGCTATATGACTCTTTAGTCCAGCCTATACTAAACTATGGTTCATCTTTATTTGGCCTCAACCAACATCAATGCCTGAACAATGTTCAAAATAAAGCTGGCAAGTTCTTTCTAGGTGTAAACAAACGCACTAGTAATGAGGCTGTTAGAGGAGATCTCGGATGGGACACTCCACATTTAAAACAAAAGGTGGAATGTGCTAGATTGTTCATTAAACTGAAGTCCATGAATCAGAATAGGCTGAATTTTAAAATACATGAATGGTCCATTAAACGAAAAAACAGTTGGGACTTTAAAGTTAATTCAATGTTAAATACATGTAATATAAATTTCACTGGTCATACCAAGGACATTTTAAAACAGTTTACTAACTCTCTTCGAAATTCTGATAAATTTATCCATAACATATGGGATGATAGAAATAATGAAATTAATGGCAATAAATTGAGGCAATATAGACTGTACAAATATGGTGTTTGCAAGGAAGGGTATTTGGCCCTACCAAAGCATCACCGTAGGTCACTCGCTAGATTCAGAACTGGTACTTTACCCTTAGCAATTGAAACAGGGCGCTACACAGGTATACCATTACACGAAAGGAAATGCTTATTATGTGACATGAATTGTATTGAAGATGAAAAGCATTTCTTATTAGAATGTAGCCATTATGATGATCTAAGATGTGATTTTTATGAAAATGTTAAACAGAAATTGCCTTATTTAGATGTAACATCAGCCAATTCTACACTTCTTTTTGTCTCCATTATGAATTGTACTTCACTCCAAAGACCATTAGGAGCTTTAGTTTATAATATGTGCAATAAGAGATCTCTTAATATTGATAGGCTATAATCACTAAATGAGTATGCATGTCACCTAAGTTTCCTTTATAAAATATTTATTTAAAATGTATCTAGTCAGAAACTCCTTGGTTTTATGATGCCTCTTTTTAGTGCTTCGAGCTATCAACCTTGGGGAAGATGGTCTCAATTCACTACTGCAGAGGTGTATATTATCTATGGGGTTCTTTTTTATTTATTCACTGCTCATGCAAATCACATTTAGTGCAATATATGTATTTATTACTCAATATGCATCTCACATTTAGTGCAATATATGCATTTATTGTAATATTTGTCTTCAAACATATGCATTATGTATTTCACATTTAGTGCAATATTCATATTAATTGTAATATTTGACCATATGCAATATACTACTTACATTTAGTGCAATATATGTATTTATCATGCAATATGCATCTCACATTTAGTGCAATACATGTATTTATTGTAATATTTGTCTTCAACCGATGCATTGTGTATTTCACATTTAGTGCAATGTTTATATTTATTGTAATATTTGACCATAGTGCAACATGCTACTTACATTAAGTGCAATATATGAATTTATTGTTATAACAGTCTTCGACCATATGCATGATACAATTCACATTTAGTGCGATATTTGTATTTATTGTAATTTTTGACCATATGCAACATGCTACTCTCATTTAGTGCAATATATGTATTTAATATAATGATTGACAATATCATTCCATGAACTACTTATTTATTTATGCCAAACTGATTAATCAGACTGAATTTATATCATTGGTTATTAATCATGTATAAATTTTTACCAGGGACATTTTTTGTGTCTGTCTTTATGAGTGTTGACCCAAGCTGCCCATTGGGGGTAGTAATGGGTGACACTCAGATATAATGTATACTGTGTCTCATAAGTCGGCACCGGCTGGTGATGTTACAAAATGTTGTTTTTATTATGTATTTTATATGTATATTGTAATGTCAGTGACACAAAAATAAACTATTTTAAACTAAACTAAACTAAAAATGTACAACCGTATATTTTGTCACTGTACGTTGTCGATGATTAGGCGTATTAAGATGTTTTAAGCGTTTTCTTATTTTTATACTGAACATAATGTAATGTTAGGTGCATTTTCTCATAATGATCCAAATGTAATGTTTGATTCCTCAGTTGTTCAACGTCAACCTAGTAAAAAACTACAATCAATATGACAAAATAGCTTTCCAATGGTGTGATTATTTCGTTAGTCACTTTTGATAACCGGGAGACATTAAGCTGGCATATAAAATCGAAACGCCAACCTGTACGCATAAAATTGCCCTATAATAATGCATGTATTTTTCTCACACAAATAATCGTTCGGTCACAGTGTTTACTTTTAGTCCGTTACTTAGACCATATGTCATTGATACATGTAGTTATATAGCTGGTTTTCTATGATACATATATATTTTAAACATGCTCGTTTCGTAAGATCTTTGGAACTATAGTATTTAATAATTTAATAATTATGACATACATATTTTCTTCAGAAATCATTATACTGTGCATCGAAATCAAAATTGCCAGCATAGCATTCAATGGGAATGAGTATAATGATTCCCGTTGACATCAATGTGAAATCGTAAATCTCTCGAAACAGAAGCTGATCGAGTATCTGAATTAGACGAATTAGCGCTAGTTTTTCATGCGCGCTATATATGCCTATACAGGCATTACTGTATCTTGATTCGTGGACTTTGCCCTCGCTGTTACGTTGTGAAAAACATCAGCCAGCTTTAAGTCTCCATTGACTGAGAATGCACGTAATCAGTTTTACAATAACAAATAATCTATAATTTAATTTAATTAGAAATACGTAATTTTCATCAAATATAAGCCTGTTGATTAGGATAGCCAACGTTCCCTTGGCCTTTGCTTCTGATTGAAAGAGACGCTAGATATTTGACTAAATCTACTGGAACATGCCATTGATATACTATTTGCATATGTGCATGTCAACAAATGTAGTTGTATTTATACATGTTCAAATTAATTACCTTGTTCCTTTCTTTTGTTTGGTCTCAATGTTTTCATTTTGAAATTCTTTCAAATTTGACGATTTATCCCCTTTTCTTTGTCTGACGTTGCCTGACATCACTTGATTTTTCCCGAAATATGTAATATGTGATATTTTTCATCTACTGAAATCGATAATCAAGTCTTTACACGATGCAAGTTAGTATAATGAACTTTGAAACAGATGTTGTTTTTAGTATCAGGTTTTATCCCGGAAGTGCCCAGGAACACCTTTAATTTCTACATCCACTCTAAGTAGTCCCGTGATCATATAGTGCAAAATTAGCTTGATGATATTTTGATTGTAAATTTTGATTGTAACAAGATAAACCCCTATCTATGACTTGATTCATTTGATAGTTTTGATTACAGTTTTTGTTTTTATTATGAAAACCATATCGAGCCAGTAAAACTACTTGATAACTACTTATGGAATTATTACGCGAACACTGTACGAAAAGACTGCCCCGGGAAATTTAAATGCGTAATGTACTTATTGTATTCCGTCCTCGGGTCACGCGACAAGGCTTGTTAATTGGTAGTCACTGGGATGAATGTCCGAGCATGGATGTAGTCAGGCATGAGGCAACTTTACAAATTGTGTATAACACTGATCAACTCAGTATTAATAAGTTTCACGGGTTGTATCCAAAGCCCCGTTATAATTGAGAGGTCGCGAGCAAGTTCCCGCTGAAATCACGAGCAAAGTCCTTTTTATTTAATTCATCTGGAAATATGGACCAAAAAGGTAAGAATACGCATTACTGTTCTTTGATACTTTAGGTATACTTTCAGAACAGGTATATCTTCACAAACAATGACATGAAAGATAACTATTTTTACTGGCATGGAAGAAACGGGCGTCAATATGCACGTTTGCATAATTTACTGTTAACATATTACTTTTATGGTTAAAATAGAGACACGAACTACGATATACATACCTCATTATGAATATTGGAACAACATTGTATGTATTGATAAGTTTGTTTTCAAAAACATCCACTGTGGGGGGTGAAATACATCATTGAAGGTGTGCCAGTGGCCCCGCTGAAATTATGAGGAAGCCCCGCTGAAAACACGAGGAGGTCCCGCTGAAAACAGGAGCAGATATCACGAGTACCCGCTTCGATCACGAGGAAAGCTCATTACTATAACATAAAATATTGAGGTTCTTCAAATAAACGTACTCGAAAGACCAAGTTAAGTACTTCTAATAATTACTGTATATATACTGTCTCATTCTAGGGCCAGGTTTCTAATGTTTCCATTCCAACTTCAAGCCACCAGAGATTTCGTCAAACATTTTATAGAGTTGCATCCATATCAAAATGTATAGGAGAAAGGTGGATATCATTTCAAGAATGAACTTAATTGAAGCCTGAGGTTCAGGGTAATGAGTCTTGTATTAAACAAAGACACCCCAAGTTGCAAGAAGATGAAATTTAGAGAGAAAGGAGAACCACAAAGTCTCCATGATAATTCAGGTTCTACTTTTGTAATTTAACAATAACATTTAACAATAACATTCAAGTTTTTGTTTTTAAATATATATTTATTAAAATAATGATGATTTGTATTCCATACCTGATAATTTTCAGGGACATATCAACCAGGAATATATTCCATATCCAGGCAAATATTTTTCGTATGTCCCGCTCAAATGTGGATCCGGGACATATAAATCGTATGTCCTGCATAAGCCATTTTCCTGGACATATTGTTACGCGGTAAACACGATACAAATATATGTCATATTCCACAATGAATATGGCATATTCACTTGTGGAGTATGACAGATTCACCTGCGGTATATGGCATACTCACCTGCGGTGTAAGGCATATTCTGCAAGTGAGTATGACATATTCTGCGAGCATGGGGTATTTACTGAAATCAATGCATCACATATTCAATACGGAATATGCCATATACACCCGTATCACAAATACCACGCAACCATGAATATATGCCATATTCTGCGTAACACATACGATGTTACGCGGAGTATGGCATGCATTTATGGTTGCGTGGTAGTTGTGATACGGGTATACAGTATATGCCATACTCACCTGCAGTTTATGGCATATTCCGCAGGTGAGTATGCGATATTCCGCCGTGAATATGCGATACACTGATTTCAGTGAATACCTGATAGTCACCTGCAGAATATGTCATACTCACTTGCCGAATATGTCATATACCGCAGGTGAAAATGACACAATGATTACCCGTTTGTTCAATCAATGCAATTGACAATTGCGTACTTCCGTATCGTGTTCTCACTGCTTAGTGGGTATGCAATATACTGCAGCTGAATCTGTCATACACATAACATAAGTGAATATGCCATATTTATTGCAGAATATGACACATATTTGCATCATGTTTTCCGCGTAACACGTGCGTTTAACATAACCTACGATTAATTGTTAATGATGAAATTATTTGATTATTATTATTTCGGACTCATAATCGGATGATGTACTCCTTTGTTACTTACATCTAGCAGTTGATCCATAAATTGCCTTTTCAAACGTGTGCGCCATTGGTGCTGAATCCTCTAAGGTAGTAATATACTGAACTACAGTATAATGTAACTTCAGTGAAATATAAATATATATTGCATACAAAGAAGAACGAGTTGTTTGAAACTTGTCAAAAGTCGTGGAATGGATTTAAATCTTCTCTTGGTAAATTTCTCGATGGAGTCAGGTCGAAATACATTAAGTGAAATGGTTTTATTGGAATCATGCTCGTAGTCAGCTTTTGGTAAGGGGTGGGGTGGGGTGGGGTTGCTCGAACCGATAATAACAATGACAATGATATATATGTGCTCTGTAGAGTATCAATAATTAATATATTTATGACGTTGGCTACAGTCGTGGCAGATTTGCAAAGTCAAATCGGTCTTCACTCCATTTTAGAGAGCCACTTGCTCCTGATTTCAGCGGGACCTCCTCATGTTTTCAGCGGGGCCTCCTCATGTTTTCAGCGGGATCTTTAGTTTATTGCTCATTGTAGAAGCGGGGCCTCAAGGGATATGCTAAATTTGAAATATATAATTTTTTGTGAAACTTTAGGAAGTGAAACTCACAATACCTTCATTTCATATTACTATGACCATTTCAACTGAAGGGCAATGACCTTCTTCAGCTATAAAATATAGAAATATATAGATAAAGATTCAAGATGATACATTCTCTCTCCAATTATCAAATAACAAAACTCAGAACATCAGCTCGTGATCCTTTTTTGCAGAAGTTGCTTTTTAGTATCAATACCATGTAATAATTGAGTAAAATTAAATGAAAACGCTTTTTACAACATACAATTTAAGTAAACAAAAGATAACCCTTCTTTTCTTTTAATTGCTCGCGATTTCAGCGGGTATTTGCTCGCGACTTCTAAATCATAGCGGGGCTTTAGATACTACCCGTGAAGTTTGCACCACTTAGTTGTATCCGGCACATGATGTACATAGAAGTAGTAGAACTTCTGTCAGTCTCTAAGGGCACGGCCACTGTATTATCAAGGCATGGACAAACTACAATGTTACATGTTTTTAGAAGAGGCGTGACTAGCGGGGGCCCACTTGCCCATTTTATCAACGTACGCACGTCAGATTTCCCGCTTTTTACAGTGTACAAAAAATCAAAACATTGAAACCCGGGTGATGAGATGAGTAATTTCGCTGTATATATGTCACAAAGTAAATAAGATAACTTTAGGTTATCCGTAGCTTTTGAGTACTTTAAATCCAGGACTGAATCATGATCGAAGCCAGTGTGCCGAATGTAGGCTTTAAAATTCTTGTCAACAAAAATGTCTACACGAATTTAATTGTTTTAGCTCATTGTGGTCATTCTATGTGTTCCTGTGTACATCTGTGTTTCCAATTATCGCCAGACTTGACTTGAGTTCGGATTTTAACAATCTGTGAAACGATCTCTCTTTCAGCGCTTTTGCTTGTACCGATTGTTGAATTCAACTATAATGCAAATCCACAGAAGCGAAATCAAACGTTTGAATTTTTCAAATCAAGATTTTTATTAAACATTAATCTTCATGAATCGATTACAATATGTTTTCGTGAAATATTTACTTTTCATCACAATTGATCTTGGAAATTCTTCTTTCTTTAAAACTTGAGAGTAAAATGCCACCACCTGCCATTTGTTACGGACGCCCAACGCCAACCGTCGGACACTGTCCACAAAAAGTGTGGAGACTACAAATGTATAACAATATGCCACAACTTCTTCTTTTAATTCACCTTGGCCAGCGAGATTATATTAAGTACATAGCACGCATTGTAACCTCTGCCATAAATATAATATATTACAATAAATAAGATACCTAAGATACCTCAAGAAACCTTAAGATGTACATCATTACTAAAACTAAAATTTGACCTGACACTAGGAAAAATGATAACGGCAATAAACTACGAACCTACAGAACCCTCAAGAAAGATTTTAAATATGAACATTATTTAAATATAATCGACAGACTTGATATGCGAAGAAACTTTACACGTTTGAGAATAAGTGCTCACAACCTCCACAATGAGCAAGGGAGATATACAAAACCAAAGAAAAGCCCAATTGAAGAAAGACTGTGTGTCCATTGCAATATTATTGATGATGAAGAACATTTTATGATGAAGTGTAAAAAAATATCAAAATGAAAGGTTATTACTTCAAACTGAATTATCTGATACGGCAAAATCACAAACAAATCAATTTATATACCTCTTAACTTGTATAAATCAAGATTGCATCAAGGTTGCAAAATATATTAGTGATGCCTTCGAATTTTATAAAGTAATACTTGATTTAGAAAGGCTAATTCCTGCTGCTCAAAAACATTTTGTAGTAACACATATTTTACATTTTACAGTTAGGCATATATTATATGTAGTATATAGTAGTCTAGTGTTAAATCATATATATTCTTTTTATGTATTACACTTTCTTGTACCTGACCCTCAGGGGTGTGAATGTACTCAAATAAATATTCTCTTTGATTCTATTACATGATAACATCCGGCAAATATTTTAGTATACTGCAAGATGACCTACAGTCATACATGTACATTGTAGGATATTGCATGATGACCTCCAGCATACAACTATATTGAAGGAGGTACAGTAGATGCAGTATAGGATATCCTATGATTTTGAGTGATTTCATTTTCATCCGACTTGATGTCAATATCCGGACGAGTGACACATCACTTTGACTACGAGGAGGAATAACCCCAGGGTTCAGAGATGACATAATGTAAATCTGTATTGAGAAGACATCGTCGGTAATTGGTCAAATCGACAGACAAATTACGTCATTCAATGGCGGTTTCAAAACCCGCTTCGAATGCTAATGATTTCTGACGTATTAACGAATATCATAGCTCAATATTTCACATCAACTAATATAGTAGAAAGATGTAACGAATATGCCGACATCAATTAAAGCACCACAACGAAGTGTGTTATTCGGAAACTAGCTGGTGAAAATTCGAACAAACGAAGGTGGTAAGCAAGAGAAGTGTCTGTCAACTCTAAAGCTGTGTGGCTTTCCCTCCTCTATGATTGCCTGGAGTTTTCAAATCCGTGGAAAAAGTGATATCTGTGGAATATTCTCCGTATTCTATATATATCACTTTTCATCGCATTTACAAAATATCATAAATATATTTACATGTCACAAGTTATCATACAGATTTGAACTCAACTCCCGGACTCAACTATGGGATGATGAAAGATTCTCAACAGGCATACACATACAAATATATTGCAGAATTTTGGATGACGACATGAAGATACACATACATGTATAGTGTATAGGACTTTGCATGATGACTTCAGGCATACATGTACGTATATTGTAGGATTTTGCATGGTGACTTCAGGCATACAAGTATACATTTGCAGGACTTTCCATGATGGCCTCAGGCATACATGTATAATATTGCAGGACTTTGCATGATGGCCTCAGGCATACAAATATATTGCAGGACTTTGCATGATGGCCTCAGGCATACAAATATATTGCAGGACTTTGCATTATGACATGAAGATACACATACAGTAGAACCTGTATATCTGAACACATGGCTAATCCGAACACCTCCCAATCTGAACACTTTTTTCGGTTCCATTTTTTCCTCCCAATGACTTCCATGTTAAAAAAACTTGGAATGTGAACACCTCTCAATTTGAACAGTGAACAGTCATATTTGACAAATTAACCTGTCTAATCTGAACACTTTTCATAAAATTTCACATGTTTCATACAAAATTGCTCAAATAGTGTTATGATATCAAAACCTTGGGAAAGAACTTGAATGGTCTTGATTATAATAGGGCTTACCAACATGACTAGATTCATTTGAATCGAATTTTCAAATTTCTGAAATGCCATGAAGCTATGTGGTCAAATGAACTATACATATGTACTGAGAATGTGAAATAAATTTATGCAAATACATTCTCGCGAATGCAAAAATCTCGAAATGTGAACATCTCCTAATCTGAACGCTTTAAGCTGGTCCCAATGGCGTTTGGATTAGACAGGTTTTACTTTACATGTATATTGTATATTGACTTGACATAATGACCTCAGGCAAGTTGACCTCTCAGGCTGCTATACATAACATGTACAACTTAGTATATACAAACAGGCATGGCTTTTATAATATATGCACATCTTATACTCAAGTACTATTTCTATTCTATTATCAATATATTTGTAAATGTAATTTTAGGGGATGACTAAAACAGTATTTTTGGAATCTTTTCCAATCTTGGCACATTTTTCTCAAATTCCGACAAAATAGTCACTTGAAGGCTAGGTAGTATTCATATAGGCTATTTGCTGTCTCTCAGACTAGGATCTATGGCTCCAATAAAATTGACACTTCAGTATTTCTCAAACTGCAATGTAGAGCTTTTCTGTGAAGTGGGGAATTGGTCTCCTTCTCCCATGGCTACTTCATCAACCTCTGGACCAGAATCAGTTGGAGGACTCTGCAGTTCTGGAATTATAAATGCCACAATGTTATATTCTGGGTGTTTTGTAATTGTGGTAGGGAGTAGTGTGTTTGTGTTATTTAGAGAGCCAAGTTAGCAATAAATGAGTTAAACATGAATGAGTTAAACGGGTATGAATTAAACAAGAGTGAGTTGAACAGCAATATGTTTTACATCAGTAAGGAATATATAGAACAGCAATGTGTTATAAAGGAATATGGTGAATAGCAATGAATGAGTTGAACAGGAATGAACTGAACCACAATGAGTAAACAAGGCATTAACATGACAAAATGTCACCACCTAAAGGTCAATTTGAAGCAAGTTGAAAACAGACCTTTTTGACCTTTTTTGACCTTGAGAAGGTCATTAAAGGTGAAATGTCAAATCTAGAGTCAGATTTGAATTTCTGAGAACATGTAGATGATTTAAAAAAAAAAATTAGTCAATTTGAAGCAAGTTGAAAAAAGACCTTTTTGACCTTGAGAAGGTCATTGAAGGTAAAATGTCAAATCTAAAGTCATATTTGAATTTCTGAGAACATGTAGATGATTTTGAAAAAAAAATTTAGTCAATTTGAAGCAAGATGAAAAAATACCTTTTTGACCTTTTTTGACATTGAGAAGGTCATTGAAGGTCAAATGTCAAATCTAAAGTCAGATTTGAATTTCTGAGAACATGTAGATGATTTTGAAAAAAAAATTTAGTCAATTTGAAGCAAGTTGAAAAAAGACCTTTTTGACCTTTTTTGACTTTGAGAAGGTCATTGAAGGTCAAATGTCAAATCTTAAGTCAAATCTAAAGTCAGATTTGAATTTCTGAGAACACGTAGATGATTTTGAAAAAAAAATTTAGTCAATTTGAAGCAAGTTGAAAACAGACCTTTTTGACCTTTTTTGACCTTGAGAAGGTCATTGAAGGTCAAATGTCAAATCTTAAGTCAAATCTTAAGTCAGATTTGAATTTCTGAGAACACGTAGATGATTTTGAAAAAAAAATTTAGTCAATTTGAAGCAAGTTGAAAACAGACCTTTTTGACCTTTTTTGACCTTGAGAAGGTCATTGAAGGTCAAATGTCAAATCTAAAGTCAGATTTGAAGGTCAAATGTCAAATCTAAAGTCAAATCTAAAGTCAGATTTGAATTTCTGAGAACATGTAGATGATTTTGAAAAAAATTTAGTCAATGTGAAGCAAGTTGAAAAAAGACCTTTTTGACCTTGAGAAGGTCATTGAAGGTCAAATGTCAAATCTAAAGTCAGATTTGAACTTCTGAGAACATGTAGATGATTTAGAAAAAAATTGAAGTCAGTCTAAACAGTATTTGTAAAGTCATAGGAAGTTGTAAGAAATTGTTACAGACGCCGGACGCCAACCTCCAACCACCAACCACCAACCGCCGTCACAATAAAAACGGAGACCATAACAATATGTCACCACTTTTGGTGGTGACATAAATAGGAATGAATAAGTTGAACAGGAATTAGTTGAAGAGCAATAAATTGAACATGAATAAGTTGAACAGCAATGAGTTGAACATGACTGAGTTAAACAGGGATGAGTTGAACAGGAATGAGTTAGAACAGGATTGAGATGAACACCAATTATTTTAACAGAAATGAGTTGAACAGGAACAGGAGAGAGATGTACTGCGATGAGTTGAGCAGGACTGAATTGTACAGCAAAATGTTGAACATGAATATGTTTAACAGAAATGAGTTGAAAAAGAATAACTTACATGGAAGGAAACGGAACAGCAATGAGTTGAACAGGAATGAGTTCAACAGGGATATGTTGAGAAACAATGAATTAAACAGGGGGGGGGGGGGGGTGAGTTGAATAGGAGTGAGTGAAATTGGATCAAGTTGAGAAGGAATGAAATGAACATGGAGGAGTTAAACATATAAGAGTCAGGAGTGAATTGAATACGTTACTAGCAGTTGCACAGCAATCAGTTTAACGGGTCTGAAATGAACAGCATTGAGATGAAAAGCATTGAGATGAACAGCATTGAGATGAACAGGATTATGTTTGGAACTGATGGAGTTAAAACAGATGGAAATTAAACATGAGTGAGATGAACAGAAACTAGTTGAACATCAATACTTGAACAGGAGTGAGTTGAAAGCAGTAAAATTGAATTGGTAAAACCACTTACTCAAGCTTAAGATTATGGAAGAACACTGAAGTTGAGAGTCGATAAATATTTTTAACAAATGATTAATGTGTGCATTTTTAACTAAAGGATCTGCTTAACATGTTGGGTCAGGTTGTCTAGGATAAAAATGAGCATAGTGGGCCTCTAATCTACAGTATCTAAATCATATTAAGGAGAGAATCAGATATAGCGAGCAGGCTAAACACAACATTTTTCAATTTTAGAATATTCTTGGCTCATGTCATTCCTTGTCATGCCTATTTTCTAAAAATCACAAAAGTGCATACTTTATTCCAGGAAAACTAAAGATTTTTACAATAATGTATTATTTTTGTATAAGAATGGCTACTATTCTTATTATTTGGGAGAATTAAAAAAATGTTCAATCATTTTTGTACTTTGAATCATTAATAACTTCACCAATTTATAAAATATTATGAATCTTTTGGGAGATATTGTATTTGATATTGTAAGGAATAGATTGGTAGGTCAATTATACATGTTGCTTGTAATTTTGTGATCTGATTCTGCCTTTAATTAAAGGAGTGTGTGTACCAGGTTTGATCAGGTGATAGTGAATCGAGGACTTCTGAGGAATCTGTAAGTTCAGTATCATTGGGGAGGGGGTCAGGGCATATCCCACCTGCCACTTGTAAACTCTCATATTGTGCCTGCGATTTCATATCCTGTCGCACCCACCTGAAAAGTTGATATTTGAGTTGACTGCACATACATGTACACATGATCATTAAAAGGGTGAGATTTGAAAGATATCTTTTCTTATAGACGTACTTTATTTTCTAAGAATGGTACATGAATACTTACAAAAGCTAACCATCATTTTTTTACATTATAATTCTTAGTTTTATTCAACAACCATGACATCATGGCTTAACCTGATGACATCTCAAATTTTTTAAATGCTAAAAAATCTAATGGTTGTTTTAAAAATGAAACTAAAATGTTCAAATCATGTTTGCTTAATGATCTATACAATAGAATTGTTTTACAAAAAAGTGTTGTATTTGATGATCAATAAATTTAAACTTTTGCAACTAAAATGGCGAGAGACTCAAATATTAAAATCCCCAAAACATTTTTTTTCAAATGCCAACTTTTAAAAAAAATTCCAAACTACTTTTTTAAGTCATAACTTTAAGTCATAAATTATATCAAATAGTTAAACAATATTTTCAAACTTTGGCTGCAGCCTCTCAAACTTATACTTACACAATTAATATAATAGGTATCAACATCATACCAGCTGCTGCAAAGAAGCTGAAGCCTGGGTAGAACTTCAGTGTGGCTGGATAGAGGTTGTTGAATATGGTTGACCCTAGCAACGTACACAGACTCTCACCAATGCCAACTATTGCAAACATCTTACCTAAAATTCATTGAGAAGGAATGGTGTCAATGGAACTTAGTTTCATTAGGGGGTGGGGTATACTAAACTTTTGTTTAATCACAACAAATTGATTTCATTTTTCCATGACTGTAAAAGTTTGAAATTTCATTACTAAGAAAGTTGAAAACAGAATTAAAATACTGCATTTAGTGCTGTACTTATGTCAGAGATGGTTGCTAAATATGGTTCCAGCACAGCCATAAATAACTGTAACTGCAATGTTTTAGGTACATATCCAATTTAGGTTTACAACTACCTGTGTATTGAAACACATCAACTCTATTGGAGATAGTATCTCACCTTGTTCATTAGGTTCAACTAGTTTTGACATCAATGCTCTCATACCAGCTACAGTGAAACTCTGGAACATTGCCAGCGGGGCAACTGAAAAAATATGAGTTACAATATCATTTTTGTTTCCCATGTGTTATAAATGCAAAATATACATAACACTTGTGTGATCTGAACACCACCCGAACCAGCAAAGAGTATTTGGATTGATGGGTGTTCACATTTCGAGGTAACAATGGCAGTATCATGTATATGACAAATTACAACAAGGGTCCTAAAAAGTGTTCACATTTGAAGGTGTTCAATTGGAGAGGTGTTCAGATATACAGGATTCAAAATTTGAATATTGATCAATGATGCAATTTGAAAAGTACATAGAATAAATTACATTTCTTTATTTCAATACAATGTTTAACAGGTTGATTCCAATGGCATATATTGATTTGTGCATGCAAAAATTGGCGTTGGACAAAATTCTACATCAGAATACATTCTACAGTATACATCAGGTGAATACATTATACATCAGGTGAATACATTATAAACTAGAAATACAATGTATATAATCAAAATTCATTATAAAATGTTCAGATACATTTTCAATTGTTCTGACAATCTCCAAAGACAAGGAAAATGTATTCAAAGGAAGTAGAAGAGACAGAAAATGATTGTTGAAAAAAATTCAAAAGCATGCCAATGTTACCCTTTCAATCCTTACTTCATTTTCTGAAAAAGGAATAAAGATATCTGACCAAATATAGAAGTTATTGGAGGTTCACTATGTAGAAATCAATGAGCAAATTTTTCATTCATTCAGTTATTCAGCACTACAGTAAAGACTCTCTAAGTGGAACACCTTTGGTACCTCTAAAATGTGTTCCACTTGGCAGGTTTTCATTTAACATTAAAGGGGCAACAAGGCCTGTAGAGAAAATTCAAAATTTTTACTTTTTCTAAACCATCAGGGTAACATTTGGCTTAACATCTTCTTTGACATACCTATTTTCTTAAAATGTATGGATAAACTATCAATTTCAGCATTAAGAAGTTTAAATTCAGTTCAAAGCTTCTATAAAGGGAGTCCCACTTATAGATTTTCAAGATACACCACGTTTCAAGAGGAATATCAGCTGAAATAATGTTCATTCAAGGGGTTTCTTTGGAGATAACAAAAATATATCTTGATGAAATATTGAAACTTATATATATTTTGACACTGGTCCATGATCATTGAATGGCCCCTCTGCACTAATTGTTGCACCTTTAAATCAGTTGGTATTGGAAGTCTGAAGTGGTTCTGAGGTCTTCAACTTCTAGAGATGTTCCAGACTTTACTGGTTTCACTGTATATCATTCTGACTCCTTAGAAAATATGCAATAGAATGATCAAAAGATATTATGAATTTTCAAAATTTACTCTCAGCTCATCTCTGTATTCTACTTCCTTTAAATAATAGATTCTTACCTAGGAAGACCATCCATGTATATTTCGAAAACCCAAAAAGCACCAGTCCTCCAATCTTTGACAGAGCACCAAATAATATGACAGATGTGTCATGTATGTCCGTACATTTCTTAGCGATCGGTAATATGGCAATAAGCGCCAGCCCCTGAAGCCCGTTCATCAGAGCCTTGAAGTAGCCGTATAATTTGATACCACGCCAACTCAATGGTGGATGTTTTGTGTAGAGTAGGGCAATCTCTTCAAATCCTGTAATGGAATTACATGAAAACATTTCAGTTAATACCCCAGATATGCATTAACATTGTAAAGTCAATCATTAAAGGGATAATACCTGTAATTTTCATCCTAAATAATTCTGAATATGTAAATTACACAATATTAATCTTCTCTGTAATGATTTCAAAATTCTGACCAGCAAAAATGTTGCATGTTAGGTTGTTTAGTAGGTCAGTGCACTGACACTTAAAATATATGATTAATATATAAATATTAAAGAATTGCATCACTTGAGTATGAACTCATAAAGGGAAAGAAGTGGACTGATGTGCTTTACCTATATTCTCATTAACAATATGACCAAGTGTGATGACCCTGAAAATCATGCTATTCTCCATCTACACATTTTTCAAGAGTGAGGACATTAAGCAGGCCCGTAGCCAGAATTTTCAAAGGGGGGGTACACTATTCCAAACAATTCTAGGGCCAAAAAAATGGCCAGAATGGTGAAAAACTGCATGATTTTGGTAGAAATTTTGGCCAGGGGGGGGGGTTCATCCGAACCCTCCAAGCCCCCCTGGCTATGGGGTTGTTAAGATTCAAGAACTTTAGAGACATCTACACTCAATTTTTATTCCCTTACCTATGCTCACAATCAATGTGAAAAATACTGCTAACAGTGTCAGAAGCAAATGTAATCTCCTTTGTCTCTCTCTGGGCTTGAATACACACATCACAGATGACTTTAGGTGAGAAAGGCTGAATAGAAAACTACAGTAGTTTTTTCCTTGTCTTTGGTCCTCCGTGGGTTTTATATCCTTGACGAATATTAATGTATAGATACAGGCTAGAACTTGGGATACAAGCAAGAAGGAGAACACAAATGTAAAGCTGGTGTTTTCTAGCATTATTCCACTCACTAATACACCAAGAGTGGAACCCATGAATGTCATAGATTCTAAGATGCCGATGCGTATTGTCCTTGTTCTTGGGTCGGCGATGAAACCAACATAGCTGAAAACCGACATTATCGCAGTAACAAATCCTCCCATAATTCCATTTATCGTACTGCTGACTAAAACAAGAGGTAACGGTACAGTTTCCATATGCACAGATAGTATGATGTAATTCAGTGACGATAGACATGCGCCAATGATAGGCAGTAATATTGGCAGTTTGCGACTGAATCTATCTGCCCATGAGCCTATAAATGATGCAGAAATCAACGAAGGAATCGTAAGACATAGCGTCCCATAAAAAATCCAATGCGAAGCTTCAGTCTGTGTGTATTTCTCTTGTTCCTTGTATTCAGGATTTGTTAGGTTTGTACATATGCCGATATCTTTGTATTTATCAAAGCATGTTTTCCGATAAAGAAATTGCTGGAAAACTGAAAATTGGGTGAATTGCGCCAGCATATATAGGAAAAGAACTGGTTCGACAGTTATGGAGCGAAAACAAGACGCTATCCTAGTCGTGCATTTTTGGCAGCCCATTTTGTAAATTGTATGTGTACCAATGATGTATCAAACTGTAAAAAATAAAACTGAGCATTAGAAAGCTACACTCATGTTGGCTCTAACAGTAAGTCTGCACAGGAGGCTAGGCTAGATAAGGGTTCTTCAACAATACTGTACATTTGTATTTCTGACAGTGACATGACATTCCAATCCAAACACAGGGTTCCAAACTCAATTTTCGTGAAAAAGATTCCTCAGAATGTAAATTTAACATATCTAACACTATCAAGAAAATTATCATATACATTTATCAGATTCAAATAGTGGTACAAGTCTGTCTATGTAAGAAAATATCAACTTTTCTATCCTGATTTCAATGTTCTTACTTTTTCTTCTTTTTTCTTTTTTCATTATCGCCCACTAGTCATGTGACTGTCACGTGACCCATTGCTATAATAAACAACATGGCTGCCAATATTTTTGTAATAACTATTTTCTTTGGTATTTTCTTCATTTACTCAGTTCATGGAATAGAAGGAGCAGAAAATAAACCCCCAAATATACTTCTTATAATCGCCGACAATCTAGGGCATGATGACATTGGCAGTTTTGGGAATGCAGATGCCAAAACACCAAATTTGGATCAGCTTTCAAATGAGGGTATGAAATTCACCAGAATGTACAGTCAGCCAAGTTCAACAAGTAGCAGGGCTGCAATACTAACAGGTTTGTCCTTCATCACCATGTTATTTAGTGTTTTTAAGTGTCGCAAGGATCCTGCCATGATCGTGGTATTGTTATCGTGAAAGCCTGGTATAACCTAGTTCAACAAGTTAAACCTAGTCTGGGCCTTATTTCTTATCTGACATATCTTGTGGCCCGCCCTAGGTTTAACTTCCGTGCCTATTCAGCCCTTGATGCAAAAAAATTTAATGGTGGCCTATGGTTCCGCATGAAATTCGATGCGCGTTTAATTAATAACTGATGGTGGGAATTTGCAACAAACGAAAGCATAGCACGGAAGTTAAACCCAACCACGGCAACACGAACATTCAGATTAAAAAATGAAAGCCGTGGTATTGGGTTTAACTTGTTGAACTAGGTATAACCGTGACAATGCTATATTATATTGCAAGGCCTGTCATGGATAATGTTCAAGCCTGATATTACCGTGACAATTGAATATTCACGTTCCGAATGAGATTAGAATTATAGTTCGTGAAAATGAATTATGAGTTAAAGTAGTAGACTAGTCTAGATTTACATATTTAAGGTAGATAAACGATTAAATTTTTCATTACAGTATTCTCATGCTACTAAATGTCACTTATATAACCATTGTCACGGTCATATTGTGCTTTAACATTACCACAGTCATGACAGGCCTTGCAACCATTGTCATGGTCATGTCAGGTTTTAACATTTCCACGGTCATGACAGGCCTTGCAACCATTGTCACGGCCATATCAGGCTTTAACACTACCGCGGTCATGTCAGGCCTTATAATATAGTATAGCATTGTCACGGTCATATCAGGCTTTAAGATTACCATGGTCATGACAGGCCTTGCAACTATTGTCACAGTCATATCAGGCTTTAACATTACCACGGTCATGACAGGCCTTGCAACCATTGTCACAGTCATATCAGACTTTAACATTACCACGGTCATGACAGGCCTTGCAATATAGTATAGCATTGTCACGGTCATATCAGGCTTTAACATTACCACGGTCATGACAGGCCTTGCAACCACTGTCACAGTCATATCAGGCGTTAACATTACCACGGTCATTACAGGCCTTGCAACCATTGTCACGGTTATATCAGGCTTCAACACTACCGCGGTCATGTCAGGCCTTGCAATATAGTTTAGCATTGTCACAGTCATATCAGACTTTAACATTACCACGGTCATGACAGGCCATGCAATATAATATAGCATTGTCACGGTTATACCAGGCTATCACAATAACACTACCACGGACACGGCAGGATCCTTGCGAAACTTAAAAACACTTAATAACATGGTGACGGTTGTGCCAGGCATAAGTCTTGTAACAGATAGCAAGAAAGGGTCTCAGATATTATGCCAATTACATGAACATGTATGTAATTTATTCACTGTCTTTATATTCCAGGCATATTACCCGCAAGGATGATGCTGTCACAAGGATGGTCTGGATTTTCTGACTTCATAAGTCCAGCACAAAATTCTGGAATACACCCCAGTGAGCATACAATTGCATCTTTACTACATACCAAACAGTATCATAATGCCTTTATTGGGAAATGGCATCTAGGTTACGGGCCCCATGGAGGTTTCCTTCCTTTAGAAAATTCCTATCAAAGTTTTTATGGAATCCCTCTGACACATACGGATGCCTGTAGTGCTAATCCACAATCATATACAAATGATGGATATTTATTTGTGCTGTGGTTGGCTAATTGGGGAATATCTTGGACTGTTTTAATTGTTTTCTTGACAACATTCCGATTCTTTGGATTAGTGTCTGGTAAAAAAATGGTGATTTTTATTGCTGTCATGGTGACTGTTCTTGGAGTCGTAAGACTTTGGTTCATGATAACAATTGCAAATCCAATGTCTTGTATACTCATGCGAAATGATCAGATCATTGAACAGCCATACAAAGAAGAAAATATGACTTTGCGCTTTACCCAAGAGGCTATCGAAGTGGTGAGAAAACATTCTACTTTGAAAGACCATCCGTTGTTCCTTACGGTTTCATACATAGCACCCACAATACCTTGTTTTACCTCAAAATTCTTCAAAGGGAAAACAAAAAGTTGTTACTCGGACTCTGTATCTGAATTGGACTGGAATATTGGACAAATTCTAGACAGTATGAAAAAATATAAACTTGATGAGAATCTTTTGGTTGTATTCACAAGTGCAAATGGGCACATAACGCATCATGGATATCCATATAAACCAGTCAGTAAAAAGATAATGGGCTTCAAACAAAAGACATCAAAATTCAGAGGCGGAATGGGAACCGAATTAGAAGGTGGATTACGTGTACCTACAATTATAAAGTGGACTGGTAAAATCCCGGAAAATACTCAAATTGAAATCCAAACTACAACGATGGATATTTTTCCAACTATTGTGAAAATTGTCAACCCAAACAGATTAAAAGCAATCAAAAGATCTAGAAAAATAGATGGGAAAAGTCTTCTCCCTTTATTTGAAGATCCTTCTATATCCGAACACCATAATCACATATTTCATTATTGCGATTCTCAAGTTGTTGGAACAATTACATACGAACATTTGAAAATCTCAATGTTTACTGGGATCGATGGTTTAACTTGCACAGGTGAGCACAACAATCCACCATTGATATATAATATCACGGCAGACCCCAGAGAGGAACATCCTCTCCCCCCAGAAACCTATGATGAGCTAGCATTTATAATAACGAGGGACATTTTTAACCATCAGGCTAGCATTGATAAAGATAGGTTCTCATTCTTAGATACCATTCCATGGCCTTGGTACTTTCCCTGTGCCAATTTTCCTTATTGCTCAAAAACTATTGATGGAGACGAAGAATTTAGTGATCTCAATTTGGAGCAATTGTGATAAGGAATACATATCATAAAAAATAGAGGTTATTTAACGGGAGGGGTAGAATGTGAATTTTATTCCAAAGGAAAATACCATATTGATCAAAGGCTATCAGCCCAAGTGTCAATATGATATTTTCCTTGTTCAAAATAATATTCCATCACAACCATCAATAACCTATTTATTCCATAATATTTAACTATATATATTTTATTCGTCCATGTTTTACATAAAACATTGTATCGATTTACATTACATTGATGCAACGAAAAGGATTAGACAAGAGGCTATTGCCTATTCTAAGTCCTCCAGATAATATATTTTCTGTAACTTATTTATTTTAAAGTTTTGTGTGGGATTTGATATGACATTCTTTGATTATCAGTGCTATTCCCTGCTTATTTCTCAGGAAAAGCATATTATTATATAATAAAATCATATATTAACATGGTATTATTTTTAATACAATGACACTCATTTTATAACACAGTATTTACTTTCAAATGACAACATTTAATGTAACAAAGTAAGGTATAATGAACTAGTTAAAATCCAGGGAAGTATCCATCTGCAAGAGAGAGGGCACAATTGCACTTAATGACTTGCTAGGAGATTGAAACACGTCAGTGGTTGTGAAAGTGTTATTTCAAGTTAAGTGAAATAAAGTTGAGGTAAAAAGGAAATCATTTTTTTAAAATATTGTCATATGGGGGAGGGAGGTCTTCATAAATCGTCGGTTCCTTAGAATATATTCCAATTGGGAGGTGTTCTACTTACAGCGATTCATTTAAATACATTTCATGGGTTACTGGAAATGGGCTTCAAAAAAAGCTTATAGTTTCACATTTGGAAGTGTTCGTTTTACACTTTTTTTGCTGAGGCTTAAGGTACAGCTGGAAAATAACATTTTGGTAAAAAATTGCTATACCTGCACATGTTATTTTCTGGTACAAAATAAAGTATGAAGGCATGTGTTAATTTCCTTGTTTTTTCAGGAAAGTATCATTGTCCTCTTTTAGAATATCTGTTAGAGGAACTCCAGGAAATTCTGATATTTCACACTTTCTATTTTTCCAAATTTTCTTTCAAAGTTTCCAGACAACACAGGAGCTACCATTGACCTGTTTCCAGGTTTACTAAAAGTAGACAGTGTAATGATACTTTCCTGAAAAAAGCAAGGAAATCCACACATGCCTTCATACTTAATTTTGTACCAGAAAATAACATGTGCAGGTATAGCAATTTTTTACCAAAATATTACTTTCCAGCTGAGCCTTGATAGTCCAATTTAAATGCTTTATATTGATGATGTACTGTACTATGTGCCTTTATAAACTCAACTGTTGATTACTTTAAAGTGTTTAACGATAATATAACTTTTATCTAAAGTGTACATATTTAATTATGCTTACATTTAGAAAATGCTATTCTTGTTTTGTCACCATCACATAGGGCCGTGCCATTCGACCGGAATCGGTCCGAACCGCGGACTTTTGTTAAAATACCGGAATTCGGAATTTTAATATCATGTTCCGAAGGGTTTCGGAACAATATCGGACCCTTACCTTAGTACTTGCTTTGAATCGTTAATATCCGTGACCATTGTTCCTCCAGTGATGTTTTCCTTCAAACTACATCCAATTTGCATGTGTATTACTCGCATAATCCCAATCCTCCTTGGGTTTCACAGTTTTTCAATTTCGTTGATTTCGTTTCAAAACTTTTTCAATTACGCATGCGCATTATGGTCAGAGCAGCCGGAAGTGAAAACAAGTAGAAAAAAGATCGAATTTTCTCTCTTTTTACAGATTTTAGAGTCTATTTCTTTCGTAAAAACATTCAAACTTGTTTGACAGGAAAGGTAAGTGTTAACCTGACAAACTTGGACGACGATATCGTCATGATCGCCGTCGAACTCACTCATACATAATTATTTTCATTTGTGAACCAAAAGGGGTTCCGAAAGTTCCGATTCCGTGAGACCAAGTTCCGGTTCCGATTCCGAACCGTCCGAACCGGTTCCGGCACAGCCCTACATCACATGTGTTTTTTATGGACGGCGTTCGGCGTCTGTAACAAATGGCAGGTAGTGACATTTTGCATGTTAATGCCTTGTATGTAATCCGTCTGAATTTTTATATATTGTATCACATTATTGGCTTATTTTTATGAATCTCTGAATGTACATGTATTTGATATTGAAGTTTATTGTTAATAATTTCGACTTAATGACTTTTATAGATGTCAGCATTGTCTGTCTTGTTGACATTTTATTTCGAAATGCTGACATATATGAACAGTGGCAATACATTTAAGGCATTGACATATCTGGTAACTACTGTGATGTAACATGATTAACGTCAGAGTGTTAAAAGAGGGATCTACATGTACATCATTAATGGATGTCATATGTCTTAATGAATAATTTGGAGGATCTTTATTGTCATTAGGGAGTTTAAGCTTGCATATTAAATCAAAACGACAACCTGTACTTGTGACCAATCGCCCATACAAATGCATCGCTTAAGTATTTTCCGTTCACGTTGAAGTTGTGAAAACAGTGCATGCTTAAACTCCCTATTGCTCGTATATGTAACTTTATCTTTTGAACAGGACAATGGCATGTACAATGCCGAAAGGCAGTTTGCCGCATGATCATGTATTAATTATGTAAAATAGGAAATTTTGCAATGAAATAAACATATTTTTAAAAAGATTATCCCAAGTCCATCTCGTATATTAGGGGGTTAAGTTACGCGTTTTTAATAAAAAAAACTTAAACTTGTACGTGAACGTGTAGAACTATATGGTCCTCTATGAATTAGTTCTTAGTATTTACTTGTCCGATTGAGTATATAGAGATTATCCTATATGAGGTTCAGGATATTGGGATTATCCCGATGCCAATATAATATATCTGCCCGAGGGCCATAGGTCCCGTATTTAAATCTTTGATTACTAACGGGGCATACTGCTCCTTCCCTTCTTTAAAGCATCAAACAGATCGCGATTGTCTGCGTTTTTCTCCATTGACGTTTACAGTATGCGAACGTTACAAAGAAAGAACCAATATACGAGAACAGCGATTATGACGTAGCGGGCAGATATACTATATCTGCCCGCTCGGAGCGGGACGTAAAGCTATATCTGCCCGCCGATGAAAATATGTTTTTACAAACCGGCTTTATGTACCTGTAACACGTCCAAGTATGGGATAAAAATGAATACGGAAAAATATTGTTATTTTAGTCCCTGGGAAAGTGAATTTAGGGCGGAACAGTAATCCCCAGGGGTAGAAGTATTACACGCTCACGTACAGATTCTCTTAAAAACGTGTAACTTTATAAACATTTTATGTAAGTCTTAGGTTCATATCAACTTAAATTGTCTATGACAGTTCTATCTCACAAATAGTCCCAGGTACATTGTTGCTAAAGATCACACCAGCCAAAATAGTGTGAGCGCCATCTATGTATGCACATGTGTATGTGCCCACTGACAGACCAGCCTCCGTCCCTCCTGACACATACTCGCATTTCTCGTATAGGGTCCCCACTCCTTTATTATTCAGCACAGTAACCACTTGAAGTTGATCGTGGCCGGTGGAGTAGGGTGCAACTCCGATGATACGAATCGAAACGTGAGAAAGGTTGTATGGTAGTGAGACGGTCAACTCCAATGGGAAAATCTTATGGGTTTCTTTGAATGATGGTATCGGTACGCATGTGGCGGTATCATTGTCTGTCACGGCTGTGAGATCGTTACCAGAGCATTCGACACAGGGTGTGACAATTAGTGTACTAGGTTCGGTCCTGCCAAACACGCCTACTCGCATGCTCATATAGCCGTAAAACGTTTGAGGAGCAATTCTTATGGACTTTGCGAGGAAGGGAGTCATGAAATGTGTTACTTTTCCATCACTATCTGTGTTACCTGTATAAATTATAAAATGTAAAAATACAGTAATGCTACGATGATCGTTTCATTTTCACCTCCCGCTCGTTTTACCGTACTCTCACACTACCCTACCACGTGACCACGTTTAAAAGGGAAACAGGGTACAGCTAAGTTGCAAATGGAGGACGTGGGTTTAATTCCATATTTCTGAACGTAAAATACATTTTACATTTATTTCTAGTATTCTACCAGACATAGAATTGATTCATCAAGCAGTTTGTAGAATATTGTTGGCAAAAAACCACAATAGGCAATTAAAGATAGATAATAGTGGGCGCAGTGAAGCAAAACTCAATGCAATACACGATACATTCCAGTAAATCTATCAACGTACAGGGAGCATGTAAGTTTCCCTTCGAAAATGTTGCATAGATATGTAACAAAAAACCCAGTTAACTGTTATTTAAACTGCGTGTCATCGTGTTATATGTGGATACGTTTTCCAGTATGTTATTCAACTGTATTTTTGTGAATTAATTGTTTTTCTAAAATCTTAAGATGCAAAAAAACGTCGTCCCAGAAATGTATCTTTACTTTTGCCGTAAGGCATAACATATTGTGAAACATTTTTCCTCTTGTCACAAAGAGGATAATGTTTGTTTCGAGGTGTCTTGTGATGAGCGTTTCATGATTAAATGCAAAATCACTGGAGCAGATACCATCAAAAAACATCTGACATTCAACACGTCATATAAAACTACATCGATCTGGTATTAGTTTTTTTTACAATAATAGAAAAATACGATGTCATATCAGCGCTACAGCAAATCGTGGAGAACAAAATGCTCTCAAGTCGTGGCATGATGGTATATTTTGAACAAAATATAAATTTAAATGATCGATTTTTGAGGACGGTAGTGAATTAGACCATTCAAGGGGTTATATAGAAAGATTCTTTACATGTTGTTCAGGCAATTTTAATTATTCTGAATAGCGGATAGTCATTAATCCTGATAGTGATATATTTAATTTCGTTATTTCATTTCAATTTGATACCCTAGTAACACGTATAATCTAGCGTTCTTGTTAATCTAATGACTAAAATGCATATACGACCTGAAAACCCGTGTCTAAATCTACAAAATAATGTTTACTTTATTTGGATTAAATAACAATTGATGACACCTCAAAGCATCAACAGGCGGCTTTTTAGCATTATTTTCACTGTTTGCAACGTAAATGTACATGAGATCGGGAGTATGTCTGTATAATCAGCTTACTTTCTCGCTCCCTGTACTATTGAGCAATTTACATTCCTTGTACCCTGTATTGATCAACTTTTGCAACTGTGTACCGTGTACTATGACATATCAAATATTTTAAAATTGAAAACGATATTATTTACATTCTTTCTTCAACTATCATATAACTTGGAACATGGACTTCACTATTGCACCACTGAAGTTCAGCGAATAGCAATATTGACTCACTCCGAGCACCAAACGTATTAACCTTTTGACTAAGCAGTCGAAATACTCAAAAGCGACGTGGTTGAAAGCCAAAAAATTCGCGCATGCGCTATCGAGGTAGGGTAGTGTGACTCTGCGCTCTCAGCATGACGCGCGTATTGATACAACTACAGTAAAACCTGTCTGAGTGAATACACCTGTCTCAGATAGTGAACACCTTTGTTTAATGAACTGTAGTGAACATCTACTTACAATGAACACATTTTAATGGCTCCATTTGTGTTCACTATATACAGGTTTGACTGTGCTCTGAGACCATAAGAAATCATAGAAATTCCTGAAACTCACCAATAAGTCCCTGTTGTTTCATATGCCAAGATACTCCATCAAGACTACGGATTACGTCATAACTCGTAACCCACTCCGCTGCACCATTAGCGCCCTGTGTTGTCACCGCTCTCACCATGTACACATAAGGAAATGTTATCTGCAATAATCATGTTTGAACGTAATTTTAAAAAGATAGTAGCCCGGACAGAATTGTTCAATGATTGAACAATCCTGTCCGGGCTATAGTTAATTTGGATCGGACAATGACAAGATGGTTAAGCAAGTCGGCAAAACCGGGGAATCGAGTAAAATGCAAGAAAGAACAAATCAAAACTGAAACTAATCATATTGTAATGTGTAATCTGAAGACGTATTAGCAAATACTAGATACAAAGGGGAGACCGGGGCAAAACGGGACAAAAAGCACTAGAAACATTATTTAACCAAATTTTGCCTTATCCAACGGATTAGAATTTCTAGATTCAGTTGGACTGGATTAATTCATTTGTTTTGCATGATAAAATACTACCTGAATGTATTGTTCCTGGTTCAGGTCGCCGGCCTTCCAAGCTCCATATATAACCATTGGTGGCAAAAGGGCACTGTTTAAGTGGCCTCTTGTTGGCCCATACACAAAGGAGTCAGACTCGAAGACTGACGACGTGGCCATAACTGATGTATCCACCAGGTACTCAATGTGTTCTGCATCATCTTGGACACACCCAAGGATCTCAATTCTCATCGAAGGATAACTACCAATGCCAATCATTGGCTGGATCCGGACAAATTTTGTCAGTGTTTCAGGGAGGAAATTTACGACTTTCCCATCACTATTGTCGTTTCCAGGAAAATGTCTCGTGTCGCTTTCCCCAACAACGTCGAACTGTTCACCATCATCACTGAACAAGACTTTGTATTCCACGACCCAAGTTGGCTGCTGATTACACCCTTGTGTAACAACGGCCTGGACAATTCTTGGCTCGGGGAACTCGACCTGCCACCATTGGTTTTGATTCGCAACCCCTGCCATCCAGCAACCATATTTCATATCAGGAGGGTCATATATTTGGGCACTGTCAAGGTATGCGTTGTAAGGTCCACTGTAGTAGTAATTGTCATTGTTTACAGTTGATGCGGACAGAGTAACCAAGGGATCATCTCTCACCAGTGTTGTATTGCAGTTTCCCAAGCGCTCTTCTTTCGTGTAAATGTATCCATAGTCAGACAGAGAGGGAACCACTGGATAGCTTTCGGTTGATTTTAAATAACAATTACTAGTGGCGAAATTATAGAAAAAACTTTTACAAGTCACGTACGCTGTGCATGTATCCGCACACTCTTGTAAAGTTCTTACACTATTTGAAATATTGTTCGATGGAGCGTCGCCTTTTCTTTTGTAGTAACCGGTTACTTCTGATTCAAACCACTGGCTGTGTACCACTCCTAAGTACAATATTAAAACAAAGATTTTCTTGGTTTCCATCATTTCAAGTCAGCAGTCATGTAGTGTCGGATGAAAATAAGGTGAGTTCATTGGCCCGTTCTTCTCTTTTAAAGGGCATTCGGATAGGTTAGTGTACCACCGCTAGATGTTCGCAGAGTAATTAAGAGATGCCGTCTCTCCGTCTGTATCTACATTCTAGACTAATCACGATCAATAAATATTTTGACTTTTTCCATTATTTGGTTAGTTTGGAGTCATTGGACTTTTATTTCACATCAAGTATGTGTGTACATGTTATTGGCATGTTAGTAATTTGTTGGACGGTTGGAGTGATCAGAGAACGTTTACTTCTCCACTACAGTGGCGGATCCAGAAATTAACAAGGGGGAGGGGGTCAAATATTGAATCTGGAAAAAATTTGGGCCCCTAAAACCAAAATTCTGAAAAATTAAGGCCCATTTTTAATAAATTGGCTCAAAAGGCCTAGAAAGGCCAAATTATGCCCAAAAAGGCTCATTTTTTGAGGCCCTAAAAAATGTTGGGCCCAGCCCAATGCCCTCCCCTCCGGATCCGCCACTGCACTAACTTGGATCATAACATAAGCAATATGGGTATGGAACCTCTATTGTTTGAAAGCTTTATTTCATATCGGACATATTGTAATTATGAATTATCTAATCCAAAATGACTTTTCTTCAGGAAATTGACAGATTTGAATTTGACTACTCCACTCCGTGGAGTTGCCGTTTGTCTAGTTCAAGGAATTTCAAAATCAATGATGATGAAGCATTTTCACCAGGGTTATTGATAAAGCTAAGATAAATATGTGTTCAAAACAATGAGCCCTTTCCTGCTCTTGAAACGGGATTTCATCGCCAAGGTTATATTCACACCGGAATAACCTGACAACGGTCAACTGTTTAATCACTTGGTCCTCATTTCATGGGATTTTATCGTCGCTAATTCGGTGCATGTATTAAGCTCTTGTGATCACGCCCGGTGATCGTACAAAAATGATGGAGGGGGGGATTAGGCGATTTCTGCAAGAAAACTCAACAAATTTGGAAGATTTATTTTTTCAAGAGAAAACTTACGACTGAATTGCCAAATGAATAGGCACAATGCATGGCAAAATATGTTCGATCATCTAGAGTATTTTTTTAACTGATACCCTTCTAAGATACGAGATCTATTAAAAAAGGCACATCATCACCAACGTGCAGAAGTCAATGTTTTTGCTATAAATTGGGCAACAATGGTCTACACGACCTGTAATAAATAGGTATAAGGGACGTTATTATCACAATACTTATGACATTGCTCACTTTTTAGAATTAGTTACCAAGCGTTATACAAAAAATAATCGAAATAAATTAATTTTGGATGGAAGGGGGGTCGGATGGAGGGGGGATCACGTGTATATAAGACATGATAAGACATGCTACTTTTAATTTATTCTTATGACTCCAAATTTTCCCATTTTTCATTCTCCAGAGATATAATATCCAGTGTCTTAATGGGGAAATGAGTTCAGTTTTTTCAAATACAGGAGTTCTTGTGAATTTGTTTCATCGTAAAGATATATAAATCCCCCCTCCATCCGATCCCCCCTCCATCCGATCCCCCCTCCATCCTAAATAAATTCATTTCGATTATTTTTTGTATAACGCATGGAAACTAACTTTAAAAAGTGAGCAATGTCATTAGTATTGTGATAATAACGTAAAAATGCATGTTGGTGATGATGCACCTTTTTTAATAGATCTCATATCTTAGAAGGGTATCAGTTCAAAAAAATACTAGATGAAATAACATATTTTGCCATGCACTGCGCCTATTCATTTGGCAATTCAGGTGTAAATTTTCTCTTGAAAAAATAAATCGTCCAAATTTTTTGAGTTTTCTTGCAGAAATCGCCTAATCCCCCCTCCATCATTTTTGTACGATCACCAGGCGTGGTGATAATGATATGAAATCCCATTTCGATCAGATTGGATCGTGAACCGCCACAATATAGCGTCTTCAATATCGTCGTCAATGACAACGGAATCTGAATCCGAGTAATTTAGAAAGACAACGGCATATGGTAATTACAGTGTCCTTTGTCCCGAATCTCATTTTGATCGGTCAAATTAAAGACTTATTTGATGGTAGAACAGTATTAACTGTACAATAAGTATAAAGACACTTTGATTGTTTGTTGTTCCAGAGAAATTTAGTCTAGATGCTCTATTAAACATATAGTTCATGAAAATCTAATTGAAGCTAAGGTTATGTCCGCCATTTGTGACAACGGTATCCGACTTTACCGTTGTCGGGCTATTCCGGGATTATTGAACTTTTAAAACGGATGAAGTCAACCTGGGAAGTCAATCATTTCCGCCTGCTGACAGCTCGTGTAAATTAAAAAATCAAACTCATACTTGGAACAAATTCCACAAAACAATGGAATTGTAATTTGTTTTTGTAAAGAACATACAACCACAACTCCTATTCATGTTTTAATAGCCAAAAAAGCCATCAAACGATAGCACTATATTCACCAGCTGATAGGTGTCGCTGTCGTTCTACATTATTCTACAAACGGTATAGCCTGCATCGCAACCTACAAACAAACTGAGACTAACATAAAATTGTTTACGGAGACAAATAAATAGTCACTATTTTGAAATAAGCGTCCACTATGAAAAAACAATTGTGACAAACTGATTATGAATCGTAGTCCTGTCAAAATGCTCAAAAGTTATGACAAAAAATGTCAATGTTTTAATCGAGTGGCCATTTTGAAAAAAAAAATCTTGGGAAGAAGTGCTATGCCCATAAAGTCATTAGCCCTTTTAATTACGTCTACAGGGACCTTCACCGAGTTACATGTTATAGTATCCGGAAACATGAAGTCTCCAAGCGACTCGATGGGACAAATAAGATAGGATATCGAACGATGCCATATCGGTCACAATAAAATCAACGTCAGACTGAGAATGTTGATTCGATTTATGAAATGTCCTTGAAATATGTCGCATAGAAGTTTACCTTTAATCAAAAGACTACTGTAAATGTGTTTACAATTACTTTGTCTTAATGGTTTGTATTGAACTACTTTTTGTCACATCCTGTTTAAATCCGCTTAACCAATATCTCGTAGTATATCAACTTTCAACTTGGAAAACCTCTAAACTTTTTGTCCTGTTCTGTAAAAGAAAGTCACTTTTGGACAAAAGGTTGGTAGCTAAATGTTAAAAGTGACGAAAAGAAAATCTGCAAGTTCCCAACACAAGACATTCCCGGGAAGACATTATATGGCTTACTTTAGTACCACTGCTTGTTCACTTGTAATGTTGTAAAATAAGGAATGTTTTGAGAAAATATGTTTTATTCGGTAGGATTCACAGCTACTCAAACTTGGCTGCTTTTTCTAGTTTGTACATAAGTGTATGTTATGTAACATTTCGTCTGATCCCTTTGGTCTTCTGAAAATCTGGTCTTGGTAAAAGTTTCCTGGTGTAAAACCATGCCGAATCCTCTTGTCAAAAATCAATATGCCTTATACTGAGAATAAGCCACGCGTTTTTAGAGAGCTAGTAAGTGAACGTGTAATCTTATGACATCCAGGGATTACTGTTCCACTCTCAATTGGTTGTCCGGGCATGCAAACATGTATATATAATCAATCTGGAAGGTAAATACTATGCACCTGATAACTAATCCTTATAGAGGACCACCACATCACATAGAAGTTCTCTAAAAATGTGTAGCTTGACCTCCTTTTTTGTTGAATAAGAAAATATCAACGCCATATATGCATTCTGATACTCAGACCATCTCTGCAATGCACAAGAATCATTCTGATACTCAGACCATCTCTGCAATGCACAAGAATGTTCTAGAAGGAAACTGAGAGAAGGCTGTGATATCTCACGATGCCATCTATGACCCTGAGGAATAATTGTGACTTTTCACCCATTTGTGCCTTTTCCAAGCAGCAGTCTTAATTTAAGACCATTCTGACACTTAATTAATCAAAAGCTTTTTGGATCATATAACTTTATTGATACCATACAATTTGTTTAATCACTTGTTTTTTTATTACTTTGGATATTTCAATCTCATGTCACTATTACACTCTTTGTTTCAATATGATATACTTGTCAAAATCTGACAATTTTCTACTGCATATGATAAATTAATAATAATAATATTAATAAATCATGGAAATAGTTCATCTCTGTCACCATGTCTTGTCCTTGTTCAATGATAAACCAGAACAACGGCAACGCCAAAGCGTAGCGAATCCCATCGAACAGAAATGGCTGGCATTTTTACAAACGAATAGCAAATATCATAAAACAGCACACCAGAAAGGTCACCATTTTCAAAATGGTTGCTCACTAGCCAAGTTGTCATCAGAAGAAATAATATGCTTTTATTAGTAGCCACCTCTAAAATTTTTGAAAAATCGCACACGTACTTGTAAAATTACACACATAAAAATGGTGGCCATTTTTCAAAATGGCCGACTACTCCCCAAAGTTTTATTAGTCAATGTGCCATGCTTAAAGTATTCACATATCAAATATGAACAAAATCGCTCCACTACTTTTCGAGTTATAGTAAAATACGTTAAAATGGCAGCCATTTTTCAAAATGACCACCGTCTACCAAAAGTGTCATTAGAAATAGACAGTGTGCCATGCTTATAGTATTCACATACCAAATATGAACAAAATCACTCCACTACTTTTCGAGTTATAGTAAAATACGTTAAAATGGCGGCCATTTTTCAAAAAAAAATTTCAAAATGACCGCCTGCTACCAAAAGTGTCATAGGACAGTGTGCCATGCTTATAGTATTCACATACCAAATATGAACAAAATCGCTCCACTACTTTTCGAGTTATAGTAAAATACGTTAAAATGGTGGCCATTTTTCAATTTTTTTTTCAAAATGGCCACCTTCTACCAAAAGTGTCATAGGACAGTGTGCCATGCTTATAGTATTCACATACCAAATATGAACAAAATCGCTCCACTACTTTCGAGTTATAGTAAAATACGTTAAAATGGCGGCCATTTTGAATAATGGCCGCCTTCTACCAAAAGTGTTTTTAGACAGTGTGCAATGCTTATAGTATTCACATACCAAATATGAACAAAATCGCTCCACTATTTTTTGAGTTATAGCAAAAATCGTAAAATGACGAGTAAAGGCCGCCATTTTTCAAGATGGCTGCCACATGCTTCTTTAATATCTACATTTGTAGCATTATTAATGTCCTTTATAATTTTTTTACATTTAAAACATATTGCTATTACAGTTTTACATATTACACCTAAATTACTGTAAAATCGGCACTAAAATGGCCGCCATTTTGAAATGAGCGGCCATTTTGAAAATCAGCTTTCGAGCAGAACTTCTACCTCCATAGGGTATATGTGTACAAAATATGAACAAAATCGGGCCAACGGTATTTGAGTTATTGCCCGGACGGACGGACGGACGGACGGAGGCGTTCCCTATATCCCTCCGAACTTCGTTCGATGGGATAATTAACCATTGTTACAATTTCTTGTTACAATCTGATATAAATTTAGCAATGTCACTATTTTGTCACCATTTCACATTGATTGTGTCCCCCTCTTCTATTGAGAAGAATGATAACTGTCTCTGGTCATTGTCAATATCAATCTCTATGCCTGGCACCTGAAAATAGAAAAGTGGAGGATTATGTCACAAAAGTGAAGGATTATGTCATAATAGTGAGAGATTATGTCACAAAAGTCACGGATCATTTCTGAATGGTGAGAGATTATGTAGTGTGATATTGGGCCAATAACAGAAGCTCTGTTCAGCCAAAAATTATAAAGTCCATTTTTTCATACTATTACATCATTTAACATGGTTACTAAAAATGATCTCTGAGGTTTCTATTACTGACCTTCTGGTCAAAAGTAATATGCAACCTGATTGAAAATGAAATTTATTAAAGGCAGAAATCAGCATATTTCACTTTAACTAACCTCTTGACTTGAATAAGTGAGTGTGATATCTGACGAGTGGATTTTGTACAGTCTTTGAACAAGGGCACGCAGCTTCTGAACTGTCATAGTAGCTAAAACCAAACTTTTTAACATCAGGCTAAGGTTGGAATAATATATTCAATGTTTTGACATTCTTAAGTATTTCAAATATTCATTTGATGCTGAGTACATGTAGTTTAACTCGACATGTTCTGTAATGGACTTGACTATGGGAGGTACAGACATTTTGAGATTTTGAAAGAACTTCTGAAATTTTACATCAAAATAACATTGTTATCCCAAGACCCAAACTACATATCAAATTTCTTTTATATTGATACAGTATTTTTGGACTTAGTTCCAAAAAAGTTACTTTTCAAAAACCACTTTCAAACGTAATTCTTATCTAATCTAACCAATGAAATGCTGTAGTTACCTGGTAATTTTTTAGATATTGGTTTCCTGTCCGGCACATTAGGGCTATCTATAAACACAGGTATCAAAGTGGATTTCAAGTTCCTTTCCTTCACTACAAGTTCTGAGTCTTCAGGAGGACCATACGCTATAAAATATAAAAATATATAAATGTAATTGTTTTATTATATGAATATTTTTTTATTGCAAGGGGATGAATAATAACATGTCTTAGTCCTTGTGAAATAAACAAAGTTAAACTTAAATTCGTAGTGTATATTTTGATGTATTGATTATGCAGAATATAACAAGGCATTAATGTGCAAATTGTCATCACCTGTCATTTGTTACAAACGACAGACACCGAATATTACCCACCAAATGCCGAACACCATCCACAAAAAGGTTTGAGACTATAACACCCCATGTGGTGGTGACATAAAAACATTTAAATCCAAAATTTATTTTCCAAACACATTCTCAAATTACCTTTAGAATATAAGTAAAGTAAAACCTGTTTAATCTGAACACTACTAGGATGAACCAAAAGTGTTTGTATTAGCAGGTGTTCACATTTTGAGGTTCAATAACAATGCTAATCTATGGCAGATTAAAAAATTTGATCTAAAAAGTGTTCATATAGAGAGGTGCTGTGAGATAACCAGTTGTTGGATGAAAGGAAACTAATTCAGAAATATTGTAAAGGACTATTCTCGGTTTGGAGAACGAAGTTCATCAATCTAAATGAGCATTATCCCTGCTTCGGACAAATTTGATTTTTTTTACATAATATAGATTTGAATGTCTTCTTTTGAATAGTCATAATTTAATTTGGGTAATATTTCTAGATTTTTCGCAAAAAAATATTAGAGCAGTACACTGATGAGCTTCTTTCCCCAAATCGAGACTTGTAATTTATTCAACCGGTCAAATTGAGCGTCATCCCTGCTTCAGACCAATTTGTTATTTTTATACCTTGTAGATTTAAATGTCCTCTTTTGAATATTCATAGTTTAATTTGGGTAATATTTCTATATTTTTTATGAAAAAAATTATTAGCCCTGGAGACTGTTCTCCAAACCGAGAAACCAAAAATGCCTGAAAATATTGATTGGTTTGTCTATGGCGTTGATATACTTTTGGGTACATTTTTTTGAGACACCCTACATGTATATACAATATCAAAATATAAAATACGACTAAGACTTCACCAACATGACCTTTACCGATTTTTTCGGCTCAACAGAATAATGTGTGCAAGTAAAGTATGGATCTCCATCCTTTAAACTCACCAGAGACAAGGGCAGCATATCTTGGGTGCTCCTGATTGAATTCTTCAGTTGGTTTACATTTACTTGGGTCCTGGTTCCCTCCTGAATGTAACCATATTTTACCATACATCTTCAGATAGTCAATCTCTGCTCCTTTCCTATCACCATACGTTACCTATAATTCAGAAAGTTACCTCAATGTACAGTATAATACAGAAAGGTTGCCTGTAATACACAAAGAGTACCTGTAATACATGAAAACCTTAATGTATAATACAGAAAGGTTACTTGTAATACAGAAAGAATGCCTGAAATACAAAAAGGTTACATGCAATACACAAAAATTACCCTTAATACAGGAGAGTTAAGGTTGTCCCAAAATATATCCAAAGATTATTCACTGAAAATTGCATGGAAAAATATCAAGTGATACAGTATTGATAAAGTTTGAAAAAAAAGTTCAATACTTTTGGGACAACCATTGTAATGCCCACCAAGCTTGTGCAAGTCTTACCAGGTGTACCTCATTGTAAATGCACAATAAGTAATACTTAATAAATGAATCAAAGAAAATACTTACGGTTGATCTATTGAAAACTTTTAGGTTTTCAATTTTGGCAACAAACAATTCATACACTGTCTCAGGGTTGAATGTTGACATCAAAGGATTAAACTGAATTTTGATCTCCTCAAGTTTTTGAAGTCTGTTTAGTTCATTTATATTACTCCACTGCAAAGAAAAAGAATATCTAAAATCAGTGGAAAGAACATCAGATAGGAACGTCAGATAAATGTACTACTATTCCAATACATTCTGTAGAACAAGATAATCAAATAAGCTTCATATTCTAGATAATATCTGTAGAAGGAACTCCCGATTCAATAATTATATGGATTATGGGTTGAGCTTAAATGCTATATAAGAATATATAGTAAGAGAAGCTAATACTTCGAAGGTGGGAGAAATACAAAATATGGTCAAGTGTATTTTGGTTCACTCAGAATACAAAGAAAACAACACGAATATTTAATCTTAAAATCAGGGGAACTGAATATGTTCTATAGAAGAAATGAGGGAGGGGTTACTATTCCATATATGGCATACAAATACATTGCAGTTTGTTCCCGTTGTAAACTACAGAAACCAGATTGTCCTCCCCTCTCCTTTTTATTTTGCATTTTAAAGCATGACTTCTATGACTTACCTCTGTTATGTTGTTTCTGTTGATGTACAGTGATTGTAACCCAGGAAACGCATCAGTTTTATCACTATAGCGACCAGGAAACTTTAAACAGGATATTCCTGTATCGCTCACAATGAGGGAGTTCAACCTAAAGTATAAGTTTTTCATAATTAACAAGGATTATACATAAGATGTCGCAATAAAAAGATCATTTGAATTTTCAATGATTATAATTTTGCTAGGAAATTTGGTACAGTCTTCAGAATGTCTAAAACATCAGAAAATTGACTTATTTCCAAGGAGATGCAGGAAATTGAAAGTTCATCAGACATGTAATAAAGACCTATTTATAATTTATGGACAATATACCTAAGATTTTATTCTGGGCAATGCCAAAGACCTATCGCTTCATGATTTTTGTATTTTAACACTGAACTGAATAAAATCTGCAATCAATCATTATCTTGCACTATTAATCTCAGAACCTTGGTCTCTATTAATTTCTAATATTTCCCTGTCAAACTGTTTGTTTAATACACTCTAAATCAGTCTACAATTTGAACAAGGGTTAATTTGAGATCACTAATTTAGATATATTTTAAAAAAACTTACTTTTTTAAATGTCCAAAGTTAAGAACATCATCCCAGCTATAGAGTTTATTACCTTCGAGGTTGAGCATCTCGAGATCAGTGAAATATTCAGGGGGAGGAATGGTGATTGTCGTGATAGCATTAAAGCATGCATGTAGGGAGGAAAGCCTTGGGAACATTGGTACACAGCGGAGAACCTGGAATTATAAATAAAAATAAAATGAACCCAAACCCCTCAATTTTTGAATATTTACTTTTTATTTTGAAATCTTTATTAGTTATTATTAATTCCACTCTACAATCTAAAAGTTTTGAATGACATTCAGGCATGTTTGAACAATTTACAATTAACATAAAGACTACATGTACGTTTACTTTATTCCTTGCTCTTTCTCCCCTTTTTCACTCTATTTTCCATTTTACAAGGTGACTACCATAACATTTTCAATCATATATTTACACTTACCCTATTCTCTCTAATAAGCGCACAGTGTGTTTTCCAAATTGAAATTTAAAGGGGTAAGATATTGAGAGATTCAAATTAACTGTACAAAATTACTGTACAAAAAATATTGCCAAGAATCTTTTTAGTTGTTATCACTAAGGTCTACATACTCTACGGCTCCTGTATTTCTCTGCATTAAATATAATCATAAATCGGGATCAACATCTTGTTGCGTAAATAATCGAAACTCAAGTCTAAACTTTGTGTTTTCTCGAGGCCATATTCTACATAAAAGTCACATGTGCACTCATTAGAGATAATATGGTACATGCACTTAAAAATAATCATACCTGCTCCCAAGTGTAGTTCATTCGGTTGATGTATAGATGGCGTAATGAGGTAAACGATGACTGCAAGTTTTCTGGATTTTGACACACCTCAAGGAAGTTTTCACTGAAAATAAGGTACATGACTTGCAATTTTTCCATAATATGATGATAAAATAGATAAGAACTAAAAACCAGCAAAGGTACATGTGCTATGAAAAACTAAATGTTCTTTGACTAGCATTGAATTTTATTCTCATGCAAAACATTAAGCTAGGTAAGATGACACTGTAAAATTAAAGTACTTCATAAATCTTATAATCTAGAATAGTTTGGAAAAATATCCATGTATTATTTCTGATTATGCAACTCACCTGACATTTAAAGAAGTGAGATGGTGTAACTGAGCGGCTATTTTGGCAACTTCCTCCCAGGATGGAATTAGATTTTTCGAGATATCCAGCTCTCTAATATTTGTGAGTAAGTGTGAAAGATCTTGTGTGTCTCTTGTTCCAAAGACATACATATCACGTATTGACACTTCTTTTAATAGATTTAGCTTGCTGAAAACACAATTTTTCATTTCAATGGTTTGCCAATTATTCCCAAAAATAATGTGTCAATGAATATTTACTGAAAAATTAACATTACTCATCCAAGTTTATATTTCTTCAAGAGTGAGACAAATCTATGCAAATTCTTGAATTTGTATTGATCTACAAAAAAATTTCAGCAAAATTTACAAATATTCTAAAATTATGAAATACGTCCCCCAGTTTTCTGCAAGTTAAGATTGTGAGCTTTGTGGTATCATGTCAAACTACACATTTGTGATTACAAAACTCTAATTCAAATGGCCGCCATTTTGTTCACTTCATCATTTGAATCGTGATAAATTTCAAAACTCACAAGAAATGATTGAGATATCGTTTGAATATTTTGGACTGTTTATTTTGAATTCATAGTCGGTTATAATTTCAGAAAATAACAACATTTCAACATTTTCATTGTTTGAAAATTTTGAGTTTCTATCCTCCTTGACATGTATTTATAACACATTTATTTTTTTAAATAATACTGTAGTTTGACATGATGTCACAAACATCTCTTCAAAATTACTTCTAAATAACAACAAAGCCAATATGATTTTTCTTATTATCAACAATCAATATTACTTCATAAACATTTTAATAAAATATATAATAAAACACATTTTTGTAAACATACTCTACCTACCTATGTTTTTATTTAACTCTGATTGGCTAATGTGCTAAGAATCACAAATTCATGTTGTCAGTAAAACCTGTCTAATCTGAATGCTACTTGATAGGTCAAAAAAAGTTCAGATTAGCAGGTGTTCACATTTCAATATTTTATATGGTTGTTGATGGGAGAATACAAAATTGGGACAAAGAAAAAGTGTTCACATTGAGAGGTGTTCAAATCATTGAGAGGTGTTCAAATCATTGAGAGGTGTTCAAATAACAGGTGTTTGGACATGAAAAGGACAGGTGGCGGTAAACCCCTCTTTTAGCCCCCCTACAAAACAAGTATATATTGACATGGAATTGAAGAGGAAGTATGACTCATTACTTAAAATGTGATTTCTGAGAGTTTTGACATTTGACCTTGACACTAGCGTGGTTTAAAGGTCAACTTTGAGAGTTGCTATTTTTGTCAAAATTTTACTGTTTCTAATCCAAGAAATGAGAGCAATTGGCTTTGTTTTGATTGTGACTGATAAAAAGACATGTGAATAGAAATAAAAAATTCTTTAATAAATTATCACGGGCAATTACCTGAAAATCTTGAGAATAAATACCGATATGGGCATTTTTAGGGGGACTAAACTTTCTTGTTTCAAAAATGATTGCTCTTGTTGCCTTTTGAGACTCTAACAGTATCTTAAGCACGTTTTAAGAGTTGAGATGTGATTATTATTTTAAATGCCCATGGGCAATTAGGATAAATGCACACAAAGGCACTTCAAAAAGAATGGATTTTCTTATTTCAATTGCTTCTCGCCAGTTTTCTAAACATGTTTGCCATATTCTAAATAGTTATAGGGTCACTTTTACTAAATGCCCATTGGCATTTGAAATTAAAATGTTTGAATGTACACTTACTTTTAAAGTTATTTGCCAATTTGCAGTTCCCATATTTGAAACACAAATAATTCAGAGAAATCCTCTCTCAATATATATCATAAAATATAAGGCAGCATCATGTATGAATGGCATGACACTCAAAGGATTGCCTAAAATAATTTCTACTTATTCCCTATTTAGAAAAACATTTAGGCCATTAAAATATTTTCTTATAATAATGTCATTAAATTCTATGTTTTCAGAAAAAACAAAATGTCCCCATGTACTCTCTACTTGTAATGTATATAAATGACAAAGGGAATTGTGATCTTGGATTATATTGTAGCGAAATGAGTTCCAAGATTGATTAAAAACTACATGTATATAAACTTCATTAACAAGGTCATCTGAACTCAAGAGGTGTGTTACTTGCTTTGGCACAATGTGTTATTGCATTTTCACTCTTAAATAATATATAAAACCCTTTAAATAAATGAAGGTTTTGTAGTTTTTAATATAAGGCTCTTCATCAGAATGCCAACATATAATTAATTTTGGATGGCCTAATCTGTACATGCAGTTATGTAGTGTACATGTATGCCCAGGTTGGCAGCCATATTGAAAACATAAACCAGTCAGGCTTATTTTCATCACAAAAGTTAAGTTTTAGTGGTGAGCCCAAACTCCCACAAAAATGATATTTGCAGAAAAGTTATTTTACAGTCTCTGCATTATACAGTTTCAATATATTTTTTGAGGGAGTGTGGGCTGACGGTTAATTTTTCAATGAAAGGGAATGAGCACCATGCTAAAACTTGATAACAAAGTGAACGAAAAATGACAATGTTTTCTAGATTTCCATAGGTAAACTACATACATCGCTTGATTTTGTCAATTTTCTTCTCCGAATACTTGTATGCCATATGTTCCATATATTAAATTCTCTATAATGATAAGTTTTGATATTGTTTTGATGGTAAACATAATGTGAACCCATATTCAGACAGCCTTGTGATAGGGGTTCTTACTGCCAATTTTTCAAAGAAACGGAGAACTTATGCCACTTTTTGAAATTGCACATCTCAAGAAGAAAGGTTTATCTACAACTTGCAATCGGTTTTAAAAGTAAATGGAAGAATGAGTTTTTCAGAAAAAGTCTAAGTGGACCAATAGTCTGTTAAATGGACCTGTTCTTTTAACACTACACAACATTTTCACCTACCTTTGTTTGAGGTTAATGGATTGGGCGCCTACCACTTCAACAGTCGTCACTTGATTTCCCTCCCCTTTGACAAACATCTCTTCCTCAATGATTCCTGCACTCTCATCTTCAATTCTCCCGTAGCGTTCTTTAACAGCCTCAAATAAGCTAACTCCAAAATTGGCTTTCTTCTCCCGCAGAAATGATCCTGATGTTGGATGTCTGGAATTAGAATTGTTAAAAATACAGTAGGGAGTTTAAACTTGCACTGTTTTCACAACCTAAACGCGAATGTAAGTTAATTAAGCGATGAATTTGTATGGATGATACGTATAGGTTGGCATTTCAATTTAATATGCAATCCTGCAAAGTCACTCAAGGACAAGTCACTGGAATACCCGGGATTTATTCAAAAAATTGCAAAGACTTAATTTGGCAATTGTCATCAATCTGCCAAATTAAAACAGCTGTCAAATTGAAGCAATTTACAGTATATGTTTTATATGCTAAGAATATCATATTGGGCACTTTCCAGTTAAGATACACCATTTTTGATTCTTTGCTTGGATGAAGTTTTGTGTATTTTTCCTTATGTCTAAGATAATATTGCCATTTATAATTACTAATTTCACTCACTTTGTATTGAAATAGTGTCTTCCTTCATGTGTCCCATTATGTTTTCCTCTCTCTTGATCATCCCACTCTATGCCTAACCATACTCCTGTTAATTAAAAATCAAATTTTTATTTTGTATACCATACATACTGGTATATACTAAAATCCCATGGTCTTTAAGGCTAATAAGGTGCTGAGTCCCAACTGTCTCAGGCCCGTTGCCTGATTTGCCAAGGGTGTTCATATATATATTAAATAATTTAAGTTAAATTAATGATCGATGATAAAAGTAAATAAACAGCATGGCAATTACTGTAAAAGGGAAAATGAAATTATTTCATTGTATATTTAACACTTAACAATCCTGAAAGACCATATAAGGTTATTTAAGCTGCATCATGGAGGAATACAATATGACTGTATATACATCACATCTCAAAAGAAATCTAAAGGTATACTGGCTCCTGAAGGTTGACAAACATCAGCTTTATTGCAAAAAAACTTACATTGTTCCATATTGATAGGAATTTTATTTAAGTAAAAAGGAATATACTGAGAAACAAATAAAATTCTGTAAATCTTCGTTGACCATTAATAAATTATAAAAATCTGACAAATGGAATTTATTGTTTTATAAAATCTGACATGAAGATGAAAAGAACGATAAAACGATCCTATCCAACCCTATATCGAATCAATGCTTTCACTGTAACAGATGTAACAACAAATCCATTCACAATGGATGATGGACATTGTATTAAAGATCACTATCATGTCAGAATCACCAATTAAACTGCCATCAAACAAAATCTAGAGATACTCTGTATTAATACAGTACTGTGACAAGACAGAGTCAAAGACAGACACAGAGGCCTCACCATGATACATCAAAGCTGGACTTGGGGTGTTTTTTATTTGGCAATATTTGTTGGAGTTCTTCATGTCAAGGTCAGAGCACAAGGTAGGTCAACCCTATTGGCTTATTAAAGGCAGAATCAGATCTTTAGGGTGCCATGTTCCCTGTTTAAAACTAGTTCTGCAGGATAGATGTTTTTCATATTGGTCTCCATTTCTCTGTCATTATTTATAGTACATAAATCATCAATGAATCTTTTAGTCTTAGCATATTTTTGTACTTCAGAGTTGACTTCCTTATACATTTTTTCTATGGCTTTAAATTTGGAGCAATATAAGTAAAGATTGGCCACATACAGTGCTGGATTGCATTGGTATTCCAATCCTCTATCTTAGAATTGATTTTCCTGCTTTAAAGAATGCTGTATCCACAATGAAATCCACAAGAACATTGCATTCTCCTTTGGTTTATGCTTTGTTGTTATCTATCTTTTTACCCTATTTGGCTTCATTTCCACCTACTGTTCCACCTACTCTGAATGCTTTTCTTAATACCCATTTTAGCTTTTCCTCTATGCCATTAAGATTTATCTTTGAACAGAGTGTAGAGAAATCATATGAGGCTATGTTCCCGGCTCCTTTCCTTAAATTCATGTTTTTAATCACCTAATCATGGATGGAGGCATTCCCTATATCTCTAGCTCTCCGAACTTCGATCGATGGTATAACAAAAGCAAAATCCAAGTTATAAAACATATATCTCTTAAATAGTATGAGCCCCATATATAGCTGCATTATGAGACACTTGCATGATATCATCATTTGATGCACTGATTTTTTCCGTCAGATATTCATTATCTTTGCACAACTACCATTCCTTTCATGAAAATCAAATGATTCAGGCCCGTAGCCAGGGGGGGTTGCAGGGTTCGGGCGAACCCACCCCCTGGCCAAAAATTCTTTCAAAATCATGCAGTTTTTCACCATTCTGAGCACTTCTCAAGTGATTTTAGCCATATGTGGGCCAAAATTGTCAAATGTGAGCCCCCATGGAAATTTTTGAAAACTGAAACCATCCCCCCCCCTTGGCAAATCCTGGCTACGGGCATGTGATTTAAGTATACATCCATAATTTAATCCATCTACATGTTTTCTATTATGTGATCTAATGTTTGCTAACAACATACACATGTATGTATGATATTGTTACTTTAGAAGATGACTGGTGTAGCACAGAGAATGCTTTAGAAGATAGATTACTAAGAATTGATTATACCGACACTGATACAATTCTAACAGCTCAACAGAAGGCAGAATTGGTGAATCTCTTTAGTTCCCGTAGTTCATTGTTTAATGGATGGTTACGATTTCTCGATGGTTCACAAATTTGCACACCATCTGATATTGTAAGCCTTTACAATACATGTGAAGACAGAGCAGCTGCCTTTAGATCACTCAAGGATTATGAATTCATAACGAATGTTGCTATCAGAATAACCCGGAATATAATCAACACGTTGGTAGCTCCGGGAGGTGCCACTCTAAAGACAAAGCTAGAAGGGATTTTCGCTTTAATGCAGGACATCCTGGCACTGATCAAACGCCAGAAACCATATTTCCTTACTGGTAAATGTATTCATAATATATACAAGTACAATCTACAGGGTGGACAAAGAATTCGAACACTTTTTAATCCATTGTTACTTTTTTGTAATTGCAAAAGTTTTAGGATAGCAGATAAAAGTCCACATTTTTTGTTAATACAAATGCATATTCACAACATACATTACATTACTCATTCAAGGAGGTTAACTCGTCACATTCTCTACAGCCTTATTTATAAAAATGGCTTCATTGATATGTTTTGGGATATTTAGACAACTTGATTTCAGTTTAGTTTCACTTCGAGGAATTAGTGTCAAGAGCCTAGGATACATATTAGGTGGTGTGAAGTATTTCAGGAGGAAAATCGCCAAGGAGTGAATATTAATATTTTTCTAGATAAACCTAACATACAATTTATGTTAAAGATGCCAAAACATATTTTTCATTTTATCTTTTTCATTATCTGATTTTTCATAGATATAGCTGCTATAATGAAGATGTCAACAGAATTGAAATGTTCCAATATTTTTCTTTGGCCCACCTTGTAAAATGTATATGGTCTAGTTCACTAGTTAATAGCTAAAAGGTAGAACTGGTTATTGGTAAATAGTAAATATACTTAGACTGGTTCCTTGATCAACAGTGCAAATGTAAAATATAACCTAGAAGGAATTAGGAAGGTACCATAATATCCTTAGTTCTTAAATCATTAACATATTTTGCGAAGAACTGGTCCATTTAACAGAATATTGGTCCACCAAAAAACTCAATTCTTCCACTTACTTTAAAAGACAGTCAAATTGCATTTTGTAGACAAACCTTTAGCCTTGAGATGTGCAATTTTAATAAGATATGTCAGTTTTTAGCTTCTTCAAAAATTGGCAGAGACAATAGAATGGGATTTTCCAAGATTGTATTTTACCTATTAAATGTTGTTTACATAATCAACCACTATTTTCTAGGCTTTGATTGCCTTTCTGATGAACAGTGTACAGACAGAAGAAGGAATATCTGTGTCGGATGTACCTGTTTTGAGTGTGGGACGAATGCTGACTGTTCCGCTAAGGACACCCAGAAGCCATTCTGTAAGCCTAGCAGTGGAATGCAAGTCTGTGGGGACCCACATATCAAACAAAGCATACGAGGAGCGAACCAGAAGTTATGCTACGACATAATGGGTGCAGCAGGAAAATTTTATGTGTTCTTGAATGACAATGGCATGGGTGAGTGCTTACATCATCCAGTTGATAAGTGCCACTGTGATATCATAAAAGGTGCCTTAATCGGAAGAGTACCAAATCCCTTCTATATCCAATAAAAAAAAAGCTTTTACATTTGTGTATTTACATTTTCAGAAATCATAGCAAAATTCATTAGTGGGGGAAATCTGAGCGATACAAGTCTAGTTGACTATGTCAGCGACATTTATATCAAGATGGAGCATGTTCAAATCCACTTTACACCAAGACACATCAGTGTTCATAAAGCTGGGAAACCTGTAGAAAAGTTCAAATGGGCAACTGGTAGGATCATAACAAGCATTGGGTGGATCGCTGTCTCCAAAAAGCAAGTAAAGGTTTATTTGATGGATGGGGAAACAACCATTCATGTTATACGTAAAGGTCTATCACGGGTGGTACCATTCCTGAACTTTGGAGTTGTTGAGCAACATGGAATGTCACATAAAGCTACTGGCATCATGGGTAAGACTCAATTCACTATTCTCCATGCTCCCAAGGAGTATCATCTCAGTATAAATCCAATGCAATCTGTCCAACAATATTGAGTGAGCCAGCATTGCAGTAATGTCAATACATGTATATTATTTCATGTTACAATTTAAGACTTCATGACCCCTTAGTGAACTTCATATGCCAAAATAACAAAACAACTAGAAGTGTAGCATTAAGGACAAAAGATCCTCCAATTCCCATTTTTGTTAAAATTATTAATACAATGTACAAAAACACTGGTCCCGACACAGTTGCTGAAGTGAGGAATACTTAGTCAACCTCCTTCTTGGTGAAAATGATGAGAATTAAAATTTCCTCCGAAGGAAGTTCATCTGTTTTGTTAAAAAAAATCCTGGGGACCAGTGAAAAATAAACTTATACTTGAGCACAATCCTTAATCCTCAATATGTACAGTATGTGTATATTTATAATCTTCAATAACATATTTAGGTTCTATTGGGAATGAAGCAGAGATTGTATTAGAGGATGGGAAGCAAATGCTATCATGGTCTGGTCATAGATTCCCTGTAGGGGGTGGCAAAAACATCTGCCTCAAAGTGGATCCTTTCTATGAAGATAAATTCAACAAATTACTAGAGAGATTTCAGGTTGATGGCATTAAAACTGCTGGAGAAGATGACGAAGATGTTAATATTTGACCCATAGGCAGTACATTATATAAATAGGCTAACATAACATCCAGAAACAATAATTTTGAAAGTCAAACAAAAACTGATAGTTGAAAATGGAAATGGAGAGTGAGGTACAAAGAGACAATGTTAAATATTAAAGAAAATTCATGAATACACTAATTACAAACATTATTTATGTTCAATAAATATGTTCAATAAAATGAATGAAATGAACTACATCTACATCTAATGTTCAACTAGAAAAAGTGCAACTCCACGGAGTAGCAAACCCTACCGAACAAAACATATTTTGATAATTAGTGGCCATCTTGAAAAAAAAGCATATCGTATCAAAGCATATCAAAGCATATCAGCATATAAAATCTGAACCAGATCGATCTATTGGTATTTGAGTTATTAAAGAAACCTTTACTTGAATGTTGTAAAAAGTTATAATAGAAAAACCATCTTTCAGAGTACAGTATGTCTGCGCTGATTTCAATAACTCTGTATTTGATCAGAACTGGGTTCCAACAGAATTTCTACAAACATTTATGAATAAAATAGCCATTACATGGAGTGTTTAATTTTGTCAAAATCGAAATAGAACTTAAGTTACCTTTTGTAGGCGGTACCTCCCCATGAAAACACACAGTTCCAAAGTGCCCATCACTTTCTATGCGTCGACCAATCATGCAGTTGGAGCCCTTCATTTAAATGCACTGCTGAAGAAAATAAAAATATGTTGTTATTAGAGAAGCAAAACAAGACATGAATAAGATCAATTACTTTTTGAGTACTCAATAGCCAACTAACACGGTGACAACCAAGTTTCATTTGTTTGTTAGTTAGCTTGTTTACATCTTCATTTACTTACTTATTTATTTATTTTTGTTTACTTATTTATTCTTTTATCTGTTTGTTTGTTTGTTTATTCATTTACATTTATTTACTTTTTTATTTGTTTTGTTTACTTATTTATTCTTTTATTTGTATGTTTGTTGTTTATGTTTTTGTTTGTTTGTGTATTTGTTTAATAATATTTGTTTATTTAGTCTAAAATAGATTTGTTGAGAGGCATGAGTGACCAGTGACCATTGCTTAATAGCCAGATTTTGAACTATTTACAAAGTTAACCTTTGAACTTGTAACTTTGAGGAAAAAAATTCACATCGCAATTGGCCAAAAGCGGCCTTTATGTTCGTAACTGTCTGGACAGTGTCTGATGTTATGCTGCTTATGATATGTAAGCATGACTCATTCTGTATCTCTGAATCACTCCTATAAATAGCCATTTTGATTTGAAAATTGTAGTTACAAATCACTTTTTGAGATTTTGTTAAGTATCATGCATGCAAAACAGAAATCCTATGTGTCATTGTGGGATCCACAGCCTTTACTATCCTTTTGGAATAGTTCAGCTCTCAAAAGCGTTAGGTAAAGAGGGGCTCTGATAAATCAGAATGCCTATGTGTAAACAAATCCAACCTGAAGAACTGCACACGTACCTGAGATTATGGATGTTTATTAGACAAGGCTGTCCTAGCTCTTATGATTTAGACAGTTCGGGTGTTACTTGCATCAGACTCAGATACCCCTTGGCCCATAAATATGGGGTTATTTTGAGGTTTTTTTGTATTTAGGACATTTGTTACACTACAGACTGAGACATCCAGATGATTAAAAACTCAGACATGTAAATGCCTTCGAAATTCACTTTACAACACTTCACTTCAACTATGAGTAATTGTTTCATTGAGTTACTGATAAGCAACGTGTATCCTACTTCATTTTCAATATATATAAGGCATACAATACCTGTTTTACATGAAAATCAGCGCCGATAAAAGTTTGGAATTTTTTCTTGAATATTATTTCCTCCTTTTTGAAGAACTGCTAAAGACTAGTTTCCTCCAGTGCGACTCTTTATTCCCGGGGATTTCGAGATTTTTGGGGCCTCATGGGTTGATGTCGTTCTCGAACCCCGGGTCTCGAACCCCAGGCGGCAAGTAAATATAAGCTGACTGCTAACGAAGAGTAGGACCAAAATTTGATAGGACCGGCACCTACCCTTTTACACCCCGGGGTTAAAACCTGAGGCGCCTTTCTAAAACGCGCCTGCAATCATATATTTTGTTTGAATTTCTCTTGAAGCAGGTATAAAATCTATAAATGTCTTATTTATAGATAAAGTATCAATTTGCTTTACTGACACAGCAAGAGCAGCTCAGGAAGTAAATTACTAATTACACTTAAATTGCCTTAGCCCTCTGGGGCAAAGTGGCCCATCGAAATATCTTTTGAACTATAAAAAGATGGTTCTTCAAAAGTCACAAAATCGAATTCTGAAATATCTGCCACCTTCTCGACCGTCCATTTTTAACCAAGCAGCGTCTCGCTTTACGTAAAAGGTAATTCTACTTTTCACCCTCTTTTTTTGGAAATTACCCCTCTCACGAGAATCTCTAAAAAATCCGGCAACAATAGAATATCGTTTTGATTTAACATTTTACATAGAGTGTGCACATTTATTCTTTATTTGTAAAAATTTCGAGCTTCAATTATTAGGCAAATTAAAATGACGTCTATTTGAAAATTCACATGTCTTTGGGGCAAAACGGCCCACACATGTTATAACATAGGCTACAAAAATCTTATTGTGCAAGAACAATTGGTTTTCAAATGTAACAATTTTAACATCTGGCTTGTGCCTTATTTCCTTCCGACACATATCGAATGACTAGAATTATGGTAGGGGTTAAGAATACTTTATCTGTCAAAGGTTTGAACGTCTGAGATAAGATGTTTGTGGACGAGTCTTGTAATTGATTAATTTTGGTTTCAAAACCCATGTAACAGAGGGTGGGCCTTTTTGCCCCACCCATGGGCCGTTTTGCCCCACTCTCGACAATATTTTTGACCATTGAAAACTCACAGAAGATAGTCCTAGGAAAGTATAAAACACTCGAAAATGTAAACCACAAACCATTAATAAAGTGGAACATCAAAGTGCGCGATGATTGACAGATACGAAAATACCCCGTACAGAACAACTTAAAATTAAATTTTTTGGGCCGCTTTGCCCCATGTTCCCTACCTAAGTAGCATTGTCACACAATATTTGCAGCAGCAAGGCAAACAACATACTTAAACATTTTTGCTCCCTCCCAAACCCCATTCTGATACTCATAGCATCTCTCTGTTGCATCGCAGATGCTATCCAGAAGGATAGAAATTGACAGGGCATGGCTTACCACGATGCCCAAACCCTCCCTATATTCTATTTTATAACACCTACATGTATATTCCACTTAAGCGTACTGTACATTCAAATCTCAATGCACTGCGCTAAATTTTCTAACCAAAGCATTAGTAAAAAGGTAGTCACTCAATAAAGGAAGGGTTTGTTTCTTTATCTGATTAAGGTTCATGTGGAAACCACAGCCTGGCTTTTCAAATGTCGCAGCTATTCAAGCGGTGCCGAAAGTGTACCTTGATCACATTTAGTTGAACTGTGAACTGGTGAACAAGGCGGCCACGGTATGAAAACCCCCGAAGTCAACTTGAATGTATTGGCGAATGACTTTGAGTAAAATTCGTTCCCATTGGTATCGTTGGGGTCAGTGTTCGTTTGTGTAAGTACAATTTAAAGCTCTTTCGATAGTTCCGGACGGCTTGGCAAGCATGCTCAAAGTAGCGCTTCGGTTCGCGTGTTAACGTTCCAATTCACCAGAATTGACTATTTAATTACCTAATTTTACGTAAGGGTGCGTTTAGTGAACTCGTTCATATGTGAAGGACCTTTTAAGTTTACAATGACTGAATGATAACTACAGATTTTGACATGGATTGGCAATGATTGGATTTTAGCTAATGGCTAGTAGTATATATTTAGATGTTTACGTTGGTGAGGTTATATTTGGATGGGCAGCCTAACCAGTTGATACAATGAAGCATGGCTAGGATGAAGAGGAAACTACAGTAGAAGAGGAAATTAAAAGCTAGAAGAAATATTCGCAAATTAGTATTTACAACAGATATTCCCAACTACATGAGGTCGAGGGAGGTTTCAGAGCGTTATTACGTATAAAATATAGGAAAAGAGGTCGATGACTTGAGGTACCACTTTTATCATATTTTACGAAACTTGCTTCTTGTGTACAACTGCGACTAAGTGTACAAGGAACGAATTGATATCGTTTTTCAATGATGTTTGAGAAATCCATTTTGTGGCAAATTCAAATTTGTTAACAGGCATTTATGACTTTTTTACATTTACTTGGTATACGTACTCATTCGCGTAAATCAAAACATGAACCAGATCATATAGTATATGATAATCGATACCGCTTCTTGAGAGCCCCACCTATTTATCCATCGTTTTCAGCACACGTGGGTAACTTTCCACAACACGATCTACAAATGAGCTCAGAGATCATTTGTATGGGACTAAAACGCATGTTACATCTAGTTTTACTACCATGAAGAAATGGTGTCATTCAAAACTTGTAATATTCAAGATCAGCTGTTGGGAAATGGCACATGACATTCAACTTATCTGGCAAAATACTCATGAATTTTGGAAATTATTTTAAGTAATATTAAAATACAATCGCTACTGTTTTAAATGGGCCTGTTATTTTCAGTAAATAGATGATATAGAGTTAAGAGTATTCTCTTATATTGAGATTACGATTTCCATTCTGATACTCATAGCATCTCTCTCTGTTGCATCTCCAGAAGGATAGAGATGGAGAAGGCGTGGCTTACCATGATGACGATTTCGGGCTTTTGAGAAAAGGAACACATTTTTAAACAACCTTTTATGTTCGTTATTGCAAGAAGTCTATTGTGTGGATCAAAACTTGAATATCGGAATGTAAGATCAAATTATGGTGAAAAGTTTAAATATAAAGTAAAAGTAATAAAAACGCAAGAGGACGTTAACACACTGTTACGAATTAGCCTAGCTGACACTAGGGGGCGCTTTAATGTAAATTTCCGATTGAGTTCATAACCGACATAGCGATATTTGTGGTAGTGTGCCGAATCTACAGAGTATGTTTCGTAAGTTCGTAGGATGAAAGTCTATCATCAAGGAAGGATTTGTATTGAAATTTAATAGTACAGGCAAAAATAACACTTTGATAACTAATATAATAGATCTGTAGATCAATATAATTAACTAATTTGATTTTTACAATGTCATGATGTATCAGTTTTGCATGATCTTTGCCTATTAGCAATCCCCTTTGTATTGTTGAAAAGACTGTTCAAGTTATACAAGTTTCACTGTACTGACTTATTTTCCTGCGATGCGGTTAGATGAATTCTTTTATATATGTTGATACATCCAAGTATATGTAGCAGGTTACGGTCATTGCTTTCCAGTTTTAATTTCATAAACAGAGTATAGTACATTCTATTTTCACACCTTCGGTTTAAAGTTGATTCATTGTCTTAAGGTGACTGTTAACTTAATCGATTTTCAGAAAAAATTGAAAATTTCACAATCTTGAAATTTTCAAACTCTTCCTGAGAAGTCGTTTTTATTATTGCACATATGCTTGTGCACTGTAATCATTACAAAGACATCAAAGAACAACAAAAAAACTTTAGTTTGAGAAAAAAAGTGCCGTTTAAAGAATTACTCGTAATTAATCATTGTTTGTATAAGAGATTTTCTACGGCATTACGGAGGATGTCCTCCTCCCTTCTGGCGGCACGCAGGTCCGCCTCCAGCAGGCGCACATCCTCCTCAAGGCTTTCTCTCTGCGTAGAGCTTCCCTAAGCTGACTTCTTGCTAACCGTTGTCTGAGTGCGATCCGTCGTTTTCTGATCCACTTCTTCCGGTCCTCATTGTAGGGCTCTAGTAGTAACAGCCGCATCTCTGTCCGAGATGCGGCCATGATGCTCTCATCTGATGGTAGAGGTAACACCTCAAAGAGTTCTGCCAACTCATTGTCCACGTCTAATGGTTGAATGTTCCAGAAGGGATCCATGCTGTAAGAGTAATTTATAACTCCCATTAAAGGTTTTGAACTAGTTGCCACATTGTACCCATGCTATACTCACTTATGTCCCTTTTGTAATTAACTAAATATCTCCTTCCATCGTTTCTTAATCTACTAGCTCTATTTATCCTATTCACTGGTTCTTTTTTACCTCTAAAAGAGTATTGTCACCTCATTGTTTATCTAACTCTTTTTAATTGTCTTTTAGATATATTACTTTTGTCAAGTTACTCCTTTGTTGCACTTACGTTTTGTTGTCTCATTACTCGATTAAATGCTTCTATATGATTTGATATATGAATGTCTATACGTGTTTTTTTTGTTTTTTATGAATTTAATTATCCCTTCACCGGATTAACATATAGTTCGATATATGTATATATAAATGTTTTATGCGCATATTTCTGAATTTAATAGTCCTCCCACCGGATTAAATATTCCTATATAGTTTGATATATGAATATATAAATGCTTTATGCACATGTTTCTGAATTTGGTTGCGATATATTCAGTAATTCACGATAAGTTCGGTGAACGCGACTTAATGGTGGAAAGATTTTATTCAATTTTTCTTCTTATCCTCCCATGGTCGATGGAGGTCATTATCAGGCAACAACGGAACTTCCAATGGTGAAGCTTTTGACGCAGCTGGGGCTCCCTCCTTGGGTGTGCCTACATTGGGGCTTGTAATAGTTGATGAAGCTGGAGTTTTCTTTTTGGATCCACCTCGTCCCGGTCTTTTGACTGGCTTCTCAGCCTTTCGGACATCATCCGCTTCCTCCATGGCGTCCCGTACTTTTTGTAGTAACTTGAAATTCTTTTTCCCTCTTACATGGATCACAAAAACCTCTGGTTTTGTTGAATCATTCAAGTTGATACTGGATGCTACTGTTGTATCTTCCAGATCCTTAGTTGGCATTTGCGGTACTTTCAGCTCGTCTAACTGTAAATCCTTTATTGGTGTGTTTGAAACCCATACGTCAATGGAAACTCTGCCGAATACCTTTCCCGATATTTCTTCGAAAGTGAATACTACCTTGATATCGAGACCATCCATTTTTGACAGGCAGGTGTTCTCACAACGAAACCAGTAGTTGCGACCAAACGTCTTGCAGTTAGCTCCCCCGGGCCATTCAAGAATTACACTCATGGAATTATCCAAGAGCTGCTCATAATCGCAACGGGGTCCACTCACCCTTAGCCAATCGTCATCTGCGTGACAACGATGCTTCTTGCAGGCTTTGACACCCTTTTGGTTCGGACCACTCTTCTTCCTTTGTGCTTGAGCTCGGACGAACAATTTAGCCGGAATTTGTCCCATTCGGAAAAATAGAATATCTATCATGTACCCAGGCTGTAGATAGTATCTTCCTGTACAAGTCGGCCCTTCCTTCTTCTCCACCACCTGTATACGGAAGTTATCAGGACCCGCAAAATTTGTAATTTCTGCACCTTTTCCCTGGGAAATAGGGAAATCATATAGGGTAGGTTGTTTCACTGTTTCTTTCCCCCAAGGGAAAACAGGTGGCCCAGTGGCTGCAGAGGTAGATGGTGACGCACCTGAATTTGGCTTCTTAATTAGGATCCATATTTGGTATATTGCAGACTAAAAGTAAAAGTAAAATATTGTATAGATCATTTGACAAAGATTGAGGTAGCACCTACAAGGTTAAACGAGAGACTCAAAAAACCTTTGTAAGCACTGTTCAGCGTCTTCATCAGCTGATCTATTGCTCCTTTCTATTTGCTTTGCCTCCTCTTCCGGCACAGCTTCGGAAAGCAGTAAGGCATCCCTAACTTTACAAAGAATCTCATAATGTTCTGCCTTCTGGCTTAAAGCACATCTATACCGGGACAGCAATGCACGTGGTGTAGGGACAGCAGCAGCCAGTTCCTCCTCCACTATAGGGCTGTCCGTCACTTCAACACGCATACTGGTAGAGGCAAGTACAAAACCCTGGGGTGTCTCCAGTGTAAAGATGGCTTTTACGCCATTCGGTACACTATTTGCAGGAACAGGAGGAACATAAGCAAAGGAACATCTTTGCAAAGAGACATTGTGTACGAACATGTTGAAAGGGATAGTGGCACTCATGTGATTGTTTGTGTTGTTCCCATCATCGTACTGAACGTCGGGGTGGTCTAACCGGATCCAGTGCCTCGCTTCTGGCATTATGCGCTCCTCACGAGGAACAGAAGCCCAGATTCGATGTACCGGAACATTCTCCTTCCTGATATAAATACCAAGTGCCCTCAAAATGGTATCTTCGGGTGGTGGTGTGCGGCAATAAAGAGGAATGGGAATCATAGTTTTCGGCCGAACAAACATACATTGTACTCTTCCCGAATAGACCCAATCAATGGCATCAAAGCCCTCCATGTTTGGTTGTCCAAACAGCGATGAGAAGCCAAAAGTTCCACCAAATTCTGGTACATATGCTGATGTATTGATTGCAGGAATGAAGGCATGCGTTGAAAAACCCTGTTGCCTCTTTCCGAATTCTTCGGACATTCTGACAGAGTTATTGCCATTGCTTTTGATTCCATTCATGTTCATGTACACACCACTACTTGAATGATCTCCTTGAAGAATGGCATCTCCACTGGTGGTTTGCACACCCTCCTTCCAATCCTAGACTTCGACACGCTTCCATGTCCGATTTTACAAGGATCCATGTTAACATATTCACGATTGTCATTGTCCCGGATCTCGAGTTGCTTGTTTGTTGGCTCCTTACGCTCAGATTTAGCTTTCTTGATTCCCTTGTTTTCTCCTTTGGCTAGGGAATTGTCAATACTCTGCACAGGAATCCGTTCGTAGACATGTTTAGCGAGATAGCCTGTCCCTCTGTACGCTTTCCCATTTTCCCTTAAAGCTGCATTTCTTTTTACCATTTCCACCGTTTGTTGCCATTGTTCACAATATCTGCAAGAAGTAGCCATCTCTTTAGTTGTAATAAGTAACATATATACACAAAAGTGTTACTCTACAAAATCAGCCATCCATTTTTGCTTTCTGCGGCTTCGCCGCGGTACAAGTGGAGGGTCATCTTCTTGTCCAGTAGCATATGTTGGCTCGGGTAGGACATCCTCGATTCCTTCCACTTCTTAAGTTATATGAAAATACAATCGCTACTGCTTTAAATGGGCTTGTTATTTTCAGTAAATAGATAATATAGAGTTAATAGTATTCTCTAATATTGGGATTGCGATCTCGGGCTTTTGAGAAAAGGAGCACATTTTTAAACAACCTTTTATGTTCAGTATTGCAAGAAGTCTATTGTATGGATCAAAACTGGAATATATCGGAATGTAAGATCAAATTATGGTGAAAAGTGTAAATATAAAGTATAAAGTAATACTCTTAATGACCCAAACAGATAACAAAACAATACACCACTCTTTCAGGCAGGGAGCGTGAAATGACACAGCTACACAAATATGAAATAAACATGTAAAAGAAAAGAAAATAATTCAAATTATTAACGCATCATGCATATTGTCGATAAACTTTATTTGTCAGCTTTATTTCACAAGCAAGTTTGCGCTAAAGTCACATATCTAAAAGTTATTGATCATTGTTAGTTTCTCTAGCATAATCATCGCCTTTGCTTCCTCGAGACCAATGTTGTTGTTATCAATGACGCTGCCGTTGTTCTTGTTGTTGTGCCCGGTCAAGTTGTTGTATGTCTGGCACAGCTTCTTGGTAGTGTACACAAAATTCACCTCTGCAACCTTTGGCTGCCCACATGAACCCTGTTCTATAATCGAAGCTCCATTTGTCGTTCCTTCATCGTGCATTTCGTCCTACATATAATAAATTCATATTTTATGATAGAGAAGTGTTCCTTGAGGGACACTGAGAGTATTCAAGACTCTCGTCGACAGTTCTTCATACGCCACTCTTTAGGCAGGGGCCATAAAATGACACCGCTACCCAAGTATAAAATAAACATATAAAACGAAAGAAAATAATTCAAATTATTAACGCATCATATTGTTGATAAACTTTATTTGTCAGCTTTATTTCACAAGCAAGTTTGCGGTTACATATTATCTAAAAGTTTACTGATCATCTTTAGTCTCTCTAACATAATCATCGCCTTTATTTCCTCGAGACCAATGTTGTTTCGTTGTTGTTGTTGTTATCAATGACGTTGTTCTTGTTCTTGTTGTTGTCACGCACCGATATTGTTTTTCCCCTTGTCCCCTGTTGATGTAGGGGTTGGATCCTTTGACGCATTGGAGCCAGAGATGGTCGTGGGTGAAACAGGCAATTTTGTCACGCCGCTCATCGCGTCGAAAGCCTGAAAAACGAAATGGAAAGGCATTTTTCAAAAGACGATTGTTTCTAGTTAAAATAACAATACTTAATTGATCTAACTTAATAATCATTTAAGTATCAAGACTTGACAAACTTTGCTTGCCACATTCGTCTTCGAATTGGATAGATCGCCGGCTATCTTCAACGTTTCTTCCGATATTCTTGCTGCATTTACCGCCGCCTATGCCATGTCGTCACACTTTGTGGATAGACGATGTATTTTATTGGGTCTGAGAGATTGCGGACAAACTGTGTCTCGTTAATATATTGTCCTGCTCTGACCTGTCAAATCTATTTCCTAATGAATGGCCTTGGGTTATGTAGTCCTCTAACGATGAACAATCAGCCATCTTAAGGTCCGCCAGTTTGTTCTCTAACGACCAAAACGCCTGGCAGTCGCCAAAATGTTTAACGAAGCTGGCTTTAATTGAGGAAATATCCCTTTTGTCATCCTCCGACATCTTCCCGAACCAACTCTGACATTGAGTCATAGGTCTCATTCAAAGCCTCAAAGAATGTACACTTTTGTCTGGTGTGTTAAATGTTTTATCATTTCTGGAGACCCAGCTTTCAAAATTCGCAAACCATAGCCCGGGATCCTCTTCGGAATGTCCGTTAAATTTCCCCGGTCGCAAAGACATATCCGCCATGATGTCCTGTTTGTCCTCCAGTATTCTAGTTGAAATATCGGGTAATTTTCTATTTCTCAAATCAATAAAAGTTCCATTTAGATTGTGTTAGAGGACGTGAGATCTTCGCAGCTCCACCATGTTATAAAGGGTTATTTTACTTCCTTTATATAATATATTAAACAACTGACTATTTCATATTTTGTTTTATTCAAATACTTTATTTTATTATCAAGAGAAATTGTGAGAGTCTGTTCACCTTTTAGAAGTTGACTGACCATTTACATAAATATTTCGCCTTACGGCAAGGAATGTAAATTGGGAGATGGTATCTTTTAATTCAAAAATAACATAAATTTTAACTTTACCACATTATTATTCTTAATTATTTATTTGTTATTTTTTATAAAGGATGAAAATGCTAAATACTTAACCTGCTGTGGTGTTTTTGGTGGTGGATTAAGTGTCACCACACCCTATTATTTTCCCCTTCCAAGGTAAGTGATAACGACGGCAAACTGTCGACCGGTGACGGCAAACTGTCGACCGGTGATGCCGAATCTGCTGGTAGGTCCAGAGTTATCAGCGGTGGTGGGGATGGAATTCGCTATAATGGAGTAATCTATTTATTTATCCATTTATTTATAAAAATCCCGCATGATTGTTAAGTGTATAGTACTATACAAGACAATACCGTAACAAGTCAGAAGTCACAATGAAATGTAACTTTTAGGACGTGTATTATCTCAATATTTATTTTTCTATTATTTGCTTCACAATCACTTAATAGCAGTGGCACTCAGAGGTGCGTCAATCTTTACAAATACGACAGGTAACCCTACTATCACACCAAACTAGTTCTCACTACGTTCTCGAAAACGGGCTTCAACTGTGTACGAACGGACTGGACGTACTAAGAACCGCTTGGGATCTATTTACAAACGTCATCGAACGTACTCGAACGGGTAGGTCCTCTAGAACTTAGACAATGCTCAAAATGTTTTCGTGGTCGTCAAGTTCTACAATTAGAACGAGTGACAACGTACTAACGACGAGCTGTACGTACTACGAACGGAACCGTCGTACTTCAATCCTACTAGGGACGTTTTAACAACGACTGGAACTGTCTGAGGACGTGTTGAGAACGAGGTAGAACTCATTGCAAACGGGTTTAAACTGATTAAGAACGTATTTAACACTGCTTATGAACGAGTTAGCAAAAATATAGCTATCACACCAAACAAGTTGCCACTGCGTTCTTCAAAACTGGTTCTAAACTGTGTGCGAACGGAATGAACGTAGCTGCAACTTTCTAAGGTCTATTTACGAACTTTATGAACGTTCTCAGACGGGAATGTGATTTTAGAATTTTGAATCGATTCAAAATTCGATTGCGACCATACCGTTCTGTTATCAGGTCATGATGACCTTCTAGACTAAGGGACGCGTTCTACGGCGTTGCACACCGACGTGGTGCGACCTGAACGAACTGCGAACGAGATGGACGTATTGAAGACTGTTTAAGAACGAAGAAGCTAATTATTTCAGACATATTTCCCGACCACAGCCAGTTTGAGCCCGTTTTACGACGTTTTCGTAGGACTGGCAAGAACGGGTAAGAACGAGTTTGGTGTGATAGGGGGGTAAGGTAAACATTAATTTGTGAAACCACAAAGCAAAAACTGTGGAAAAAACAATTGAAAAATTATTGGGGAATTCTGTTTTTTTACTACGAAATATAAATGGCAATCAAAAATATTTCGAAATGCAGGTATACTAATACAATCTATTTCTAAATAAGAAAAAACGCTGGAATATATAATGAAAAATTAAAATCTTACCAGTTTACGCACCCGGGCGTCGATAGTCTTCAGGTCGCGATGGCATGCATTTCGTTCCGCCGCATTTCGAATTGGCGGCAAAGTCTGTCTGCGTTGTTTTAAAGGCACAGGACTTGTGCCATCGTTTTGGTGGTTTCTCTTTTGGGCGAGCTCACCAGAACGAAGAACGACATTCCGTCCTCTTACCTGTATGTCTTCAATCGCCTTCATTACTCTGGGAAGAGCCTCCAAGAGTTTGACAAAAACTCTCTGTGGCATGGGCAATTCCACGAGGATTCACCCACTGAATGTCCCCCAGCGCTCTAGGCCGACGAGTCCCTTTTTAGGGCTAGGCGTAAGCCTTTGCCAAGAGGAAAATACGTCGTTTTGCCAGACGTTGGCGCCAATCTCCCCTTCTCAACATTTTCTCGATTACGCAAGTTTCTCAAGCATAACTCTAGGATGATGAACTGTTTCGGTTCCTCTCCCTCCACCACGACTGCCAGATAGAAATCTCCCCGTCCATCTCTCTTAAATAGTTCGATGCCGAAGAAAGCTCTGATTCTCATTTTCAATACCACATCCATAGTTTGAAAGCATTTTATTAGTTCAAGTTGTGAATTATCGTGTAAGTTGTTGATCGTTGATCGTCGTAGTTGCGCATGAACGCAGGATGAACCAGAGACGGCATCTCCTTTTATATCCCCCCACTTGATGATTTGGGTACAGGTGGGCTTGCATGACAAATTTGCAAATTTATGAATTATAATTTCATGTAAAGTGTTTTCTTTTTTCTTTCATTGCTATTTAAAAAAGTTAGTTTAGAGATTTTAAAATATTTTTTGAAAGTTGTCAGCTTCTCATTTCTCAAATATTCAAATTTCCTGCCATTTTTTTCAAATAAAAGTTAAAATTATTAATCATTAAATATTCCACTATAGAGTGCAAAACTAACATTATCTTTTTAACACCATTGCAAAGATTAACCAAAAGGACACATTATTAATATTTCAATAATAAAATGTCATATCTAATTTGTCACTTAAAGTGTCTCACATATTTGATCAAAACTTGCCATGCAAACATGTTAGTCTACTTTACTGGCCCCCCTTGCTGTAACAAGGAACACAAAACACATTAAAACGTTAACATAAACCAATTAGTCACTTCACTTTGAAAGTGAGGGGTGTTAGCAAATGTGTATTAGCAGAATACGCTGTGCGCATGGACTAACCCAATATCAGTGGTCATTTACTGTGTCGACTTAGTAACCCTTGCATATCGTGCTCACTCAAGTATTGGATAATTTTTTTATGATCTAAATGTTTGTGGTTTATGAAAAAAGTGATATATATTTTAGTTAGAAATACATTAATAAATATATTCATTCAAATAGCACTAGAATGCGGGAAGAAAGAGTAATGGTGACAAAATGCAGACAGAATTTTCCGTAAGGGTTTCAAACAATTCTGGACCCAATCATACATGTATTTCATGTGTACTGTTATTTTTAGTGCTGTATTTATAGATATAATTTCACGTATTAAAATCATATTTTCCAGCAATGACTTCAAATTCGGAACCAACCCCATATCACATTTTCTTCAATAACTCTAAACATGTGACCATGTGCATGTAAATTCAGATTTCACGAGCTCTTTCCTATTCGAGTACCTCATACACCCCTGCATGGATTTGGAGTTGGATTCGCCTTTTATTCGTGAGCCGATACAAATCGCAAACGCTGATTGGATAAAGATTGCGCGAATCTTTAAATGTTTTAGCATATCAAAAATAGTTTGCAACCGTAAGTGACCTCATCGTGACATCACTCAGGTGGCAAAAAGAACTTTTTGAAAAAAAATTGAATATAATTTTCCCATGTCAATCTTTTCTAAATATTGAAGACGTCAAAAGTAAACCCAATGTTGATTGTCTAAGCAGGTTAAAAGGATGAATATATTATGTTTTTTAATACTATTGTAATTGGTTTCCATGAGAACTAAATTCTTTGAAATGCATTTTTTCTGAACCATTTTCATGCACAGGACGAATGCTATGCATTGATGTGAATTATCTCTTAATAAAATAGATGTCTCAGCACCCGCCCCGAAGACCCCGCCCTACCGGGCCTCACCCTCGGGAAACGGCTGTGATTCTACCCAGATCGCCGGATATCCCCGGGCTAAAACTCCCTTCGCCGTGGGCGCCCCGTTGATTTTCTACACGAGCCGGTGAACAACGCTGGGATAATTGCCTCATTATCTCGCCTCATTAAACCTGAACTTACTGAACAGACATTTTTTATTTTGCTATCCTTTAAACAGCGTATAACTACCAGGTAACTACTCATATAAGAATGAATGATATTGTGTTTACAAGTCATCATATTTTTGAGAACCTTTAATGGAACAAGCATTTTACTCATTTTTGTCAAAAATATCATTCATAATGGATTTGGGAAGAAGAAATACCATCATTCCCAAACATCTGCATGAAAAATAAAGATTTAAATTGAAAATAAATTACCCGGTTTTTGCAATATATTAAGGTAACGATACTTATAAATTATGTTTTTTCAGAAGTCACTTCTTTTCTAAAAGGGTTCCCGAGAATGTATTAAAAGGTCTAGGTTGGTCTAGGTTGGTTTAATGACCAGTGGCAGTTTTGGTGAGGATATTCTGGTTCAAGGTTTCAATGTCATGTTGAATTGCCTTCGTCAGCTCAAGATTATAACCGAATACTCTGGAGGTGCTTTCATGTCTGTGGATTGTTGCTCACAGACCTGAACAAGCTTAGAGCGGAGTCGGGTGATTCGCTCCTCTAGGCTTGATACCTTCTTCGCTAGCTGTGAGCTTTCCTCTGTCTCCAATTTCCTCTTCCTGGAGACGACCGGTTTCCCCTCTTGGGTGGCTTGCTGAACGCTGGCTGGTCTCTCTTCGGTAGTATCTTCCAGTTCCATTAGTGCATTCATGGTTACATCGCTTTCATCTTGTAACGGTGTTGATGACCTTCTGGTCGATGATTTGCCCATCTTAGATTTGCGAATTTGAATTAGTAGTTTCCTTAGGCACAAGTGGCGCCTTTTCCTTTTTTAATTTTGCCAATGTTAAGATGGTGAATATTTTCTTTATAGTAATCTACTTGTAGCTTATCTTTTTTTATTCCAGTCTTAACCTGTAGTCAGTTTCAAACTGTCCATAAAGATTTAAATGATTTTCTAATTGGGATTGTCTTTTGAAACTTCATTAACACTGCATGCAGTAAGTCTTGTTAAAAACCAAGGTAAGTGTGTGTAGATATGTAGAGCTAATTGTCTAACTGAATGGAAGTTTTGAGAACAAAATGAGCAAGTTATCAGACAAATGTCATCTGTGTCCTCGGAAAGCATCATAATGATTTGGGAGATGATGAGGGGTCTGATATTAAAACCTTCCTCTGTCAGTTGGTTGGCTAATTCATCTTGGAGGAGGTCTTGATTGAAAACCTTCGAAGTTTAAGAAAATTGTCAGAATTTCGGACTGGGGAACGTCTCTTCCTGGTACTTCTTCATGTCAGCATTGCTTTCTGAGTGATGCTGTCTTTATCCCTTGCGGTTGAAACAGGATAAAATGTAATTTTGTTATGAAGCTTTACATACCATTGTTGAGATTGTTGTGACAGATGATTATTTTTCTGCTTTGATGTCAGTTTTATGTGTGGTCGACAGACTGAGAGTTTGGGTGAACTTAAAATTTTGAAGGTAATAACTATGTTGCAGGCAATGTCCCTTGACTCAATTTTTCTTTATATTAGAAAGTTGAGTCGTTCTTGCAGTTTCATTTTCCAATCTGAAACTTCATCACTCTGATAAGGTCTTAACCTGTCATAGTGTAATATCTTTAATTTACCATTTTTGGAGATTTTAATCTCAAGTAATAGATCATTTAGTTTTCTTGTTATCAAACAAAGGTCAGCCCAATTTTTAGATTTTAGTTTTAGGCTCAAGCCAACAGTTTTGCTTGTGTCCCTCATATATAAATAGCTGACCTACTTAATAATTATTGACAGAAAGTCTTCTATCATGATCTTTCTTTTGAGTTTGCATGGATTTCTTTAAATTCTCCCTTATAAATTGGTAAATGTCAGTCGCAGTATTTCTAAGATTGGTGACATATTTAGTGACATTATATACGTATTTGTCGTATTTATTTTGATCTTTGAGTTCTTTAGGTCCTCCCATAATTAGTTCAATTGGTTGTCGACATTTCCTTCCAAGCATCAACAAGCTAAGACTGTACCCTGTCCTTTCATGTTAACAGCTTCGATATGCTGATCATATTTTTGTCCAGTCTTTCTAATAAAAAAGCGAGTGAATTGGTCTTGAACTATAAGGCCATAACGATGCCACAGTCTGAAACTGGAAATGGCCTAAGAATGTCGGTGTAGATTCGATCAAGTGTTGTACCCCAATCTTTGCACGAGCTGGTCTATAAGGATGTTTTCTGGCACCACATGGCAACAGATTGGCGCACCAAATTGGTAACTGAGAGTTTCATTGTGTACCAGTAAAAATATCTCTTAATTTTACTAACAGTTTTCTTGACACCAAGATGAGCAGATACAATTGAATTGTGCAGTGCAAGTAAAACTTGTCTGGGTCATTTATTTGCATGATTGCAATTTCTCGTTTTGAGTAACCCCATTTATATTTTTCAGGTACTTCTAACCTGTAAACTCCCGATTTCTCCCGAATGTCCTAATCAATCCCAATTTTCTCCCGATTATTTTTGTAATCCCCGATTTCCTCCCGATTTTCATTGTAAACTCCCGATTTTCCTCGATTATCCTTAACAATCCTGTTTTCCCCCGATTTTTCGTAAAAAATCCCGATTTTCACCTCGATTTTTCTTTAAAAATCCTTACTTCTTCCGATTTTTAAAACGAAAATATGAAGATATTTATTCTTTTTTCACTTGACAGGTATGGAATACTACCTCCTCTTTCATCATGTCACATTTTGATGGTTTCAGTTTCAGTCCTGCTTCTGTGTGAAGATTCCATCAAGCTGTTGAATATGTTCTTAAATGGTGCGTGACAGTATGATCAGATCATCGAGGTAAATGATTAAATGATCATACAGTTTATTATGCATGATACGTTCCATGCACCTTTGAAATATGGATGGTGCTTTGCACAGCCAAAAGGGCATGGTGTTGCTATAAACCACTGCATGTGCAAAGTGCAGTATGTTCAGGGTCCTATGGTTTAATTTCAATTTACCAGTATCCAGACTTAAATCAAGGTGTGTGTATATTGTATAATGAGTCTAAGCAGTCGTTGATGCGTGGTAGAGGGTAGGCATCTTTACGAGTAAGATCATTCAGTCTGCCATAATCTACACATGGTCTAGTGCTGCCATCTTTCTTATGCACATATACCATAAGTGATGCCCATGCAGATGTCGATTCCCTGATTACACCATTTTTACTTGTTCTTGAATTATTTTAGCCTCGCCATCGTGGAATGCCCCATACACTGTTGCTCATGGAATATTAGATTTGTTAGATCAGAATTCAAGTTTTGGATGAAGGCAAATCATAAACACATATCTTATCTACAAATCAACAATTTTTAGGGAAACAATATTTTAAGTTTAGAAATTTGCTGTTGTTTAAAATGAGGTAGTTTAAAAAACTTGCATTTTCAAAACACCCCGATCCAAATTTTAATGTAAAGCGGATCAAACAAACTTAATATCAGGTCATGAAGATGAATGAGTCCTCTATCCCATAACAGCACTAATCTGTGGTATGTCTTCCTAGTGCTGCAATCATAGCATCCATCCTGCGGGGCCTGCTGTCAATATAATAAGATGTCTGACCTGTCTTCGCGAATAAGATCCCCTTACTCAATCAGAGGAGTATATAGCTCTGCTAAATTTTGAGATAGGGGATCTTTGTCACGAATTGCACTATCCTAGTCTCATCCCACACGTGCACTGCAGGAGCCTGATCAGGTGACTGGTGTCTATGGTAGCTGGTCCACATTGCCTGCCCTGTGGAAATCCTGCATAATGCAGCTATTATGTACATGAGCTTCATCGTGTTGCAGTTGAATGTTACGCTCAAACACTCTGTTTGCATGTGGTACTAGATGTAGGTCCAAAAGTCACTGTATCTCTCACCGCTGACATTACACTTGAGACTCACCAAGGGGGTGCGACTCTCCTTGGTAAACACCACCTCAAATATGACAAAAGTTGTCATAACTTTTTGAAACTTATCAGTGAACCGATTTCACTTGTCGGTGACGGATACTTTGGTCTTTCATGAAAGGAGCTTGTCAAATTGGCTCCGAATATACAATTTCAACATTTTAAAAAACTCAATGGTAGTCCACCTGTTACAACGGAATGGGTCGAATCATGATTAGTTTGGTCAGTTTGGGGTTTAAGTTAAATATAAACCATTCACTGGGTCTTGGAACTAATACCGGGGATAAAAGCCCTTGGCTATCATTCCTCCTAGAACCTAAAACTATTGAAACCGATTTCACTTGCCAGCGACGGATACTAGTCCTTCACGAACCGAGCATGTCAAATTTGCTCGTTATACCTCCAAAATATACGATTTTCAACATTTTAAAAATCTCAACATTTTAAAAAGGCCCTTGGTTAAATCATTCCTCCTAAAACCCAGTGCTCATACTTTATCCAAAACTTAATAGAAACAAAACCACCAATATGGAACGATATAGCACCAGAGGGTTATTAACCGACCGTTTCATATGGCCAAATGCCATATGAAATGACTTGGTCGTTTTCAGTTTGATAATTTCACTAAATAAAGCATACTGTTTTGAAATTGATACATGTTTTATACCGTAGTCACATTTACTCCAATCTTCAACACCGGCGGCGTGCCGATGATCTTATTTTGAACAAAATACCACAGCTCTGCTGAAGTAACTACAATTAAGTACTCGAGTAACAACGGCTAGGTTAGTAAATGGTTAAAACATTGAATACATTTTACTATAAATGGTCTGTACATATATGATGTATCGTCAAAATTAACATAATTGAAAAAGTAATTGCATGCACATTTAAACTGATATTGTTTTTTTATTTTCTATAATCTAATATTAGATCATCCAAACTATACCATACTTCAAGTTTTATCACTAAAGTACATATTTCAAAATTGTCAAAAGGTGTAAAAATACTGAATAGAACTAGAGTGGCATTTTAAAGGTTGAAAAATAAGTGCAGATACGTATCCAACAATCATGGACCTAGTGTCAATATATATCAAAGAAACATCTATCTTCATTTTCTATAAAGAAACCCCCTGAATGGACGTTGTTTCAGCTGAATTTCCTGCAGTTAAAATCTGGAAATGTAGTATATCTTAAAATCTATAAGTGGAACACCTCTTATTATTATTAGATTTATTTTTCATCCATTGATTGGGGATAATATAATAATTATATATTACAGTGATATTGGATGCGTATCATGCAAAATTTAAATAACAATAGACAAAATAGAACTCTACTTAACACCAATAACATTACAAGTAAGATCTGAGAAATGATAAGAGCGACAAGTATAATACACAAAGATACGCGTAGCTATAAAATACTTGGAACCGCCAACATCTTCCTCTTATGGAAACGTTATATTAAACTTAATTTACACATCTAAATGCTGAAATAGATAGGCATGTCCATACATTTTAAGAAAATAGGTCTGACAAAGATGTTATTAACCAAATGTTGCCCTGATAGCTCAGAATTTTTTTTCACATTTTCTTTACAGGCCTTGTTGCCACTTTAAGGCAATTTGTGGTTTTTCCCTAAACACACCCTTAGGCCTACTGCTCTCACTGGATTTGAGACATCGTACAATTTACAAACGATAGAAATTAAATAAACACCCGCCACAAGTTTAGCGATCGGTATCATTATTCTTTACATCAGGGCAATACGGTAAACTGCTAAATGTATATCGTTTTTGTACAAATAAACCTTGTACATATACGAGGGTTGTCCCAGAAGTAATGCAC